TTTTTTTTTCTTTTTTGCTTCTCCATAGAACACTTTTTATTCATGAGGGACTCCATCCTCCGTTTGAGTGAGTTAATTCCAAAATTATATTTGTGTCATTTGTTAACAGTAAAACGCGGGGGTTGGCATTACATTTACTTTTCGCGCAGAAACTGGGAAGTTGAAACAAAATACGGATGTGGTCGAAGCTTGGGGAAGAACTTGAGAACGACACTTTTATGAGACACATGTGGCTTATGAATCCGACGTTACATAGAACAACGAGTGTGCATGGGAGGGGGACACCTCAAAAGAAAGATCCTAGTGGCCTCAAAGGGACAGCCGAATATTGACAACCGCTCTATGCTTCTATTCTCTGGTCCAACTTTCTGAGCCAGTTCAGCAACGAAGACATGTTTAGGTGCCTCAAGGGTGTTTACATCTAAACTGGGTCGTGCAACCGTATCTGTACTTTCAGTAAATACCACTAAAAACGAACTCCTGACGTTTATAACTTGCAAAAAAACACCCATTAATGTTTCTCTCTGCGCAATGGCAAACGCAGAAAAAATAAAGGAAAGACACAGCTTTCCCTCCGCAATTAGAAAAGGCGGCCACGTGATCTGACGTTAATTACATTCCATCAGTGATCATCATGGTCATGTGCTGGGGTTGGAAAAGCATAGAGCACACGCTCTCCTGTTAACTTCGTGTCCTCGTCTTTTTTGCGCTCTTTTTTTTTTATATTTAACGAAGGTGAACCAACTATACCCAGCAACGTACCTCACTACATAGAGCATGGGTTGAGCTTCAGGCATCGTTAGAGTTCGGCCATTTTCATCTTTGATTGAACACAAGCCGTTACTCGAATATTTGGCGACACTGATTGTCATGGACTCGTGCACCCGACTCGGGCCCGTCGTTTGATGCGCCATCTAGATTTTCGTTTCATATCTGTGTGTTTCATAAATTATGCGAAACGCCATCTTGACGCTGTGCATCAACACTTTAAAAGCCCAACACTGGGGCATTTCGAGAGCGTAACTCTCATAGAATTGCTCGCTAGTGAACCAAGAGTTGTCGCGCACCCACCCAAACACAAGGCAAACATGAGAAAATCGGAAGTATATTTCTCTCCCCCTGTCAAGGCGGCTGAAAGAGCGCGCACACCCTGTATACTCTACAGAATATTTTTAACAAAAAAAAAGCGATACCTAATTTTTTAAAATAAATTTTAACATTTAATGTCTTCGTAGTTTAATATTTTTGATCGTTCATACACGCGTCCTGCGTTCGTTAACTTATCAGTGGCGGTGGAAGATACACGAGCACAAACGCACACACTAAAACGGTAGTTACGGCGTTTTTTTAGTATGTGCGCCCCCCCCCCCCCCTTTTCTTAGGTTTTTTTTTTTTTTTTTTTTTTTTAATATTGCTTGCGTCGTTTTTGTTTATCAGCGATTCAGCCCGCCGCAGCAGAAGGTTGAAAAACGACGTGCTCCGCGACGCTGCAGTTTTGGCTCTGCTTGATTGGCCTCATCGGATCGTTGTGTCGTCTGCGCTCTGACTTAAAGTGTAACGAGGAAAGTATGGTGCGATTGATGAATATTCTGATGGGTAATACGAAATGTTCACAACTTCTTAAACATTTACCACCGAGTTGAAGATAACAAAACATGATAACCGCGTTGTGATCAGCGCGAACGGGATTTGCATTCGAACTCACTGCAGACAAAATAGTGTCACTATTCCCCATATACCGTATAAAGCCGCGGCCTCACTTTTAATACTTCATACAAGAGACAGTCTCAAGAAACTGTCTGCAGGTTGTGTTTCTCCCTATACTATAACGATCCTGTTCTGCCGGGGTTACGCTGTTTATAAATCCTAAAAAAGGCAGTCTGCATACAAATTGGAACGCGAGTCACTGCGAGATCCGTGCTTCGAATGCTGCCTGGCGATGAGCCCAAGGAGAAACTTGGGCACGCGGCATTCGAAGCACGGATATTGCGGTGACTCTCGTTTGCAGACTGTCCTTTGTAGGATGTCTGAGCAGCGTGACCCCGGCTTTACATTGGTCGTACAAAAACTGTCTGCGGGCATATTCAATGCATACAAATGTATGAAGCAAGCCTGCTTCGAACATGCTTTTGGTATCCCTCTTAAGCCTGATTCACATTGTGCGATTTTGCAGGCGAATTCGCAAATGCGGCGTGAGCACCGCAACTTCCATTATGCTTTTTGACTGCAAGAACGGCATCGCTCTTGCGAAATCGCAGGCAAGTTCGCACCATGTGAATCAGGTTTTGAGTTTTTCTGGTATCCCTCTTGGAAACCGCACTTTGTCGAGAAACCCGTCACACAACGATAAAGCAGAAACATCTGGGAGTAAGTTCTCCCTAACGTTTCTCAAATCGAACGCCGTAAAGTCAGGCAGATTATTATTTTTTAAGTGTCTGTTAGCTTGACTCAACATATTTTGATGGTATAAAACTGAACGGTAGTTCTTGACACTTACTTTGCCTAAGTCAAGAAAGGATACTCAGAGAACTACTATATTTTTAATAAAACAGGTATTTAATTACAGTACCGTCTTGGCGAATAAGGTCGTCATCAAATGAGAATTTTATTTATTTATTTATTGATCCTTTGGGAGAGAAATAAAAATGAAATAAAAAAAGTTACTTTATGGTTCCTAGATTTTTCATGTCTACTGACCTGGACCACGCGGACGTCAAACATTGCCCGTTCTATGATTTAGAGCACACACAAAAGTTCCACTGTATGCGAAATAACGAAAATGACGAATAAGTTTTACGCATAATTTAGTCTCTGTCTTTGTATTTTATACATATTGCATGAGCGTTGAAATATTATATCAGTTGAACTTGACACGTATACTCTGCCGGACGCAGCTGTACCTATAGTTGCGACAAGCATATACCCACGCAAGACTGAAATCTCGCAACTAAACAATCGTCAAAAGCGGCAAACGAAAGAGCTGCTCCTCGTGACGACGGGGATGCGTTTCATCAGGGCTGGCTGACGAAGCAGACACACAACGCTTATTCAAATACGAGATAGATCGACGGAACACCTGTGACTAAGATAAGATGAGGGGCGCCGGTGGAGATTCTGGTTGGGTAATCGTTTCTATTGTTTCTCGTTTGCGTTTTATTGCTTTTTAGATCCGCTGTTAGGTGTTGCGTATTAGCTTGATCTTTTCTCGCGAACTGAACATGAATACTTTTAATACGGGCCGTCCCTTACCTTATTCACAGCACTGACTTTTTTCTCCCATGTTACTGTAGCGTGATTGATGGATGCAATGCTTTTATACGGGTGTTTTTTTATAACTAATGTTTGATACATTAAAATCAATGGAGATAATGGGGCAAAGTTGCTTACAGACGAAACAATCTGTCTCTCGAAGGTTTATTTGCGCTAGTAAGCCGATCTTGGCGTCTGCACCTCGAAGGTGCATACACAAGACGGACTTTGTTCGCTGACCAGTTCCTGCGAAGACCGTATTGTCACTGTCTGTCAGGTATAGCGAATCCTCCATGTACCTGACTGAAAGGGCAGATAAAACTTAGGAACATGTTCGCGGTCCTGAGAAACAACTTAAAACGTATTATGTACCACGTAACGTTATAAAAAAGGTTCGCAGAGCTACTCGTGAAGACTAAACCACAGTTATCGAGGTCTTACACACCATTTCAACATACCAATTTCCAGCCCAGCGGCCAATTACAGGAAAGGGCTTCCGACCTACCTACCATTTCAGAAAAAGTCTTGTAGTCGGTGCCATTTTAAGTGTTCGTGACTATGGCGTAAGCTTTGCTCAGTTTCCGGAGCGACGAACATACGCATGATGAGCTGTGATGATAGGAAGCTGCGTTGTGATTTTCTAAACAGTGGAGCAATGTATACAAGGTCATTTCCTTCTACAGAAACTTCGTTATATCCAAGTTGATCTTCTCATCCCAGAGTTGGAACGATAAAGGTTGTATTTTTACAAAAAGGACAAGAGCCGAAAATGTTTAACCAAAACTACAAGAAAAGAAAAACTGAAGGAAGTAAAATAACTTGACAAGACAATTGCCAAGCATGCTATTTTTCTTATATAATTTGTTTTACAGCTGTGTCTGCCACAAAATATTATCTGCCTGATCCTATTTAAAAGAAAACTCCTATGGGTTATGTGGGACTATCGAAGCCGCGAAAATACTGGACAATTTCTCACAGTATACTTCGTGCATCCAGTAATGAAACTTAGAGACCGGCGACCGTCGAGGCCAGAGAGGAACGAACGCACACACGTGCCTGGTCCGGGTGGAACGAAACAAGTAACTTCGTCTGCCTCTTTACTCTCTCATATATATACAACCTAATGGTAGCGACACCTACCACAACAGAAACGACAGTCCCAGACCAGTCAAGAAAAGGAGTAGGGCGCAAGTGATAGTTTCGGTCCTTGTAGCCACTGTAGTTTCGGGTGGCCAATATGAGAGGATTTCAGCCTCCACTTGCCAGTGCTTTTGTCGATACTAACTAAATTAACTAGTTTTTCAATCATCACTGCTTGATTGTGCTACAAACAACACAAGGAAAAAACAAGGCTACAGTAATCTTATAAATTACTGTACCCGCGTATTTGCGCTAAAAGTTGCTGAGGTGTTTCTTTTTTTTTTTTTTTTTAATTTGCCCTATGTGGTTTAGGTTATCACCGTTCTCGTGTGTGTGACAAAGTCAGATCACTTCAATACTGCCCTACTATGTCAGAGTGTCAACTCGTCCCGCCAGGTTGTTGTTATAGCACTTTGGAAAGATATATATATATATATATATATATATATATATATATATATATATATATATATATATATATATATATATATATATATATATATATATATATATATATATATATATATATATATATATTGAAACCGAGGGTCACCTTTTTTATTTGTTTTCGTTTTTTCTCTTTTCTCCGGTTACTGTGCCTGCCGCTCCAGTGCGACTCCGTGCACTTCCTCAACAAGAGCACCCAGTGCAGCTTCGTCCAGGCTAACGAAGACTGCCACGGCGACGAGAAGTGGCTGGCGTACACCAGCTTCGTCTACTGCGCCTTCGGGTCGGGGAACACGGTACCCGCCCTAGGCGTCCTGGTAAGTCTCTAACCAAAAACCAGACTTTTTTTTTTAATCTTAGAAAGGACAGTGCGCGACACAGTTAGCATCGTAACGGTCTAAAACTTTTTTGCACCAAATATTGCGGGAGGAGCGACCGTCGCTTTCGCAGGAAACGCGACGCGCGACGACATGAGGCGGATTCACCGGGTTGGGGGGGAGGGGGGGGGGGGGGGCAGCTTTTGATTAGATAAATTCTGCATCACCACGCACAAGCATGCACGGAGATACCTATTGTCGAACGATAACTCAAAGTGGAGGGTTGATATCCGGGACGCTTATCGAGCAGACATATTTTGAATCGTACGTAATGTGATGACCGTGGCGGATGACGGTCCCAAGATGTACCGTATACGCTCGGAGCTGGAACACAGCGACCTGACTTCGAGGGGGTTTTAATGCAGAATTGCAATCTCGCGGAAGCGAACTCATATTGCGGAGCGTCGTGTGCCACAGCGGGAGTTGGTCAGTTGCCAAAAGCGTTCGGACGACGACGACGACAACAAAATAGAAAACAAAGAAGCGCGAAAGAGGACGCTGAGACTCTGAAGACCCTTCGAAAAGACTCCGCCAGATGCCAAAAACGTGCCAAACAAAAAAACAAAAAAAAAAAGAAACAGTAGGGGTGGGAAAGAGGTTGCCGAAACGCTAATGAAGCTTCAAAAAGGCTTCGCCAACTGTAAAAAACGTTCCACATATTAAAAAAAAAAAAAAAAAAAAGCGGAAAAGAGGACGCCGAGACTTCGATAAGTAATGTACTTCCTCAGCTTCCCGCAGCTTAAAAACTGATTAAAAAAAAAAAAAACAGAAGACGCGAAGAGGGGACGGCGAGACGCTGAAGACGCTTCGAAAATACTTCGCAAGCTGTCAAGAACTTTGGAAACAACAGAAAAAATAAGGTTTTTACAAAAGGTTGACGAGGCAACGCTTCGAAAAGCGCTTCGCCAGCTACCAAGAGCTTTGGAAACAACGGGATAAGTTTGATGAAAATAATCCCTGGAGAAGGGGAACAAGAGGGACAAGGGACAAACATAAATCTCCAAACACAACTAGGTGACTGGTGAGCGACCGAAAAAAATCCGCCTGGTCCGGGTATCGAACCCAGGACCTCTCCATTACAAGTGGAGCGCTCTACCAACTGAGCTAACCAGGGGTTAGACGTCAGTAGAGCAAACGGATTTTATCAGCTGCGACCAGCCTAACACCAACAAGGGTGAAGCTTGCAATTTAATGTTATAATTATAATACAATTAAATGCAAAGGGGCAAGCGAGCTGGACAATAATGATGAAATAGGGATAAGTTTGTACACAAGGAGGACGATGTGATGCTTCGAAAAGACGTCGGTAGCTGCCACAAGTGTTCGGGACAACTAGATAAAAACAAGAGTGAGGAGAGGGCGCCGAGAAGCTGGAGACGCTTCGAAAAGAGTTCGCTGCCAATAGCTTCGGAAACAACAAGAAAGAAAACTACAAAAGGAAAACGAGGCGACGTTTTCAGCAGAAACGGTGGCGCGTTCCAGGAAGACAGAGACTGGACGTTAGCGTCCGCTGCTTTCCTCATAAATCTCATTTCCAGATATGACGGCTCGATAGACAGATCAAAGTACAGATGCGATATCTTAGCAATGAATGTGTTTTATCAGCCCAACTATGAGAAGACAGTCACATGACGTCACCTTGACGTCATGTGACACTGTCATGGCGTCACCGTGGCGTTTCGACGCTGCATGACGTCATGACAACATCATGATAATATGACGTCATGACATCAGCATAGCCTTATGCTGACATTATTATTAGAGCCTGTTCGTTGCCGACATCATGACGAAATTATGCGCGGAAAAGCTTTAACTGTGTTCGTGCCATGTTTTTTGTCATAATCATGTACGCTTCGAACATGTTTAAGTAGAGTTTGTGTATGACTGTCACGTTCGACGGGGATCGTGCACGAAATCAGGGAAGGTGAGTCAAAAGGGTGAAAGCTAAATAAATGATTATATTTACAGCACGCGCGACAAGAAAACGACTATGATTGCAAGAAAAACGCAGTTAACTGAAAAGTAAAAAAAAAAAAAAGCATAGTTAAACATCGTCCCGCAAGTCCAGTCCTAAATACAGGTCGTCCCTCCCATCGTCTGCACAATTGCCAGTCACGACTGGCAGTCCGTACGGCGTTGGCACTGGCGGCAATCTGGGCGGCAGGGTGGAGGGCCTCAGTGGTGCTGGAGCGAGGTCAACCGCTGGTGCACTTGCCCCGGAGAATGTTGAGGTCCAACGATGTGGATTTAGGACTGGACTTGCAGAGACGATGTTTAATTCAAAGTTTCTACTTTACACTTAATTTCGTTCTTCTTACAACCATAGTGTTTTTTCTTGTTACGTGTGTTGTAAATGTGAGTATTCGTTGGGTCATTCCACGCCAAACGATCCAGCCCCTAAATCGAACATCACGGAATTGGTTTAAAAAAAAAAAAATTGTAGGCCCTTAGGGTGACGTAAAAGTACCCTTTCAAATATATTTTTGCAGTATTTTTTTGTTGTTGGTTTTGTAGCGATTTTTTGAATACCACGAACAATTGGCTTCAAGGGCTTTAGACTTTTTTTTTCCATTAAATTTTGAAACTAGGTTGTAAAATAACACTATTTTAGTAACTAAATAGGTCTCTAAATTCCCAGATAGTTACTCGCATATAATTTCAATTTTTTCTTGGAATTCTATGGCGCTAAAAATTGGCTAAAATGCCTATATTCACCTTTATTTCCCCCCCCCCCCCCCAAAAAAAAAAAAAAAAAACGGCAAAATTATTAGGACTACATTTTATTTTTATTAATAGCACTTGAATGAAAGTTTATTATAAAAATATTTTCCGTATAATATTTATTGCGGTGTTTCGAGGAAAAAATTGCCGGTCTTGAAAATAACGCAAAAAGAGCAATTTGCGCTTAAGAATAACGGTGTGAGATGGTCGGTCTAAAAATATATTGTCAACGACAATACGTAATTTAGAACCTAGACATCAAATAGGCAATGTTAGAAAAAAAAGTGTTATTTTTTAAACGCGAAAAAGTATTTCTTGAATTTTGGTCGCCGCACCCCTGCGTCCATGTCGAGGCGTCGAACAGCGGCGTATAGCAGAGGCGACGCCGCGGGGCAACAAAGCAGACGGGTTCGCTACGCCAGAGCGGGAAGCAGACGGGTTCGCTACGCAAGAGTGCAAAGCAGACGGGTTCGCTACGCAAGCGTGCAAAGCACACGGGCTCGCTAAGCGCGTGCAAAGCAGACGGCAGGAACTAAAAAGTTGTTGTGGCATCGTCTGCTAATCCGACAGTGGCGTGAGTTCACATGTTATGGGTGGAAAGTGAACAAACTTTTTCCCATGGAACCAAATAACGCAGGTAACCTGGCTTCCATGGGTCATGCCAGGGAATCTCGAGGCAGGATTTAGACTATATTTTTACGAGTTATTGCTTTTAAACGTTCTCAAAAGCGAGGTTTTAGCCTCGTACTTGTTAGAGTAATTTCAGAAACGCAGATGAAATTGGGTGCTCTGAGTACACTGGAGCAAACAATGCATCCTTATTCAGAAGTCCATCTTCTCCCGTGTTCATTGGGGTCAAAAAGGTGCCATAAAACGATGCAAGTCAACAGCAAATTTCTCGTTAGAATTTCAACTGTGACAAAAAGAGAACAACGTCTTTTGGTTCTGCGTGCAAACAAAGGCGAAGACACGCTCAACACAATATGCACTTATCGTTATCATACTTTCGTAAAGAAGTATACCACACTTGTGGTTTCCAAGTTCTGTATGGACCTCTTCCTTGAACACACCAGGAGCCAGCGTGGGACATCAGTTATATCATTAGAGCTTGCGATAGCTTTGCCGTAATTGAAGCTTGTCCCTGGAGGAAAGTTGTGCCCCAGGTGCAAAGTTTACTGCTTCCAGATGGACACGAGCTTCAACCATATGACTGTCACGCTTACTGAAGAGATGACCTCCTCTGAAATTAGCGACCAGGAAGAAGCATTCCCCTTATCGTTGAGTTTCTCGTTTTCAGCAGTTGGAGAAATCCCTCTGTCCATGGGGCAGAAGTACGGACAAACAAATACGGATATGCAAACGAAGCTGGACAGTCGAAGCCAGAATGTCAGTAACCTGAACAACACTGCGGACGTCAACGTTTCATCGATATCTAGACCAACACCTAGTTATGAGTTCCTGACAGACGACTACAAACGGCTCATGGAACACGTCAAAAAGTGCTTTGGCGAAGAAAAAGACCGATCAAAAAGATTTCTCTTTTTACCCTGGCCCAGAGCTCCTGGTCGCGAAAACGGATCGCGCAGTATTTTGATGCCTCTGGAAGACAGGTTCGCCTTTCCATGTCAATTAAACAAGAGAAGGGCATCTTGAGTTCCTCAACGCAAAGGTTGAACAGACCACTAGACAAATCTACTAAAAGCTCTCAGAAACTTTTATGACGACGAGCTTGTTTCCATCTGCCTTCCAGGCAAAAAAGAGCCCTTGACTCCGACTTAGTGAGCAACGTTATCGTCCGTCAATAGGTCAGTGGAGAACGGTGCAAATTTGAGACAATGGTTCTCGCGCCAAAAAAAATTGTCCGAGCAGTTGCTTGAGATGCTGAAAGAGCTAAAGACACATCACTTCGTGAGCCAGGCTCAGACGAGTCGTCTACGCGACATAAAAATGCGTCTTACGCCAACAGAAGCAATAGTGCTGCTAGATTTTGCTGAAAACTACAGCTTTCTTGTTCAGGACGCTCCACAATCATATTATTGGGATAATACCCAAGCTACAGTTCATCCCGTCATCGTCTTTTTTCGTTCATCAGATCGTCTTGACGAGCTCCGCATCATATCATACGCAATGATATCTGACTGTTTGGACCATATTACTACAACGGTGTTGACTTCCCAGAAAATGTTACTGGATGACTTGAAGGCTCAGCTGCCTCACGTAGAACACATCCATTAATTCTCGGACGGTGCGGCCTCTCAATACAAAAGCAAAAAGAACTCTGTAAACCTCTGTCATCACATGGAAGACTACAACCTCAGTGCAACGTGGAACTTTTTTGCCACATTGCACAAAAAAAGTGCCTGCGATAAAGTGGGCGGAATTGTTAAGAGACTGGCTGCGAAGTCAAGCCTAAAAAGACCATTCAGCGGACAAATTTTGACACCACTAAATTTCTTCAACTGGGATCGCGATAACCTGACACAAATTCGAGCGATCTGGGTGCCGGAAAGTGATGTACAGGTGCGGCGAGGAGATGTTTTTATCCCGGTTTAATGTCGCTCTACCTATCCGTGGGACTAGAGGACTCTTACTTCGAGCCAACCTCACTGTCCGAAATCAACGTCGACTTTACATCTCTTTCAAAAACAGTAAACGTCACGACTTTGTCACATCCTCAAATTGACTGCGTCTGCGAAGATCAGAGAAAGCAAGTGTGCCGAAGACTCCCTAACCATCATCAGCTTGAGTGGCCGCCTGGGTGCAGACCAGCTGAGTTGGCCCGAAAATCAGAAAATATTTTTTCGTGTTTAAGAAATAACACTTGTTTCTAACATTGCCTATATGATGTCTAGGTTCTAAATTAGGTATTTCCGTTGACAATATATTTTAGACCGACCACCTCATACCGTTACTCTCAAGTGAATGTTTTCCTCGAAACGCCGGAACAAACATTATACGGAAAATATATTTATAATAAAATTCCATCCCAAGAGCTATTAATACATATAAAAGTCATGCCTGATGATAATTTCGCCACTTTCCGAGGAAAAACAAAGTATATATCGGCATTTTAGGCGATTTTTAGGGTCACAGAATTGCAAGAAAAGTTTGAAATGGCATGCAAGTAACTATTCGGGCATTTAGAGGGATCTATTTAGTTACTAAAAACTGTGTTTTTTTTTTACAACGTAGTTTTAAAACTGACAGGAAAAAAATGCCGTACATAGCCCGCGAAGCCAGGTGTTCGTGGTAATTAAGAGCTCGCCAAAAAAGCAAAAAAAAAAAGTGAAAGCCGTTTACAAATCCCTGTAACGCCGAATTGGAGCGCAGCTCTTGAGGAGGAGGAGTGAAGGGTACTGAGGGGAGGGTAGACCCCTCCTCCTCCCCTCATTCTTTAATATGCTCCGGGGGGGGCGGTCACGTGACCTCGGGGGGGGGGGGTGTCACGTGACTTCGGAGAGGGGGGGGTCACGTGACCTCGGGGGGTCACGTGACCTCAGAGGGGTCACGTGACCTCAGAGGGGTCACGTGACCTGGGGGTCACGTGGGGGTCACCTTGGGGTCACGTGACCTTGAGATGACCTTGGGGGTCACGTTACCTTGGGGAGGAGACCACGTGACCTCGGGGGTCACGTGACCTCAGAGGGGTCACGTGACTTGGGGGTCACGTGACCTTCAAAGGGTCACGTGGGGTCTTGGGGTCACGTGACCTTGAGATGACCTTGGGAGGGGTCACGTGACCTCGAGGGGTCACGTGACCTTGGGAGTCACGTGGGGTCACGTGACGTGGAGATGACCTTGGGAGGGGTCACGTGACCTGGAGGGGTCACGTGACCTTGGGGTCACGTGACCTTGGGATGACCTTGGTTACGCCGACGGCGACGGCGACGGCGACGCCGCTCAAACCGGGAACGGGCCCCTAAGAGCTGCGCTCTAAAAACAAAACAACACTGTTTACTGTAAAAATATATCGGGAAGGGCACTTTTACGTCGCCCTAAGTACCTACAATTTTTTAAAACCAAATCTGTGAGGTCGACTTAGGGGCTGGATCGTTTTGCGTGAAATGACCCTGTTTACCTTTACCGGTTTTACCTCGCATCTCCTGATTTTATGCACGATCCCGGTCGAATGTGACAATAACCAATGCGACGGGATGCTCATACAAGAAAGAAACGCACCTCGACAGTATCTGCAGACTGTCTTTTATATGATGTATCTGAAGAATGTGACTCCTTGCTAAAAACTATCCGTTCTCGAGATTCCGTTGGGGCTTATATTCCGTTCACCGTTAAGCTGAGATAGCACGGTGGAATCCAGGTGCTCACCGGTTAGCAGAGAGCAATTACAAGTAAGGTTCGTTTTATGTTTTGTCCTAACTTTATGGTCTTCAAATAAAATATATTATAGTGGTACTGTTTTCAAGCGCAAAAAAAAAAGTTCATATTGGCGTTGACTAGTCGTCTTGCACATTGTATTTACGCAAATAAACCGCTAAGTTAATACATTCTTATGTCAAATCCTACGTTGAAATTAATACTGCAACAGAGCTGGTATTTGCGACACCGAACTTAAAGGGGCCATAAAACGATTTTTCTGCTTTCGCTCAATACTACTCAGAAGCACTCCCTAACGTTATTAACGTTAGAGGAACTGATTCTGAATGCAGTTTCTTTATTCGTTTATTTATTTATTTATTAGTACATTCAAGGCCCTAAAACAGGGCATTATACAAGGGATGGGCAGCTCATATTTGTAGGACAATAAGAAAAGCATATAAAGCATATACACTCATTAACAACTAAACAAAAATAATCAACAAAATATTCAAACAAAAGATGACAAAAAGTTCACATACCTTTATGTTCAAAAAGTGCTAGTTCATTGTGGATTCCAAAAATTCGCCTAGCACTTTTTTAAATACATCTATATTGTGAGCTGCGACTATGTTGTTAGGCAACGCGTTCCATTCATTAAGAGTTAGCGTAAGAAGTCGTGGAAGCATATATGGGTTGTATTTTACAGCTGTTATCTAATCTCGGAAAAAAAGAAGTGGGAGGAGGAAATAGTTTATTTCTAATTGTTGGGTTATGGTGGTAAATCTCGTAAAACAGTGTCAAACGAAATATTTCCGCCTTAAAGTGAGTTCAGGGAAGTTTGCTCGTTTACGCAGTTCAGAATCACTTGTGTGAAAAGAATAATCAAAATAAATAAATCGTAATGCTCTTCTTTGGAAACGTTCTAGTTCGTCTTTCTGATAAGTTTGCCTCGGAGACCATAGGGATGCAACATATTCTAGCTTTGGGCGTACTAGCTAATGTTACATATGCAATTTGTTTTACTTTAGGGGGTGCGAGTCTTATGTTCCGTCGGAGAAAACCGAGTGTGCTGTTTGCCTTAGCAACAATATGATTGACGTGGGTGGTCCATGTTAGATCGGTGGTTATATGAAGACCAAGATATTTTTAAGATGAGGATGAACCGAGTATAATGTCGTTAATGCTGCAGTTATAAGAAGACGGTGACAAGAAACGAGTGCATCTATTTGTGTCAGATCTTGATTTGTATCGTTTAAAGAAAAAACGTTAAAACGAGAAAGCGTACAGTAAGTTTTGTCATCTTCTTGTATTTTTCACCTCTAGCTTATCGGCCTCCTGGTGATGTTCCTGGGACTGGGCGTCACCGCGGACGAATTGTGAGTAATCTTTTCTAGACGTTTGCAGGGTGTTGTTCGGTTTATGACCAAGTCTCACCAGATGAACAAAGAACAAGCACAAATCAAAGACATTTCAAATGCACTTTGTGAGTAAATTTTAACAGGTTCGGTGGTGCAAGCTACCACTTGATACATGCACAGCGTCAAATAAACCTTTTTTTAAGAACAGGCAGTGCTTTCACAGATTGCTCAGGTTGCCAAAAGCTGGTTTGTTACGTTAAGGGACAGTGTTCAAAGTTCGTTCGTCTACCCATACAGAACACATCAAGCGAGAGACTTTCGGAAGACATTAATGGGACGTTGTGACGTTTTGGAGACGTCCTCAGGACCATATCCTTTCTCTACACCCTCCTTTTCTGGGATATTCACTCTCATCTAAGCGTTCGTTCACTGCTTGTGTGTGTCACAGTGTGTGTCATCTTTTTTGTCGACTGTGAGACTGCTGTTGATAGCGTAGCATGCAGTCTAAGGCAAGGGTTGGAAACCATGATGTTCGCGCGTTTCCCCATTTATTTAAATACTTTTATCCTGTTTTTCGATCGAGTTTTTTTTTTTCGAAGTATTATAAAGAGTCACTTTTACATGCCATTATGATTTTTGCGTTTTTATACGCTATTCGGCATGTTCCTCGCCACGTTTAGATCGAACTCTTATGGTAACTTAACGACTTCAAAGTGTTTCTTAAAAAGCAAGGAGATTTAAGACTCATTATGTGAAGCTGTTTCTCGGTGGTATAATTTATTTGCTCGTGACATGCCTCAAAAGTAACCCCAATCTGTGGTGGCGGCTCGATTAACCAAATGCCGAAACTACAAAAAAAGGAAAAAAAAAAAGAGGGACATAGAAGGCGATACAGACGAAATATTCAAGAATGCAGAGCAACTGGAATGCGCAGTTACGTTCAGTGCGAAAATGTCGAGAATCTCAATGCTCTAGAGGCACCTAGAATGTACTAAAAAGCAGAATTTTAACCACGAAGCCGCGAAGAAATGTAATATCTTTTTTTTTGTTGTTGTTGTTATTAGTAGAATGCATACTTTGTTTTTACTTTTTTTCTTGGAAAAAAGGGGGGGGGGGGGGGGGGCGGAGATGTTTATATTAACGAGAGACGAGTTGAAATGAATCTCATAATTAATAACATAAATGTGTGTTGTCTATGTTTTTTTAACAGCCTGACGCCGTCATTGATTGTGATATCTGACTCCTTGCGGCTCTCCCAGAACATCGCTGTATCCTTTGCAGAGAGCTTAAAGACATTTCGGGTGGGCAAACTTAGTGCTTGGAGTGGTGGAGAAGATCAGAACGTTACGATTCCGCGTGTATCTACTACATAACAACAATTTGAGCACCCCAAAGGGTTTACATGTAAGGTTCACAAGAAAATGCAATGTTCTCCAGTCAACGTACACTTTACACGGAGAAACTTTACTCGTTAAAAAAGAAGCTAAATATCTGGGGGTAATTTTTTTAATGATTTGAGATGGCTTTCACATGTGAACTGCGTAACAGGGAAAGCTAGTAGAACGCTGGGTTTTCTCAGGAGAAACTTCTCGCGCGTTCCACCATCCCTCAAACAGACTCTTTTTTTTTTTTTTTTGTGTGAAGCTTATTTTTGAGCATGCTTGCGTTGTAGGGGATCCATCTCAACAGTATCTCATTGATAAAAATGCAAGAATTCAAAACGTGCCGCTATATTTGTGACAAATAATTACAACTTTCGTAGCAGTGTCTACGCAATAAAAAAGGATTTACAATGGAAATTGCTTGCTGTAAGGCGTAAGTATTTGCGCCTAAAATTTTTTCACATTATTTTTTATGGTTTATCTAAAATTGAAAGATCACATTACCTGTTTGAGCCATTTTATGTATCGCGCAGTGTAGATCATGACCAAAAAGTTGTTCGGGGGTACACGTCAAAGTCTGATTTGTTTCGTAGCTCTTTCTTCCCACGAACGATAAAAGAATGGAACAGCTTGCCAAGCGAGATTGTTTCCTTGAAAAGTCCAGATTCGTTTTTTTTCGCAACTCGAGCATTGTCTCTGAACAATATATTTGAGTGTAAATATATTATCAACGCATTTCTGTTTCTCTCCATGCAGACTAAGGTTGTTTCTTTTCTACGTATGTTTATATGCGTGTGCGATTTTGTATATTACTTTGCGTACTTATGTGTCTTGATGACCTATGGTGTGTTAAAAATCAATTTTTTTTTTGTATTGTGACTCCCCCTACTGTAATGCCCGTCGGGGCGCTGTAGGAAATAAATAAATAAATAAAAATAAATAAAATAAACGCTCACTTTTGGCTTGTTTGCAGTCTCTCCGCAATTGTCGAAGTTTCAAAGCAAGATTCGGCGCTAAAATGTTCCAGTTTTATGAAAAGCGCGAAGAGACAGCCGGCAACGTCATTTTCGGAAACCTTTAATTAAAGAAAAAGGAAGTGCCTCACTTATGGCGGACCAGGCGTCTAGCCTTTGTCTGTAATCTCGTAATTGCAATCTGGTATAGTACAAAAAAAGCGAAATTATTTATATTAAGTTCTGTTCAGGAGCAAAGCGGAAAGGGCAAAATTGAAAGGAAATGCAGCAAAGTGGAAAGTTGGACCAGTTGGTTCATATTCATATGTATGAAAGCGTCAAAACGACAGGGACAAAGAAGAGTGGAACAGCACGCGCCTTGCGTTGTTTCCACTCTTCGTTGTCCCTATCGTCTTTAGCACATTTAAATATCCGAAAGGAAATGTTTCTAGTGTGTTTCTATATTATGCTTTTGCCTGCTGCGTAACAAAATATATGAAGACTTAAAAAGCAAAAAGAAAAAAAAAACCGCCGTGTTACCAAAAAAAAATATAAATGGATATGTCAAATCATACTTCTAATATACAGTTCCGCTTTCTTTCATTCATCAGCTGTCGCCTGGAATTTGTATTGTATTTTAATAAGCCAATGAAAGGATACAGTTTATGTTTGCTTGATATCTGGATGAGTCGAGAAGGAGGGTAATGCATGGTGATTCCTACATTGAAGCAATCAGAACATGACATAGATCATTACCTTTTTTTTCTATGGCAATTACAATTGAAATACTAACTTTCTTTGACGAAGTTTTTGACAAATATACTAAGAAGCTACAAAATCGTTCCCCTTATTTGAGGTTCTGCAAAATCGGAGTGTATTAGGTCAAAATGAAACTGAACACCGAATAATTGTAGCTTGCATATTTTATAACTGAAATGTCAACCGCACTCTTCCCGGAATGTTTGTTTGCACGGCGTTTGCTAAGCGTTTCTCTACAAGCCTCAAGCTCTCGCTGCTTTTCAAGGAGCTTAAACAATTCCCTACAACCTTGTTTGATCTAAAAAAAACAATAGTAAAAATATATTTTTTAAACAACAAAAACAATGTGAATTATTTGATTTTTTTTTTTTATATTTGACCCTATACTTATTCAGCATTCAATAAACAAAACAAAAAGTAAAACATTAGGAATACCACGGATTTTATTCCAATAATAAAGAGGATTTCACTATTTTCTTTTCGAACCGCATCCTTTGTTCGGAAGCAACGCGAATTTAAACGTTTTCACAGAGAATAAACATTTGCACGGGGAGGTGTTTCTCTTGACATCCATGAAGGGAGTGACATTCCTGGCGTTCGGCAATGGTGCTCCGGACATCATCTCCTCATTGGCCGGAATTCAGCAGGCCCGGCCAGCGTTGGTCATCGGAGAGCTCTTCGGTAAAAAAATTGGAGTCAGACTTTTTTTAGGAATAAACAGGGCCCTAGTTTAGTACAGTTTAAAATGAAAGTTAGCTTTGTTACATATTCCTAATCCCTACTGTCTAAAGCGGGCTGAACCGACTTACAGGGTGTTATTTACAAGAAATAGAAGTTGTATCACACTCAAAAAGGTGGGACACTGACTTGTGACCTTTATTCAATAATAATTGCAAAAGTTCGACAGAGTCAAAACCCCTATTAAGACAGGGAACAAGTCACCGTTACTAGTCAAGAAAGTAATCTTACCCGAAGGACTCGTTCACACTTGCAACCGAGTAGGACCGGCTGAAACAAGACCGGTTTTAAACCTTTTGCGACGTGTTTAGGACCTGCTCCGCATCAGCGCATCTGGTCCTGCGCCATCGCAAGGGGCTTAAAAACCGGTCTTGTCTCACTCGGTCGTGCTCTGTTGTAAATGTGTGAACGGGCCTTAATAATAGCACATTGTTCTGAGCGCGTGCTCAGTAGACGACCCCACTTACCAACTGTCGCCCGATCCAGATGACTTGAGTCAAAATGGCTCGATGTAACTTTCTCTATTAAACATTTATTCACCTCTCACCGCCTGCTAAAACGATTGGTAATGTGGAACGGGTGTTGCGGAAGTGTGGTAAAGGCTGGCCATGAGGATGTGCTCAGCAAAAACAGGTTTAGCGATGGCCTCGAGTGAATCTAATTTATAATCGGATAAAAACGTTTCCATTACAGATGTTTTTTTTTTTTTTTTTTTCATCTAATTTCGCTTATTTTACTCTTTCGCACCCGAATTTTCAGGACGTTTCTTGCTGGTGTCGGCGAATACCTCCACAACAAAACAAACATGTTTCCTCACCAGGACCTCTGGTCCCGTGTCTCCCACAGGCGCCGGCATTTTCGTGACCTGCATTGTGGCGGGTTCCATCTGCCTGACGCAGGACTTCAGCGTCATGGAGCGGCCCTTCCTGCGTGACGTCATCTTCTACATCGGCGCCACATACTGGGCCTTCTTCCTTTTTTACAGTAGAGAGATCACCATATATCATTCAGTCGGTGAGTTAACTCAACCCAACGTTACTAAAACACTCAGTTGGGAAAATCGCCGTCGAAACCTGGGCCGCTGGCGTCCACCGAGACCGAGCTAAATGCGACAACAGCGCCACTCTTTATCATTTGTCTGTACTGTGGTCGCCTTGAGCTTTTTGAAGCCTGTTTTTGCGTAAAAACAAACGGAAAAGTCTCTTTTTGTATGAAATTTATTGGAGTTTAGTACCAAAATAGGGGCGCGTTATGTTTTTAAAATCTTTAGTTTGCAGGGTTTTGCCGCACAATTAATATTGTTTTTATACAACCATGCCTCAGCGGGCCTTTCAGGTAGCACGTCCCGCCCTAGGTGCATTTTAACTTCGATAGCTCAACGCGGCGCGTCCGCCGGGGAGACGGGGGTGGCACCCCTGTAACCTCTTCCGCTGTATCTGTTCTTAAAGCCAAAATAGAAGTCACGTGCAGTTCCTCGAGTGGCCGCTGCGGGAGAAGTGGTGGCATTGTGTTCGTCATTAGCTCGGTGCTGGGAGACAGTTTGGGGCCACTTTTTGAAAGCTGTCTCTATGGGAGTTTCCCAACTGAGTGTTTTAGTAACGTTGACTCAACCTGACATCCTTGTCGTCACACGTCCCACCGTCGCATAAATGTAAAACGCATGAACGAACATTGTTTGTGGGAACTTTCTTTAACACAAAAAGTTTATTCTTACGCTGTTGAGAAAATGTTCCGAAATTTTCTTCAGTTTGGGGCTTGTACTGAACATAAACGTTTTGCTCCAAAAGTGCAAGTTGTGCCTCAGCTTCTGCGAAAATTGGTGTCGGTTAGCTTTTCTAACTAGTAGCACGAACGACGATATCTCACGCTGTAGAAACTAGGGATTCTAGGTTTTACCATAACACAAAACCAGGGCTCCTAGATTATACGAAAATTGAAACAAAAGATCCTGGGTTTAATTCTTTTCTTTGTCGGATTTGATATGGACGAGCATTATACTTTCTTTCGTTCGCGTAATCAATACTGCATGTCGGGGCACGCTGAATAGTTCAGCTTAGAAGTTGTACTGCATTGGCCAAGCGGTTCCTCTACAGCGTTGAACAAGTTTCGCCATACTGTAGAGGCGCTTGATAACTATTGATGCGGGGATTATGAAGTGATTTCATTAGACTGAAGAGAGCGATTAAAAATGGCGGTTCTAACGAATATTTTGAGGGGTTCTCTGTTGCTTATCCTTCGCCTGGTACAGTCCTGCTCTGACCTAGTTCTCTTCTTCCTCCCTTGTATCGATCTCTACGACGTCCAGTCTGCTTCGCTTTCTGTTACAAGAGCTTTGAAATTCATACAATCAAAATACTCTAGATGATTTATTAGTTTTTCATAACGCGGTAAAATATTTTCCACTGTGAAATACAAAGTTCTTATAGGATACCGACTACATACAAGTATTAAAACATTGTATCGCAAATTGATGGGCAATTGCGTCGCATAGGGAAACGTTCTAGCATCACGTGACGTCACCTTCCCCGCTAAATTCAGTGGGGAAACTGAATTGGTGTGAATGTCACGTGGCGTTAATTTCCCGCTACATTTAGAGGAGAAACTAAATTGCCGTAGAGGTCACGTGACGTCAATTTCCCCGCTAGATTTAGCGGGGAAACTGAATTGGTGTGTTGATCACGAGACGTTAATTTTCCCATTAAACTTAGCGGGCAAATTGACGTCATGTGATCTGATATCACGCGACCTATACACCAATTCAACTTTTCCGCTAAATTCAGCAGAGAAACTGAATGGGTGTGTAGGTCTCTGCACTGTGCGCCAACACTGTGCGCGTTGTATTATGGGACGTCACAAGCTTCACGAAATCGGAAGCAAAATCCGAAGCAAAATCCGGAGCAACTATCCAAAGAACGTTTCACGTTAAAACTACAGCTTCAGTAATAAACGTTGGATTATTTCTGCTGGAATTTATTTATTTATTTATTAGGTTACCTACAACGCCCTTGCTAGGGCATTATTGTAGGGGGGAAGACAGTACAAGATATACACAAATGCATAGTACATAATAAACAGCAGGCTGTGTGACGCGAGAACATTGACAATGACAGCAATAGCAAAATATGTAGATGATAACACCACAGCAACTTTACCACAGAAACACCAAGAAAAAGATGATAAGATATTGACAGCAAAACAGAGATAACTAATTTAACAGAAATTTTTGTAGCATTGTAAAAAATGAGAAATGTGGAGCAGAAACAATTTCAACTGGTAAGTTGTTCCAATCATGCATCTGTACGGGGAAAGAAACTATACTTAAATATGTTTATCCTGCACCTGTATTCGTGAACTTTCATAGGGTGATCTGGACGGGGAGACACATAAGTTGGTTCTTTTATGTATTGCTCTTTATTAATGCCATTTCTGTTATTAAATGTGTTATAAAATGAGGACAGTCTAAGATATTTTCGGCGGTCAGCAAGCGAAGGCCACCCTAATTTGGTACATATAGCAGACGAGCTTTTAGAGAAATTATAATCGCCAGTCACAAACCGCGCTGCACGTTTTTGTATGCGTTCGAGCTCATCTATACTTGTCTTAGTGTAAAGATCCCACGCGGTGCAAGCATATTCTAAAACCGGACGCACGTTTGCCATATATAAAGTTTCTTTGAGTTTTGCAGGTGCTTGCCTAAAGTTACGTTTAAGGAAGTTCGATGTGCGGCTGGCCTTAGAGGACAGATAATTATCATGAGAGTCCCAGGATAGTTCGCTGGAAAAGAGAACGCCTAGATACTTATATTCTAAAACAACAGATAAGCTTGTGCCACCAAGGAAATACTCCGTGAGAAGCGGTCGTCGTTTTTTAGTAAACCTGACCCGATTGCATTTGTTTAGGTTCAGAGTCATCTGCCATGTTTGACACCAGCATAAAATAGACTTCAGGTCATTTTGCAAAAGTTCAAAGTCCGCTTCACATGTGATGTCACGGTAAATGCAGCAATCATCGGCATATAATCTGACGGGACTAGAAATATTCACAGCTAAATCATTTATGTATATTGAAAAAAGAAGGGGACCGAGCACAGATCCTTGCGGGACACCTGATAAGACGCTTACATATGACGAATTCAAACCGTCGAGGACAATATTTTGCTTCCTTCCAACGAGATAGGCGTCAAGCCATTTAAGGAGTGTATTTGGAATATGAATGGTAGATCATTTTTGCAGCAATAGTGTGTGTGATACTGAATCAAATGCCTTTCGAAAGTCTAAAAAGACACAATCAACTTGGCTACCATGGTTTATCGATTTAGCGATATCATGGTTAAACTCTACTAGGTAATTGTGTATCGCAAGAAAATTCCGTCCTAAAGCCATGTTACGTTGGGTGAAAAAAATTATTACCTTGTAGGTGACTAATTAAGTTAGTGTAAATAATGTGTTCTAGTGTCTTGCAGGAAACGCTTGTCAGAGAAATAGGTCTATAGTTAGAAGTTTTTGTTTTGTCTCCACTTTTATGTACAGGGACTACATTTGCATTTTTCCAATCAAGAGGTAACTCACTTTGTTCAAATGATTTTCTAAACAACACTATTAGATATGAAGCGACAGAGGGGGCACAATTTTTCAGAATATAGTTAGAAATGCGGTCTGGGTCAGGGGCTAAGCCTATCTTGATCTTCTGTAAGAGCAACGTGATGCCGTGCTCTGAAAACTTTATGTCATCCATAAGTGAAAACCCATTGAAATTCCGTAGGCTACCAACCATGCTGCCTGGCTGAGTGAACACTGACTGGAAGTACAAGTTGAAGCTTTCAGCCTTGCCTTCTAGATCGTTGCTATAGTCTATACCATCCAATACATCAGGGAAAGTAATTACTAGAATTTTTCTTGTTTTTTACGTATTTCCCACTTCCTTAGGGTTTCTTTTGAGTTTTTCAGAGAAAGTTCCTTCGTACTTGTTTTGTGCCTTGCGAATCTCTTTTGTTATGTCCTATTCATTTCTTTCATCTTAAAGTAAAACACAGTTTCTCTCGATTGACAATACCGGCGAAACAAACGATTCTTTTTGCTTATCAATGTTCGAAGTTCTCTATTCATCCACGATTTATTGTTTCGGCGCTTTGCCGACAGGATACGTGATGGAACAAACGTCTGGGTTAAAGATAAAATTTTTGTCTTAAAAAGATTCCACGCTGAATTAATATCTGAAGCTGAAGTATGCAGCTGGAATTCTGGAAAAAATGCATCCAGTTCACGCGATAGCGAACCGTAGTCCCCGCTTTCATAGAAAAACACTTTCCGAGGTTGTGAACTGCGACGGCGCGTTGCATTACAGCACATTTTTGCGACAACAACCTCATGATCGCTTATACCAGGTATTGTAAGAACAGAGGACACAATATTACGGTCACTGCATAAAAACAAATCTAGCACAGCTAAAATGGTCAACATAACAAAATAAAAACAATTGCAGCATTTCTCAGCCTGAGAAAAAATGGGGCCCATGGGAACATTTCTGTGGTGTGTAGTGACATTATTGGAACCACATTGCTCCGTTGGAAATGCACGCGAGTGCGCCGATTCCTCAAAAATTCCGAGACACGATAACTTATTAAACAAAACGCGTTTGCAACCCCCTGAGATAACTAAATATCTGTACCATTTATGCGCTGTATGTATGATTAAAAATGCACTCGGAAGCTACTTTAGTTTTCTCGAAAAACAAAAATAGTATGTTCACGGGTTACACGCGAACGTTGCGTGTAAAACCTCATTCGTAATTTTCCAGGACCATTTTTTAAAGAGTTCAGGAGACACTGAGGTTTAAACGAGCAGTGCCGTTGTCCCTTGATTAAAAAGCATGGTACAAATGCTCATAGTGAACGCATTTTTTCCGTATTTTCTATTTTACTCACTCTTCTTTTTATCCGATATATTACGCCGCCGCGAGTTTGCCGACTGGTTCGTTGTGCCCCCCCCCCCCCCTCTCTCTCTCTCTCTTTTTCTGTCTCTTTCCCTCTTTCCTTTCTCATGACGCTCTCGCACCTTTGCCCTACATTCTACTTTGAAATGGCGCTCATAGCACAAGTGTCTTAGCTTCCCAAGGGCATAAATGTTATTGTTGACATCGTCACTGCCCCTTTAAAATGGCTCCTCCTCAGGCTTCTGTGTGTTCACGGAAGCCAGCTTTCCGAAAATGTCGTTTGAAAGGACGATTACTTTGGGCAGATACGCTTCAATACCCGTATATACTTGTACTGCCCGGAATCTCGGGGATTTCCTTCCGTGTTGTGCCCTAGTTGTGCCGTGTTGTGCCCAACTCTTATTCGACTTAGCTATTCGTCTCTCACTTTAAAACAAAGCCGAACCAAAATGCACTTCCACGTGATTTGTGTAACCGTTATATTAACAAGTTAAATTACTTGTGACGACTTGTATACCAAAGGGTACTGAAAACGTTTTTGAACGCCAGACACTCAGCAAAAGTTCGAGTATATAAAACAACGCTCCGTGCCCGTTAGGCCCACTTTAGGCTTCCGACGCGTGCCAAACTGGGGTTTACGACCTTTGCACCGAGACTCAGTGAAACACGGCAGGTTTTGTGTGGGCTCGTCGTGACGAAAACACACAAAGCCCTTGTTAGTGACAGGCGTACAGGTGAGTCCAGAGAGGCTACAACATCTCGTGAGACCATAGCGACGGATTAAAGCCAACAGCATAAGAAGTTTCAAAACAATGTTCACCTGTAGTTTCGTCTGTTGAGCCAACCGCGTCTTTTTGAAACGTCACCAAGTCATCCTCTTTTGCCTCTTTTGCCGGGGAATTCACAGACGCATTAGCCGAGGCCAGGGAGCGTCGCGTGGGTTGACTTACGCCGTGTCGACACAAGCAGGTGTGAACATGCGCAGTTTGTGGGTGGCGCATGTGCTTGGCAGGCGGCTAACTCTGCTGCCCTTCGCGTTCCTTCAGAAGCACGCTTCGGACGACACAAAATATGAGCTAGCTTCGGTAACTATGCAATTCTGCAATGGAAATAAAGGTGAGGTATGTTTTTATTAATACACAAGTGCCTACCGTGTACACCAACGCTCGACTGAGTCGCCACGCCACTGAGGGGGCGCTGCTGTCGGCACGATTTACTTTATATGAATCCGGTTTCTGCGCACTCGCAGTAAACCCATACATGGTGTGAGCAAACAAGGGTTTTCTCGTGAAAAACGTGTGGGTTTATAGACCATTCCATTCGTCCACAGCGCGAGGTTTCCCTTTGTGCACGCAGGCTTCATCGTACTGTACATCGCGTTCATCCTGGTGGTGGTGCTGAGCAGACTAATCTATCAGCGTTTCAAGGAGAGCGAAGCAGAGGAAGCTGCGAACTCGTCCGCGGCGGCGAGACCGGGCCCGCAGACTTGGGCGGGCACGTTGCTGCGGAAGTTCAAGGAGGGTCTCTGCGCAAGCGCTAAAGGTGCGTGGACAACATATGCGTGTCTGGAGCGCTTCTTCAGCGGGTATCCTTACCGCGTCCGCAAAAGTGTTGCCTCCTTTTCTGCCTGATGACGTCATAGAAGTGTCATGTTGTAACTTGTCGTGGTTCAGGCAGTGGCACATCAGAGGCCAGATTCACGAAGAGCTTCTTAGTTTACGACAACTTAGCTAAGAAGTTCGTAAGTTAAGAACATCGTAAGAAGAGGAGAAATCGGTATTCACGAACGCGTTCTTAAGTGAGAGGAGGAAAGCGACGTTGTCGTACGGAAAAACTAAAACTTACCGGTGCTGTTGCTATGGCGACGGCGTCTTCGGCAGCACGAACAACCAATCGGAGAGCTCGGCATTTGTTCGGAGCCCTTCGGAGCCGTTCGGAGCACGTGGATTTTTCATAACAAACACAGGCGGCCTTTCTGCCACCGCTTGTCTGGGGTTCGTATCCGTGCAGTGATATGTCGACGCTAACCACGACCAACTCTATACGCTAACACGATTTGAACTCGCCCGAATGCCGAGGCCGGGATGCGTAACCACCCGCATTGACTGCTACGAACTCGATCGCTACCAAGTCAACACAACTGTCATCGTTGGTAAAAGACGGCCCGCAGTCGTTTGCAAAGTGACGTAGATGGGAACAAATTGCCGCGGCGTTTTTTGCGGCCTCGGAGATGCAGGAGCGAGCCGACGTTAAAAAAGATACGTTTGAACTACGACAGTGTAAGCAAGAGCCACGTAAATGCCCGTTCACACTACAGAGCGGACGCGCGCGTTTGATCGAAGTGCTGGATTTGCGCTGTTGGACCGCGAATTGATAAGCGCTTCGGGACCGATCCTTTAAAATTGAAACTCGATGCTGACGTGACACCCGGCGAAGAAAGGTTGGACCGGCATTGCGACCCACGAACTCTTAAAGCGATCGACAGTGAAATGCAGTCGTGTCAGAATAAAATGAAATACTAATAACAGAATGTACATACCATGTTGCGAAGGTAATCCATACGGCGTTTATTTGAGCTTGATATCACACAAAACAGCGATAGAATCGATGAGAGCCCCTTTTCGACGACAGCGTTCGTCACCGTTGCCTCGGAAAACAAGGAGATGACAAGAGGAAGAGATTGACCTCTTAATCTAGAATTGAGGTCAGCGATCAAACTAATACGGGAAGGGTTCACAAGGGTCGCGCGGGCATATTCCATTCAGCACGCCAGCCGGTCGTGGGCAGACTGTCTTCGCCAAGGACCGTCAGATCATCGCTGCGCAGAGTCGGAGTGCCTGCTAGGCCTATCCGCCGATCGGTCGGAGTCCGTACTCGTGGCCCTTGGAGTCTTTCCCGGGTGTCTGTGGATCCAGCGTTCTTGTTCGTTCGTCGTGGTCTGTTTCAAGCACTTTTTACTTGTTTCTTGCTGCTTGAAGTCGGGACGCGTGAGAAGCGCACGTAGAAAAATAAACATCCGCTGGTTGTCGCGACCAACTGAGCGACGCTGTCGGCCATGCTGATTTGATCGTAAGAAGTGCGTAAGACAGCTTCGGAGCTGTCGTAGGATTTCGTCGTAACCTGCGCAAAACTTACGAAAATTTCGTTTCGTGAATACGGATTTGTTCTTAAGTTTTGTCTTACGCACATTTTTGGCGTAAGATCGTTTCGTGAATCTGGCCTCAGGAGAGGTACACGCGGCAGACGCCTGTTCTGCTGCAGACCACAGAGCAGTCAGACAGTAGATGGAAGCCCGAGCAAATACGAGTTGAGACGCTGCGATGACAGCGACCCTTGCGTGCTCGCGCCCTTTTTGCCAGGATTTCTACGACCAATTGCCAGGATCGCACCATCCGACAGCATGACACGCCGACTCCTGTAACGCAATTCGCCGCTTTTTCGGGAACACTTTGGATGCATGGGCGGGATAGGGCGGTAAACACACCAGTCGGAGACTCGTTCTATTCAGCGTAGCAAAATCCTTTTAGGGGAGATCGATGGACGAGTGTGTTAACGCTCCGCAGCTCGGAGCACGTTGACCGAATGATTGCGCTGCAAAACCCAGGGATCCTGGGGTAAATTCCCGGGACAGCCCTGTCCGTTTCGATCTGAATGAGCATCGTACCGGTGTGCGATCATGCATCACTACTGCGCGATGCACGTTAAAGACCCCAGGCTAGCTGTGGAACTGCAATGGCTAAATTTCTTTTCTACAGCCGAGACACTAGACGTTCGTTGGGGGCTTCCTTACATCCATCTGTCTCAACGAACGTGGAATACAATTTTAACACCCTATGACTGATGGGGCGATGATTGCGGGATCAGTTAGCCCTTTTTATTGTTATTGTAATATATATACAGTCCCAAGAAAGTTCGCATTTAAAATCTTGAAAACTCCAAAACCGAGAAACAAATATGGCGGACGACACATGTCTCGAGGTGAGATGAATTTGAGACCTGTGAGTGCTTCCTCTTTGATCCTTGGTCTCGAGTACCAAGATGATGAAAGTTCACAAGCTCGGCTGTGTATTTCTTATAATTTCTCTCGTTCCAACTAATTTAGGAATGCAAGAGTGCAACAAAACAACAAAAAGAAAAAGCTCTAAACTGACTTGCGCTTAACTATGGTACTCTTGCAGACCCTCCAGCCCAAGCCAAGAACTGCAAGATGTTCAACAATAATACGATGGATGATGCCGAAATGGGCGTCGTCCTTCGACGTAAGTAAATCATTCAACCACATCCTACCTTCTACGAAATTCACATTAGCATGTGCTACCTCGTTTGATCCATATTTTTTTCCTTCACCTCGATGATGCGTTGCTTGTTAGAGATATATGTCGCATCGCCACTATACCAGCCATAGTTCTGCCTATCATTTTTACATTAACCACGTACCACCACAGGTCCAGAAAGTGAGTCTTTATTCTTTCCTTTTTAATTTTATGGTCAGGTTTTTGGTACTGTTAGACCAGGCTTCTGTATGAAGCGGAGTTACCTTTTTTATGGCCAGGCTCTTGGCGTAGTTTGACCAGGCTTCTGTATGAAGCGGAGTTACCTATGTCATACAGTGTCCTCTTTAACGAGCCCACGTCATGGGGAAAACATTTTTGACACTTAAAAATACAATATTTATAGACAGTGTTGTATCTAGTGACATAAAAGCTATTTGTTGTTATAATTTTAATGTGACGCCGAGGCAGAGGTGTTTTATTGAATTGTTTAGTTATTATTCCATTTGGGGGGGGGGGGGGGGGGGGGGGGTTAAGGGGAGGCTCGCCAAGCGACGACCATAACAAATAAAACTTTTTCAGCAGTCGCCACTTTGACTCCGTCCGACTAAGATACCGCAGATAAACTGTGTAATGATAAAGGGAAACTTTAAAGTCCCTCTACGTGGAAGTGTGACGTCATGAAAAAACGGCGTCCTTGTACTGAGGACAGTATATAGACGGCTCTTATTGAGAGCGTAGTGACGCCATTTTTCTGTGGCAAATCAGGAGTGAAGTTTGTCCTCTACTTCTTATAACGCTAAAGCCTGTAGCTACTCTTGTCCAGAATGAACATCTGCATAGCTCGTCACAATTGAACGTTCATAATTGGAAGCTCGCGTACTGTGTTTCGTGCCACCGTAGTTTCACTCTGGTCTACGTCTCTTCGCAGGGTTCAGTTTCCGAGAGAGCACGTCACACCGGCCTCGGAGGCGCACGCTGTCCGGCGTGAACCTTCACCACCACAGGCAGAACTCCATCTTCATCATCACCACTTCAGAGAACGAGAAGCAGGCTCGAGCACGGAGTCGGAGCCGAAGCCGCAGCCGGAGCCGGAGCCCCAGCCGCAGCCGAACGAGCAGCGTAGCCAGCAGTCGCTGTAGCATTCCCAGGCACGACAGCTTTCTCAGTCAGAGTGAGTTGCCACTTTCGAGTAGGATAAACCAGAGCTTTCGGGTACATAGACGGAAATGCTAGATTTAGCAGATTGATGGTCCTCCATAACTTTTTTTTTCCGGTGCTTGATCCGTATTGGAGAGCAGAAATTGCTTCTTCAGTTAACTTCATTCGATACCGAATCAAGCTCAAATCGGACACCAAGTCACGCGAGAGCTCGCATACACTTCTCGCTTCTGTGTTATCACTGCCCGTCTAGGTTGGAATTCGTCACATCATGGCGGTCTGCTGTGACGGTGAGCACGTTGCCATTCAGCTCGAAAAAAAAAAAAAAAAAGACAGCTAAACACTCCTGGAACGAATGTCCATTTTCTAAACTCCTGGTTTTGTATACACCAACTCAACTCCCTGAAGTCACGCATCTGCGGTGGCGCTGCTGTCGGCACTGCGCATGCGCAGAACCCTCACGCGAATGTGGTTTCTGCACACGGACACTGGCACTAGTGTTTTATTAGTGAGATAAAATACAAAAACAACTGTGAAGCAAGCACGACACTCTCATTGCTTGGGGCAGGGGTCTCAAACATGCGGCCCGCGACTCGCTGGGACGCGGCCCGCAGGCCAACCGGCTACGAGTCCCGGTTCTCATGTCTCGAGCGCTAGAAATGGCACGCGCCATAGTGATCTCATCTCGTCTATTCATTTTCGCACAAAAAATAGCTATGCTCTTTAACGTGTACACATAGTTTATACTTATCTGTGCTCATTTGCCCTTTGTTTTGCTTTATATTTTGCTTTCCAGGTTTTTGTACTGTACAACAATTCTGCTACTAGGCTACACGCGCGAGCTCTTTGTTGAAGGATGCATCTCGGCTGCGCAAACTATCGGTCAGCAGGAGCAACTGCCGAAGATCAAGTGACGAGCTCGATATTCTAGCCTTAGAGAGTAAAAGAAAAGTATGGGTGCTCTACTAGAAATCGTCAGGAAAGCAAGAACTGGCAAATAACTGATTGTTTTTTAAAGTCATGTTGAGCTTGGATTAATTCCTGAGTAAATTGAGAAACGGGAGCGACAGTGCACTTGCTTTCTTGTTCTCATAAAAAGGCGAGCTCGTTGGCGGGGTGGCGTCATTTTAATTATTGTTATCACATTAGGTCAGGGCTCAAAGTATGAACAAAATAAATCTAAAAATGTCACTGGCAAAACTCAGCTTACAAAAAACATAGAGCACGAGGTCTCTTCTCTTTTAAATCTTTTGAACCCCCCCCCCCCCCCCTCTCCCAGGTCTGACGTTGGCCCTCGGCCTTCCCGGTGTCAGCTATCTGGCCCCCACACTCAAATGAGTTTGAGACCACTTGCTTAGGGCCTCGCTTGAAATGGCCAAATGTTAAAAAAATAATCGGCGACACCGATTTGCTGTCTGCCTTCGCGCAGAAATTATGATCATCTAGTTTTTCAGGGTGGCAGTGATAATCATCACTAGAAGGTTATCACGCAGCAATGATAGGCTACTAGCAGGGTCGCATTTTGGGGCTATTGACTTAAAACCAGCGAGTTTGACTTTCTGTCAGTACCGCCAATGCCCCACCTCAGAAATTTCGTGCAGTCTTGCGAAAGGCGAGCGCGTGGCTTGAGAAAGTGCCTTCCTTATGCCAGCCTTCTCCTACAAACGAGATAGTTTGCAAGTCAATGTCGACATCTCTCTCGGTTCTCGTGTATTACAGAATTTATATATATAAAAACGATAGTTTGTGGAGCTGCGTATTTTCTTCCGTGCATTTAGCACGCTTTTGTACCCATAAACGCCGAGCCTTGGCCCTTGCCAAAACCGCGTCCGGTTCAATACTGAACTCTGCTCTCCTGGTCAACCAGTGCGTTGCGCTTTGAATATGTGTTCCTTTAAACAGTCTGAGCACTTGTCTTGTACGTGAGTTATCGACCTTGGTAAGTCGTACGAGATGGCCCAGATGAGCAGAGACATGGAAGCAGCCATGCCACTGGCACGAGTGTGGAAAGAAGTCGCGCGCGGTTGCCGAGTTCTGGTGCAGCGACGCTACATAGATGTGTATGCTCCCCTGCTGGAACTGGAAAGCCTATTCACACTGACAGCATGGTCAAATTCACTTAGATTCAATGTGCATTGTAGCACCCAGCAGCACCAGTGTGCACAAATTAACGCTCCCGACAATCTGTGACCTGTGCAAAGGGACGGATTTATGACTGAGGTGAAGCCAACTTTGGGGATAGAACCTTATGGGCTCCAATGTTCATGATATCACCCAAGAGCATCAATGTGCAGATTGCTCTTTGATGCTTTTAGAAACATTGCAGAGAAGCTGAACTCCCGGGAAAAAGGACAGGTTTTATTGCAGTTAAAACCAACTTCAGGCATATCTCAAGCAATCTCTGACTTCGAAATCATGGCACTTTGTACCAAAAATGTGCAAGATTGAGAGGACTGCCTGGAAATTCGATGCAGGAGATCAGTTAAATTTGATACTGAATTACAAACGAATGTGATTGAAATGGTTAGAAAAAGACACAGGTTTGCAAAACTTGGTAAGTAATTGGGTACTCACTATAGGGTGCAGCTCTAAATAAAATAAAACTTATTTTACCAATTGTAAAGCAGAAAAAAAAATTAATCGTAAATTTATAAATGCAATAGATCTAAGCTCACGCTGGCTATTTCCGGGGCTATGTTAGGATGTGTATATCCAGTGCTTGGAATATGCTCAGTGGAGAGCGATTAACCTAGAACAATAAAGGCAATGGCTTTTCTTTGAGATGTATACAAATTGTCCTTTACATATCAAGCAAAACACCTCATAATTGTGGTCTAACACAAGCTGTCTAGAAAAGACGTTTTTTTTGCTTCATGGGCTACTGTTGCTATTTCGTTCTTCTCATTGATATTCACTGATTGTTGCTCAAGGTAAACATGGCTGCTCATTCACATGATTTCTCATTCCCGCACATTCAGTTCGGCATCAGGGTCCACCGCATTTTTGCCACACGTTTTACATTCAGATTGTGGATAGCTAGTTAAACTTGGCACTGAAGCTTTCTTCTACTACCAATATATGCACACGTTACGTGTCAAAATTAATAAGATTGCAGCTTTTTTTTTTTTTCCCAGAAGGGTCAGCAGCTACCCTCGTGTCACTTGCATCGATGTTGCACTATCGATGATCGGTATCAGCGGGAACTGTAGTTAAAGTTACCTATCGTTCGTCAAGAAGAGGAACTGAGAGGCTGCGAAATGAGCCTTGTCACGGCTTGTGGTTTGGGTCCTGTGGGACCCGGGGAGGCAGGGAGCCAGCCTTTGGGGGGGAAAGCGCTTTATTCGGGTTGGAAGTTCCACTAATTTTCCGTTTGACTGACATGCCCTTCACTCGAAGATGTTTCTATACTCACAATACCAAAAAGCGCGGCATTGCAAGCTTCGTGCTTATTTGCAGCAATAAGTGTAGTAAGAGTTAGTGCACCCGCATTTTGGGTTGCAGGGAAACAATTTGCCTAGATGGCAACTCCCAAGCTTTTCGACGGCAGTATTTGTACAGAGCAAACCGTTAATTGCCACTCGTACGCTCGTATAAACTCATTCTCTCCCCCCCCCCCCCTTTTTTTTTCAAAGCCGGGGGAACGGGGAGAGTTTTTCTGTGTAAAGATGCCTGAACGATGGCCAGCGTGACTAAAAGTAATGCAAACGTTTCAGTACCCGCTAGTCAGAGGTCCGCAAACTCGTTCGCAGTGAAGATCCACTGACTGGCAACTGAGCGAAGTGTAATGTCCCAGTATTTGCGGTTTTGTTTCGACACTCTCGTAACCAAAAAAAAAAAATAAGAAAAGAAAGAATTCCACCCTCTTGCAAGACCCCGTGTAACGGCGACGAACCGACAGCGAAAACGCCGGCTGCCTCTTGAAGGCCTTTACGAGAGTTCTAACGACTTGTGGAGAGCACGGCGAGGCCCCAAGGTCTCCCCCATTCGACTGTTTGCAGAGGGCAAACACGTGTGCGTTACGGCGACGCTCGCACAAGACGGAAGGCCCCTTAGATGTTTTTGTCCGCGAGGAGCTGCCACTGGACAACGGCTCCCCTTGCGATGAACTGCGGCGCAGGCTAAGAGTCATCTGGGCCAATCAGGTGCCGTGAGAGTGGCACGTGACGCGTAGTCACCTGAAACGTTCGCAGTGCTTTATTGGCTGGGATTGCTCGTAGCGTCCGCGCTGCGGTTCAGGGATGAAGAGAAAGGAAGTCTAGTGGCGCCATTTTTTTTTTCTTTTTATTTTGTCAGCAATACAGGTGTCATTGTTCTTTTCAGGCCATGTTATCTGAGGTGGATTTAGGCTGTAGAGACAAGAATAAGCACTTTTTTCGCACGAAAAAACACTCGTATAAAGTTGTTTCTGTTTTTCCCTGGGGAGGCCCGGAGGGGGGGGGGGGGGGGGGGGGGTAAGCTTTGAGGAAACGTGGGATGAAATGCTTGTCGCAAATGCTTGTCACAAGCAACCTCCGTGTGAGTTTTATTGGTAAGAAAACACGAAAGTGCTAGAGCGGTTGCCAGAACAGATGGTGAAACATTAAAGGTATATCTGTTACTGTACGAACTGTTCTTGCCGCCGTGGCCCTCAACTATTTTGACGGAACTTTGCCGTCGCGACACTCGGGTGCAACCGGCCGTCGTAACTTTAATCATTAACAAAGTATCTCTCTCATAATCTTGCCTCTTCTCGCAAAAAAATACCTCGTTTATGTTTATTTTACAAAATCTATCACTCTAACCCACACTTCGTAGAACGTAATTTTTAGAACCATCTTTTATATCATCGAGTATAAATCGCCAACTAAAAGTAGGCATCCCCAATTGTAGCAGCTCTTTTCAATGCTCCTTTTCTTCCCCAGACATCTGCTGATTGGAATCACCTTTCCGCACCAATAGCCTCAACAACTGATGGCACTAATTTAAAAACTGGAATTACAATTTTTTTTATATTATGTTCTTTAGTGACTTTTTTTTTTTATGTGTGTATTTTTGTATTGACGTATTTCTTGCATTCTTCATTCATTGATATTAATGTAGTTTTGTCTTGTTAGCGGTGTATTCCTGTATTTTTGAAAGAATAACCCACTCCTCTCTTTAATGCCATCAAGCCCTGCAAGTAAATAAATGAAATGAAAAGAAATGAAGGGTAGAACTGGAAAACAACCGGCTTGAGGATTCACAAAATAAAAATTGCAATTAAAAAGTCCACTTTATAACATGTGATCGAAAGTGGCACATCCAATCATGCTGTCTAGCAGTTAAAAAAAATTCTGATGACAAATACGTTAAATGCAACTGACGTGAAAATAGACGTATCACGTGTTTTGATGAGACCAGCAACCTCTGAGAAAGACATATTTTTGTAATGGTACAAAAAAAAAAAAAAAAGAAGATTGATACAGATCGACGTACGGGGAAGGGGTGTTTTCTTTCTTTCAAAAATTATATTTGTCTTTAGATTTCGTGTTTGTTTAGTTGTTTATCAAATATATGAAAGCATTGCGGGAATACTTTTGTAAAAACAGTGTCTTCGATTTTTTTATATTTATTGTTTTTTGTTGTCAACGGGTCGAGGAGAAACTTCGAGAGCGCTTTTATGCGATCGGCAGGCGACGTATGCAAAGTCACTCGAGATTCTAGCACAGGTAGCCATGTAAACGTTTCTAAAAAAAGTCACTTGAGCGAGTAACTACCGTCGCTTGCTTTAATGGTAGCCTGGCCCTTACCTTCCTACCGAGTCACAAAACAAACGCCACTCCTGTAAAGTGTCGCATTACTCCTTTCGTTAACTTTAGAGTGAGGGGCCGACGTTAAAGGGGCAGTCAAGTGGTTTTTGAGTTCGTGTTTTGATAATGACAGCTGAATTTAGACGCCTTAAGTATCCCTAAAAACCAAAAAGTATAGTCATACGGTGATTATTTCTTTAATAAAAATGTAATTGAAGGCCGCCAAACCTCGGATCCATCCGAAAACGAAACCACTCTCATTGGTCGTCGCACGCTTATCAAAAGGATCTCGGGCCAATGGCGTTGGACGACGTTCCGTCGCGCAGTGATCCCGAGGTAGCCAGGTAGCCGCATCGGCCGAACCTCTTTGCCATTCGAGCTTCGATCATTGCGGAGTTCTCTACGCTCGAGGACCTGACGCCGTTAGAGGTTGAAATTCTTCGGCGGACAGCCGACCTGGGGATGATTTCCTATGACGCCACTCCGACGTGCGATGTGGACGATAGCAGCGCTTCGGAGTCATGTTCGGGTTCCGAGGACGACGAAACGCAGACCTTTTCGGGCGTTCTTCGATTTGCGGTTGGGGCAAGTCGTAACCAAACCAGCGTTTGACATCGCAGCGTTACCTCTGGTACGTGATGTCAAACGATGTCGCCACGTTGACTTTCGCCTCGGGAGAACGGGGGGAAGGTTGGTTCAGACATGCGCAACGAGCGCGTACCTACGACTGCGACCGCACCGCCGCGCGTACACACACCTGTAACCACTACAACAAGCGCAGCGGGTCGTCAGCACGGCGACCGCTTCTGTACGCCGCCGTCAGCTGTGTCAGCGGCCCCTCTAAAAAAGGGGACGCAAAGCTACTCAATGCCGTAACAGAATATAGACAGACAGTTTTCTCGTCTAAAGCTTTATTATTTTTTCTTGATAGGCTTGCAGGGTACAGCGAATGAATAAAATAAAAAGATGCAGCGCCGTCTTGGACGATCACGACTCTAATACACGACATTGCAATAGTACAAATATCGCCACACGCCTTTTCTACGATTATAAAAGACAATGTAATCTTAGCAGCGATATAGCAACGTAGAAATATGATTTCGTGATCAGATAGACGTTGCGAGCGTTCAGGATTGCTAACACTAATCACTTTTCTCCGGTGAGGAATACGCGTGAAAATTCGTATCCTTTATACGGTACGCGCCAGTAATACCTTGAACTTGAGCACACGCATGAAATGCGCCAAATCAGAAATCCGGGCGATGTTCGAGGAAACAAATGCTTAGAAAGCACCACTGTAGTCGAAGTAAACAAACACGACGGCACGGGCGTTTCTGCTATCTTGAGAGTGCCGCCACGACATCGCCGCACGAGTAGGTGGACGTTCCCTTCTAGTATGTGCTGGGTTATCATAGCGAAACACGACGAAAATTCACAGTCAAGGATAGCGCTTTTACGCGGAACGATGATCTTTCACCAGGCCGTCCATTCCGACGATCACCACCGACGCCACGTTTGCGGATAGAAGGAGCCGGCCTGCAACGCGCGGAGATACGTGCGCTTCCGCGCATCCCTGGGGAACGGGAAATTCACCCCCCGCGGAGGAAGGCAAATAGAAAACGTAGTCCCTTGTTTGTGAAACGATAATTGCGCTATCGCGTATTCTAAACTAGAAATATTTTACGTCTTGTGAAATTATCATGCACAACATATTTAAATGAACTGAAAATTGTTTTTTCAGCGAAACTTTAAAAAGACCGCCAAAATTTTTAAACATACGATAATTTCATTGGTCCTCGCAAGTACAGAAAAGAGTCCGCACGTATTTTATTCCTGCGTGATTAATAGGCGTTTCTGCCTTCTAAAACTGAAGATACTCATCCACTGACACTTCCTTAACACCATCGCACCAAAAAGTAGCTTCTCCAAAAACCGCTTGAGTGTCCCTTTAAGCTAGAAAATAGAAATGCGGTAGAACAAGCGGAACAAGCCTACGAATGTTCAACCGAAGGTGCCTCGGTTACGTATTTTGCGGTGGGATAAACTCGACGTGTTCCGCTACAGGAGCAGTCCCACTGTCAACATCTGTAGATGTCTGTCCTCCCCGCAGTTCTAATCACGAGAGTGACTATAATATCACTATAGTCACTGGCGAGATTTGAAGGGCAGCGAGGTCATTCAGTTGTCCCTCCTCTAGTGTGAACTGTCTACCTTCGATATTGTTTCGACGTCTCGCGAGCCTAGACGCGCACGGGCAGCCGAAGCACGACGGAAGGCAGCGAGGGCGTGCTGGAGGCTGGACCCTCTAAAGGGACGCCCTGGCGTTCACATCCCGTCAGCTATTATAATGCTATGTGGAGCGCAAGTTCGTCTGCTTCTTTTGCAGGAGTTGATGTGACGTAGAACGCTGCGCTCCGATAGGTTCTGAATGAAGATAGTGGGTAGACCTCAAAGCAGCTTGTTTTGATGTCTACCCACTATCCTTCAGTCGCAGCCAATCAGAGCTCGGCGTCGTTCTGACGTCACCACAAGTCCTGCGCAAATAGCAGACGACTTGCTCTCTGCATAGGGCGTTTTCACGTGACGTACTTCCGGTTCTACATCTCGACGGACAATATGCAAAAGTTGATAACATTTCGCCCTTCGTCTTACTATGCGCGGAGGCAGAGTTTTTTTAGCCCGCTCGAGTTTTTTCGCGTCGCGGTCGATTGCTCCAGTCAGAGTGGTTAGGATCATAGAAAAACGTCGACTGGTACTCAATTTTCAGACATACCGGTTTTTATTTGAACTTACGACGAGCCTGCAGTAGAGACCTTTGAGCGGCTAAAATGACCCGGTTATAGACGCCGCGGCGACTCTGAAAGTAGAAAAGGGGGAGTATGTGGATTTAGGCGGCCTAAATGCATCCCCGGTGGACTTTACTGAGTTCCGTCGTAAGCGAGTCACTCGCCATGCTTCTGCGTTCCACCAACAACAAGAACGACGCCAGTGGGTATGCGCCAACATCCAAACTTATGGGAAGTGAAAAGGCGTTTTGTGACACCGCCTTACAGTCACTTCTAGGATGAGAAAGGCAGGGAGAATTCTGATCAGTTGTCCCGCCTCTAATGTGAGCCTTGAAGGAAAGATGCTCGCGCTGAAAGCGCGGAATAACTAAAGCAAGTTTCTTGCCATTTTCATCCTACCAGCAGGGCCGGCCCTACACCATCAAGCGCCCTGGACGAACTCCGGCCGCGACTCCCCCCGTCCCCCCCCCCCTTTTTTTTTATATGGCACCCCGAGCGACCGTTGTCGCCCACCCCTAGAGCCGGCCCGTCTACCAGTACCTATACATGTGTATATATATATATATATATATATATATCACTATATTGAAATAACTTCTGGTCGCCGTTTAAATATACAGCAAACTTTTAAACACATGATTTACAAGAAAAATATAGACATCGCAGCCAGGCGAAACGATCGAGAAGCTGGATCTGAACGCTCCGTCTTTCGTAAACCTGTAAATCCTTCGGTTTTTTCTTTTTTTTTTTTTTTTTTTTTTTGTTGTTGTTGTTGTTGTTGTTTTCCGTTTTGCTTGTGTCACTGATCTTGTTCGCGGCGATTTCTTCCTCTTCTCGTTGACCATGGAAGTTTTCGCATATACTGTTTTGCTTCGCACATGTCGCAGACGGCACCCTGCCTCCAACCCCGCACCTGTTGTCCCCGGCGGTGGCGGCGTCTTCGCTGTCCGCGCTGGTAAACCTGTCCGCCGAGGACATGTCGGTGCAGACGCCCCGGCTGTCCCCGTTGCGGGAACTCTGGCTCCACCTGCGGCCCCTGGACCTAGACGAGTGGCCGTCCAAGTCCTGGTACTCTAAAGTGGGAGACGTCTGCAGGGTTAGCGCTCGTCCCTCAAATTGTGCCGTGTGTTTGTTTAGACAGCAGGGGGTTAGTCAGCTGCAATGGTGCCTCGGCTGTGGATGAGAAATTCAGCCGTGCAGAATCCCTGAATTTTTTTTTTTTTTTTTTTTTTACGTGTTTAACGGAGTAGTGATGCACGATCGCACACCGGTACACTATATACTCATCCAAATCAAAACAGGTCAAGGGTGGGGATTGAACTTAGACTTTCTGGATTCTTCAGCGCAAACGTTTGGTCCGCCGTTTGCCGCATTAAACCTCCTTACACCGACGACTTTCGAAACACGGTCATGTCTCGCTTGTTCTGTAAATCCAGATAATAACACAGTTAACGGGACAAAAGCAGACTCCCAACAGCTCTGAGTCTTTCGCAAGTGTTGTGACAGGCTCACAACAGGAAGGGCAGTCTTATGTTCCCAATTGAATTCTGTATTCTCTCGGTCTCTTCTCCAACATGGTCCTCGCTTACCATGTCTTCGTATTTGTTACCTGGTTTTGTTTAAGCTGAGTGTAAACACGCGGTATATTTAACACCCCTTTTAATTGAGTGGCCAACATGTTCCGGCTTTCCGCTACCCTCACCACTAACTACTACTACCCCTTTTAATTCTGCTTTGATTAGCCGAGTATGCTAAGTGATTCGTAAAGTCTGGGAAAGCGGCGAACGTGTTGGGGTACGTGGCACAACTGAAAATGCTTTTTCCGAGGGTTGGTACTTGTTTGTGGTATTACAGGCGTATTATTTGGGTTTCTGATAGCGCCTTTTCCGGACATTAGCGATTATTATGCCTGTTCCAACCCTTTTCCTAAGAAAAAAAAAAAAGCAAGAAACATCTGACTGAGTCGTTGTAGATTTATGAAAGCGTGGAACTTACAGGGACTATGAAAGGTGACATGCCTATATTGTTCACCACGCTTCATCACCTATACACACACACACACACACACACACACACACACACAAGCTGTTTACATACGCGCCCCTTTTCCATATGTAAAAAAGGCGATCAGATATTAGTATATAGTCGAGAGTGGGGGAAGCATCAAAGAGGCTGATATGAGGGAATATTAACCAAACGTTTGAACAGTAACTGGCACCCGAGTTAACCGAGTCAGTCGTAAGGGGCGAGCGAAGTCTGTCGGAACCGAAAGAACCGCCTCTCTTGATTGAACCCATGTCACCTTGAAAAGCAGAAATGTCCGCTTTCTCTGGTGCGTTTTATGGGGTACATTAGGAGTGGGCCAAGAATACAGTAACGCGTATACTTGATTGAAAAAAAATGAAAAAAAATTTTTCTAATGATTGTTTGCACTTTATGTGTATCTCATGAACGCATGCAGTAAAGAGACCTGTTGAGTTACGGATAAAAATGACGCGTTGCTTATAACCACGTCTTACACCGCCGACTTTTTCTTCCCACCTTTACTGGCTCAGGCCCCGATCTACTTCATCATGACAATCACGATACCGGTGGTGGACTACGAGAACGACAAGAACAACTGGTGCCGTCTGCTGAACAGCTGCCACTGCGTCATCAGCCCCCTGTTCATCGTTATCGTCACCCACGGTGAGTGAGCTTCGAAGGCTTCTATCCACCGCTTTACGAATTTCTGGTTTGAGAGTTTTTTTGGCATGAAGCTGCGAGGGCGTGAAGCGAGCGCGCGAACATTCCTTTCAGCAACGAAGCTTAGACCTTGTTGGCGCCAGTGAGCCAAGATGACCTCGATTGGTGACAGAACGAGCGGGTTGGTATGGATAGTTAAACTTGAGGAAGAAAACGAGAAAGGACGGACAAACACAAAGTTTGTGTTTGTCCGTCCTTTCTCGTTTTCTTCCTCAAGTTTAAATGACCTAGATTGAGCTCCGAAAACACCGCTTCTGTGCCCACTGTGGCTTATGTTTCGCTCCCAAGTTTGCAAAAAGAACTTTCTCCGCTGTTCGTCTTCCTGATGACGACCTTTGTTTCTTCGAGTTTCCTATACACCAAGGAATCCTCAAAACAAGTCTCCGGCCTCTGGTGGCCCCCACCAAGGCTGGATTCTTAAAATTATCTTACAACAAAAAAGTTCGTACAAATAACTTACGCCAAAGTTACAAACTTCTCCGTGTTTTCGAAGCAAAATGTTCTTAACTTTTGCGTGAGATAAGACACAATTTTACGACAGGGGTCCAATTCATCTTACGAACTTCTTCGCAACTATTCGTCTAAAATGGTTGAAGAACATCGCGACGCCAGAAGAAGGTTACGCGAGCAGCAACATGTGCTCAGCACTCGTCTGAGACTGGAAACGATTGCGGATCATCGCCTGAGCCAGACGAGCGCCTTGCGTATAATTAACGGGGTGAGCAGTGAGCACTGAACGCGAAATCAAGTCTCTTATGACGCCGTGGCCGCACTCGTCTACGGGCCTAGCAAAACATTTCGCTTGCCCTCCCTGGTCACGACCATCCGCCCCCGACAGCTGCCCTGCTTGACTTCGATTTTAGAGTTGTTCCTCTTGACCCCTCGTCGTCATCGTTGAGTGGCTGTGGCGGATGCTTTCGTCGCCGGAACACTCCCGTTGATTTGGTCTGCTGTCCTGCTCGACGCAGAACTCAAATAAATGCCGTAAAAATTACCTTCGCCTCACTTGGTCCGTTCAATTTATTCTTTGAGTATGCTCCCTTTGTCCCGATGTGACGGTAGTAGTAAAAACATCGACACAGGTCAAGATAGAGCATCTCTTGGGAGCTACACACTGTGGGTGAAGCGCTCACCCTGCTGAACGTTACGTCAGCGTCGAGTTGGCGATTGTAGTGTCCTCACAGTCTGCTCGTCGGCTCTTTCCGGATCCCTGGGACCACGAACGATGCCGTGGCGATTCGTTCCCAGGAGTGCCGTTTTGCAAACTAGCCGCGGACGGGGGCTGAACCTTCCACCAATAATTAATTTTGTTGACGTCGCTCGAGTCCGTAGGAGTCGACTAAAGCGGTTGTGGCAGCCATCCTGGTCTCGGAAAGCTGGGCATTCGGGTTTATTTAAATCAGGGAGTGCTGACATCTCATGCACAGACACGATGATCAAATAAACGATGCTGAAAGGACCCCTGCGGCCTGCCTATGCTTCTTGTGACCCAAACCCACGTGCTCCAAAACATGCCGAGCTCTCCCATAGGATGTTCGTGTTGCCGAAGGCGGTGTCCCCATAGCAACGCCCTGCCCTCCCTATTGAAAAAACCAGCTTAGGCTGGTCCCAGCTTCAAGCTCGGTTATTGCTCCAGCATTCCCAGTTTGGCATGCTGGTTGACCCGGTCATACTGGTCATGCTGGTTGACCTGCAGTGGTCTCAGCTTCAAGCTTGGTTATTGCTCCATCATGCCCAGTTTGGCGTGCTGGCTGATATCGTCATACTGGTTATGCTGGTTGATCTAGTCCCAGCTTCAAGCCGAGTTATTGCCCCAGCATGCCCAGTTTGGCATGCTGGTTAAACCGGTGGACTTTCTCACCAGTTTAACCAGTTTAAATTGAAACACAGTATGAACAAGCCAAACTCTTAAGAAAAGTCAGCTCAGCAACCAATTTATTATTTTCGTACTCGCGGCCTGCTCACATGAGCTCAGATTCCACACATCCTCGGCGCTGACACAGTACTAACCGACGCAGAGAGTGGTTCTCGGTGCAAAACAATGTTACTAAAACTAGATTGCTTATCTCTCAACACGAAAAATACTAGACACACGCCAAAAACAGGAAACAACAATAAAAAGTACTACACGGATCAGAGAAGCGAACCTGGGTCCAGACAGTAATGGGGGCGAAGCGGCCTCTCGCATAGTCGGCAGAGGCGAGAAAATCCATGTGGCTTGGATGGCATTGGCGGATACTCCCCGGCACCACCGTCATTCACGAGCACACACATGTTCGAAGACATGAAATGACGCCTCAGTCGGGGCGTCCGAGTTCTTTCCGCGCTGAACGGAGTGCCGCATGCTGTCTTTTCAAATCCCACTTCGCTTGCACCGCCGTCCAAGTAGTCCCCAAACAACGCGCACGCAGCCGTCCCTTCGAAAATCTGCCCAATTAGATAGCCAAACGTGTCTCAAATTCTCCCTTCCTACTACTTTCTCTCATTCGCACACAAAGGAAGCTCATAGCGCGCCTGAAGCGCCCGGTCGTCTACCAAAAACGAGAGGACAAAGAACAGGACGTGGTCTCGCCTCAGCCCAAGTCGACCTTGGCGCGCGCGCTCCCAGTAATGTCAGCTCGGCCACCTCTAGCCGACCTTGGCGTGCGCGCTCCCAGCAAGACCAGCTTGACAAGCTCGAACCAGCTTGGGCCAGCTTCAGCACCAGCTCGAACCAGCTTGACAAGCATGAACCAGCTTCAGGACTATCTGGAACCAGCTTAAGTACCAGCTTGCCCAGCTGCAGTGCCAGCTTGAATCACCTTGACCAGCTCGAACAAGCTTGAACCACCTTGACCAGCACGAACCAGCTTGACAAGCCTGAACCAGCTTCAGTACCAGCTCGAACTAGCTCAAGTACCAGCTTGCCCAGCTGCAGTGCCAGCTCGAACCAGCTTGATTACCACGTAAACCCGCTCGAACCAGCATAAAAATCAGCTAAACCAGCTTGACCAGCTTGATTTTCTTGCTGTTTTTTTTTTTTTTTTCAATAGGGCTTGCATTAATCGGGAACTTGCGGAACACCGGAACTTTTTTTTTTTCCGGCGTTTTTCAACTCTCACTTACGAAAGCGTTCGGGAATTACCGAATTCAGAACTTCGTACAATATGCGTAACTTACGAACTTATTAGCAAATATGTTTTAAGGTAAGACAATAGGGACTTTTAGCAAATCGTTACCGTGCTCCTCGTGCCACACTACTGGAGCCTTTGAAGCATGCTTTTAAGTGCGCAGTACGCGGAACACTGCAACGGTTTGCAAAAAGTGCCTATTCTTTGTGAATCTGGCCTAGGAAAGTGAGTGGATTACATATCGAGACCTCGCAAGATAGGTCTGGCACGTGCCTTCGCTCGAGACATCGTGCGAGGTCTTGAAGCGCCTTCCGGACAAAGTAATAAATGCGGCAGCATTCTTTTTACATCCCCCTTCCCCTCAAAAATTTCGATCACCACATCGAAGCGCATGCGCTGGAGAGTGAGGCACACTGGCCGTGCCTTCTCTCCTTCTCACGAGCATGGCCGGGTCACGGGTGAGTGAGGTTGCATGTGCCGCCCTTTTCCCCTTATCGCGCGCATGCACGAGACACGGTGCGCTCACTCAATGTAGCGCAGTCTTCTTCAGGGTGCTTCGCAAGACGAAGGAGCGGGATGATAAGAGGAAGCTGAACAGAAGTGGCGACGTGCTAAGCATGGGGGCATCGGATGTCGAATGCTTCCCAGGCATCTTTTGAGGCTCCGGTGGTCAAACAGAAATGAAATATTGGACGCTAGATGCTTGCCAGACATATTTTAATTTCCGGCGGCCAAGTCAAAAAGGAGCATCGGATGTCAAATGCTTGCAAGACACCTTTTTAGCACCGATGGCCGAACAAAAATGGAACTAGATGTCAAGTGCTTGCCAGACATCTTTTCAGCTGCGGTGACCAAGCAGAAATAAAACATTGGACGCCAAATGCTTGCCAGACTTATTTTTTCCCCGGTGGCCAAACGAAAAAGGAGCATCGGATTCCAAATGCTTGCCAGACACCTCCCCGGTGGCCGAATGAAAAATAAAGGACCGAATGTCAAATGCTTGCCAGACATCTTTTGAGCTCCGGTGGCCAAATTAAAAATGAAGGATCAGATGCCGAATGCTTGCCAGACATCTTTTTATCTCCAGTTGCCGGAGAATTGCCGGTAGCCAGACAGGCAGGTGCCAAGCACATACCAAGCAATGGCCGAAGTATGGACAAAAGTTTATGCTGCCTGGGCTCAGCGAGTCTTCGGTGCCCTCCGCCGGCTGCGCGTGTACGCTCGGAGGGCCATGACGGCAACCCCGCAAGAGGCCCATCCCGGCGTCATATGGGAATGGACCCGCAATCCCTCGGATCCAGACAAGTCCTGGTCACCACCTCCTGAATTCAATGCTATATTCGGAATGTCGGGTTGGACTTCTCTTCGGGATACGAAGAGAGGACAACTCCGGCAGCATATCCTCACCTCCCGTTGCACCCCCCCCCCCCCCCCCCCCCCCCCTTGACCCCTGAGGATCCAACCCTCCAGCGGAGGACGGAAAGTCCACAGCAGAGACTTCCAATTTTCTTTTGAATAAACAAGAAAGCCGTTTTCAGTCAATCAACCAATTGAGGCTCACGAGGTGTTGTCGAAAGTAGGAATCTCACGCTGCAGAGGCGGGACAACTAAAGAACCTCCCTGCCGCTCTAATCCTGCCAGTGGCTATAGAAACTTAACAGACTCGTGAGTCTGGTGCCGTGCATGCTCCACGGGATCTGTATTTGTTGTTCTTGTGTATTGCGTGTTGCGTGTGAATTGTTCGTAGAAAGACAATTCGCATGATAGGTCGACTCATAGCGGGACAATTCGTCGAATGAGGCTATTCGTCATGTAGGGATATTCGTATACTATGCGGAGCGCATAATCGTCTGCTTCTTTTGCAGGGGTTGTGGTGACGTCAGAACACCGAGGATTGGCTTTGATTCAAGGAGAGTGGATAGACCTCAAGGCAGCTTGCTTTGAGGTCTACCCACTATTTTTAAATCAGAAGCAATCATGCCGACACTCTACAGTATACGGAAAACCGTGCCATAACGTGAGGGCAATACTCGAGACATCGACTGAAGATCTTATCAACGCTGCATTTTTGGTTGTAAAAGTAGCATCCCCGTGGAATTCAATCGGTTGATCCCGCCTGCCTCAAATTTGATGTAACAGCTACATTCGCAGTCATCACTGTAGACTCAACTCGTATCTTGTGCATCAGAGTCCTCATCGCGATCTGACTGTTTACCCAACAATAAGATGGGGCGGCGAACACTCCTTGCAGGTATGGATGACCTTGTGGGGGGATTCCCAGTGGCGCTGATTGTGCTGGCTGCTTGTCTCGTGCTGGCCATCTTGGTCTTCTTCACGTCCAAGTACGAGGAAGCGCCCAGATACCACTGGGTATTCGGCTACGTCGGTTTCTTCGTGTCAGTAGCCTGGATCTACGTTCTGGCCAACGAAGTGGTCTCTATGCTCAAGGTAATTCAGGGCAACATCGACATAATCAATTTAAAGCGTGCCCCCCCCCCCTCTCCTCCCCCCCCCCCCCCCCCCCCCCCAAAAAAAAAAATGATGCCAAGGTTTTAAAACCGCCATTTTGCCGTTGAACAATCTATAAAATCACTTATAACTTTTGAGAAAGATTTCGACTAGTTCTGCAACTTTGGTATCTGGTTCGGACCGCTAGCGCTACTTTTGAGCGAACAATGAGCGTTCAAAAATGCGTTAAAAAAACTTTGTAAAAAAAAAAAAAAGTTGAGGGGAGGGGGGTACATTTTGTACATGCTGCCGTAGCGCCATAGTGACGATGAAGACGGCACACAGTCTATAGTCACTGGCAGCTAAAGAAACGCAGGGCATGGTGAGTTCGGAACATCTTATCTCTTGGCAGCCAATGAGAGTGCAGCATCAGTCGATAAGAACGCCGAATAGTCTATCACGAAGTAAGAAGCGTCAAAAATCCACACCCTGCGCTGGCAGTGACTATGCGGAACGCAAATCCGTCTGCTTGTTGCGCAAGGGTTGCGGTGACGTTAGCACGCCGAGCTCTGATTGGAGGGATAGTGGGTAGACCCCAATGCTGCATGGGTCTCAATGCCTTGACTCAATGCCTTGAGGTCTACCCACTATCCTTCTAATCGGAGCCAATCAGTGCTTGGCGCTCCGACAGTCGCCGCAACCCCTGCGCACGAAGCAGACAAACTTGCACTCCGCACAGTCGGCTAAACGGGGAGCAAGTGTTCCAAAATGCGTCTTTGGCGCATCGGATGACGCAGGGAGGAGCGTGCCAGTCAAAGGCAAACATGCAGAGAGCGCACAGGGACCACGCGATGGCGAGGCAGCCAAGCCCGTGCCGGAGAAACAAAAGTACGCGGGTGCGTTTGGGGAGTAAACAAACTAAAGAGGTGCGCATGGAACAGACGAACTTGCACACCGTATATATTTTGAATGGTTGTCCAGTTGTCCAGCCACTCAAACGAAATGCAGAATAGCGCTCGGATCAATATTGCGAATCGTCGGTATGCTGCGTGAGCATTTTTTTTTAAATTTTGTTCCCTAAAAAGACTGTTTATATGTATGTTCAACTAAAGCCGCCGCATCGAAGTTAATTAGGCCAGGTATTACGACTCCTTCCGCAAGCCATCGCAATGACGAGTCTTTCAAAAAGTGTTTATTAAATTATTGGCGCATGCGATTAAGATATCTTATCGATCGAACCAAGAAATCTATCGTAGGATTATACGGATGACGATTCGATGGCACAGATAGCTGCTTCTTGTGCGGATGTGCTGTAAAGGTGTCATCTACAGAGACTCGAACGAATGATGCCGCGATCCAATTTAGCCAATCGAGCCCAGCGCCAAAAATTCATCGCAACGGCAATCGTCGTCTTTCTGCGCACACTGGATAAACCAATCAAGCGCGAAAGAAACCGCAGGATCACGGCGCGTTCACTGTGCGTGATTGATTTAGCCGATTATATGTGCGGAGGGAACCTGTGCCGACGTCAGAACGTCGAGCTCTGATTGGCTCTGATTGAAGGATAGTGGGTAGACCTCAAGGCAGCTTGCTTTGAGGTCTAACCACTATCCTTCAATCAGAGCCAATCAGAGCCCGGCGTCAATCTGACGTCACCACAAGCCCCGGCATAAGAAGCAGACAAACTTGCACTCCGCATAGTGAATGAGCAAAGACGACGAGCGCTTTGACAATGCATTTTTGGCGCTGTTTGAATGACTTCTTCGAATCGTAGAGTCGGTTGCAAAATAAACAACATTTTTGTTGTTAAAAAAATAGAAACATTGCAGAACCGTGCTGTTGTTGACAGATGAATCCGCATTACTTGTCCGTCCTTCCTGATATATTTTTTTCTTTATGTCATATGGCATTGTGTAGTGTTGTTGCTTCCCCGTCTTCTTTGGCACGCTCTCAGAAATGCGTTCTGGCCGAGGAAACTTTGGGATAGGTCGACGCTGCTTAACTCGTGTTGTTCTGTGCTTACTTCGCAGACAATGGGGATCGTGATCGGTCTCAGCGACGCTTTCCTCGGAATGACCGTCCTTGCGTGGGGAAACAGCATAGGAGGTATAATAACTCTTTATCCGAGGTCGGATGCAGCCGACAGAGATCACCGCGAGGCTGGCGAGAAACATCAAGACCGCTTTGCTTCTCTTACTTTGCAGACTTCATATCTAATCTGTCTGTGGCTCGGCAAGGCTATCCACGTATGGCGATTTCGGCGTGTTACGGTGGACCCCTGCTCAGTATCCTTTTTTTTGTTGTTGTTTTGTCACCGTGCGATATCGCAAAAGAGAGCATGTATACCGCCGCGGGCAGTATGAGCTGAAACACTCCATTCAGCCTTCTTCTGCTTCTGCAGTACCCACAAGCTCTATACAATCCCTTTTGTCAGATAGTCCAAGGTATGGGAGCCCAACTTCGCATTCCGTTTCTAGCTTGGACCACAGCTCACCCATAAAATTACAAGTAAGCCAAAGAAACATAAAGGACTGTTTCAGGTATACTGTTCGCAATAATACGCTGGGCGGAAAAAAAAAAGGGAAACAGCCTGGGGCAAGTTGCTGCGCACCTTGGTTCATTTTGGTAGCCACCGAATACTGTTCGCCCTAAAGCTGATATGTTATTGCATGAAGTAAGATATGGCTCCTATAAAAAAGCACGCTGTTTAGGTGATGTTCAGTGTCAACACTAAGGTATACCGATGACCATCTTTTTCTCTATTCATCAGACATAGATTTCGAAAGTACAGGGAGTTCCCGAAAACCCAGAACGGTGTTTTTCGGCCCGGGTAAATAAACTACGTATCGTAGAAATCTCGAACTCTGTGAGAATGTGACGCTGGCGGTTGGGATAGAACGTGAAAGTTCGAGAACGTGACGTTACCTTGATCAAAAGACAATTGAGAAAAACGAAATTTCTCTGTGAGCTGACGTCCACCCAAGCCTAATATCGCAAAACAAGAAATGACACAGTGAGCGTATGCAACATCTATTTCAGTTATATATATATATAAAAAAAAAGTCTTGTTAGCAAGAAAGAGGACATTATTCTCTTTCTTGCTGACAAGTTTTTTCCAGTGAAATAGATATATACTACAGGTGCCCACAGTGTCATTTCTTGTTATGGCAATATTAGGCTTAGCTGGACGTCGGCTCATAGAAAATTTTCGTTTTTATCAATTATCTTTTGATGCAGGTGAACCAACATCTTAAACTTTCGCGTTCTATCCTAACCGCTAGCTTCGCAGTCTCACGAAGTTTGAGCTTCCTGCGATGCTTAGTTTATTTAAACGAGCCGAAAAACACGGTTCTCGTTTCTCGGGAACTCTCTGTATATCTTTTCTAAGTATACGAGTATTCAAGATCACCAGAGAGCTATACCATGCACTATGACAAGGCGAAAATAAGAACAACTCAAAAGTTCAAACTAAAACGGCTTTAGCTTAGTAGCAGCGACAGCGAATTCTGCTCTGCCGTCAATGTCTTGACCGTGCGATCAGATCTCCTTCTAGGATTTGGAATTCCTTACACGTTAAAGCTGGCGCAAGTGGGCGGCCGGCTAAGTGTGAGTATTTATGAAACCTGAGTTAATTAAGCCTTGAAGTGCAATCGCCTCAAGCTGCCATGTACCGCTAGAGCTGGGATCAGGACCGAATTGTACATACTGAAGCAACTTTTACACCCTTAAGGGTGTGAATCAACTCGTCCCTGGTAGAAACATAATAAATATAATAAAATTAAATTGATTTTATTTTAAATAGGGCGGTTGAAATTATTATTTTTTTTTAAAAGGGCGGGTGCACAGAAATTTAAAATTAGGTTCCTGTCCAACCGCACAGAAACAACGTAATGCTTGTAAATTTATTGCTCGCAAAAAAAGAAAAAAGAATATCGAGGACGCTGTTGGGATGTCCCAACAGCACCCCAGATTTCTTTTTTTTTTCTTTTTTTGCTGGCAACAAGTTTACAGGCGTTATGTTGTTTTTTGTGCGGTTGTACAGAAACAAGAAACCAGAAATATACAGGCAGAAATATACAGAAATATACGCACGAGACTAAACAAAATCATTACTCTCTTGATCAAACCGCCTTCTACATTTTTTTTTTTTTTTTTTAAGGTTTAAATTGTTTTAGAAAGAAAAAAAAAAGTCCGAGGACACCTAAGCGCTTATGAGTCGTGAATGCGAAAGCATGAATGTTCAAGGGCTTCGTTGAACTGCCGCCTGAGACGCTTTGAATCGAGATCCGCTTGCGCCTCACCCTTTCGAATGGCTTTCTTCTGTCTCCTAGCGCGTTCCGCCGCTGCTTGTTTCAATCCAAAATGTTTTAGAAAAAAAAAAAAAAAAAAAAAAACATTAAAGTTACATTTTCGCGGTCTGTGCAGGTGAGTTATACGGCCAGAAGTGCATAATATAGAACGTTCATTGTCGCGATACGTTCGATAATTAACTAGAATTTGTTAATAAACTTTTTATTTAGTGAAAATAAACATGTAGTTTCAGTTAAAAACTTTCTGAGCATCATCGAAAACCACTTGATGAGTCAATTGTAGAAAGGTTTAGTGCGCGTGCTTCGTTTTTCTGAGTCCCGAAAATACAGCTATTAAACTGATCTGGCCTCTAATAGTAATTACCGTCAGTACTGCAAATCCAACATGAACCCAATAATTAAAAAGTTAATCAACTAATTGTAGTTAATTAGTCAAATTACCATGACGATTATCCCCTTATCTAAACTCCGCCGGGCCTGATAAATACATGGTGAAGACGGCACGCGTATGCACTGCACAGGTTAACTGTGAAAAGAACAAGGCTCAGTTTGGCAGAAATACCCCCCCATCTCCTCCTTCCCCAACCGGCACAGCCCTTCGGCAGTTTGAGAGCGTTCTCTAACCCTGGAACGCCTTCATCTTTGTGTCCTCCCACGCAGCTGGAGTGGAGCAGCATGATTGGCATCCTCTATGGGACCATCTGCCACACACTGGTGTCCACCCTTGTGGTCATGCTCATCCTTAGATTCAACGTCAAGAGGATTTTCGGTGCCTACCTCATCCTGGTATATGCCCTGTATTGCCTCGTCGCCATTCTCCTTGAATCTAAGGTCATCTGAGATTGTTCACGGTGTTTGTGGTGTCACGCCTCGAACGGTGCCCTACCGAATAAGCAGCGATCGAGGCTGCTACAGTGCCTCGATTGCAGTACAGACTTGCGGAGGACCAGGCCAAATCACAGCTCACTGCTTCAGTGGTGTACAGCCATGCCAGCCTCAAGAAGCAACTGCAACAAGTGACACAAGTGTGGTGCAAGTTTGTGGAACCAACCTGCGATTATGACCTGCAGGTACAACCCTACAGTACACACCTGCCATCTGTGGTAAAAATACAAAAAAAAAATAGTGGTACAAAAGTTGACTATTACCAACTCTGAAGAACAAACTTTGGAATTTCAATACCGGGCTGTGTTATAAGAGTGGGAGTGCTTCGAAAACAACATATAGTAGTGTTGAACTCGGACGAGATTGAGTGCTGTCCAAGTTCCAGATGTGTCCATTCCAGTAACAAAGGCATTACTGGAGAGGGTTTCTTGTATGTCCGATTGTAGCAATATCAAAGACAAAAATATTACTGCGATAGACAGAAATACAAATGCAAGACAACTATTCCTCAGCACTTTGGTGCCACATTGTGACAATAAGTGCGCTACGAGGATTGTTCATATGCCTCAACATTCACAGACAGGATAGTTTGAATGTCAAAAGAATGGTGATTGGGCATTTATATTTCTTTTGACTGCGATAATACATGCATTCATAGTTCTTGCAGGAGCCCTTGTGGAGCAACATGCTTCAAAGCCCCTGCACAACATACCAACTTTCTGTGTGCATGTCAGTAGTGTGAATTGTTTGAAGTTTTCCAGTCGGTCATCATGAGACAATGGCACTGCTTGAAATGGTGCAGATGACCTCGTAGTAATGTTTGTGTTCATACAGCTAGTGCAATCACAGCCAGTGAAGGCCCTGGGTTTGAGGGCAGTACTGGGGAATTCCTGTGGATCTGCCTACAGAAGTATGGAGGGATACAGAGCTTTGGTAGACGTCATGGTAGTGCATAAATATCTGCATTCTACTATGTGGACGCTGCAGCCTGCACCTCTCAGTGCATTGCCACTGAAAGGCTTTTTTTCCTCAGGTTTGCTGGGATGTTTGGTATGGATGTAGGTGAGCATAATCTTAGTGCTCACTCGATAAGCGGTGAAGTGGAAGCAATAAGATTTTAGTATGATGTTTGGTATGGATGTAGGTCAGCATAGTCTTAATGCTCACTGGATAAGTGGTAAAGTGGAAGCAATAAGATTTTAGTATAGGTGGACACAATAGGACGCATGCATCAAATTTTAAATGACCTCAAACATCTGCATGACCTTTCTGGCTAATCAGACACAGCATCTGCAACGCATGTTTAACTCATCTTTCAGATTGTGTAAAGCACATCACACTTCACTGGAGCATGTGCATGCTTTTCTATGCCATCAAAAATAGGCATCTGGTGTATTCTGCAAAACACTTTGCATGCTCAATGGTGTTAGGCAGATACAGGAGAGCCCAAATGACGGTACGAATTTTGCCGCTGGTACCCTGAAGAAGGTGCATCAATACAAAGCCAAAGATAAACAAAGCTGGCATAAAACACTCTCTGGTTAAGTCTGTCCCAAGCTGTAAAGAGGCAGATTTCTTTTTTTTTTTTTTTTTCATGTCTTACATTTTTGGTGTGCTTTCCCACATACATCAGACCACCTCCCTACACATGAATATTTCCCGACTGATGAGCTAAATGAGCTTCGTTAAAACAGGGAATATGGGTCTGTGTTCCAGTTCAATACGCTAGCGCAGTGTATCAATTATGTTGGACATATCTCCAGGAGTTTGTATCGTTTATTTATAATATAATTTTTACGTTGGCTAGTCAGGAACACATAAATTAAAAGGATCTCGAGCATCAGTGGTTCATATTTTTGGTGTCAACGTCGGCCGACAATATTTGGGGAAACGAAATCAAACGAAGCAGTCTTGATGAGTGAAAAAAAAAAAAAATAACCACTGCCAGACAGCAGACTCTGACTACCGTAAAATACCGTGCATCCACCCATAGGTGCCGACCCCTCAATTTTGTAACGTTCGAAAAATACACAAAGGACATATCTGTGTTGACCTGAAGCACCCATTCCCAACCTTTACATGATTATCTCAAAAAATTTGAGTGGGTGCTTGCTCAGGATTTTACGGTATGCTAGGCTCTGGTCCTTATTAGCACCTCACCCAAAGTCAAGGAACAAGAAGAAATGACAAGGGGTCCTGGAACAACATAAAAAAAACAATGGTCACCCAACTGAGTCCTTCAGCAGGGTGTCATGGTACATGAACAATATGGCCACCTTCAACTCTTGACATATGGCTCCACTCTTTTGCAAGCACACTTCTTGAGCAGACAAGTTAAACAATTTTTGCTTTAACTTAAGGTTTCTCGGTCGACATCCAGATGGCGAGACACCACACTCGGACCATAACGCACTTGGTGAAAAGCATCGGGGACAAATAGCAAAACGAGAAAGACTGTGTCGACGGTTACTCCCAAAGGTAATAGTCGTAACACGACTACTACCCATGACCCCCAACGGCGTCGACAGACAAAACAATTAAAGCTTCGCTCGAGCCGCCCAAATGATTCAGCATCCACAAACTCTCCCACCGATCAAGTTCGCTAGAAACACGAGTTGAGCAGACGAATGGGGTCCCCCTCCTCCGCGGCCATTATCACCACCTGTTCCTGCTTAAGCACCTGCTTGCCGTTGGACCCCCTCTTTACGACCTGTTCCTCCACAAACACTAAGGGAGCCACCTCCCGATGCGGGTCTCTGTCCTGCTGCTCAGCCTGACTTTGAACCGCGCCTTGCTGTTGCTGCCGGCCGCGCGTCGCCCTAGTCGTCTTCTTGTTAGGCGATGCTGCTTCGCGGCGCGGTGCGGCGGGTGTCGTTGGCATTGTTACTGCCTTGTGCGCCGTCTGAAGGTGCCGTTTGAGCTTGGTGTTGGTGACACAACCCTTCTTGCACAGGAGGCAGTGGATCTTGAAGGCTTTGGTGTGCACTCGCACCACGTGGTTCTTGAGCGTCTGCTGCTTGCTGAACGTCCGATCGCAACGCTCACACGCAAAGGGGCGCTCGCCCGTGTGCCTGCGCATGTGTGCGCGCAGCTCGCAGTTGTACGTGTACCCCTTGCTGCAGTAGGAGCACTCGTAGCGCTTGCTTTCCGCGACATGGCGATTGCGGCCATCAACGTGGCGCCACTGCTGGTGTGCGTGCAGCTCGACAGGCGTTTTGAAGCGCATGGGGCAGTGGTCGCAGCCGTGCGGGTAGTGGAGGGAGCGCAGCACGGCCACCGAGGGGGACGTGGCCGCCTCTGGGTGCATGTGGTGCACATGGTTAGTCCTAGCTCGGTCCGTCTGCAACAGAGCACGCGGTAAGGCATCGCATCGTGATAATGGCTACCATTTTGACAGGGTGTGCATAGAAAAACGCGAGCACAGCATACTCGGCGATTTGAAAGGAGGTTTGAAAGAGAGAGAACAGTAAAAGAAGGAGGACACATATATATGGGGCGTTTGTTTCAAAGCGTTAGCAGTGTTGAGGTGGTTGTACCGGGCAAGCCTCGTGTCGGCGAAGACGAACGAAGTATGCTAGCGCTCGTAGCAGTTGGCTTTGGCACCGGGAGAGGATGCAACCTGCTCTTTCTCGCTTTCGGTTGCCCGTTTGCTCATCACTCAATCTCACCCTGGCTGTTGGGATAGAACGCATTAGCTATTCCGTGTGTGATTGATTGTGGTTTTACACAATATTTGGTGTCTTTGCCGGCGGCTTGCCACGAGGTTCTTCAGTTGTCATACCCAGACAGTGAGCTGACCACCCTAAAGGTGTGTGCTATGTGCCTACGCAGTGTTCGTGCTGGCAAGATCTCAAACCTCGTCACATTCCACGGACATATATACCTGCCCGTGCCAGAGGGTCTGCCTTAATTGGATTTCGTGGGTGACCGTTTGATATCTGCTCGGCGCACTGAGCCCTTCGCACAAAGCCGGGGTGGCCAAAGCACACGCCGGAACAAGCAGAGGCTACTCTAGGGCGTATACACCCCCGTGAGAGGGACAGCCCTCCTGTATTAAAAAAAAAATAAATAATAAATAAGCCTTCAAAACCAGAGTTCTTATAATGTAAGCTAGAGGTTCAAATGGCACTGTGTGCTCTGGCAAATTGAAGCAGACAGTAACCAGTCGAAAATTGACTATGGGAAAAAATGAGTGCATTTTCTCTTTGCGCTTGATTATAAGAAACAATATCTGGAATAATTTGTACATATACTAGGTAGCTTGGAACATTTCTCAGTCAGGCGGACAAAATTATTGGTCAGTTAGTGTTTTTCTTTCCAATTCACTGCATTAAAACCATACTAAAACGGCTTAGTACATGCATTTATGTGCACTGTCGGACACTAGCTGTTAGTGCGAATGTGACATAGGTGCTTTTCAGCGTGGGGGATATACGTGCCAATAATCATAGGACATCGGGAAAACTAAGAGAAATGGCAAGAACTATGCAGTAACACTGGATCAGAAGCTCCCTGTGCATGTACTATTAAAATAAGTCACATAATAAAGGGTGTCCCAAGTCACCAGGCTTGATCTAAAATGGACCGTAAAAATCGACGCCTGCACGTAGCAATCTGAAGTTTTCGTCAAAGGTGTATTTCACAAGTTGGTTTTTTTCTTAGAAAATTAAAAAGCGTAGCTCCTTTACTGTAAGAAATAGGGCCAAAAAACATGCCAGGGTCAATGGCAGGCGGCGGCGCAGACAACCAAGTCAAGTTGCAGGGCATGTTTGGCGCTCGTATTGATAGATGGCACTACCTGCTTATCGAGACTGCTTGAGACCACCGTGGTTTATTAAATTGAACATAATCTTTTTATAATGCACCTTTGGTTAAAAATGAATGAAGATGAAAAAAGCAATACTTTTATTTAAAAGTATTTTATTTAAAGCTTAAAAAAAATGTGTTTGCATAACAACAGCGCTTTTGCTGCCAACGGATTTCGTCTGCTTTCTTTCACTAATCGGCCACACCCACTGATCTCTATGTTTATTTGCTGGATCGCGTTTGACCAGCTCCGCCTATGGACAAGAATGCGACCGCGGTCGGCCATCTTTTTGGTAGAGTTATATTATCTCTAGCCATCATAGTAATATGGCGGACAGCGCAATGGCGGCAGGCTGCCATAAAATAGCTGTGCATCTAGTACACTGTACCGTGGGTGATATTTCGTGCTTGATTGAAATTGTTCGACGAAGCAGATTCTTGAAACCCGGTGTGAACGGTGACCTCATCTTTGAGGACCCGGCGAAAGTTCTAAGAAAGTGCAGCACCGGGGGAAAGCAGCGCAGCTCGCATCGAAAGCAGACTCCGTACCGGCGTCTGCTTTTGATGCTTCTTTCGATGCAACTTTCGATGCGTGCTGTGCTGCTTTTCCCCGGTGCTGCGATTTCGTGAAACTTTCCCCGGGTCCTCAAATATCGGGCTACCGTTCAAACTGGGTTTCAAAATTATGTTTCGTCAAACAATTTCAATCAAGCACGAAATATTAGCCACGCTATTTTAATGGCAGCCTACCACCACAACTGCCACAACGCTGACTGCCATGGATGGATGATAGTGGCTGCAGCAGCTCTACCTTGGCTAGAGGTAATATAACTCTACCAAAAAGATGGCCGCCAGTGGCCGCATTCGCAGAGCGGGCAAACGCGATCCAGCAATTGTCATGGACGTCAGTGGCCACACCTTCCGATGCCGCTCCCGAAGCCATTTATCAATATGCGCACCAAACGCACCTTGCAACTCGACTTGGTCGTCTGTGTCGCCGTTGATCCTGGCAAGTATTTTGGCCCCATTTTTTACAGAAAGGGAATTAGACCTTGTAATTTTACAAGGAAAAACTGACTTGTGAAATACAGCTTTGACAAAAAGTTTAGATTGCTGGGTGCAGGCGTCGATTTTTAGAGTCCCTTTTAGATCGAGCCAGGCGACTTGGGATACCCTATATGGTTCGATTCTCAGTAAGTACTGCTTCATTCTTTGTGCTCTGCGAAGACGCTTGTTTTATGTTCAAAATATCACCCGCAGGATCGAAATCTTTGAAAATAAGTGCCTCATAAAAGCTGTCCGGCATACAAAATAATAAAAAAACACCTTTCATAACCCAGATAATTTATTCTTTATGTTTTCAATGTTTTTAACTGCTCGTAAATATGCAAGATGGGGTCATTTTTATATAGTGACAGGACTGGCATATAAGCAATATATAAGCGTCACCGGAATGCTGGCGAGCCTTGAACACACTCTATATTCCTTTCGATCGCTATTTTGCTTAGAATCATTGCTTGTTTTTACATACCTGCTGTGAAACAGAGGTTTGGGCCAGAAACATACCAAAGTTAAACACTGTTCACTGAGGAAGAAAAGTGTGCTAACTAAAGCAACAACTTTTACAATGTTAATAAAGTTGCATAAAATTTGGTAAGACCCAAATAACAAGTGTTGCATGTTCTTTTCCAGCAAAGAGACAAAATGCAAGCCCGTTTTTCCATAGAAATGCACAGGAGCACCACAGAAGTAGACTGGTTGCTGTCTGCTTCAATTTTCTTCCCGGATGTCGCATAGACACTAGTGCCAGTTGAACATCTAGCATACATTATAATAACTCTATTCCCAAAATATGGAACCCTGGTCACATTTCCCTTCCAGTGTTGGCATACTACTAGATGCTAACCCATTGAAATATCTTGCAAAAATGAAACCTGCTTTGAGATGCACTTTATCAGTTTTAATATTCCTGTCCTTCCAAAACACCAATGCAGAAGAAGCTCTATGAGCTTCTTCTGCATTGGTGTTTTGGACCTACAACAATGCGGATAAAACTGACATACTTGTGCTAAGTAACTATGGCCCGGGTGAGCCAAGCAGTGGTCAAAGTTAGGAACACGCCACAATACCACTGAAGCACTCTTCCTGTGAACAGTTTTCACATGATTCGCTGTCACTCTAATTGGCTCCTAAAAGCCGCAGCATTCATCCTTTGGCAAGCTATACTGAAAGTGAGTGTAATTAACTCAGATGGCCAAAGTCAATATATCAAGTTTAAGGATGGTCCCTGGAAACATAGCACCTAAAGCTTGTCTGAGAAAAACATTAGTGCGCTCCTTCAATGTACAGTCAAAATGTCCCGTATGCAGAATGCGTCAGCAGTTCATACGCCAATCTGGGCAGCGTGACTTGACACCACATAAAATTCAGATGTCAAGTCTGATGCCACATGACATGGTACCACGTGGCTGAGCCCCAAGTTCAATGAGGAGAGACACAGGGTGACCTCACCTTGAAGGTCTTCCCACAGAGGTCGCAAGTGCAGGACTCCTCCTGCACCTTGTGCTGATGCTGGTGACGCTCCAGGTACGCCTTGGACTCGAACAGCTGCCCGCACTGGTCACACGCAAAGCCGCCCTTCATCTCGTGCAGACGCAGGTGGCACTGGTAGAAGCTCTCTGAGATGAAGTGGCGCCCACAGTGTGGGCAGGGCCTCTGCTTGCCCTTGTCGTGCTTCAGCAAAACATGCCGTTTGAGCATGTCAAGCACCACAAAGGACTTGTCACACTGCGAGCACGGGAACGGCATGACCCCCGTGTGTGTGATGGCGTGGGCCTTGCTGCGGTACAGGCTAAAGGTCACGTGCGGACACTCCTGGCAGCGGTAGACCTTGAGTGACGGGAACGGGTTTTGCCCGTCTGCCAGGCAAGCCGCGTCGCCCAGGTGCATGACGGCCGTGTGCCGATGAAGCTTGTGCTTGGTGGTGAAGCGCTTGCTGCAGCGCTCGCACTCAAAGGGCAGCGTCTGCCGGTGGACCTTGCTTACGTGCTGGCGCAAGCTCCGCTGGGACTTGGTGACCAGCGGACACTGGTCGCACGCGAAGCTCTTGATTGCATGCATGTTCAGCTGATGTTTCTGTAGGGTGTTCTGGGATACAAAGAAGTGGTGACACTGGTCGCACTCGAGACATTCAACTTCTGTTTTCCTCATCACCCTCTCTTTTGCACCTGCGCCGTCTTCGCACCGCAACTCGATCAGGCACGGCTTAAAGGGGTCAGCCACCTTTGCCAGCTGATAGTGCGGAAGACGCTGTGGCTTTCTTGTTAACCTCCTTGCCAGAGTGGTCTGTGCCGAGGGATCCGGCGGAGTATCTAAAACCTGGTGGTTCGCCAACTGCTGGGTTTTGCAGGTTTGCGAGTCGGCTGCCCCTGCGGCTTGGGAAGGGGTGTGCTCGGCCAGGTGCTTGAGAGCCGCGTCCTTGTCGAAGGTAGAGTGTGAGCACTCAAGGCACTTGAAGACTATCTTTGCCGACGTGGCAATGAATGCTTCTCGTTCTTTCTGTGGGAGCTTCTCGGCTTCGGCCATCACTTCAGGGTGGACGACTGGGATGAGGCTCATTCTCGGCAATTCGCCACCTGCTACCCGAGTGCCACGCGGTGGAACGGCGACTGTTGTTTTGGTGGGTGCGGTATTGACTATGGATGCAATAGCTTCCGAAGTGGGAGTTGATAGTGCTGCTATCTGCTTTAGGTTCCTACTCAGCTCGACAGGAGTCGAATTTGATGGTACCACGGGCTCTGGAATGAGGGCAGTGTCGAAGGCTGTTGCAGCGGGTACACTCGCTACTGTGTTTGGGCAATCTTTCGGGTGTTTCCCGTCCACAGACACCGGTATCAACACTAGGTCCTGGCCTGGCGGCAGTTCCTGGTTTTCGACCCGTAACAAAAACCCCATGGCAATAGCAGTAGTGTCACTGGCTTCGGGTCTGCATTCCTGATCCTGCGGCGTCTTGACTCTTGTGCCTGGAGAGTAAGGGCAAGAGGACGAATCGTTCGAACCTGGCAGCGCGTCGACAGCTTCGGAATCCGACTCTTCTGGTTCGCTCCTTGAACTGACCTGACCAACGGAATGGTTCTTTGTTTCCCAGGGGAGCTTTGACTCAGCGTCACAACCGTGGGCTCCAGGAGGAACGTAGGCTCTCTCGAGAACGTACGTTGTTGTTTCTCGGGCGTCGGCAGCACTGCCGATCGGTGCCTCTGGAGTGTCGGCTTGTTGTTTGGCATAGCCGGTCGGTGGCCGCAACAGATTCAATCTCACCCTGCCACCTTCTTCGATTCCGTTTGGGAACACCAGGTCAAGCGACGAGGTGTCCGTGTTAAGGTGGATGTCCACGGAAATGGTCATCTCGCAGCCGGACTATGCCACTTTGGTCCGCCAAAGCGCGTAGCGATCCCTAGCAGAGCAACAGTGGAGCAAAAAAGCTTCAGCTGACGATCAACTGAGCCCAGCCATTTGTAGTCGGCAGCACACCGTGGTTCTGCAGAAACACCCTGTGAATGTCCGTTGCTTTGGCGGCGGTTATGCTGGTTATGCTGATTACGCCATTACGCCAGTAATGTTCTTTCAAAAATAGTAGAAAGGTAGAACAAACCGCCGCACCAACACCAACAGTGCCCCCTATATACTTCAGTGCCAGGCAAAACGGCCTCTCGAGGCCGTCGTGCGACCGCTCGTGGCGACGGCGTGAGGGCGCTGTAATAACAGCCAACGGCTCTGAGCCAACGAAGCTGACGCCTGACGCCGCTGACGCGCTTGTAGAAACTTTCAATGGGAAAATGGCGGCTGACGGAGTTTTCGAATACATGGGGCTCAACGTTGATGAGGCTCTATGTCACCAGAAACCGAAAACGGGGGAAAATGGGCTCCATTTTCCCATTGAAATTTTAGGATCGGCTGATCTGGTTGTGACATCTAGCGCTACCTTTGGGCGGGAAATGAGCGTTCGGCGATGCCTAGTTTATTTTTCCATTTTTCCGGTAAAAAGCCTTGCAATTCTTTTTTTTTTTTTGTGAAACACTGTTTTTCGGATTTTAAAACAGCGCTAAAAGACGAGGAACAGATAAAGAAGCGACACTGCGCTGCGTCTGTGTTACTTCTTTGTCTGGTCCTCGTCTTTTCGCGCTGTTTTTAACATCGGATAAAGATTTGTCCCATCACTAGTTGTCACGTGACACAAACCGCCGGATTGGCCGGAGCAGCGCGGCAGCGCCAGTGGCGCCAGCGCCCCAGCGCCTCGGATTCGCTTGGGTGAGGTTCAGATCACAGGTTCAGATAGCCTTCGGGTCTCCGAGTCGACGTCAAGCAGTAGCTGGGTCGAGTCGTACGGGCCGTACAGGCAGAACAGGCTTTATTTAGTGACTCTAGTACAGGCATAGTACTGGTGGTACAGGCACAGGCTCGCACCGTCGTTGCCGTCGTTCGTCAGTTGTACGGTTGTACTACGCGGTACCGCCGTAGCTGCCCTAGCACTACCCTGCAATTTTAGCCATGGCTGGCTAAAATTGGCGCTCTGGCTCAAATTTTGCTGTTGTCACCCGTCACTCGGACAGGCATGCGACGACGTCGGGCAAGAACTGGAAGACGTGTTCCTGAAGCTAAGGTACCAAGTTTTCTAAGTACAGCCAGAATCATATGAAGTGAAGCACGCAGTACAAAGCCCTATCATACAAAAGTTTCAAACTGAGCTGCTACCTTGATTTTCCATTTTAACGTTTTTAAGGAATACCTCCTGACCCTCTCCAACCCATACAGCAATAACATATGTCATGACAAACAAATTATGCTGTCGCTGTCATTCTATTCCAGATCAAATCAAATAGTTTATTTTCCCATTCCACAAAAATGGGGGAGGCTGAAGAAAACAGCTGATAAATCAGCTTGATACATTGTTGCTCATAAAAGTATGCCGATTGTATTAACTCGTGTATTTTTTTAGCGTTCAGCACGATCTCCAGCTGATATCGAATCTCCAGAGCTGTCCTCCGATGACATCGCGGACCTCAGCGCAGAAACAGAACTGTCTGGCAGTAAACATACTGCAAAGGTACTGAAGTTGTCACTGAAGAAGTTTAGCAGCCCAAGTTGACCGTTGTGTTCGCACAAGGGTAGTTTCACATGAATCTATCTGTTGATTTTAAACATGTTTTTACATCAACTGACATTGAAGAGACCGTCAGTAATCATTTGATTTGTCCATCCTGTATACCAGCCTTCTTATTTACAGAGAACGGCGTGTACGCCACCCAGAATTAAAGCATCAAGGGATCGCAAAATGGTACATAATGCACTGCTTAGTTGATGCTTTTAGTAACAAGTTGGGAGTGCCTCTGATTGAGGGTATGCCTGTTTTGCTCAGGGAAATTTGCAATATGGTTATGAGTCAACGCACATTCATGCTTCGTATGCCAAGTTGCACCTTCGATTGGTTGTCACGCTACATACGGAACACAAATATCCCGGTGACGGGATGAGGACGATTTGTCACAAGCCGACTGGTAACAGGATGATTCGTCACACAGGAACATTCGTCATAGAGCTACTCGTCCATTGGACAGCTGTTTACATCCACAGTGCAGGGAAGGAAATAGTAATTTAGTTACCACAATTTTAAGTAACTAGCAATTAGCTATATTTCTTGATGATTGTGCAATTAGAACAATAGAACAGGATGCTTTAAGAGGGAACTGAAGTGGTTTTATATTTAAGAAAAACATTTAAATCATATAGAAATTGCAGAGAAGATGCAAGCGAGCTGGTGAACTTTCAACATTGTAAAACCCGAGACGTAGGACAAAAGAAGACCTGTGCCTGTGTCTGTGTTGTCCCCTTTTTTCTTTTGTCCTACGTCTCGGGTTTTACAATGTTGATTTAAATCATCTTCGTTTGGCCTCTAGAATCACGGATACCGAGATTATTTTTCTGTTTGGTGCACGGAGGGTGCAGAAAACCATTTTCAAAGTACCGCTGAAGCCCCTTCTTCCCAGAGCGTGACGTCATATTACGTGTCTTTGAAACCTCCGCTTGTGCGCATCTTCAATGCCTATCAACAGTATGCACGTGCACTATTGATATTTTGAAAAAAGGTCCGAAAAAGACGCCTTGACTTGCAATTGCACGTGCTGCCCACATGAGCAACACGCGCCTGGCGGCCGAAAGATCATCGTATGGCATAACGACTGATCAGAGGTTTTTTTATGTTTTTTCACATTTAGTTGCATCTTCGGAGAAAACAAAAGTGGTATTGAGATTCACGGGATAAAAATACTATAGAATTCGCCTCTAACTCTTTTTTTTTTTTCAAGAAACCTTTTCAGCTTCTCTTTAATAAAAACTAATATGCATGCCAATTTATGCACTTCTGGAGGATATACATAATTGTTCGACCATCATGCTATGCATAAATACCGCATGATGTTGGTTTCAGACTGCTAGAAATCTCTCTGCACAAATACAGTGTGGGTGAAATGGATTAACACACTTTAAACTGAGCACATAGATCGGTTTCTTAACTTGTCATTCTGGGATTTGCTACAGGGGTGCCTGAAGGTGGTGGAAGCTTTCTTTAATATCGTGGAAAAGATTGGCTCACCTGAGTGAAACATGAAAAGTAAAAAAAACTGTTTTCTCTATACTTTTTATGTACACTGAAAATATACTTTTTGTTACTGTGGCACTTATTTGGGCCAAATGAAGAGAAGAATAGGTAAGCCAATTCTAATTTCTTTCCATGTCACAAATGTTTCAGTCGTAATAAATGACAAAATAGCCCAGAACGATTTTCTGATGATTTTGAAAAAAAAGGCTTCGTGAGAATTTTTTCATAGACAAAGGCAGTATGTATTTTCTTTCTTTTGACTCCGCAGGTTTCATGTATTCATTCTCTCAATTAATGAATGACCGCCTTCGAGCACCCCTGTAGTAAATCCCAGTGCAATAAGTTAAGAGACCGATTTATGCGGTCTGTTTAAAGTGCATTCAATCCATTTCGCCCACGCTGCATACTTGGATTAGAAACTTTACTACTCCGACATAAGAAGTCCAGGACATGAAAACACAGTGTTTCGGACCACTGCACTAGGCTGTCAATGCGGCGGGTGCTGTCGTACCTTCGAGCGAGGAAGTGTATCTTCCTGTTACAGTCAGCATGTCTATTTTATTTTTTAACACTCTTGTAAACGTGGTTCCACCTTCACTTTGTAAGATCTTCATTTCATTAAGGCCAAAGTGGCAATCAGGCGGGCATATTAAGCTCGGTGACATCACTAATAGCGAAAGCAGTGCCCCATGAAATGTTATGTAGAGTTCTACTGTTTTCCACTGCAAGATAAACAAGTGATTTAAAAAGCAAAGTTTGTCAATGCTAAATATAGAAAAGGTTTTGGCACACACCTGCTGTTTAAACGACTCCTCAGAATGCAGATAGCAGTTCAGTTCGCCTCAAGTGTACGATTACGTGAAAGTGTAACAATCCAACTGCCATACGAATCAGTTGTTAGTTCTGCTTTATATTAAAATCTTTTTCGGAAACTTTAATAAAGTAATGCCTTGTCCCTTTCGTTGCACATACTTATACGAAAACCCGTTGTGAAGCAGCGTCGCTCCACTTCTTCCCATTGCGATCACCTCTGCTTTTGAGAATGAAGTCAGAGTTTGACAATGGTCATTCTCAAGTTGCTACAACATTCCCCGTTCGGGTCACTGTGCTTGCTTCACATTTTCGGGAAATAAACCATTGTGCGACGGCTTGCCCACATGACGAATCATCCTATGACCAATGTTCCGCTGTGACATATGGGCCTGTTACCAATTGTCCTGTGACAAATCACCACGTGAGGAATAGACCCTATCCCCCGGTTACTTACGGTTGTGTCTCAACTAAAGTCGGTGAATCCTGGAAAAGTAGTACCAAGCTGCCCCTATGGCCGCTATTTTGGTCCAAGGAATGAGCAATTTCTCACTGACCTCTCCATTCTTGGTGTGCATTTCTTGTACACAAAGATTTCATTGTCCACACACTGCGAAACGAGCGCACATCTTGGTGACATATAAATATAAATGTCACAAGCAAGACAATATTGTAGAGATAAGCATGATCGATAATTGATTGCATACAATGCCAAATATGCTTTATTGGCAAGGAATGCTTTCAGTACGATGGCGCTCCATGGCAATTTTGGAGGGACTGGTTCAGAACAACCTTTTCGAAGCTTCCAAGATCTGAAAGAACTGAAATGGCGATGCCATGGCAACAGAGAGCGATCAGCCAATTGCCTTGCGAGGTTTTGCTTGACTGTATAGTAGTATGTGTTTGTGTCCTGGTGGCACTACTTTCCCAGGATCCAATTATTTTAGTTCCGAGTAAGCCTTCACATCGAAGTCACTCATTCATAATACATCTTTCAAAGAACAGTGTAAATAGGCCTTAAGCATAAATTTTGTTTATTGCCCTTTTGTGTGGTCTAGAATGCAGTGGCCAACACTCAGGTGGAAGTAAAGATGTAATTTTTGCCAGTGACTACTTTGTTACCCACCATCAAAATAACTTCATGATCGCAGCATCACTTACTAATGGCACGAAATTGTTAATTATTTTTGAGATTTCTGTCAAAGTACTTGTATCATTTTGATATCTTGCATTCAAATAGCTATTTTTTTTTTTTTTTTGCCTCTCAGTCAAAATGCGGAAGGAAACCGAAGATGGCGGTCAAAGAATGATAGCGTTGCACTTGGCGTAGCAAATCGTAGAGATCCATGTTTTCCGACACTGTATGTCATGCAATCGAACAATTTTTATGGCCCAATTTTTTAAGTTAATTGGGTAGCGAAGAAAACTTTTCAAAATTTCTCTCAGCTAACAGGCCATGCATAACACAGGCTCAAGAGATATCACACTGGGACTGCATTGGTAGCTTTGCTTGTTAGGTCGCAGTGCGCAGCAGCACCAAAGATGCTATGTGTCACGGATGTCAAATGTGGCAACAATACGTTTCATGATTTATTTCGCATCATTTATGATGGAGGAATAGCTCTGAAGGGGTTCTTAATTGTTAGAATAAATAGTAATTGCTTCAATCTGCGACATTCTTTGCAGTATGCAAGGGCAATGAGGCCACAGATTGCATAACTAAAATGGTGCCATCCTGTCGGTTTATACCAGTCAAGAGACATAAAGGAAGCAATGTTTGTATTCAGAACATTTTATTTGACGTACCAATTACTTGGCAGCCATTTTATTTGATGTACCAATTGCTTGGCAGACAAAAAAGTTTTAAAATAAAACAATGGAACTCTTGGAGAGGGAGGCCGGATGCCAAGCAATATTTTGTGTCCGTTCAAAGGGGCACTTGTATGGTAGTGGAAAGAGGAAAACCATTTTAAACTCATGTCCTTCGAGATGAGGAATTCCTGATATGAGACAGTCGGGGTGCTTGGTTTTTTGTCAGATTGCACACCCGACAAAGGTCTTTCACAAAAATTGTTCTCGTATAGGGGGGAAGCAAAAATCTGTTTTTCGGTTTTAAAGGGGCGATGCAACGATTTTTCTACCTTGAGCAAATACAGTTTAGAACGGATCCCTGGCCTTAATGACCTGTGAAAGACCCATTCGTTTTTCACCACACGCAATAGAAGTCGCAGAACAGATTAGAGAAAAACGTTGATTATAGCCTCAGGCTGGGGTTGGCAAGGCGCAGGACAAGCGGCGAGTTCCAGACATTGTTATGGTTCGGCTATTGCTGTCATTGCAGCGATTAGACACGAGCCACTACCCAAACGCTCCTCGAGCTATCGATTATCACGAGCCCAAATTGAGTGCCCACGCAATGCTCAAGTCCAATTTATGAGCCGCATCCAAAAATCTTCACTGGGCGGTACTGCGACCGCCCAGCTACGTCATCAAGTCTTGCAAAGGAGAGATTGAATGAAAACGCTCGCTTTTGTTTTTGAAATTGCCCGCAACAATGAAGTTTCTTGGCCAGTGGCATTGTGTGTGAGCATCCTTGAGTCCCAGTAGTGCCAGTAAGCTTGTGTAAAGTGAAAAACATTCCAATTGAATATTGTTGCACCGCCCCTTTAATTGGTTTTGACATTTTTATGGATGCTTATCGGTGTTTTTCGGTTCAACCGGAGACTCTACAGCCTAGATACATCTGGAAAGTAAAAATATTCGGTCACACTTTTAATAAGAAAAAAAATTTGACATTTACAATACACTGTAACGTTGAAGTAGAGCGCAGCTCTTGAGGAGGATGAGAAAAGGGTACTGAGGGGAGGTTATACCCCTCCTCCCTCCTATTCCACTTCCCCTCATCCTTCAAGCTCCTCCTCCCTTCTCCTCCTCCCCTCTTCCCTTCTCATTTTCCCCCTCGTCATCCTCCTCCTCTCCGTGCATTGCATCATGGGAAGTGTCCCATAATGCACCACGCGGGACCCTAGTGACGTCACTCGTGAACCCAAGTGTGATGTCACAAGGGCCCCGCGCAGTGCATTATGGGACATTTCCCATAATGCACCGCGCAGTTACGGCGATGGCAGCGCCGCTCAAGCCGGAAACGGGCACCTAAGAGCTGCGCTCTAAAAGGCGATATGCTTGATTATTTATTTTCTAAGACGTTCAAAACACAAAGGTCCAGTTGTCGCCGAAAAAATAAGAAATACAAAATCAATTTTAATGCTTCTTTAAAGAGCGGGGGTGACAGATGGGCATCTTAACTAAAGTCCTCCGTCTTTTTGTTTATTTCTGCGGGTGTTTTAGTTTCTGTTCAACGTAGTAGTGATTTTTTCTACACAAATCACCCTTAGAAACTTCATAGGCTCCAAATTTTATCCAAACTTGTTTAGTGGGACCCATAGTTTCCCATGGTTTCCATGGTAGTTAGGTCAAGAAGCTGGCTACAAATCTTGGCCTTTCTTACACTCTTTTAATATGTTTCATGACCATGAATAGAACAAGCCCTTCCATGAAGCTCTCTGGTCAAAATAATTGGTGGTTTCTTCTTCTCCAGTATTTGCTGTGCTAAAGAGGAAAGTGTGGAAGGCCTTGTGGGAGGAGCTTCTGCTGTTCTTAACCTGCATCAGACTATAGTACTCTGTCTCTGTGATGAAGACTAGGTTGCATGCCTCCGTGCACATCTAAAACTTAGATAGGGTCTCGCATTGCCATCATACTCCTTTTAGCACATCATTCCTTGTATTTATAGTCTGATTGTACAACCTCTTATCTAGACTTTGCTTTATGCATCTTGCAGCATTCAGCCCAGGCTCCAGCTGGTATCGAAACTCCGGAACTGTCTCTCAGCGCCATTGCTGAGCTCTGCTCAGAAACAGAACCGTCTGACAGTCAACTTGCCGCAAAAGTACTGCAGCTGGTCCCAAAGAAGTCGCAGCGTTCGGCAGATTCTTTGTGGAACATAATATCGAAATTGAACTGCGTCCAAACCCATCGCGGTGCTCGTGCAACAGGAGTTCCATGGGACACTATCTGTGCTGTGTTCAAGCATCTTTTTCCCCAAATTGAGGTTGAAAAGACCATCTGTCATCATGTTGGAAAGAGTTTTGCTGGAAGTTCAGGTAAAGATGCTTCTGTAGCCGCCAGGCGCGATCGACGGAGGCACAGCTCCAGTAGCTCTTCCCCACCATCTTGGCTGAGTGAAGCTCCTCTCCCAAAACGTCCACCACGGCAAGTGGAAGCAATGCGGTCAAGGACTGTATCGTCCGACAACAGCTCCAGTTCTGAGGTAGAAGAGCAGACTTCGAGCCCACTAAGTAGGAGACGGCACGCTTGTGAAGCTGGTAGCCAAAGAGAAGCTGGGGCTGTACAGCTCAGACATTCGAGCAGGTTGCATGAAGTACCCTATTCACCTGGAAAGTGCAGGAGAAGTGACGACTCTACCCATCGGGACACGAGACCAGACAGACGGGCGGCGGCTTCTCAAAAAGGAAAGATGACTTCTGAAGATGCTGCCAGTAGCTTGAAGATTTCAGAGGCAGATCTGCCAAGCAATACTCGTGCTGTTTGTTCTTCGTCAAAACAAGTTGCAGGCTCCCCCCCCTGTCGGAACTTGGAGCAATGCGAAAATCCCGTTGAGGAGCGCTCAACTCAGCAGATTGGTAGAAGGCCGCCTATGTTCCAGGAGGCTTCGAGCCATTCGCCAATAGCCAGATATAGGGACAACCCAGCAGCCTCTATGTTGAGTTTGTTCGGGCGTTATCCAGTTGTCGAGATTGAGAGGTTAAACTTTGTAGGGATATCTCCCAAAGAGGCCAGCGGAGAACAGGTGCCCCCCAAGACGAAACCTGCGAAGACGGCGAGTGAGAAAGTAGTGCCATTTTTGCCGTCTTGCCTGTCGTCTTCTCCTCACTCTAACAGAAAGACTATGCGAGCCAAGGCCAGGGAAGGTAGCGATGCCAACACACGTGGAGAGAACCTGGGTAGAAGAGAGACACTGCAGCCGTCGTCAGCCTCTGAACAAGCCCGGAGAGCTGTCTTTGTGAGCTCTGCAGATGTCTCATTAACAGACGTGTCGTCAAGCTCTATTGAAGTTAGCAAAGACCCCTTAAACAACATAGAAAAGACAGCAGTTGTTGCTGCAAAGGAAAAGCAAAGTCAACCAAGAAAGCAGCAGGCTGTAGGAGCAAGCAAAGGAATGTCTGGTGCTAAATCATTAACAAAAAAAGCTTTGGATGCACATGAAAAGAGTGTTGCTGCAGATGTTAATGTTACACTAACAGACAAGTTGCCAAGCTCTAGTGAATCTATTGAAGAATCTGTGAACATTACCAAAAAGACAGCAGCTGTCGTTGCAAATGAAAAGCAACGTGAAAAACGAAAGCGGCATGCTGTAGGGGAAAGGGAAGAAATGTCTGGTACAAAGTCATTAACAGAAAGAGTTTTGGATGCCCATGAAAGGAGTGTTGTAGCATCCTCAAGTAGAAGTGATCCTTCAGATCCAAGCTCCAAAACAAACCACGCGTCTCAAAAATGCGGGCCATCTGGGGAGAATTTACAACCCCTCACAAGTCAGGCCAAGGAGAGGAGACCGCCAGAAGAACTTGTGCGAAGCCAGGGCGCTCCTGTCAAAACTGTCGCAGCCAAAAACACAGATTCTGGGCAAGTCCGTGGCATTCCTGAAGTGAGATCGAACACAGGCCTGCATGATGGAAACCGGTCATCAAGTTCAGCCTCTTCTTCTAGGCCTCATGGCGCATGCAGCCGTTCTTCCCAAGCAAGCTGTTTGGATAACCCCTGGTCAAAAGTCAGTAAAAGGATGAGATTCACTCCACTACAGGAAGAGGCTCTCGTACGAGGCGTCATGAAGTATGGCACTGGTGGTTGGAAGCATATTGCAGACGAGGGCTGGTTCGACGGGCGGCTCTCGCGTGAGCTGTCGGATAAGTACCGCAACCTGCAGAAGTATGACCACCTCTCCAGGGTGAAGGAACGGGTTAAGGCCAAACTAAAGCGAGGAATAGACCCCATGAGGGAACTTCAAGACCATAACAGGTCCATTTATAATACTCGACGCGTGTGTGATCACTCTGCAAGGCCTAATATTCTGCCGTCGCAAAGAGTTCACGCAGCAGCTTTGGTCAGAGACACCACCTGTGGAGGACCCAGAGACTCTGGCTTGGGAGACGGGACACGGGATGGCACGACCAAAAACCTCCACCCCTGCTCCTCAGCTACAAGCACGAACGCCGGAGTGGATGTCCCTCAACGTCCCCAAGTGCGGGACAGGGTGGCAGCGGCCGACGTTGAGGGGGATGTCGATCCATTGTTAGCCGACCAGCCTTTCTCTTCTGCATCTCAAAAGCACTGCAGGGGTGAGTCAGACCCTGAACCAACACGTGAGGCAAAGGATGAGAAGGCTCGCAAAAAGGCAGTTGAGAAAAGCGACGGAGCACAGCCGTCAGTGTCTGGCACGCACGTGCAGGAGTCTCCTTTGAACTCTGACACGGACGCGAGTTCGGACGATTCGTGGACTACAAAGCCTGTCAAACCAGTGCCGAAGAAGCAGCGCCGCAACTGTTTCTTCACTCCCCTGGAAGAAGAGGCACTCGTCTGCGGCGTGCTCAAGTACGGGCCAGGGAAGTGGTCGCTAATTTTGAACGAGGGCTGGTTTGCAGGGAGGAATGTGATCCAGTTGAGCGACAAGTACAGAAACATGCTCATATACGGCCACTGGGAAAGATTGAAACGGAAGGTGGAAAAAATTGTTGGAACACCCGACGATCCTCTTCTCAGGCTTAAGGAACTAAACAAGGCTCATTGGAGAGGCACACGATAGACTGTACGCCTTCTTTCTGTAATATAACGGTGGCTTTGTGCCAATTAGGTTTTACTTTTTTATTGACACATTTCTCAGAATTGTATTCATCTACGCAGGTGTCAGTTGATGCTTTTAGATCATTTGCCATGCTGGTTTTGGTTATCTCTTGTCCTTTAGTCTGATGGAGCTCAATTTTCTGTCCTGATTCTTCTATGCTAAGTATGAAGTGCCTTGGAATGGTTGCGTGTATATATTTAATTATGCAGTTTTATGTGCAGTAGGCAGCAAAGGTTTGCGGGACAAAGGAGGGGCCAGCTGAAATGACTCGCTGCGCCTCCTGACGGCGTGCAGCCGCTCTCAAGACTCGTGCTTTGCGCGTGCTCTTTTCGTGTTTTCACCGGTGCTCCTTTGTCCCGCAAACTTTTGCTGCAGACTGTACCTATAGGATGTGTTAAGTGTACTTTTTTTTTTAATTCCTCTTTGTTCTTGCTAAATAAACTTGAATATTATTCTATTGGTTTTCTCGTGTATTTCTTGGACATGCGACGTTGACAGGATAGTTTCATCAACATAGGACACCTAGAATATAAAAAGTGATTGATAGGTAATGAATATTAAGTTTCTTAGTGAATTAAAATACGGAAATTTGATCTTCAGTGGAATGTTATGGAAAGTGACATCACAAATTCTGTTCTAGGTATTAAAATTGGTGACAAAAATAAGAGGGCTTGAATAGGCAGAAATGTTTACCCAAAACAATTCAAATATAGGGTGAATCGTTTTCAGTGTTTCCGCTTCCAGCAAGAACACTTTTACTGCAGATCGTTTGATTGCGGCATCCTTGCAAGGACAGTGCTCGTTTAGGTCCATATAGAAACACCATGCTGAATTATAAGACTACTCCAAATTAACGAGGCTCCTGACGCAATCTTCAGGACTTCAATACCGACTTTTCAGTTACCACCAGAACCGCTAAGCAAGCTATGCTTCAGAGTAAGTATGCTCCAGCCTCCTCGCCGCTTAAAACCGTTGTTGCCAGTTGTTACGAAATTTTATTTCAAATTGCCGGAAATGCTTTTCTGCCATCCAGAAACGTTAAAATGGCTCGCAATGGGGCAAGTCACTGGCGCCCAAGCTCCATGCCACAGCATCTGAAGCTTGGGAAGTCGTGTTTTCGAATTCTAATGATCTCCAATTGTGCCCGCTCTTAACTGAGCACCAAGAACAGCGGCTTCCACAAGAAAATCGGGGAAACCGAGTGCCGGTACTTTGAGTGTAGTAGCTTATTAATGTGAAACGTCCTTTGCCTGGGTGTTCAACATTTCTTGAAGCACAAGTTAAAGCGTGACCGCGAGGCTCAACAATGATTGGTTGACGGGTGGGAGGAGGAGTGAGGGGTGCTTGACGCTGGTTGGTTGACGGGAAGGTCCTGTGACCAGAAGGGTAGGTGAGGAGGAGCTCGACCACCTGTGGACACTGTGGGAGGGGAGATCGAGAGTATGGAAGGCTCTGGAAGGTCACCAGGTTTTTCAGCCTGATGAGCGGTACTATCGCTTCATTCTAGGACTAAGTATCAAGTGTGCACATGGTGCACAATAAACTATCACTGATGAAGAGCGTGCCGTGCTTGTAGGTGTCTGGCAGCTGGAAACTCTCGAGTATGGCTAAATGTTCGTGAAGCTAGAATGTTTCATGTAGGCACCACAATTGCCTAGCAGTTAGCCATACATTTTTACTGGCTTTATAGTTACTGCTACAGAATCGGCCAGCAGTATCGAGGCACTCTACATGCTCGCATTTGGCAGAAACGGTGAACCAAAAGGCAGCAAGGAGGCACAATTCTTCGGCGCTTCCGATCATGCTCGCAGTCCACACACCGTCGAACAGAGATGTGTGTAGTTGGACATTTAAAATGAAACATAAACCAGGGGTGGCCAGGCTGACCCGGCCAAAGAGCCGCAAAGAAAATCACAAAACTTCCAAGAGCTGCGGGAAGAAGGGGGGGGGGGGGGGGGGGGGCGGTCAAACTTTTGTAAACTTTTGTCTAGAGCAATAAACGAAACTCTAACTACTTTCAGTCTATCCGAGTCAAAAGCAGTCCAGCTGTACGTAAGGTAGCAGTAGCACAAGACTACCAAACCGCAACCTATCTCGATTTAAAACGCGTTGCACTTCTCTTTTTGGGGCGCTGCGTCCGTGTTACTTCTCCGTCTGGTCTTCGTCTTTTCGCGCTGTTTTTAATTCTGAAGGAAGTGCTCGTGTGTCCGGGAGGGAGGCGGAAGAAAGGGAGGTGGGGGGGGGGGAAGGCGGCAAACACGCGTGCGAAAGTACGCAAACACGTACTTTCGCATGTTCTCGTTGATTCGCACTCTTTATTTACTGTTAATATGACCCTGAGCTTCGAAAATGCTCTCTCAACGCTAACACTGGACACGGGCAGACTGATGAGATGGAGTGCTGCCTGAGCCAAGATCGGCCGATTAATCAATCAATTGTGACCACCAAAAGAGACACGGTGCGACGTTTTGAAGCACAACACCACATGCAGAGCTTGCATCAAGTCAGTCTTCCTTACAACGAGTTTGAAAGCATGCTCGTACACAGGGGCGGATTTGAAGGCGGGGTCCGGATGTCCTGACCCCCCTCTTGATTTCTGCATGTGTAAAATTTAGGGCGTAAAACGAAGAAGAGGGGGGGGGGGGGTCCTAAACATATGCTCCACTGCCCAACACCTGACCCCCTGCCCCTCAGGAAATTCCTGCATCCATGGCGGAGTCATGGGGCATTTCGCACATCACGTTTCGATTGATGATGCGTACATTAAACCAAAACGCCGTGACGGCATCCGTGTATCCCATACATTCGGACTCGTTTCGATAAACACTGTCGTTCCACTTGTTCGCCACGGCTCTACGGTACGAATGAAGGTCAAAGTGACCTTTTCCGGTTAAAACTGAATTTTAAAAAATGGAATCGACACACTTTTATCGGTTTTTATTGGTTTAAATCGGAAGTGCCGAACCTAAAAACTGACCTTTTTCGGTTAAAACCGAATTTCCAAAAATGGATTCGGCGTACTTTTATCGGTTTAAACCGAAAACTCCAAACCCTACCTATAACTTTTAAAATAAAGCGAAATTAGAGAAAAGAAAAGTTGGATTAAGTTACTACGATCAGTACGCTCAGGTTCAGTGCAAATTAAAAACCAGTCAAAAAGTCATTGCAGGGCCCCTTTAAAAATAAAAAAATAAAGCTCATAGAAAGCCCATCTTTGATAATGACAGAGAATTCATTTTTTTTATATACGTCAACCTCCCTAATTATCTTTTCCTTTTCCAAATATAAACACACATAAACAACCATAATTTTTTTTAATTTTTTTTTAGGGAAGGTTTAGGTAAAAATTGGTTTTGTTTACAAAAGGTATCAAGAAGAAAAAATGGTTGAAATGTTTGCTTCTCAGAGGGATAAAAAGCCTTTTTATGTGGACCAAGTGCAGCATTTTAGTTCAGATGAGGCAACTACCCCCCTCCCTCTAATATCATTCCTGTAAAATTCCAGCAAAAGCCAGCTCAATGAAAATACATTCACCTTCTTTATAGAAAAGCTTCAAGAACCACCAAAAAAAAAAGTGAAAACTTGCATATGTGAGTTAATTGAAACCAACATTGAGCATTACTTTGTAGCATTGGAGTCAAGTTCAGTGACCTGTGACAACTGATACATAGGAACTCACGTCAAATATCACATTTATTAAAATAATGTCTGCATTTTTGCTTGGCTTTTTTGCAAACCTTTTGAAGTGTCGGTCTAACTATATTACTGCCAAGCATAATTTCCGAGCCCACCGAGATAATCCAAATGCTCTCCTGCTACTCCTTGCACGCCGGTGTAAAGCAGTGAAGCTCGACCCATGTGCTCCAATGCAAGGCAGTGATGCTTGACGCGCTCCTGTCGATAATTGCGGCACCTGCGGTGTCGCGTACACTCTTATATGAGGACCTTCTTTGCTTCTCTCAAGCTCATCATGGTGCAACTGTGGCACAATCCACCTTTTGCCAAATATGTGCTGCCACCTGGACACACAACTGGATTCGAGTGGCTAGAAAACAACGCGCACGTAAAGCCACGCCCACCCGTTCGACACGCAAAATGTCAGCCATTGAGCCGCTGTGACCTAGATACGGCTCCCCCCAAACTCGCCTTTGTCCCCATCGTGGGTTACCTTCTGCCCCAAAGTCGATACAAAGAAACCATCTTCCCTCTCTGCTCGGCCAGAAGGAAGGGAGAGGGGGTACCAGATTTCATTTACTCTTGAACCAATATTTCTGCAAAAGATCCATTGTTCACAAAAATGGTATTTTGGTGCGGTATGTAGCAGACCTGCGTTCACAGTGCAATTCGGTATATATGGTACAAACGAACACTGGCTTGCGATAATTTAATTAAGATATTTTATACTTTTGGTTAATTGAAACATTTCAAAATTGTGGTTGTCCCGCTATGTTTATAAGCTGCTTAATTTGAACGCCATGTTCATGTAATTCATACATTTTGTTCTCACGGCCCCATTAAGCGCACTTTTTATCGAGCTTCTGCAGGTGTTGTCTCTCCACAGTGCGCCAGTGCTCGATAAGAAGTGCACTCAACGGGGCTAACAGTCTACAATAGACAACATTTTTTGCTCGATGTACGAGTTAATTTTGCCTTGAGGTGTCGTGCTGTCTAAACAGTCCATAGTAGACAACCTTTTTGAGTGATGAATAAATTATTTCTGCATTTCACCAATGTTTCATGCCTGGCATATCTGCTTATGACCAGTAGGTATGTGTAGAGGAGATCATCAAATATCTATATAAATAAAACGTCTAGGACAAAGTGGAGGACAACCTCAAAGTTGCTGTCTAGGACAACCTCAAAGACTCCGTCTAGGACGTCAAAAATGATGTCCAAGAGGATGACATCTATAACGACCTCAAGGACCTCCAAAATGACCTCTAGGATGAGATCCAGGACGACCTCAAAGACAACCCCTAGGACAACCTCGAGGACGACGGACGTCAGGTTACGTCAGCTTCAGCTACCGGCGCTTACGAGCTTATGCGAACGGAGCTTGCGCAACCGTCACTTAACTGACCTTGATTACACGACCTTGCACTTCAGCCATAAGGACATGGTCACGGTACGTGACCTCGATAATGAGGACCTGACCTTGAGCATGGTTGGGCCTATAAAGCTGTTACTTTAAAAGTTCCACTTGATTCAAGTGAATACAGTCAGTACAACAATGGCAGAGACTTCAGGTCTTGATTCCAGATACCCTTAAAGGGGCACCGACACTCCAAAGGTCGTATCTTTTTTTATTGTCTAAAACGTAGCACATAGTAGTCATTACCACGCAAAAAAAAAATGCATTGCAAAAAAAAATTTTGTGGGCCTTTTTATTTTCGGCCTTTTTTTCTCCTGCTGCTCACCTCCTCGCTTCTTTTGGTCGGTCACGTCAAAAATCATGAAATATAGAAGCTTGGTAGGCAACATTTCTGTAACATTTAATAACGGCAATCGTAAAACATGTTTTTTAACGCAATTGCGAATGCACTACGGCTCTTCTTTTTGAAATGCCAGAAATCAGTCCAGTGTGATGTCGCTTCCTGGATTTGTATCCTCCCTCGGAAAACTTGGCGGCACTCGAGCAGAGGATGACCGGTGCGTCGGGGAAGAAACCGTTTTTTTTTTTTTCCCGGTCGGTCCACCGGCGCTTTTGCTTTGTAGTGTGGAGCGGAGGTCCGAGAGAAAGTCGACTCGCAAGCCTCCTCGGTGGCTCTGAGGCGAGAGCGCTGGCCTCCGGATCCCCATGTGGCGGGTTCGAATCCCGGCCGAGGTGCCCGCAATCTGACGGAGGCTTCTCGCGGAGGAGGCGCCGTGTAACCGAGCTTTCGGTTGCACGTCAAAAGATCCCCAGGGGTTCCAAATTAATCCTCAGTCCTCCGATGGGGCGTGCCAGATGCCCGTCGTTGGTTTGGCACGTAAAACCCCCAAATTTGACTTTTTTGACTTAAGTCGACTTGCAGGAGACCGCGAAATTTGACGTCAGTGCACTGGCGCGGATCGCACGGGAACTTCAAATTCGGCATTTGGAAATTGTTTTTATACTTCACAAATACTGAATTCCCAAGTTTTTAATTTTGAGGGTAATGTCCCGGCATCGTTTTCAATCATTCTGAATAATAAAAAAAAAAAAAGATTTTGATGTGTCAGTGCCCTTTTAACTCAAGAATTCTGACAACGCAATTAGAACACGCTCGTATCACGCCATTCCCCAGCCGACCGGCGGATATTAAAAGAATATGCTCCTCAATATTGCCGACAGTCCAAAGTTAGAAAGTACAGCTTGTGTAAAGCCAAAGGATCCTAAGTTGTCCAAACATACTGCGTGTGTCCACAACAGCATTTAGCACTCTTACCAAAACTAGAAAAAACGAAGTCGAGAGCAGACGAAACCATCCACCACCACATCAGTTTCCGCAGCTGTCGCCACCTCCCATTCTTCCGTAAACCCTCGGTCCTGGACGTAGGCCGCGGGAGGTATCTTGTGGACTGGCTGAGATCGCTTCCGAACTAGGTGCCACTGGGGGGCAGCCTCCTCCACGTTCTGCTTTTGCCGACCCTTGTTCCCAAGCGGTCCTTCCACAGAGACTGCAAGCATAAGGAAACTGCTCCTTGTGGTGATTCTGGTGACGCTCCAAGTACACCTCGGACTCGTACAGCTGCACATACTGGTCGCACACAAGGCCGCCCCTGGTAGAAGCTCTTCTGGGCAGGGTATCGGAACAAAACGAAAACCAAAAACGAAAAACGAAAAAAACGATATTTTTTGGCGGAACGGAAACGTAATCGAAACGTTATTTATTATTTTGTTCCGGAGTGAAACCGAAAAAATTTCTTATCGGTTTTCGGTTCAAGGGAAAATATCAGGTATTTCAGTAATTCGTTTCACGCAGCGAAGAGACAGCCGTCGGTTTGTACCATAATTAAAGAGAAGACAAGCAAGCCATCGCCCCCGCGTCTAAACTCCGGGCGAACAAGCATAGCAAAAACAAAGACAAAAAATACAACGAGAAACAAAAAACATGACGCAAGGCGCCATTGCTTCCCACCAATGAGAGCGCGGTGGCGCGACGCCTCCACACGCTCGCAATGCTCTCCTTGGCTCTTGCGCCCTCTCCCTCCATGCTTTCTTCGGACGACACAGACAGACAACAGATCACGGCAAGCGCGGGAAGTTTGTGACCCGGCGTTGTAGAAGTCCATCTTTTGTTTTTCTACGGATACGGCAGTCTGAGACTCTGTTGCAAAAATGTACTTCTTCATCCCTATGGGCCTTCAGGGCCTTCTCGGCGCTGAAATTTATTTTATCGGACCAGAGGTCCTGCCTTTCACCGAGCACACTTGATGACGTGCTGCTTCTGAGATCGTGCTCGGTGCCTTATTGATCATGATCTCATTCTCAAGGAAATGAACATGATCTCAGAAGCAATGTCGTTTCCGCGGATTCCTCTAGAGCGCCTGAATTATCTATTTTTGTGTAAAAATAAACGTCACGTTCCTTTTAATTTTTGCTGAGATTTTTTTTTTTTTTTTTTCATAGAAAGAAACCGTTACGAACCGTTACGGAGCATTATTTTTTCGTTCCGGAGCGAAAACGGAACGGAACTTTTTTGTAGGGAACGAAAATGAAAACGGAACGAAAAACATTTCGTTTCAACTCCCTGCTTCTGGGTAATGCGGCACCCACAGTGTGGGCAGGGCATCTGCTTGCCCTTGTCGTGCTTCAGCAACACATGCCGCTTGAGCTTGTTGAGCACCACTCCAAAGCTGAAATAATATGTAATTCTTTAGAGACCACAGTAATTCCCTCTAAATGTTTATTAAAGGAGCTGTGCAACAATAATCAATTGGAATGTTTTTCACTTGACACGAGCTTACTGGCACACCTGGGACTCAAGGATACTCACACGCAACGCCACTGGCCAAGAAACTCCTTTGTTGCGGTGTAATTTCAAGGACAAAAGCGATCATTTTCATTCAATCTCTCCTTTGCAAAATTTGATGACGTGACGTGGGGATCGCAGTACACCCAAGTGACGATATTTGAATGCGGTTCATAGATTGGACCCGAGCATTGCGTGGGCACTCGACTTAGGCTCGTGATAATTGCTAGCTCGAAAAGCATTCGGGTAGTGACCCGTGTCCAATCGCTGTAACGACGACAACAGCCGAGCCATAACAATGTCTGGAACTCTGCGCGTGTCCTGCGCTTTGCCAACCCCAGCGCGTGGCTATGATCAACATTGGCGGCATATAATCGGCTCCAGATCACGTGGCCGCTTGTTCTGGCTGCGAGTTGAGGGGGTGAACGCTGCTCGTTTTTCTTTAATTTTTTTCTGGGACTTCTATTGCGTGGGGTGAAAAACGAACGCGTGTTTCATAGGTCATTAACGTTAGGGATCCGTTTTAAGCGGTATTTGCGCAAAGTACAAAAATTGTTGCATCGCCCCTTTAAGATGTACCAAGCCAACGAAATGTGCTGAGTTTGGATGGGTGATATATCTGAATGATAGCTACGTCAGCCGTCACTATTTTTTTTTACCAGGTTGGAGGGGGGGGGGGGGGGGGAGGAAGGAGGAGGAGGAATGCGACATCGGAGGAGGTTAACCACGACACACTGTACGCCCTCCCGCGCCGCTCAAGGGCTTGTCACACTGTGAGCACAAAAATGGCATGACCACCGTGTGCATGACGGCATGGGCCTTGCTGCGGTAGACCTTGAGCGACAAGAATGCGTTCTGCCCGTCTGCCAGGTAGGCCACGTCGCCCAAATGCAGGACAGCCGTGTGCCAATGAAGCTTGTGCTATGGGTAAAGTGCTTGCTGCAGCGCTCACATTCGCAGGGCAGCATCTGCGGTGGGCCTTGCTAAAGTGCTGGCACAAGCACCGCTGGAAGTTAGAGAAGAGCGGACACTAGTCGCGAGCAAAGGTTTCGCACAAAAGGTTTTGCACATGCCTGCGTAAGGTCTTCCGGGAGGAAAAGAAGCAATAGCACTGGTCGCACTCGAGAGCCTGTCCTCTTGTTTTCCGCATTGCCCGCTCCTTTGCAAAACCGAAACAGAAACTTTAGCTGCAACGAGCGAGCACACATTGAAACAGTCATGGGGTACACTCAGTGGGTACACCACGCGAAAGGTGCGCACGGGAGCGTCTTCCGCATGCAACGGCGTCGCAACCACTGCAGCTTGTGTGCGTGTCATACAGTCGAAGTTTGCAAGCGATACGTTATCAGGCGGTGCGGGAGGGCATACATTGTATTGGGATTAACCTCCTCTGGTGTATGGACGGTGTGGAATGTTCTCAATGCCGCGTTCCTCCTTGTCCTTTGCCCCCCCGCCCCCCCCCCCCGCCCCTGGTAAAAAAAATAAAAAATAAAAATATAAAAGACTGACGTAGCTATCATTCAGATGCATCACGCCAAATTTAGCAGATTTCGTTGATTTGGTATATCTTAATAAACATTTAGGGGGTATTACTGTGGTCTCTAGAGAATAATATATCATTTCAGTTTTGGATTTTATGGCGACACTGAAGACAACTGTACTAATTAAAGAAAATCTTGTGAAGTTGAACTTTACTAAGAATGACTTTAGCCTGCAGAAAAAGAGCTTGTTTGCAACCTGCCCTTGTGAGCCGGTGTGCAGCATGACTGCTAACCTATCTTTAATAAAAAAGATTAACAATCTGAACATGGAAAGGCCGCATGCAGTTGCAATCAAATATGAAAAATTGTGGCTTGAGTTCTTGGTCAGGAAGCCCGGTAAACCAGGAACCGAACAGTGAAGTTGAGATAAAATGTGAAGTGGCTTACCTTACTGCCGCTTTTGAGAACAAGTATTCTTATAAACCAGGTGCGCATCTTTCATCAGGTTGATAACAGCCCCCTCGTTTGCATACCACTGGAGGGATGTAGCCAGGATCAAATTTCACAGGGGGCTCTATAACACAACAGAGGGGCTAAGCTGTGCTACAGTATGCAATAGAGATTTTAGGCGTTTTCCCGACTCCTGCCTCTTAATTACCTGCTTCTTATAACGACAGCCCTCAGCTTCGTGATATTGTCCGTTCATCTTGACAACGGAATGCAAGCTACATAATACTTGTTCCACTAAACTGTAGCACTTGTGCCACGTGACCACGGACTAAGTTGCAAGTGCATGCACATGAGACGGAAGTCAAGATCTCATTTGTCCAGCCACTATCCAGCTTTAATGGCACCATCAAATGTTGAGGTTGGATTATGACTACATGGTCGAAGATAAATATCAATTTTCACAGGTAGTGTTGGGCACACTTTTGGAATCAGAAACACTTATATATACGAAGTTCAGATTAATTAAAATCAAAACTTTGCTCCTGCAGCTACAGTCCACATATATATATAAAAAAAAAGGCAAACTAGATTTGTAAAAATTGTCAACATATGTATGTTCAGTGAGCTTTATGTTAGGATTCTTTGTTTACAGCACTTCTAAGTTTGATGTGCTTTTACCAAGCTTAAAGTTAGCAGTTACTATAAAAAAGTGAATAACAAATAATTGTTACATGAAAACAGTGGAAGTGAAAATAATCACAAAGCAACACAAGCAAACTAAATCTCCAGAATACCTGCAGTTCAGAAATTGAGAATAGGCACTCAAAGCAAAAATTTGTTTCACAAGTCGCACTGATAAAATCAGTGATGGCTGAAAAAAGCAAGGAACAGTGTTGCGTGCTTAATACAGAGCTTTGTAGTTTGGTGTTTTTGAATAAATATACAGGAGAGCCCAGCAGCTGTCATGACACCTCCTCACAATTTGTAGATGGGATTTATAAGCACAGAAGAAAGTGCATCGATCATTTCTCTAAAGCACCTCATTTACCCGAACCTAATATTGCCCTTCATTGAGCAAAACATGAACATCTACTTCTTTGCACAGCATGTGAAGAGCCAATCATGGTGACTTATGGAAGAACAGCAAATGATGGGAAATAGATCTCATTTGAACCAAACAGTGAAATCTACACAATTTTAAGTCTAAAAATGATCTGTTTTCTCATCTGTTAGTCTCCTCTAAATCACTCTTATTGAATCTCTGCATGCGACACAACAAAAATATGTCCAAGCTCTACACACAAGGATGTTAAATTAGATTCGAGTAAATGCAATCCCCCCTTAAAGTTACGGTCTTCAAATTCTTGATTTAGGATATCCTTAACTTAAGAATGCTGTCAAAGCAACCAGAACACACCAACGTCAAGCAAATCCCCATCTGTCTGGCCGCCATTAAAAAAATGACTTCCATTACTCCTCACAGACACGAGTTGCAAGTCGTGAAGTGGAGCTCGTGTAAAACTAAAAGCTCCATAGCTCACCGAATGCGCACATTCACACCAGCCTGTAGCACTCTGAACAAAATCAATAAAACGAAGTGAGAAGCCTGATGGGGTCTTCGACTGCCATGGCAGCTTCTGCAGCCGTCGCCACCTCTTGTTCTTCCATGAACCCTTGGTGCTGAACGTGCCCTATGGGGGTCATCTCGTGAACCTGCTGAACTCGTCTCTGGAGATGCTGGTGGAGTTGATGCTGATGTGGATGAAAATGGTGCTGCTGCTGATGGACTTGGTGATGCTGCTGATGAACCTGGTGCTGCTGCTGATGAACTTGGAGCTGCTGCTGCTGCTGTTGCTGCTGTTGCTGCTGTTGCTGCTGTTGTTGCTGCTGCTGCTGCTGCTGCTGCTGCTGCTGAACTTGGTGCTGCTGCACGCTTTGTGGCGGAACTTTTCCCGCCCTTGGCTTTCCCTGAGCCTTGTTCCTGAGTGGCGCGGGTAACGAGGGCTTCTCAACCGCCTTGTGGGACTGCCTCAGGTGCTGCTTCAGCTTGGTGTTGTTCACGACGCCCCGCCCACACAGGAGGCAGTGGAGCTTGAAGTCCTTGGTGTGCATGGACATAATGTGCTGCTTGAGGGCTTTATGCACGTTAAAGGTCTTGTTGCAGTACTGGCACACAAAAGGGCGCTCTCCGGTGTGCGTGCGCATGTGCAAGCGCAGGCTGAAGCTCCACGGGAAGCCCTTTTGGCAGATAGTGCACTTGAACCGGTCTTTAGGGGGTGCAGACGAAGCGTTGGAAGCCGAGCCCAGGTTGGGAGAGTGGTTGTAGGTCTGGTGGGCCTGCAGCTCTACCACGGTCTTGAACCGCACGGGGCACTGGTCACAGCCATGGGGGTAATTCATGGACCGCACAATTGCCAGGGAAGATGACGAGGATGCTTCGGGGTGCCGGTGGTTGGTGTGGATGGCCTTTGCACGGACATTCTGAAAAGTGACTTTGTTGTTGATGGATGAAGATGAGGTGTCAGAATATTACAAGTAACTCAAATTGTGACGTTGCCTCTGTTCCATAGCAGAAAGTCAAGAATCAGTACTTGGTGTCCACTCGAAGGAACCATTCTCATTGTTAGAAAAGTAATACTGAGAACTAAAACTTATTTTTTTTACTAGAACTGGGTCTTACAGTAGGCAACAAACACCACAGAGCACTCACTTGCTATACATGCCTTGCACGTGACGTCGTATGGCACCGTACCAACCGCCATTGCTCCATACCATTTCTGCGCCTGTACCTTCAGCAGCACACATATGGGACCATCGAATCTGTTCTTCTTGGCAAGGCTTGCCGAGAAGAAATTCAATGGTGCCAAATGTATGCTGCCAAAGGTACGGGCACCAAAGCATGATCCGGAGCATTGGCGGCTGTTGCAACGTCAATGCAAACCATGTATCAACCAAGCAACGTTGCATTGTAACTTGCTAAGTTGACGTTAAACATCACATGCAGCTTTGTGGTTGTGAACGGCCTTCCCATTTGTCAAAACTTGCCCAGATAACCTACTCTGAACATACTTTTATGGCACGATTTGTATGTGAGCTGCAGTCACTTTCCTGGAGTATGCATGACAGAAAAACTATCACAAGATTAAGGTGTCATTGTGACTGCAAGAGGCTACTTTGAGCCAATGATCTCCATATCACTAAAAATAATGCCACCTAAATCTGAAAAAAAAAAATAAAGCCTGTTTAAAGTAATATTTTTTTAGAACTTGGTTAATTTTGATGGAACCGTCGGCATCCAAAATTGCGTGGTCCACACGAAACAATGCAGCTACAGTTAAGAAAAGTCGGACAAGCTCCTCCTGCAAAGCCCTCCACTCTTTCCACTTTAGCACAGCAAACCGTGGAGAGAAGGTGAGGGGAAAGGAGGAAACCTCATGGTGAACAGAGAGCTCTCTGAGAGGGGCTTTTCCTTCTTTTCTTAACCTGCAACAGACCAGAGTTACAGCATTTACCGCAACAAAATCCGAAAGCACCAACACTGTTACGGTCAATCACGACAGGACCCAAGCAAAGCATTATACTCACCTTAAAGGTCATGCCGCAGACTTGACACGTGCTGGGTTCCTCGTTGGTTGAATGTCGTTGCGCGTGGTAATCGAGAAAGCCCTTGGACTCGAACAGCTGCCCGCACTCCTTGCACACAAATCCGCCGTTCCTCTCGTGCAACCGGATGTGCACCTTGTAGCGGCTGTCCGAGACGAAACGGCGCTTGCAATGCGGGCAGCGCTTCTCCTTACCGTCGTTGTGCTTCAGCAAGACGTGCCGGTTGAGCACGTCGCGGAACACGAAGGACTTGTCGCACTGCGAGCACTGGAAGGGCATGACCCCCGTGTGCGTGACGGCGTGGGCCTTGCTACGGTACGGGCTGAAGGTCACGTGCGGACACTCCTTGCAACGGAAGACCTTGAGCGACGGGAACGGGTTCGTTCCCTCCGCCAGACAGGCTCCATCGCCCATGTGCATCACGGCCGTGTGACGCTGGAGCTGCGCTTTCGAGGCGAAGCGTTTCTTGCAGTGCTCGCACTCTGTGGCCACAGTCGTCCGCTGGTGAATGGTGTTGACGTGCTGGCGCAGGGAGTGCCGGGAGTTGGTGACCATGGGGCAGAGGTCGCACGCGTAGGTGATGGACGAGTGGAGGTCTTTCTGGTGCGTACGCAGATTGCTCTTGGACGAGAAGGTGCGATGACACTGGTCGCACTCAAAACGCTCGTCTCCTGTCTTCTTCGTCACCCTCTTCTTTGGGGCCAAACTTTTTGCACTCTTCTTTTTAGCCCGAGGTGGGTCGGGAGATGACGGAGGGGTGTCGGCTATATCCGACTCTGGGCTGTCCGATCGATACCGTGTTCTCTTTGTCGGCTTCTTTGCCGGCTTCTTTGCCGGCTTCTTTGCCAGCTTCTTTGCTGGCTTCTTTGCCGAACGTTTCTGCGGCGAGGATTCCAACGAGGCCTTCGGGTCCGGAGGGTCTTGCGACTCCTGGGTTTCGTCGTCCGGGGAGTCGACTGGCTTCGCTTTTTTAGAAGCAGTGTGCTCGGCCAGGTGGCTGAGAGCCTCGGCCTTGTCAAAAGTTGAATGCGAGCACTCGAGGCACCTAAAGAGCACCTTTGCTGCTGAAGCAATGAATGCTTCTCGTGATTCCAGCGGCAGCTTCTCAGCCTGGGCCACCGTTGCCGGGTGAACTACTGGAATCAGACTCGCTCTTGGATCATCTTTTTGTGGCGAACCTGCGCTTTCGGAGGTGGGACCGCTGTCTGTCGGGGCTTGTCCCTCCGCGGGCGCCGGTGCGGGCACTGGGTTCCCATTCGCCGGTGGTTCCTGTATTTTATCTCGTAACCACGACTCTGTCACGGTGGCGCCACTCGATATGAGTCGGGTGGCTTGCCCCTGTGAAGGAGCCGTGCCCGGGGAGGAAGGGCAAGATGACGCAACTCCACCATCCGACAGAGCGTTGAAACCTTCAGAATCCGAGTCTTCTGGCTCTTTTCGTGAGCTGACCTGGTCGAGGGAACGGCTCTCCGCTTGGGAAGCGTGCTTCGGGTCAGTGTCGCATGGCTCAGCTCCCGAGGAAATTCGCACCCTTTGGAGAACGCGCGTCTTCCTAGTGCGGCTTCTTGTTTCACGGATGTTGGCTGCGTTGTGGCTTGACGCTTGTTGGGCGTAGGCTTCTAGGTCGGCATCGCAAGCCACTGGCCGTAACAGATTCAATCTTACCCTACCGCCTTTGGCGATTCCGTTCGGGAACACCAGGTCGATCGTCGAGGTGTCCGTGGTAAGGCCGACATCTATGCAAATCGTCATCACGCAAACGGACTAGTCCACAGGACCACCCAATGTTGGACCCCAGGACCGCGTCCCCAAGGTCTAGCCTCTTTCCGTCACAACGCGTAGCGACGCCGGTTCTGCAAAAACAGTTGATGATCAAGTCAGTCCAACCATTGCGAAGAACACAATTTCTCTGATTCAACGCTGGCTGATTTCAGTGGAGGAGACCGGTAATGATGTCGCGTTGTTTCTGGTGGTGACACAGACACCATTCCGTGGAACTGGCACACCGCAGACTTGCTACACAAACACGATTCGGGATGATGAAAAGAATAGTGATCAACACTACTTATTACAAAATTCTAACTAGAGGGTGGAAATGTTAAAAAAATGCGATTAAATTCTCAGTAGGTAAGCAAAGAAACGAAGTAAACAGGAGAAGACATTACACAGCTTGACTTGGCTGAATGCCACTGGCTCTTAGGCCACCGGCCAAGAGGCGGCCAAGCTATCATCATCAGCTTGCAAAAAAAAAAAAAACGCTTGTTCGCGTGGGTTGGGGACGTGGACGCCGTTTGCAGGTTTGCAGTACAGCGTGCGAGAAGGAGGCGGAAGCGTCGATCGGTCGGTCGAGCGTCCTGCAAGCGTCTCCGCCTCTGCTTTGCTCCGTCTCCTCCTTTCCACCCTTGTCACCCGCAATCCTCCTTGCCACGCTAGAAACGGTATGCGCACATGCACCCATTCTGCGCAGTAAGCGTCCACATTGCAAAAGCTTTCCGCGTACTCACAAATCTAGGCAGTAGTAGAGTCCCGACTGTAGTTTGTTTTGACATTTCACCAAATGCCATATCATAACAAACGCTGCCGTTTCATAGAATTTAGCTGTATTCGATTTGGGAGGACCACCATTTTCAAAAATCGCCGGTTTGGGTACTGAGGATCCATATCACATGAGCGAATGACGTTTTAGCGAACAGCGACTTTTGAGCGAATCGACGTTTTAGCGATTAACGGGGGCGCGCGTTAACCCATCCGCCGCGCTGTGCTTTACGCCGCTTAGCTGGCTTAGCGGCGACAGTCTGCGGCAACTCATTACAAAAATGTGAACCCATTTGGCCCACCCGAAAACGCCGCTTCGTGGCGTCCGACTATTCGCTAAAATATCATTCAGTGAAACGTGGGCGTTCGCGCTCAAACGTCATTCGATCAAGTGAGTGCCTCCCGGGTAGTGAACACGTGTGCACGCCACAATCGTACCAAAAGCGCTACAACCACGAATACCAAAATATGTACAAGGCTTCCCCTTCCACCCCCCCCCCCCCCCCCCCCCCCCTCCTCAAAGCCGGCCCAAGTCATTTATTTTTTTATTGCACAAATAAATTATGCATTGCCGAAATCTCAGACTCCGTCTAAACGTAGCGCTAGCGGTCTGGACTCCATGTCACTATAGTCGGTGACAGGTCAAGAAGGAAGTGGGAGCTCCTCCCACCTCTTTCCACTTTAGCAGAGCGAACGTTGGAGAGGAGGTAGCTTCCTGAGAAGCTTCCATTTCCTTCTTGACCTGTCCAGTGCAGGCAAAGGCAACGCCAGGTGAAGAGAGAAAGGGCGAGGACTAGAAGGCGGGACGGAGCGAAGGGCAAGGGGAGAGAGGGAGAGCATTGGGAGTGCAGGTTTCGCTCCTCGTTTCCAGCCTTCCTAGTGCTTGCTCTTTCTCCCCTCGTCTGGAGTTGCCTTGACCTGTGCTGCACGCAACTAGTGACACGCAGAATAGGATGTTTTCACAAGGCATTATTCTGCTATTTTGTTAGTTTGTTCTTTCAAACAAATTTATTAATATGAAGGATTACATCACAACCTGTTAAAGGGAAGATGGGGCCCTACTGCATTTGGGAAAAAAACCTCTTGAATTGCATTCATTTGGCCTTTAGAATAACAGATATTACAATTATGTTTCAATGCGACGTGCCAAAGAGCCATATGAGCAATTTCAAAATAGGGCTCAAGCCCCGCCTCCCTAGTCTTGTTTCACGATCATCTGGTGGGCTAGTTGGTTGATCATATTATTGAATTAACAGCGCAAATACGACAGGAAAGAGAGATAAGGGAGACAGGATAGAGCGCTGAATCAGCGCTCTATCCTGTCTCCCTTATCTCTCCTTCCTGTCGTATTTGCGCTGTTAATTCAACAAAACTCCCTAGTCTTGGGCAGCCAAAAGATCCGTTGATGACGTCACGTGCAGCGACTGTCTTTCAAATTAGTCGTTAGTCGTTTATACAGCAGGAGGTTAGTCTGCCAGAACATGGCGACATTGTTACCCACTGTAGATAAGCAATTTAACCAGTGCAGTACGACTGCTAGCCTGGGGTCTTTAACGCGTGCACCGTGCAGTAGTGATACACGATCGCACGCCTGTCCGATGCTTAAGTCTTTCGCGTTTTCTCGCGTTTAACAATACTTGCGCAGCAAATGGTTTGGGTATTGGGGTTCACAGGGTAGAAATACACTAGAATTCAGTTGTAACTCAAGAAGTTTTGTAGCTTTCCTTTAAGAAGATGTCAGCGTGGTAAGACTTATAAGCTTCTGTGCCCTAATTAAGCATTTAAGGGGTCACGTAAATCCTTGGAATGCTCGCCTTCGGCATATTTCAAACAGGTCACAACAACAAAATGGGGTACAAAAATATGTTTGTGAAAACACCCTATAGCTGCCAGTTTCAGGGCTTTCCGTTATCTTATAGAAATGTAGGTGATTTTCTGAAAGTTCGAATGGGAAAGTGGTGGCTATGCAGGGCTTACAAATACATGAACATGAATGGCACCAGTAACTGGGAATGGGCACTCATTTCCCCGTTGAAAGTTTCAGATTGCACAACTTTTCGATAACGGCTAATTCTGAAACTTTGGCATCTGGTTGAGACCGCTAGTGTTACATTTGGGTGGAGACTGAGCATTTGGCGATGCATGGTTTATTTTTATGGTGAAGAAAAAAAGTTTCAATTTTTTTAGGGGACACACTGTAGATTAGCTTAGCACCTTTGCCACACTAAAAGTAGTTGTTGTTAAAATTATTTTATGCTACTATCAAATCCTAAAAAATATAATTACTGTGCTGTTTTTTTTTTACCTGAATGGCAACCTTTACTATAAGTTGCTATACGCCTCACAAGTGGGCTCATTTTCGTCTTCTGCGCATGAGAAAGGAAGTAGCGGTGACGTCAGAACGCCGAGCCCTGATTGGCTGATCGTGACCCCCTATCTGAACGTCGTCTGCTCCTTTGCAACGTCGTCTGCGTCTGTCTTACTTTTCCTGCGACTTTCGCAAATTGAGCGAGCTCGACTTTGCCTTTCAGAGAGGGCGGACGAAATAACTCGAACGGTACGTTGTTTTTGTCTAACTAGCAGACGCGCATCAAGGAGGGAAGTCAAAGGACTCACTGGCGAGGTGTCCCGAGGCGCCGAGGTTTGTTTGCTAACAACCGAGAGGGAGAGCATGTTAGTGTTCGCAACTTCCCTCCCAAATACTTTTTCACTCCTCTCGTGCGCGGCGAGACCCCTCATTCTTTAACGGCGTTGGCGGGTTAGCACAGTTAACGTCGTCTGCTTTACGTCTGCTAGTCAAAGCGATGGCTGCTTTACCTTTCCTGCGTCTGTCGGAGATTCACCGCATCTTCACCGGCGAGAGTCACCGTTGCCTCGGGAAACAAGGAGATAACAAGAGGAAGAAATTGACCTCTTAATCTAAAATTGAGGTCAGCGATCAAAGTATAATACGGGAAGGGTTCACAAGGGTCGTGCGGGCATATTCTATTCAGCACGCCAGCCGGTCGTGGGCAGACGGTCGCCGAGTCGCGGAGTGCCTGCTAGGCCTAACTGCCGTACTCACTTGGTCGCGTTCGGTGGAATCGTGGCTGTTGGAGCTTTTCCCGTGTGTTTGTGGATCCAGCGTTTTTGTTCGTCATGGTCTGTTTTAAGTACTTTTTACTTTTTTCTTGCTGCTTGAAGTCGGGACGCGTAAGAAGCGCAAGTAGAAAAATAAACGTCCATGGGTCGTCGCGACCGCGACGCTGTCAACCATGCTGATTTGATCGTAAGAAGTGCGTAAGACAGCTTTGCAGCTGTTGTAGCATTTTGTCGTAACCTGCGCAAAACTTACGAATATTTTGTTTCGTGAATAAGAACTTGTTCTTAAGTTTTGTCTTACGCACATTTTTGGCGTAAGATCGTTTCGTGAATCTGGCCTCTGCACTAACGAAAGTCGCAGGAAAGGTAAGACAGACGCAGACGACGTTGCGAGCAGACGACGCTCAGATAGGTGGTCGCGATCAGCCAATCAGGGCTCGGCATTCTGACGTCACCGCTACCCCCTGCACAAGAAGCAGACAAACTTGCCCTCCACATAAGTTACGATTGCTTGTTCTGCTGCAGGTAACGAAAATGGACAAAAAGAATGACTTACTAAAAAAGCAATGCTCATAGAAAATGACTCATTGCCTGAACAGCGCAAAGCGAACAAACTAAAACCTAAAAACACTGTGATGATCGAAAGTGTTTGCAATAAAATAATCTCAGCTGCAATAGGTTTGAAGAGAGTTTGGCCTTCTTCACTGCCAGGCAACCACAGCAGCATAGTCTGACAACTGGGGGATGACTACTTCCTTCCGCCATTTTGTTGCTCTGGCTCATAGGAGCTAGCTCTATGCAATTTCTCAGGAATAAACAAGACAAAGAAGCAATGCCATTTTGTGTTATCGCGAAATTCGCTGGTTCTAGCGGGCAACAAGCTCCACCCATTTCCAAACTGTCTCAGCATAAACGGCTCTGGGTTTGAATCAATGCTTAGTGCCATATGTTTGTTCACACTCTAACTTCATTGGGTCCAAATGGTTCACAACAGGTCAGTTGTGTGAGTTGTACCCTTATTTATCATGCTAGGTGGCCTACCCCTATATGTAGAAAAAAGAGGAAGCAATTAAAACAGTAAAAATTTGCATACAATAAATGCAAGAACAAGCAAACACGGTTGAGCTTAACTTCACCCATTATGTAAAAGGAAAATGCAAAGTTTTTCAAGCTATTTCAAATGCCATTGCAATTTTGGTCCAGAACAGAAACATACATGGAGGACACTTGGAGGCTAGAGTAACTCCTTCTGCTCCGCTTGCAGAGCAGAGCATCGCAATGGTGCTCCCAGGTGGCCATGTTGGATCCAAGGCCGCACTGAGGGAAGCGACCGTTGCTTCTGCAGGGGACCCGGAGGTACTGATGGTGTGGTTGCGAGGCGTCGTGCTGTGACGTGCGAAACAGAGAAGATATAAGTGCGGCGACACTTATATCTTCGCGAAACAGAGAAGATATAAGTGCCGTCTCCGTCATATGTCTCCGGTTTCTCTCTGTGCCCTCGGTAGAACGTAGTAGCCATAAAAAATTGTCGTCCCTTTGCAAGCCATAGGTGCACATTGTTGTCTGCTCCAAGGCACCCAGATGTGCCGGTCGCATATCACTCCGCGAGCGTTGCAGACTCGAGCAACTCGATCGTCCTTCGTGTTGTCCGCTTCTCAGACTTTCAAAATATGTTTTAAAACATTGCTCGCAATATAAAACAACGAGATTATACTGTATTCGGTGGCTACACATAATTTTCAATGGTCAGGGAACCTTACAGTTCATTCCGTTTTAGTGTAGGAAGTATATTTCGCAAACGCAAAGCGAGAAACATGCCCCGCCTGAAACTGAGTGCCTGCAAGGTCGGTTTCCCTCACAAAGATTTGATCCGGCTCGATGCATGTGATCGCTTCTCCGCCAATACGGTGTTGGCGGCACACGGAAAAGGGATGCGACACTGTGGCTCTGCAAGCGCAGCCTATACAGTACTCCACTAAAGGCCACTGGAGTGCAACAATTTTCGGTTAAGGTATGTTTCATGAAGTTTCTTAACTAAAAGTGTTATACAAAGTGGCATTCAATAAAACTGCTTCAATCTGAAACGGGTCTCAGGAATGTGACAATGCCAAATCCCATAATTTAACAAGTGGCACAAAAGTCTGTGTAGTTTTATTCTTCATCTCTTAGGTTACAAAAACACAGCTGTCAATGCTCGCGATGTTCAAAACCAAGGAGAATGTGTGTTCCACAAACAGGATAGAGTGATGTAGAGCATTTTGATACATTTACACAACATATTTCAGGGCCACGCAGACAACTATGCTGGCTTTGAGCTGGTCCCGATGCCAACTTTGGCAGTTTGTGTAAAACGAGTGGAGAGCAACACACGGTCATTGAATGCCAACAGCAGAAACAATCATGCAGCATTACAAACTAAAGCTTCGTGAACACCCGCAGTTCAGAAATCTGAATGTAGGCACTTGAGGCAACAGTGATCCGTTTCATCGCACACAACTCGGCGGTACTGATAAAAGTGATGATTGTTGAACAATCGAATCGAAGGGTCTGGCATATGCAGCTGTGCTCAGCAGTCAGCAATGACTGATGCATCACAACACACAAAATGGGATTTAAAAGTATAGGAAATCAATGCACCCCTTTCTCTGAAGCACCCTGTTCATTCAAATCTAATGCAACCCTTTCCTGACAAAAGCCTGCACATCTATTTTTCCACAGGGCACGCAGAGCACCAACCACGGCAATCTATGGTAGGGAACCAGCAAATAACAAGGCACACATCTCGGTTGAACCCAAGAGCATGATCTACCCCGTTCTAGGTTTGCTGCACACTCAAGACTAAATCCTTACAGGGGGGGTGAAGAATACGAGTGCAAAAAGGGCGAAACAAAGTTATGGCTCATACCATGAGTAAAAAAGTGCTTTTTTATATCTACTAAAATCTCCAACAGTGTCGATGGATGGTGAAAAACGGCTACACTTGCACGGCATTTGGGGATAAAAAAAATCTGCCAGTGGCTGCATCACAAAGAGGAATGTCAACTTTGCCACGACGAATGAGGCGAGGGGAAAAGTAAGTGCATAGTAGGAGAAGCCCCACCCATAAAGCTCTCTGCTCGCCGTGATTGGTGGTTTTCTCCTCTCCAGCGTTCGCTTTGCTAAAGTGTAAAAAGTGGAAAGCCTTATGAAAGAAGCTGCTCCTGCTGTTCTAAACATGCAACAGACAACAATTAGTCGTGTCTCCTCATGCACTGGCCTCCAATAAATTGAGCTTATCGGCTCTTTGCAAGCAGTGCTAAAAAATAGATGAGCAGGCTTTGCTCACAGAGTTTGCATCACATGCGAATAAATAAGTAAATTAAACAATGGCCAAGACACTACCCTCAACTTAAAAAGGCTGTCAAGGCAACTAGAACATGCTCACGCCAAACCTTTTTCCCTCCACATGGTCGCTGAAAGAATGCTCCTTTTTACGCCTCGCAGGTATGAACTGAGAATCCAAAACTACATGCAGTCTGTATAAAACAATGGGCCTTACGGGTGCACCAAACACGAGCACCGTGCCAATGCACCACTAGAAAAACGAAGTGAGGAGTTTGATGGGATCCTCCGCCACCATGGCGGTTTCTGCCGCCGTCACCACCTCCTGCTCTTCCACAAACACCTGGTCCTGAATGAACACCGCGGGAGCCATCTCGTGAACCTGCTCGACCTGCTGAACCTGATACTGCTGGTGTGTGCCGCGAGAAGAAGCGGCCTTTAATGCCCTCTCTTTTCCCTGGACCTTGTTCCTGAGCGGCGCGGGCAGCGAGGGCTTGAGCACCGCCTTGTGGGCATGCCTGAGGTGCTGCTTCAGCTTGGTGTTGTTCACGCAGCCCTTGCCGCACAGGAGGCAGTGCAGCTTGAAATCCTTGGTGTGCATGGTCACGACATGGTCCTTGAGGATCTGGTGTATGTTGAACGTCTTGTCGCAGTACTGGCACGCGAAAGGGCGCTCGCCCGTGTGCGTGCGTAAGTGCTGACGCAGGGCATACTTGTGCTGAAAGCACCGGTGGCAGTAGTGGCACTCGTAACGGTCCCCCGAAGCGGGTGACTTGGAGCTGGGCGGCCGCTTGCCGCTGGGACTGTGGCGGATGAGTTTGTGGGCGCGCAGCTCCGTCGGAGTCTTGAACCGCACAGGGCACTGCTCGCAGCCATGGGGGTAGCGCAGGGAACGCAGGACCGCCAAGGAGGGCGATGAGGAGGCCTCGGGGTGCATGTGGGTGATGTGGATGGTCTTTGCGCGAAGGGTCTGAAAAATGACACCCCGTTTAATGTTACCAATTGTGCAAATAGGAACGAGATGGTTTAGGGTCACCGACAGCCAACAGCCCAAGAAGCGCAGGGTGCGACTTTTTTGTTCACACTCCTTCCTTCATCCTTTGCCATTCTTTTTGGCTAATCCCACAATCTCATCGGCTGCAAAGAGATAATATGATGCTCGGAGCTCGCCAAGCCCTGCACCTCTTAAGCCGCCGGCGACCCTAAATGAGTGAAATCATGGTGCTGCCTTTCCTACCTAAGCGCAATGCCAAGAGTTCACACTTGTTGTTCGAATTACAGGGTGTCTAGCAAATTATTATTTTGAAATTCCCTGACTTTTCCAGGTTTTCCCCGACAACTTAGGTGAAATTTCCTGACCACTATAGAGGTGGTTAATTATAGGACCATTACAACACAAGGCATTGGGCATTGAGCACTGTGAGGATAATTTTGTACGGGCTTAATCCAACTTGCATATTCTGAAATATTCGGGTTCGTCCAGTCCGGATTAAATGAGCACTTTCTTGCCGCCGACATCGTCAGTAAAGAGGCCGTCTCCGGAAACTCTATGAAAACTTGACGCTCAACCACACACGTCAATAACCGAATGGCAGCATGGCTGCCAGATGCAGACTTTCGGAAACTTTCGGCTTAGATTGAATTGGGGTCTGCGGCTTTTCCATTTGTTACTAAATCTAGTAGCTCTAACTGGACCTAGCCTAGTGTCGCGCCCTCAATCCAATCCAAGGCTTGGACTGGATTTGTCGGCTGTTCTATTAGTATCGGGTAGCACACTCTACATCAGATATGCAGAGCCCGCACTTCGCTCTAAGCAGAATTTAGTGCCTATTTTTCTGCCCCTAAGCCCTCAAGTCTTTGCTCAAGGCACTCGATGGTGTTTCCGGCTCATTTTCTCTGACTGGGCTCGCTTTTTGACAATATCCCTGACAATTACATGATTTTCCCCGGTAATTAAAATTTCCCTGACAATTCTCGGTTTTCCCGATTGCCAGACACCCTGGAATTATGATGTCATTCAAACTGAAGCTAGAATACTGGAATTGCATCCTAACTTTAGTACACATTCTTCAAAGCGTGCGTCCTTAGTGGCACCAAAAAGAATGGTGGGAAATGGCTGCGTAGAACCGGCTTGAGCAGACAACGGAGGGAACGCAGTCGAGCGGGCGACGGCAAGCAAGCAATTGCACTACCCTTTCCACGATTGCTCTCTTCAGTGTCAAGTGGCAGATGCTGCTGCGAAAAGCATACAGGTCGTGCCGACAATACGTTGCGCGCATACGGCATGGCCATTTCGGGATTTTTTGAAAAGGGTCTCTCGCAAGTGTACTATCAACTAGCCTGCTCCACTCAGGCAATGTGCACGGTCAGTTCTAAACTTCTGAAAAGGACTATAGATGGTGCGACACTGCTAGTGCAAACAAGCAACCACTGTTTTTGTAACATCTTTTTACAACCGAAAAACTGTCATAAAAAATCTAGTGAGGTGAGAAATGCCCATTTGAGGCAATAACCCAAGCTGTATTCCTATACATCAACTCATGTTTACAAACAAATCGGAGCGCCCCTGGTGGCACGCCACCAGTGCCTACTTGCGCGATGAATTGTGGGCAAGAAGCGCTGTGGCCCACATCAACGAACTATTAGAATGCGATGCTGTCGGTCCCGTGCTCCAACGCAAAAAAGAGTCCCGTGCTCTTTTTTGCGTTGGAATTTTTGATTCTACAGGGTGAAACAAGGAGACGCCAGGCTCTTTAAATCGACCGGAAAATTCGGTTTCTTAGCCTAGCGCGCTACGACTTTGTGCAGCGTTGCCCACAGATGGTGCATTTTTTTTTGTAAAATTTGCAAAGAGCGAACTTACCTGAGGAAAAAGTAAAGAAAGAAAAAGGCTTAGCTCCTATGGAAACGCAGCGAAACCACCGGTCTGCTAACAACACGGCACCGTTTCGCACGGAAGAAAAGAGATGGCGCAAGCGGTCGCGACGCCAACTGCTGTCAACGAACGAGCAGACGACGCCGAGAGTCGGCGTAATTAGCAGACAAGGAACTGCAGTTCCTTGTTGTTACTGCGCCTGTTTCTGTTTCTGCGACTGTTGTAGCCTGCGGAATGCACGCCGCTTTTGAGTCGAAAAGATTGTCTGCTAAAGACGCTGGCTCTCGGCGCCGTATGCTCATTCGTTGCCGGCGTTCGTTGCGCCATCTCTTGTCTCCCGTGCGAAACGGCGCTGTGTTGTTTGCAGACCGGTGGCTTCGCTGCGTTTCCATAGGCGCTAAGCCTTTTTCTTTCTTTACTTTTTCCTCAGGTAAGTTCGCTCTTTGCAAATTTTACAAAATAAAAAAAATGCGCCATCTGAGGGCAACGCTGCACAAAGTCGTAGCGCGATAGGTTAAGAAACCGAATTTTCCGGTCGATTTAAAGAGCCTGGCGTCTCCTTGTTTCACCCTGTATGTCTTCCTGGCAATGTCTTCCTATTTTAGTGACCCAAGCGAAATTAATGCGGCTTGTTACACGGCAAAACTTTGAATAAATAATTTGACATGGGGGCGAATATTACCGCTTGAACACCGGAGAATGGGCACTAAAGCCCGATTCACATTACGAGATTCTGCTTGCTATTTTCAGTTAATCACACTGCTCAGGTTGCAAAAGTGTAGGCGGTAGCTACGATCCTCGAAGTCGATTGTGAAAATTGCAAGCAGAATCGGACCAAGTGAATCAGGCATAACAAGTTGGCAACAGCCACTGGTAACAATAATAAACATCTCTTTGTAGCCTACTGTTTACACCAAGCCTACTTACCCCAAACTAAAACTTACCTCTCATCGCAACATTTAAACGAGCAGACGACAGATTGAAAAAGTTTGAAAGAGCAGACGACGATCCGAGTGATCAGACAGCGGGTGATCCGGACAAATTGACGGTTTTTCCGCATTCACATTGGAACAAAACAAATAAATCTTACGACCACAAGTATCTGTGAATTCAACCCAAAGTGCTTCCTGCACAGGCAATTGTGGTCCGACGCTTTCACGGCACATATCTACGTTCTCGAACGAACTGACCAGGCAGAAAATACATGAAAACTGATCTTCACATCTTTCCCGGCTCTCTCAGTACAGCCCCAGCCGTGGTATTTTGTAGAGAAGGCAAGTTGTAGTGTGGCTTCTTCCAAAACAACACAGGAATGCCTGCTCCTCATGGCGGCTTCCGCTTACACCCTCAGAATAGAAGTGCACCCGAAGCGCCACCGCTGCAGCATGACGTAACAGAGTTGAGTTGGTGTATACGTATCTGTTCATACCCTCTTGAAGTAAAATACAAAAAAAAGTGGCAACAATGTGTTGTTGCAGTATTTACTCTCACAAAACCTAGAAGTGCCAACCCCACTATGGTAAATTGTGACTGGACAGAAGACTAGCATTGCACTCACCTTGAGGACCTTGCCACAAACATGACACGAACAGGGTTCCTCATAATTTGAATGCCGTTGCCTGTGATGTTCTAGATAGGCCTTAGACTCAAACAATTGTCCACACTGGTTGCACACGAAACCAGCCAACGTCTCATGCAACCGGACGTGCCACTCATACCGGCTATCCGAGATGAAATGGCGGTCGCAGTGCGGGCACTGCTTCTCCTTTCCCTTGTCGTGGAGAAGAATTATGTGCCTCTTAAGTTCGTCTTGCACCACAAAGGCCTTATCGCACTGCGAACACGGGAAGGGCATGACACCCGTGTGCGTAATGGCGTGCGCCTTGCTGCGGTACAGGCTGAACGTAGCGTGCGAACACTCGTTGCAGCGGTACACCTTGAGCATAGGGAACGGGTTTTGGCCGTCCGTGAGACATGCCACGTCTCCCATGTGCACCACGGCCTTGTGGAGCTGCAGCTTGCGTTCGCTCGTAAAACGTTTTTTGCACTGCTCGCAGACAAAGGCCATGGTCTGGTCGTGGACCAGGGAGATGTGCTTGCGGAGCGCCAGCTTGGACTTGCAGGTGAGGGGACAGCGGTCGCAGGAGTACGCGGCCGACGTGTGGACGTTGAGGCGGTGGGAACGCAGGGTGCCCTTGGACGAGAAGCAGGACTGGCACTCCGGACACTGGAAAGGCTTGATGTTGTTGTGCATGCTCATGTGGGATTGGAGCCCATTCTGGCTACGCATCTCCTTGCCGCACTCAGGGCACTTGTACACGTGCCTGGGCTTCTTGCACTTGTACCGGTCGGGCCGGTGGGTCTTCAAGTGGGCCCTGTGTTTGAAGTCGTGGATGGAGACCAGGTCACATGTAGCACACTTGAACGTGGGCACTTCGGGATGGCACTGCACTGTGTGGTCGCACAGCTCCCTATATACGTCGCTCGCAAAGTTGCACACGGTGCACCTCCTAACTGAGTCACCCTTACAGTTGGACTCGTGGCAGACGAGGTCTTCCTGGAGGTAGAAGGCCCGTTCGCAGGTCTGGCAGCGGAATTGGGGCCCCTTGCCCGGTGGCCCGTGGCGGCGGAGCATGTGGATGGCCAGGTTGCGCTGGCGCATGAAGGGCATGTTGCAAGTCTGGCAGATGACCGGATCCACGTGCCACCTCTCGACATGCTTCTTCAGCTGCTCTTCCGTCGCATACTTGCGGGTGCACTTGGTGCACTCGTGGGGGAATTCCCGCGTGTGGGTCTTCATGTGCACCTGCAGCACAGACTTGAAGCGGAATTGGCGATGGCACTTGTCACACTCAAACTTGTGTTCGCCTGAGTGGATCATCATGTGCTTCTTCAGACCAGACCTGTTCTTGTAGATCTTCCGGCACTTGGTGCAGGCAAAGTACTTGATGGAGTCCTTTTCCAGCTTCCGCGGTCGGCCCACCGGGCGGAAGAATGGACCAACCGGAGTCCCCGGAGTTTGTGTAGCTGGCTGCTGCTTGTCTCGCTCTTGTGGATTAACTGACTGATCCGGTTCGGAGTTGTCCGGAGGTGTCTCAACGTCTCCAGAGGCACTGCTGCTCTTCACAGTAGCAGCTGGCTTTGCAGCCATATGCTCGTGAAGGTGCTTTAAAGCAATGTTTTTGTCGAACGTCTGGTGCGAGCACTTGAAACACTTGAATATTATCTTTGCTGTTTTCCCAATCGAGGCATCCAATGCTGCTGCGGGCAGAGTAGCTTTCGTTCCAGTAGTAGATTTAGGAAGGATGATTGGAGTTGGACCAGCCTTTGAAGTCACTCCATTGGCTACCTGAGGCTTTGAAGATGAAGCAGGAGCTGGGGTTTTAGAAATATTTCCCTGGCTTCTTTTGACAACAGCGGTAATGTTTTTCGATGTCAGTGCTCCTGCTCCAGCCATTTGCACTGGGCCGGTTTTCAAGACAACACGAGAAACGTTGGGCGACATGTTAGACAGCATCTTCAGCACCGTGGGCAGAACCGCCGTTTCGATTCGAACTGAAGACATCTTTGCCACTGTCTCCTTATCCTGTCCAGGCGGCAAGTTTTCGGCCTCCTTTGGCTTGAGAGCCGAGTTTGCTTCTGCTTCGTTCTTTGAAAACACATTAGTGATGCGAGGCTTCCTGTAAGTTCTCAGAGATTTTACAGCTGGAGCCACAGTTGCAGCTGGTGAGGAAACAGGGTTCTCTGCCGTCGCAGGAGTTTGCTTGGCTGGTGGTTGACTCGACGTGCCGTCCTTCTTTGGGAAGTGCTCCTGGCAGTGAGCTATGGCGGTGTCCCGGTTTGTGGTGACGTGCGTGCAGTGCAAGCAAGAGTACAGGGATCTCTTGCCAGTGGCGCCATGGACAGGTGGCTTGGAAAGGGGAGGCGTCTTTTTCGACGCTGGCTCAGTCGAGATCGAGGGGTTGGGGGACGCGCTGCTCTCGATCGAAAGGGTTGTTTCTTTCGGCAAAGAATCGCCCACTGTAAAAGGGCTGGAGGGCCGGCTGCTCGCGATGGATATCACGTCGTCGTCGTTTCCAGCATCCATGTCGTCGGGTTCACTGAGCGAGGCAAGCTCCTCAGTAGAGCCACCGCGCTGTTCAGGCACCTGCACGAGCCTCTCGTCGACATGACACAGGTCGGCACCAGCGGAAATTCGGACTTTTTCGAGTGCGTATTTTTTGTCGAAGCAGCTCGCTTGCAGCCTCTTCCGAACGACGGTAATGTTGGCGCTGCTGTCCGCACTCTGCGCGACTGTGGTCTCTTTGCCGCTCTCCAGCACGCCGCGATCGGACGCACTGGACAACGAACGCAAGAAATTGAAGCTGACCCTGCCCCCTTTTTCGATTCCCTCAGGGAACACCAAATCGAGCGACATGGGATTCATGTCCAAATCGACGTCAACGCAAAATGCCATCGTGGATACCGTCAATGTGGGCCCGGAGGGCCCTCACCGCCGCGGCACGGAACTGTCGCGCCGCCGTGCGCGCGGGAGATGCTAAAGTTCCTTTACATCACATCAAAGCAGCTCGGAACGGCGTCGGCGTCGTCAGGTGCGTGGATAGTTCTTGCGCGTTACGACAGATCAAAGTGGGCCTGTTTGCCCTACCTCTGTGGAGCCGAAATAGCGAACGGAAATCAGGGAGGCACGGCTGGTAGACTTCGGAACATTAGTGGCGGTGGCGACGCGCGACGCGTCAGACTACTTCGTCCCTCGGCCACCTCGGCGCCCTCGGTTCACCATAGACCTGACCATAGACCACAGACCACTTCGCAATATTGCAGACCGTTGTTTCTGTGAGGAAGAATAGTGGAACAAACAATTTCACTGTGATGGCCGGTAGTCGCGTTCGAAAGGCTGAGGCCGCCAGAGGGCAATACGAGCGGAGTCACATTTTGTAGAGGGCGCAAGTGTTGGATTTAGTTGGCGCGTGAATTTGAATTAATTCCGCAAGAGTATCACGAAGTCTTCTCGGAAAGCACTCGCTCCAAAAATACGGATGCACGTTTCTTGGTGGGAGGAAGTTTGAATTTAATTGGCAGGATAAACGGCAACTTACTGGAATTAGCTCCCCTTTGGACCTTGCCAAGGACACCAAATAATTCCTAGCCCCCAATGATAAAAATGGATAATAATAATCTCAAACGCAGGCATTTGTGAAGATAGGCTGCATATAAAACAAGATTTTTGATTTTTACAGCACTCTTGGCAGCAGTGTTGTTCTTGGAGCTTTGTGACTATGCATTTCTGAAGTTATTGCACTACTTATGTGCAAAGATTTCTAAAAAAAAAAAAATGGAGTTTTGCTATCTACCGTGTCATGGCGCCAGCATAAACAAGCATGGCGGTGCTATTGGTGTATCTAGGAAGTTTTTTCATGGGGGGGATCACTGATCTCAGTGGGGGGGATTGTGTATGACTTGGGGTGTGGAGAGGGGGAGGGGGGGGGGGGGTCAGAATGCATGGATATAATATAGTTTTCTGAATTTCGGCGGTGGTGAAGCCCCATAAGTGCCATAAGCCTCCCCCCTGGCTATTCCAATGAGCGGCGCCCACGGAACAGAGCAGATAAAGCGCTGGATAGATTTTATAAAGAAGTACTGCCAAGCTGCTGCATGCTGGGATGCACCCGAGCCAAAAATGGTAAAGCGTCCCCGCCAATCTAGTTTTGTTTAGCGGCGCGGCGCCGGCATCTGCAGGAGACGAATAGGAGCATGCTTTCAAACGGCGGAGCATCACTAGCAGCCATAGCAGCCTAAAAGGAGCATGCACGTCTGGATGTGGGGGGATCGGTGGCTGGGTGGGCTAACGCACACCGGTTCGGAGCAGGTGCAGCGAAAGCTAGCGCTGCAGAACCCAAGGTTACTGGGTTCAATCCCCACCGCTGCTCGTTTCGATCTGGATGAGCATCGTACCGGCGTGGGGTCGCGTATCACTACTGCGTGGTGCACGTTAAAGACCCCAGGCTACTGGTTGTAGCGCACTGGCTAAATTGCTTATCTACAGCTGAGGCACCAGACACCCACTGAGGCAGACTAACCCCGGCCGGCTGTAGAAACATACACACAATTTGCTTTTGGTTTTGGGATGTGGGATGCGCCAGGAGCCAAAAATGGCAACGTGTCGCCGACATGCAATAGGAGTGCCCACGGCATGATCAAAATACGAATGGGCATCCAGAGAAGGAGGGGGGGGGGGGGGGGCAGGCACTGGCCTCTCGCTTAGGATTCTGACGATATTGATGATGAGATGTTTCGGTGGTGTATTTCTTGGCCGCGGTCACACTGTTAATACAGCCTACAAAAGACAGTCTAGGTACCAGTGGCGTCGGAGCAGGGGGGGGGGGGGGGGGGGGGCACCCCCCAGACAGTTTAGAAATTTGATGGAAACAATACTGAGGAGGGGGCACAAAATCGCTCTCGCCCCCCCCCCCCCCCCCCTCCTGAATAGTTCCGATGCCTCTGCTGCAGACACAATCTAGGTGCGTTTCCTCCTCGTATGACGGTCACATTGGTCATACAGAAACTGTCCGCAGGCATGTGCATACATACATGTATGGAACATACGTGCTTGGGATATGCTTGGGGTGTGTCCGCCAACACATCTGTCATTGTTTCTGCAGCAAATAACATACCTTTTGCATAATGTGCATGGACAATGTGACTCCGGCTTTATAGTTCCTGCTCGGGACGACATGACTAGGACTATTAAGTGTGAACGACAAGCTCGATGGCATGTGTATCAAGCACGGCGGAAGCCTGAAGCCGTAGTGTTTATAAAACCAACACCGTCAAGGTTGACAGTCTGACGTCACTCTTATCTCCGTCAATGAAAGCAGAATAACAGGACCAAAGGACTCTGATCCTACCAAAACATTAGCTGCATTTGATTTACCTGCCCCTCTTACACCGGTGCAGAAAAGTGTGGGGCGTTGTACTTCCGGTCGTATCTCAATACACATACCGGAAATACACTGCCATACACTTTTCTGCACCGGTGCAGGTAAATCGAGTGCAGCTAGTATTGTGCCTATTCAGCCAATCGTAATATCTCCGCTTCAGTGTGCCCCACCCCTTTCGAAATCCAGTCGACCCTATAATATATGTATACATATACTTTTTGGCACTGTCCCGCACCCCAAGTCATAGACATTCCAGGCACCTCAACAATGAACATAAATAGCAATATAGTATCAGTCACTGCCAGAGAAATAGGGGGCTGTTTCTCTACTACAGTGAACAAGTGATGACATAACTTTTTATTGTACATTTGAGTTGCACCATTTATTTTATATGATAAAAAACAAAGAGAGGTTAGTTTTTTATTTATCTGTTTTCCCTCTTTTTTTTTATATCCCTTTCTCAATTCTCTATTTTCCTCGGTTCTCCTACTCCAGTATTGAGGTTGTTAGACAAAACACTCACTTTAGATGGCCACCTCCACGGCCAAAATAAGTCCAAAGAAAGGTGACAGACCCACACTCGACCAACCTGCGACAAACCCAGAATTGTCACGTGCCACGCCACTCCCCACTCACAAAATGATCTGGGAAAAAATAGAGGCAGGGTCCTCGACAATCACATGCGTCACGGGCACTGGAACATCCTCCATTTCCGGAATGTCCAGTTGGTCCGCCGCCGGCAAGGCTGCTGCCGCCCTCCCCGCGCCCTTGCACGTCCCGCCCACGGCCTTGTGCGACAGCAGCAGGTGCTGCCTCAGCTTGAGGTTGCTCACGGCCCCCTTCCCGCACAGTGGGCAGAACAGCTTGAAGTCCTTGGTGTGCTGCGTCACCAGGTGGTTCTTGAGGTTGGCCGGTATGCTGAACGCCCTGCCGCAATGCGGGCACACGTGGGGCTTCTCTCCCGTGTGAGAGCGGATGTGCAGCGACAGCACGCACTGCGAGCTGAACGTGCGGCTGCAGTAGGTGCACGTCAGCTTGTCCGCCTCGGTGTGCTTGTTGAGCCGGTGCGCCGCCAGGCTGCTCTGGTACTTGAAGCGGATGTGGCAGACGTCGCACGTGTGGCGCCACGTGTGGTCCCCGACCCCCTTGCCTGCGCTCGCTGAGGCGCCCCGGTGGTGGAAGCGCAGGTGCACAGAGAGCCCCTGGGAGAACTTGAAGCGCCGCTGGCAGAGGCTGCACTCGAACGGCAGGTCCGGCGAGTGGCTCTGCGCGTGGTGCTCCAGGGCGGCCGTGGTCTCGTAGTAGCTGCCGCACGAGGTGCAAGGGAAGCCCTGCTTCTGCCGGTGGGTCTCCAGGTGGAGCTGGTGCAGCTTGGCGGAGAAGAAGAGCCGTGGGCAGTGCGGGCAGGTCAGCCGGCTCTTGCGGTGCACCGACTGGACGTGGCGCGTCACCTGGTCCTTGAAGATGAATTGTTTGTCGCACTCCGGGCACTGGTGCGGGTACACTCCCGTGTGCTGCACCCTGCGGCAAGGGGAGACCATGACCGGGTGCTTAGAGTCGCCAATCAAGTTACGTTTGAGTACTGTCTGTAAAACGTGTCTCCAACTGGTGTGTTTAGCGTCCTATTCCTCCGCCTATACATCAAAAGTGGTCCCAAAGAGGCAACAAATGGCGTTGCAAAAGCCGGAGTGTCACAATGTCGGATGTCCCAATCCTAGCGCTTGGTCATAGAAATGCTGGCGAAAAAGATGAGTGTCTCCGTCGTCGCACCATCCTGGCTGCTGAAGCTTCCATGGACTATCAAGCTGGAGAGCGACCTGCGGCAGAAATGTCGTCTGCTGCATCCACCACCGTTGCTGTGACACTGCCAGGATTGCAGACGGCGACAGCGTGGCAGTTTTGCGACATCACGAGGCGGAAATGGAGGGACTTCTTTTTTCGGACGCAGTAAACACACCAGTTGGGGGCGCGTTCCAGGCACCATGGGTTTTAGACGATGACACTTCAATCTAGGGTCTAGGGTGACCAACTTCCTGCTAGTGAAATGCGGGACACGCTGACCGGGGGGGGGGGGAGTGTCATCACATTTGCGGTATCTAAGAAGGATACGTTAGAGAAAATGTATTACCACGCACACCACAAAATGTGGATGAAAGCATATTATACACCTGCACACTGTATTGCGGCGATTAAGCTGAAATAGTTCTGACACCCAGTGATGTATATATTCTTTTTTCCATGACAAGTTATTAAATGTGTCTAAGTTGAAAACATCTAAATTGACTGCAACAAAGCTTAATGCATCAAAAGTAAACAAGCAACACTAAACCTTTTTTCGGCTTATTGTTTCCTGTCGATATACGTTTACCAATATACTCTTACTCATTCTAGAACCCTATGCTTTTATTAAAACTTAGGTTTGGACGAGTCGGTTCATACTCAATCAAAAGGTTCAAAGCATAAAAAAAACGAGGACAATAAAGACACAAAGACGACAGGACAGGCTCTAATTATTCACTAAAAAATATTTCACAGCAACCCTTTCGCATTGGCACAGTTTGATTCGAAAATAATTACAATAATTTATATTTCATATTTTGGCTGGAAATTGTCTCACGCAGTACTTTTTCTCCAGGGAGAGGGGCACAATAGCACATGCGCGTCGATATCCTGCAAGAACGCCGGTCGCTTCCCGCAATGCTAGGATAGTAAATAGCGTACCATGGCAATTCACACGATTACCAGCAGCCTCCACGCTTCCCCGCACCCCGTTGTTCGGCAGTGCCATGAGATAAATTGTGAACTTCACAGCGTGAAATGCGGGACATTTTGAACATTTTTGGTATATCTTGCAGGATGCGGGACACAAGCCGTCAATGCGGGACAGTCCCGCGAGTCGCGGGACGGGTGGTCACCCTACTTCAATCGTATTGGTGTGTGGACTCAATATTGCCATTTGACACTGGCTTTTGTTGATGTGCCAGGTAGGAGAGGCAAGAAGTGTTTTCCACCATCTTGCTTGCTGAAATATTTCGCAATAAATAAACAATACTGCAATGATCTCCCACCACAGTACGTACCGCTCAAAGAGTCGCGTCTCAGAACAACAACTGTCGCAGACAGCGCCCGTGCCGTTGTCATGTAACTGCATGTTATGTGACGTGAAAAGGACAAACGATTGTCATGGTGGTGCCGGACAATGGGAGAAAAGGGTGCAGGTGCTCCGAAAGAAGGTTTCTAGTGTCTCTAAAATTGATCAAGCAGGCTGCTTTAGAGCCAAGAATAGAGTTGTGCAGGATGGTGGTAGAACAATGGAATGCCCAACCTTTGCCGTTTTTCAACAGCTTTCCTCAGTAGCAGCAAACAAATAAATAACTGATGGATGTGCATCGTAAGAATGAAAACCTGATCAAGAACAGGGCCTTCTTTGTTTGATGCAAACTGCTGCTACATTCTCCCGGAGCTTTAGAAACATTGAGCAAACAAAGTCTGACAGTCAAGGTGAATATCTCAATTAACCCCAACAAAGAAGTTTGATATCTCATATTCAGGGTTCTGCATTTTGGGATAAATCCGCTCAAACCAGAAAAACACTCGCCGATAAAATTTACTTAGATTCAAACTTATCCGAAAAACTCAAAATTTCAGTGCCACGATGGCAAAAAATAATCCACGGTACTTTACAAATAAGCTTGGTCTGAGCACAGGGTCAGCGGTCCAAAGAAGAGGCCTCCCCAGTTTCCTTTAAAATCTTGGACTACCATATTTATTTGAATATAAGACGAGGTTTTTTTCCAAAATCCATAGTCTCAAAGTCATACCTTGCCTTATATTCGAAGCTCAGTATAGCAATATGACGATTTTTTTTCTTTTTCTTGGGTCCTTCAACTGCCCCCTCGCCTTAAAATCGTGACCTCCTTATACTCGAATAAATACGGTATTGACAAAATGGGGTTCACCGTTTTCTCGTCAAGTTTTGTACAATAAATTGTTGCAATTTCAGGCAATGGCATCAACGTCTATTAAAGCAACACTCACTTGCAAGTTTTTTTGTGCGACAGAACTATCATGGCAAGGGTGCAAATGCCCAATCCAGGTGAAGAAATATCCCTCAACACAAGTGAGTTTTTATAGACCATTCCATTTAGCGCTCTCAGGGTGGCACCATTTTGTACAATAGCAGCGCCCTCTCCACACATCCGGGAAGTTCAGCAGGTTAGGTGGGGTAAAACGAGAGAGAAAGCATGCGCCTGATTCCCTTCGCAGATGGCAAACCGGGAGGTTGCCGTTCTCCATCTTTGGGTTGTACCGGCAGGCTGTACCGAACATTGAACTCTCGCTCGTGGCTGCCAATGTGAAGTGGTCTGCATTTTTAAAATATTTACGGCTACTCTAAAATCAGCCTATGACATTCTGTAGTTTTATTTCAGTAAATGATAAATTAACATATCTTTGTTTTGTTACTTCAATAGCATAGGAGTCAGCCGGCAGTACTACCCTCAACCACTCCATCTATCACGTCAGGAGAGCAAGTTTTTATTCATTATTCCAGACTTGAAAGCCTACACCAGCACAAACTGAGTATACACGGCTCGTATGGACGTCATATCAGCCGCCATTGCTCTGTACCATGCTCCTTTGCCCGTACTTTCTGCTGCACACATTTCACACCATCGAATTTGTTCTTCTTGGCAAGCTTTGCCAGAAGAACAGATACAATTGCACCAAATATTTGCTGCAGAAGGTATGGCACAGGATCATGGTATGAAGCAATGGTGGCTGTACGAGGTAATTTGACCTCACGTGCAAGGCATGTATAGTAAAAAAGGTGCAGCAACCGGATTTTACTTTTTGCTGGAGGTTACTCTGGCAGAGTTTTCCCATTTCTTTTTTTTATTTGCACGCAGGTAACAGCGCAGTTGGACCCGGTTAGCCTTTTATCAAGCATAGCATTACACAATAACTTGCATATCAAAATCCACGCATCTGTGCTTGAAATTTCCAAAATAAAGTGATTTTAAGCCGAATTTAACGTCCAAAATAACGTGATTTTAAGCCGATCTGAAAAACCTTCCCAGGTTTTTCAGATCACCTGATAGTTGAATGAATGAATGAATTTGGAGTTTTCTGGCGCAGCAGCAACATAGGCCATAGTGCGCCAAACACAGTTTAAGTAAATATTACAAGACTAAATGTTTATTATTGCAGTGGACCAAAATATCAAATATCACTTAAAGAAAACTGTAGTTTAAAGTCGATGTAAAATATTAAACTTTTCTAAGAGGTTAGAAACTTGTCTGTACAGAGTAACAGGCTCGTCTCCAGGCAAAAGTGCCAAGTGGAAAGGTATTTGTTTTCTGAAAAAGATAGAAAAGTAGGAGCGGCGTTCGTTATTGAATTGTGGGCATACTAAAAGGGTGTGAAGTACACTTAGGGTTTCTGAGCAGTAGTCGCACATCGGTGGGTCGTCGTTTCTTAAAAAGTAGCTGTGAGTCAAGTGTGTGTGGCCTATCCTGTCGACATAAGATAACCTCATAGAACCTTTCTCGATGTCTGGCACTGCGCCATTCACTTAAAACAGGTTTAACTCTATGCACCTTATTGTGAGGATCAGAATCCCACTCTACTTGCCAGGAATCTTTGATTTTATTTCGTAGTGTAGTTCTATAGTCTGTCACTGGGAGGGTGTGAATTTCAATCGACCTGTTTACACAGGCACCTGCGGCTCCGTCGGCTTCCTCATTGCCGTGTATTCCTATATGGCTAGGAACCCAGCAAAAGTGAATAGTGATGTTTTGCTTTATAGCATTCGTTAAAAGCAGAGAAACAAGGGGATGCTTCCAGCATGTTGCAGAGTTAAGGGCAAGGAGGGAACTGAGCGAGTCTGTAAATATCACAGATAATCTATATTTTTGTTTGATTATTTCATCTACCATCAATAGGAGTCCATGAAGTTCAGCAGTAAACACAGACGCATTGGCATTAATTCATCTAACACGTTGGTAGGACTGCCCAACCGCAGCGCAGCCAGCATAGCCCAGCACCTTTCGTCCCATCAGTAAAAAAACTTTTGTCCGTCTCTTAACGACTAGCAATCTCAAAAAATTCTTGCTTTATAACACTAGTGGCGGCCAGTTTCTTGTTGTATTTTGTCAAAGAGAGGTCGCATGTTATAGCTAGGTCATCCCAAGGAGCAAGTCTTTGTTCAGTTTCCATGACAGAATAGGATATGCCAAAACTGTGAGTCGCTGCAGCATCCGTGGACACCATCGGTTGTGCAGGTCCCCTGTGCACAGCCTCTGCATATGAGCCACGTGAGGCAAACAAGACACGCTTCTTTGCCTCGTGGTATGGAATGTTCTCTTGGACCTTCAATGTAAGTATTTCCTTTTCTTGCTTCCAGAAAGAACAAGACCAAGAGTATGCAGCGTGCTTCCCTTTGCAATTAGTGCACTTTGGATCGTTCTCACAGTGATCTGCACTATGCTCTTTGCTAGAGCACCTCGCACACGTGTCAGATCCGCGAGCCGTGGCCGAAGCGCTGGCACTTGAAGCAGCGCAGCGGGTTTGGTACGTATGGCTGAACGCGGCAATGCAGATAACCTGCCTTGACAGCTTGTAGAAGGGTGGTCATTGCAAAGGTCAGTACGATGTGTTTTGTCTTGTGTTCCACGCCTCTACAGTTTCCGTTTCTGGAGTTTCTAAGAAGTCTTCTTCAGAAATTACGCTTTGTACTGTATTCAGTGTGCGGTGGGGGGTTACGGTGGCTTTGTAATCGGGGACTGAGTTCAATGCTAGTAGAGCATCACTCTGGATCTTTGTGTGAATCTCTACGAAGAGGTCACCTGATGTCATCTTCTTAGCCTGAAAAGTCTTTCCCACAATGCCCTCTAGAGTTTTCGCGACAAGAAAAGGGGACAGTTTACTTAGTGGTTTCTCAGTCACTGAGTGCATCACCAAAAACTTTGGATACTGCGGAGTAACTACTAATGGAACATCAAGTGTACGTGCTTCGGTGCGGACTCTTTTCGGAGCCCGATCGAGGAAGGTTTTGTTTTGCAGACCCATAGAGATGGGAAAGAAAGTTCAGTGCCCGGGTGCACCGCCCACCACGGAGCCCAACAAGGGGGTAGGTAATGTGCCATAGCAAAAAAGGCTTGGCTGACACAATTACACTACCAGTGCTGCCCGGGCACTATACCCTAGTGTGGTTGTAGGGACAGGTGCTGTTTCCACTCAAGGTTGGCCCTTGCCGCCTAAGAAAGAGAAAAAGGAAGGAAGAGAGCGTAGAAGAAAAGAGAAAGAGGTGGGAGGTAAAGTGAAAGAAGGAAGAAGATGGTAGAAGAGGCGACTAACTGAATTATCCTGGTCGAGCCAAGCCAGGACACCCGTCTATGAGAAGCAGAGGCCGAAGCGGTGTATTGCCTCGCCCGGGGGGCCCCGAAGGGTCCAAACATACTTTGGGCTCAGCTCAACCACCAGGGACCCCTTTTCCCCGGACACGGGTACGCCACGCACAGCCAGACGTGGGTGGGCGAACCCACATGGCTCGGGGTTCGCAGTGACGCCACTCACCAAGCACCCACCAAAGTAGGTGCCCCCTGCGTGCGGGTATGGTGGCCCACGTGGCTGGGGTCCGTGGTGACGCTACTCACCAAGCACCTAAGGTGCAGGTGCCCCCTGTGGGGCTCGGGGTCCGTGGAGACGCCACTCTCCAAACACCTGCTTTCACAGGTGCCCCCTGCGGGGACCTGATAGTTAGTGTGATCATGACCTTGACGCCATTTAAAAAAACGCTCAGACCCGTTTCGTCCTACAGAGACTTCGGCATGGCTGATGACACGGCTATTTTAGACGAACTAGATTACCACTACGGACCGTTTGAGGAACTTAGTCGTGATGAGTCAGTAAGTGTTAATGACCTCTGGTTGAAATTTAAAACACTCGTTCATAAATGTATAAATATGTATGTACCATTGAAAAGAAAACGTAAACGAGTGCATAATCCTTGGGTGACGAGAGAAGCTATTCACTTAAAAAGGAAAATAGGGCGGCGCAGATCGCGGTGTCGTCGTACACGTAGTTCGGCATTATCGGATGATATCTCGGCTTTAAGCATGGCACTGAAATCTGTGCTAAAAGAATCTAAATGCAAGTTTTATAACGTGACAATGCAAAAGTTTATCCGTAAATCATCGCAGAAGTTTTGGAGACATTTGGCACCAGTTAGGAAGTCAGTTTCTGAGATCAAAATGAAGCAAGGAATTATAAATGACAAGCGAGAGATTGCAGTTCAATTCAACAAGTTCTTTGCAGGCGTCTTCACAAAAGACGATAAATAGTCTGTAGAGTTTAGATCACCAGCTCAAATTCCAAGGGCTGACGATGACCTGCAACTGTCAGTTGAGGGTATTTTGGCTTTGTTGCTAGACTTAAAAACTTCCAAATCCATGGGGCCGGACGAAATTCCAAATTCTTTTCTAAAGCGATATGCAGAGTGGACGGCAATGTATCTGCACTTAATTTTTCAAAAGTCGATTTTGACTAGCACTGTACCCTATGATTGGAAGCCCAGTAAGATAATTCCAATACTGAAAAGTGGAGATGCTAAGTCAGCATGCAATTATAGACCCATCGCGCTAACCTCTACATCGTGCAAAGCTCTTGAGCATATTGTTTCTAAACATATCCGGCAATTTCTTTTATCGAATAACATTCTCAGCCAGTATCAGCACGGCTTCTGTAAGGGGCTGTCAACAACGGTCACGCAACTAGTAGAAACCATGCATTATTTTTGTGAGGTATCGGATCGTAAGGGACAAACAGACATCATATTTTTAGACTTTAAGAAGGCATTCAACGAAGTTAATCATAGAAAGCTCTTAATTAAATTGATTTCCATCTTGGGAGATAATAAGATTGTTCAGTGGATTGAGGCCTTTCTAGATAATCGTCGACAGTTTGTAAGTATTGAAGGGGTTAGCTCGGACAAATGCAATGTGATCTCGGGTGTTCCACAGGGTTCTGTCCTCGGTCCCCTGCCGTTTTTGGTTTTTGTTAATGACCTCATTGCAGATTCGCCTGCAAAAGCCAGATTATTTGCCGACGATTGTGTTATTTATACTGAAGTAAGGTCCGTTAATGGTCAAATTATGCTAAACGAATATTTGTCCCAGATCAATGAATGGTGTGTTAAGTGGCAAATGTCGATAAACTTAGACAAGACAGTATGTATGACAATCACTCATAAACGACAGCCGTTAGGATATGTGTATATGCTGCACGGAAAAGCATTAAGCCGAGTGTCAGAGTTTAGATACCTTGGTCTTACAATAGCCTCAAACCTAAGTTGAACACCGCACGTTAGCAATATAATCGGAAAAGCTAATAAAAGATTACGATACATCAGGCGCTCTCTTAAACTCGCTTCCTCAGAAACCAAACTCACAGCATACAAGATGCTAGTAAGGCCTTTATGAGAATACGCATGCGAAGTTTGGGACCCGCATGTTAAATATCTTATATCAAATCTGGAGCAAGTTCAACGGCGTGCGTTACGTTTTGTTTTTTCTTGCTATAGACGGCTGGACTGTGTCACCTCTTTATAAAAGGGCAAATCTACCCCTCCTTCAAGTGCGGAGGAAGCAGAAGCAGCTTAACCTTTTTATAACATAATGAATAAACTGGTTCTAGTAAATAAGCAACAGCATATTAATGAGAGCATGTCGCATATAACCCGCAACAAGCATGCTCAGTATGTGGAAGAACAGAAGTTTTCCAAGGACTGTTTTAGGTATTCGTTCTTCTTGCAAACAGCGCGAGAATGGAACAAGCTACTGGCACACTTCGTGACCGCTGAAACTCAAGGAGAGTTTAGTTCCCTTATTTCAGAGATTTCCGACAGCAGTACCTAGTGTTGTCATTTCATTGTTGTGTTGAATATGTGTTATTAACCTGTGCATTTTGAGCGCGTTTATTTTTTTGTGTTGTGCAAAATCCACTCCTATCTTGGTCCTGTGTAGGACCGATAGTATTTCAAATAAATAAATAAATAAATAAATAAATTTGAATACCAGCCTTATGTTAGGTACAGCCCACTCGGCGGAGCAGACGACGCATGTGGTGAGAGGGGGAGGGCATTTCTTCTCTCTCCACTCTTGCTAGTGGAACGGTCTACATATACTTAGGGCAGGTTTGTGTCTGGATAATGTCTGTTTTTATACTGAATATAAAAAAAAATGGGTGCACACAGCAAGATTAAACACCAAGTTTCAGAAAACTGAAAACCGATGATAAAAACACTTTGACAAACTCGAAATTTTTGGCAAAGAACAAACTTAAGAAAAGACAAAAAAACACAAACAACGGTTTGCAAATTTCACGAGAAACGAACTCGGAAAACACATAGTCCTACTCCCATTTTATTGCTTTTCTAACTGTCAAGTTGTTGATGTAGCCATGTTCTCCAGTGCCATTACAAAAAGAAACCACTAGGTATTTCCCATTGCATATTGCCCCCTGCAGTGGAAGACAGTGATTTCCCTACACATCTCCTAGGTGGGGTGTACCCCCCCTTCCCCCCCCCCCCCCCCCTCTTGTTTTTCTGAAGGTACCCCATTAATTCGACGACTCCTCTATTTTCGATGCCCCCCCCTCCCCCCCTAAAAATTTAGACACCCCCTCCTACTTTCAATTCCTGGAGACACCCCTGGGGCAGGATTTGTAGCAGGTCGTAGAAGCGGTGCAAAGCTGCCAGAGAGGGTCACACTGTATGCATAGAAAACAGAGCACAGTAAGAGACTTACCTGTGCCTGGCGAGACGAGGGTAGCTGTAGGTGCGGAAGGGACACTTGGGACAGGTGAGAAGCCGCAGCAGAGACATCTGCCCGCTCTGAGACAAAGCCGCGCCTGCCGCAGCAGATGTGTTGTCGTTGAAGTGCACAAGCGCTTGGTGCTTGAGGAGCTTGCGCTCCGTGGCCAGTCGCTTGCCACACAGCTGGCATTCATGCACCTTCTCTGGGCCGTGGATTGCTCGCAAATGAATGTTGAGGGAACGCTGCAGCTTGAACACCTATAAAAAAACAATTAAGAAATGCTGTAAAATTTTTTTGCAAGAACCTAATTTTAGCAAATCTTGCAATCCAAATAATTTTACAAAATATTTATCACACAAATTATTTCCTCGTAAAGAAAACATAGCACATCGCTACAAATTGCAGAGTTGTGTGCCCGCAAATTATTTCCTTGACCCATGCCTCGCAAAATTCAGAATATATCGAGCTGGCGAAAATGTGTGTGCGTGTAAAACGTTTAATGAGAAAAAAAAAAAAGGAGTGGTTGCACTTGCGCGTGACTTCTTTCACGGGACTTTCCCCTTAGAAAGCTCCCCTTCTAAATGTCCTGACGTAGGTTGCCCGACATCGTATAATTGAGCAGGGTCCGTAAAATTCGGACTCGTCTTCCCCTCCATTACTGTTCATTACAGTAATGGAGAGTCGCCAAACAGTCTGATCCACTCCTCTTAGGAGCTAGGAGTGTCTTGGCCCAGCTGGGCCCAAGCATCACTTCTGTGCGTGGCGAGGGCCTCACATTCCCAAATTAGGTGGTAAAGTTTTGGGAGTGTGCCGTCTCCTTTGCAAAGTTGACATCTTTGGCCGGGGGGTTCGTAATCGGGGTTCAGCTTTCTTTTCTTGATGGTCTCAAATTTTTGAGTCATGTATGGTGTTTCACCATACATGACTCATCACCATTTCCTCGTGTTTGAAGTGGTTCAGTGGAATGGGATTAGGTTCGGGGTTCCAGGATTCCTTTAGTTGGTGCTTCCCTTCTTTTTTGTGCATCCGCATAGCTTCAGCCGGGTCGTATGTTGTGTCGGCAGTTTCAGTGTCAGTCGATGAGGGGTCGCATTCTCTGGCGACACGCAAGGGGTGAGGACTGCTTAGCTCCCTCGCGGCCGCGTCATGTGCCGCCTCGTTGCCGTGGATGCCCGTGTGTCCCAGAATCCATTGGATGCAGACCTCTGTTTGGTGTACGCGTAATAGGTGCAGAGCCGTGTGGAAAATGCGTTTGATGGTTCTGCATGTCGTGGCTCCGTGTCTTTTGCATTCTCGGATGGCGTGCTGAGAGTCCGTAAATATGTATATAGTTGATTTGCATCGTGCTGTCTTGTTTGTAAAAGGGTATTCACTCGGGCTAGTTGGTGGTACATTTTAGGATTAAAAGCACACTAAAAGATTATATGTAGATTATTGGACAATGTATCTACGTGACGTGGATGGCTGTTGAGAAGGCATATATGTTTCTTCTTTGGTTTAAGTCAGATTAAACCTCAGTTGCAAGTGTGCTCTACTGTGTGTGAGTCTTCTTTTACTGGTCCTCGTTTTTTAGTGCTTTTAATCCTGAAAGAAAATAAAGTTGTTTACAGTGGTTCAACGCCACACGGTGGTGTCACTGCTTAGGATCCCAACGGTTCCAGCAAACATTTGTGCTTTGTGCTAGAACTTTAAGACTTCTCATGGGACTTGATCATGGTATATGGATGTCCACGAACAAGGCTGTCACAATATGCTGGTAGTCGTGGCAGTATAGAAATACCCCACTAGGTGAAACAACTTTCTACAACATCCCAGGGATGAGATCGACCAAAGAAGGATTGGCCCGGTCAGTCTTGTTTCAAGCAAGCACATGTGCTTGCTGTGAATGGTAACTGCGATTATAAACATTTCCTGAAAAGCCTGTGCTTCAATTGTGGGGAAAACTAACGTGGAACTCAGTATGTCTGCAGAACCATAGGATGCATTTTTGGGTTAGCGGAGTGCCCAGATGTCCATTCCACTGTCAGCTGGAATCAAGCTGCTACCGCTTTTGGATGCTTCCCTCCTCACAACCCTTCCCAGCTTCGCCTTCACTGTGCTGCCTGCCCAACGGTTAACAACTACAGCACCCGCCCTCCCAGGTGCTGGTTCTACGAGCCACAGCCGTTTCCGTGCATTGTGCTGGGGTCCTCTCGTGTAGCCGGCAAAGCCCTTGCATCACCCCCATCCAGCTAAACCCCCTATAAAAAGCTCTCATGAAATCTCATTCATCCTTGATGCCTCGCATTTGGCACAGCACCTGCCATAAGATACCAAGCCCGCCAAGCTGGAGACGATTCCTAAAAACTGGGGGATAGACACTCGTTGGGTCTGAGAGCTGGAATACAGAAAGGACATAGGGAAGGGTGGGCATTACCAGTTAAGACCGGTGCGTGCGCGTCAGGGATAGGCAGTATTTCAAATACAAGTATTTGAAATATGTATTTCAAATACTTTGTGTATTTTGCATTTGCATTTTAATTACAAATTGGGTAATGTATTTGACGTGTGTATTTAAATACTAAAACGTGGGTATTTCAAATACAATTGTAATTAAATACAATTTTGTGAGTGAAAATACATCCCTCAAATTTATTGTCACTGTCCAGAGCAGGAAGAAAACTATGTTCTGCACTGAATGCAGTGTCTCTCAATCAAGCACAAGCGTTTAGTGACTTTGTGATGACGGTGCTAGTCCAGGGCAAGAATAGTGACGAAATCGACGTTCACAGGCAGACTGGCTAAATAAGTGCCTGTGACAACTTGTGATGCTTTCCAGCCTGATTTCCATCCATATTTTTGCCTGGAACATTCTAAATGCGCGGGTCGTCCAGATTTTCGTAACTGGTGCGAGTTGCAACAATAAAAAATTCTCTAGCTAGTGCTGCGCATCTTGGTCGTCTCGGTTCTTTGTTGGTCTATACCAAAATGTATAATCGGCAAAAAAAGCTGCTTGAAGCTCTGTACTTTTTTCACTTATTACGTCCAAGCTGATTACATTTTTTTTGTGATTATATTTCTATTACGTTACTAGAGCCTCGCACACTACCTCCCGAGTGTGCGATGCAAAATTAAATTGAGATACCCAGAAACCCGTTACAGGTGTCCTGGAGTCGCTGACGCAAATTTTGAGGAATGTATTTGGAAAAGTATTTGGAGGAGACCAAATACATTTGGTTGTATTTGTATCCTGTACTTAAATGTTTTTTTGGAAATGTAATTAGATTTGTAACTAAATACATTTTTGATGAAGTATTTTGTATTTGTATTTCGATACATATTTGCATGTATTTTGCCCATCCTTGGTGCTTGTCAAGGTTCATTGCGCTGCACCAATATGAGTGAAGAAACGTCTGATGCGTAGGAGCGTCTCAGTTACCCAGGTGTGCTCAGAAGTGTGGGCTGGGCACTCAATATCTCACGTGATTGTTTTTCGAAATTATGAAAAGTAGCGGGCGCACGCTTATTGCGACACGGGCGCATGCTTAGTATATTATGTAATTCTGCTTTCCACACCTCCTTGTGACAACGTTCTGGCACCCCCTCTCCCAAGCGTTCTCTACAAGATTGACGTTCAAGGAGTGTTCTATCACCCGGGTTGCCACCGCCACCTCCTGTTGCCTCGCAACATGCCACTTCCATTGTGAAAAAGAAAAAGTGTTCCCAAAGCATTTAAACATCTTTCCCTAAGTAGAAGTGGGGCATGCACACAAACACTGTGTAGATTTCTGAAATGCCCGGAACATGCAGATCGAGTTGGTACCCCGAAAACACAACAACAGAGACCTCCTTAGTTAATTTCCAACTTCCGGCGTCGTACCTTCGGACAGTGGGGGCACTTGGCATCGTCGCCGGGGTCCCCGTGGATGCTGACCATGTGCGCCTTCAGGTTGGCTTTGGACGACAGTGACGCCCCACACTCCCTACACTCAAAGGGACGCACGTTTTTGTGGAAGTTTGTGTGCGCTTGGATGCCCCGGTGGCTCTTAAATACCCGGTCACAGTAGCAGCATGGGTAGAGACGCTGCGGCGTCGTGTCCGGCTGGCTGTGACTGAGCGCATGCTGCTCCAGCATCGCCTTGTGAAGGAACACCTTGCGGCAGACATTGCAGCGGTACAAGGTCGCCTCAGAGTGCTCCACGCTGTGATCGCACAGCCTGGCGTAAGAGGACGCGACGTGGTCGCAGTGAACACAGGCAAATTCCCTTCTCTTTCGTTTGGCCGTCGTGATGCTGAGTGCCTGGTCGCGGTCGCCTCCGGCGCAGTCCTGCAGTCGGTGGTGGGCATTGAAGGTGTTGAAGTCAGCGAACTGCTCCCCGCAGTCCGAGCACTGCAACGAGGACTTTTCACCGGGGACCTTGGTGATGAGAATGTGGGACTCAAGCTCATCCGCGTCTGCACTGGCGGCGATTTCGGCCTTGGGCGACTCCGGCTGACACCACTTGATGTGAGCTTCCAACGACGCCTTCGTGGGGTAGGTCTCTGTGCAGTAGAGGCAGCGAAACGGGAGGTCGGCCTCTTTGCCGCTCGGCCGCACCACCGGGTAGCTCTCTTTCTGGACCGGTTTGGCGGAAGACTCCGCGTGACACAAGAGGTGCACCTGAAGCCGTTGGTTCGAGACGAACTTCTTGCCGCAGTGGACGCAAACGTAACGGAGCTTACTCGAGACACTGGCCGATTTGGCGCCGGATACCGCCTTCGGCCGAGGGCCCTTCAGGTGCGACTTGCAGTGGCTCACTGCCACATCCTTGTCGAATGTTTGGTGCGAACACTGCGTGCACAGAAACACTGTCTGAGTCTCGGGTTCGTTGGCGCTCACGATGTCGTCGATGGCTTTCGCGCATGCCTGCGAGGCTTCGGTGAAGACCATCTCGACGTCGGGGGGCGCATCTTTGGATCTCGGTAGCGCGCCGCTGGCGACGGCGTCGGTCGAGCCCTGCTGGTCCGTCTGGCCCAGGATGTTCTCAGGAACGGAAAGGGTTTCGGCAGAGACCGCCAAAGAAGGGACCGGGAGTCGCAGGTTTTTGAGTTGGCATATTCGTTGGCCGTTGACCCGAGGGGCTCGAACGCTGATGCCCCGAGAGAGGTAGGTCGCGCCGTACTTGTGGTCGTAGTTGTTTCTGGCGACGGGGACTTTTCGGCCGTTGACGTAGGCGTAGTTTAGAGCGAACCTAGGGTCATCCTTGGCACTTTTCGAGGGGGACGACGCCGCGAGGCACAGATCGATTGAACTTCCCGCTGGCAGTCCCATGGGGAAGTAGAGGTCAGCGCATACAGGCTGCGAGTCGAGGCTGATCACGATGTAGATTCCCATCACTCCGATTGACGCGGCCTTCTAACGCGAACTGTTGGGGACTTCGATACCGCAAGGCCGCAAGCGTGGAATCGGACATTCAATTCCGACGTAAATAAAGAACAGCAGCGGATAACTGAACTAAATACGGCGACACTACACGACTACACCAACTACAAATACGTGTACTACATCAAAACCATCAAAACCATCCCAACCATTCCACCCATTCCAAATCTTGTTGGATTGGATTGGATTGAATTATTGGCTTGCCTGGTAGCAACTCGCCCACAACTCGCCTACCTGGACATAATCAGACTTTCGAAACATTTATTGTTTTACAGATGTCTAAATAAAACTGGTAGACTCGCTAGACTTATAAACAAGACGTATTATTATTATTGTGTTTTTTTTTTTTGTTGTCGTGTACGCTTGTCATCGCATCGCTGGTACGCTGGGATCGTCAACATCACAAAGATCACAAACTCAAAAAGCAAAAGAGAAACTTCGACAATTTTTACACGAAGTGAGTGACTGGAGGCCGTGGCCGCTGAGGCATAGTGCACAGATGAACGGTCTCTATCTCGCACCCTCCCTGCCATCCTCCAAGCGCTCTACTGATAAGGAATGTTTGTACACTGACTCACAAGAACGTTTCCAAAACTGCGAAGCCAACGAGGTGCGGGCAAGAGTGGAGCGCGAGTGAATGGGGCATGGCTCCCGTACCATCGGTACCATCACCAGTGTCGGAGGTGCTTGCAAACTTGGTCATGTGAATAATACACGCCTCGTGCTAATTTGTCTTCTCTCGGGACAAAGGTCGACACGGCATCGGCGTTAGCAGCAGCTTCGAAAGTAGTATGATCTGACCGACGAGACGATGTCGCATTTCGGATACGTTCCGGTCTTCTACGTCAAGCAGCTCGACGCCCCGAGCCAAGACTTCAAGAATCGCTTGCTCACGACGCTTCAAAGTGCCATCAGACAGGTAGGCAGCCCTTTCTGGCACGCTAGCACGATGATCTCGGAGTTGTCACCGAAACTTTTTGACTGCCATGTTTTGAGTGCGATTCTGTCGGCAATGGAGAGCTCCTCATCATCGATCATTGTTCTTTTTCTTTAGGTGCAGGATGTTGCCGATGCATCCGCGGATGAAGGTTTGAGTGAGGATTCAGCCGAGGCGTGTTCTTTGTGCGAACAACTGGACAAGGTCTTTCTTTACGGGTAAAAACTTGGTGTCCTTTCCTACTTCCTTTCTTGGATCTACGGGCAACTCACTGCGGGGAAAATTTGGTGGCTTATTTATTGCCACGATTACTCGAATCAGCATTACGCACTGGGTACACAAAGTCTAGTCTTTGATGACAGCAGCAATCTCGCACGTCTTATGTAGTACAACCGAGCTTCAGTGCAGCAGTGTGGGACTGCTCTCCTTCTGATGAGCTCAGTGGCGGCGGAGGTGCTGTTGTGATAGGCTTATTTTCTATTCCAAGCCGCTGCACTTCAACGCTTCAACAGACACGGAATAGAAATTTTGGGACATAGATACAAAGTGTGCTTCGGAAACTAGCCCACCTATCCATTTTACTGCTTCAGAAAGAACCTGTACAATTTAATTACCACCTGCTGTACTGTTCAACTCCACCCTGGGTTAATATGCACCTGCACTGGGCTGTTCATCCGAACCACTGCTATTTGAATGGATCACTTATCCGTCTAAGGTTATTTAAGACATACCTAAATTTTTAAAATAATCTTTTGAATTACTTTTAGAGAGTTTGAGGCACAATCAGTTTTATTTTCATTTTGAAATGCTAGCTACCAGTTCCTGTTAGAGTTTATCAATGACATCAGGACATAAAAATAAAGCATAAAATATGCAGGGTGATACAAGGAGACGCCAGGCTCTTTAAATCGACCACACTACTCCCAGCTTAGTCGCAAGCACTACTCCTAGCTTAGTCGCATCCTTTTGCTTTTGTCGGTTCAAGGCGAAAACTACTTGCCGTCTTTGCAGCTTGCAGCAGCCGGAGTGGGGCTACTGGCCATGGGTTCGAAAGTTCACCCACGAAGAGAGTGTGCAGGAGATATCCTCGCTGTCCAACGTCTCCACGGGGCTGGGCCAGGGGCGTGCCTGGCTCTTTGCTTCCCTCAACGCGGCCCTTCTCGAGGGCTACATGCGCTCCTTTGCTCAGAATCAGAAGCTACTCAAGAAAGGTTACTCCACCGACTCCTTTCTCAGAGATGTTGAGGTGGGTGACCTCTCTGTGCCGTCCTCAAAACCTTTTATTTTTAATTTAATTTCGTTTCACTTGTTGTTTCCTTAAATCTCCCTCAGGGGGCTTTACGTAATGGGGAAACAAAACATCAAAATACATATTAACTAACACTGCGTAAAAATACACCAGTCTTTCGTGCTTCTGTCTGTTTGTACAGGAAAAAGGTTGACTCTACATTGCCATATCGAAGTTTCGTAAAACAAGCTTAAGTTCCTGGGAATAATAGACGGATTCAGAAAAAACACCTTTAGAATTTTCTCCAACTTCAGGGAATGTTATGTAAGGAGTCTTCATGACGAGGTTTGAATTTACTGAAACTCTGAAGTTAATTTGACACCTTTGTACAAGATTGGGCCATTTCCTCCTCTTTCTGGTGATATGTTAGACAACGTCCAACCTTTTCGTGCACAGTACTATATGCAGTCGAAGGAACTTTATAAAGAGGGCTTTGTAAAAGCATTCATGCATTTGAGGAATTTTGATCAACTAAGCATTTGTGCCTTTCGCAAGGCTCCATGGAACTTGTACTGTGTAGTTTAAGGGTCATCTGCACCCCCATGATTGCAAAGGAAAACTGTACATAAGTAAGAAGTCGAAATGGAAAGATTATGAGTTGTGTATGTCTGTTTCAATTTTTTCTCGTTACTACAGGCTGGGATTTGGACTAAGGTATAGAGAGTGAATAGTGCAGTATGTATACCTTCTTTGCACACATTTTTGTGTCAACCACTTTAGCAACATTCAAGTTCCTGTTGGGTCATGCAGATTTTAATTTATAATAATGCTGTTTATAAACAAAGACATTTTTGCTCAATTTTATTGTCCCATATCCCCCACTTTTATTTGACTGTGCACTGCTGCCCAGGCCACTTGACTGTTGGTAGGCACTCGAATAAATCAACCTATCTATCATTTATCTATCTATAACACATGGCCACTTAACCAGAAAAAATTTAGGCCTTTTCACACTTATGACTCCTTAGGTCCAAGTGCCTTAAATCTTCTTAAAATTTCTTGCAACGAGAAAAACAGGGTCACCGCATAAATGGCTTGGTGGCGCCATTTATGCGGTGACCCTGGAACTGCGTTTTACCAGAGCGAAGGCTTTGCGGTATTTGCGAGGCCAACGTCAGCGCTTTCCTTTGTCCAGTGCCATAGATAAGGGAAGAGTTCGGCCAATGCACGTGCCCTGTTCGACAGTCTGTCAACTACGTCACGCGAACAGCGTGGCCACGCCCCGGTTCGCCGTTTTCGAGCCCTAGCCGGTGTCGGGGTGCTATAGTCGCGTGCTTGACTCTCGGTTCCCTCCAACGTACGACTGTTTTATTTTGTTTGAAGGCAGTATTTATGCTGTCTCGCGTTTATTCAAGGACTACAGTAGGCTGGTTTCCACTTACCTTGTCAATTATACGTGTGGCGAGACCAGCCAACACCACCTAGAATAATTACAGCCTTGCATCGCCTCCTCTGCCTTTATCAAACATCATCGCATTCGGATTGCGCCAACTCAGCTGTCGGGCCCGAGCCCGACCTTCGACGTGCCAGTTGAACACAAGCCCCAGTTGGAACACTGACACGGCACTTCTGCCTAGTCTCGAGCTTCGATCGATCTGACTGTGACGATAGTGCAAAGGCGGTGCAGAGGCCTTCTGCTCGCCTAGGTGGTGTTGCACCGGCCCGTTCGTACGCTTTGCGTACGCTCCGTGTTTCGCGAAAATTTTGATATTTTCAGTTCCACTTCATTTTTTTTTGTTTTGGAGCGAAGCACGACGACAACGACTTCTAATTCGTAGCTGACCAACTTTCAGTATCATTTTTGGGTTAGGGAGCGTAGACAGGTGGTCAATGCTTTACAGAATTCCATTATCGCATGAGATTTTCTGGAGTGCACCCATATTTCCCCAAAAAATTTACGTTGGAATGTAAAATCAGCTAAAGCCATTTGTCCGAGGTGTTAGTTTTACGGAACTTTTACTTTATTAAATGGCACTTTCTTTTTTTATCATACATCAACTTGTCAATTGAGATGGCTTGCTCGATGCAATAGTCTTGAGATGGGATGATTGACTTTTGCATGCCTATCAGGAGCCTCAACTAAGCTGTTTCTTCAATGAAACGGCATTCTTGTTAACTGGACAACTTCCAGGAAGCAGGAAGGTTACTGAACAAACGAGCGACTCGGTTTTAGATGACTATCCACATATAGTAAGTTAGCTCGTTTTTAAATAATATATTTAAATTTAATTGATTGGTCCTTTCTAACAGTGCTGAGATCCTGCAGCCTCCATCATCGTGTCAGTACATAAAAATTAACCAGAGGCAAAAATCATCAAGCTCACTTTTTCATATGTAAAATTACATTTATTAGAAGTCATTGGTTAAAGTTTTAATTAATTAACTATATGGTTTGGAAAGGAAGGCAGGTAAAATAAGCTTTGCAGCGTGTAGCATAGGACATCCCTGTCTCACGCTGCAAATAGTCAGATTATTGTCTTGACCAGGGCAGGATCAGCATCATAAGTTGATGTGCAAGCAGCTAGTTAAAGAGCCTGTGTCACCAGCTCGAAGCTACTAAGCATTGTTTAGAAACGCGTACTTGTATGACCACAACTTCAAGGACAGCACAATTCTATAAATAAATGTGTCAAGTGAAAATGAAATTCTTACCTTCCAAAGTCGTGAGCCTGCCGTGGGGGTACACTTTATTTTCAAAAACTTTATATTTTGGTGTTTTATTTATTTTTATTTTTTATTTTTGGGTTGTACAAAAACAAAAACCTTGACGACTGGGGTTGGAGCATTCAATGGCACAAAATCCCACAATTTCCTTACCAGAAAACCTAAAAAAAAAAAACTGAGGTCGGTACGCGGAGAAACATGTGGCCCTGCATCAGGCACGTTGCCAGGGGGGGGCTATGGGGCCCTGGCCCCCCCCCCCCCCCCCCCGAAATCTTCCATTTTTCTGGGGCCTCCTTTCCCCCCTCCCTCTCATACAGCATTTTGTCATGGGGGGGCCCCCCCAAAACAAAATCCTGGCTACGTGCCTGCCCTGCATGCGTGTGCGTGGGGAGTCGGATTGGTAGTGGCTGACAGGCGAAGCGTCGTTCGCAAGGAATCACCCGTTTCTAAGCCGTCGCTAAGCAGTTGCTGGGCGGTTGCTAGATGCGACGTCACTCCTGTGGGAAGAGTCAAGAGGCAGCAAGAGATCGCCGAGGACAATAGATGACCAAACTCTTCCCCTATCTATGACTCTGCTCTCATTGTAACAGATTTTAAGAGGTTTCAAGGCACACGGTCCGAAGTGGTCGCAAGTGTTTGAGTGAGCTTTAAGGCTTCAACTAATATTGTTGCTTGAGTGGCATTGTTTTAAGAACGGAATCATCACTGTTAATGAATATCATGTTTGTTCTACTCAACAGAGTCTAGAGCTGCTGGCAACTATGGTGTCTGGACTTGAATTCATTCCTTTCCAGCTGAACCAGGTATGTCCCTAACAGTTCCATTAGCGCTGTGCACACGGTGTCTAGAAAGCATTTTTATAACATTCATCAAAGTATAAGGTGTAACACCTTGAAATATGTCCTCGAAATAACATTTATTGGTCAGACACCACGTTATGTTGCATTTGGCTAGAACTGGAAATTATGATATTACCGAGATGACCTCTGTAGTTGGAATAATATTAAAATCCTGTTTAGCAGTATTTTCTGAGTGCTTTTCAGTAATAAAGATGCTTTCTCTTCTGGGCAGAACAATTCACACCTTGACGATACCAGTGCTTGGTCCAGGCTGGGGAATGGGAGGTTCCTGCTGACCCAAAACTCCGGTTCCTTCTGTGGCTCCCAGGTCGTCGAACTAACTCCGGTGAGTGGTTCCAGCTGTGACAAAATTAGGCAGCACTTGAGAACCGTGCTTCCCAACAGCGTGTTTCTTGATGGTGGGACTTTGGAACAATGTTCCCCCGAAGCAGCTTGGATGAGCTGTTGAGAGTCGTATAAGACTAGTTTTCCCGTACTATTTATTCTGATGAGCATTCCTCACAACGTCATTGTGCGGTGTGGGACAAATTTCGGAGAATTTGGGAGTAAGACTATGGTAGAAATATATATATATATATTTTATAAATGGATAGCGGTTATAGTGCTAGCACTTGGCACTTTTATGTGCAAGGCAAGTAGACTCGATGGCAATGTCGTGCCAATGACGTTGTAGCGCTCACAACACACGGTACTGTGACGTTACGGGACACTGTGAAGTCACGGTGTCACACGGTCATGCGACGTAGCATCACGTGGCACTGTGATGTCGGTGGACTCAAAGACGTCACAAAGAACCTGTAGAGGCCAGCTGAATGGCAAGCCACATCTTCATGTACACTATTTACAAAGGACAATGTCTTTGTAAAGGAGCTGGCCAGCACTGCCTGTCGGTTGCCCCAAATGCTCCAGCTGTTCTGTCTCGTGCCGCTTGACGATCCTCGCGTGCGACGCAAAACGCACTACAGTTATTCGTGATGTAGAGCTTGCTGTAGCTTGTATGCTACAGACCTATAAATGATACGAATTTAGAGTACCTTTGGGATACACAAAGGAGACAGGCAGTTTTTCTCTCTTTGTGGGCAGGGTGTTTCCTCGTTGACCCTCTCATCGGCGGACGGCTCCTCGGGCGACTCCCACGACGACGGCGAGGACTCCGGCATCCTGAGCGCGCACGTGTCCTCCACGACGCTGGCTTCGCTGGCATCGCCCGCGGAAGAAGTGCACATCCCCGAAACCTGCGGCTGCACGGACTGCGCGACATTCCTCAACGACGAGCGGATAAGACGTATCATCAGCCTCGAAGCAGACTACACTGACCTGGAAGTGATCAGAGCTCCGAGAAGCCGACGGAAAAAGGGCAGCGAGCCCTCAGCGTCGGATGGGTCCTCGGCCGTCAGTGTGATTGTCGGTAGTGCAACGAGTGCAGGTTTTTGTGATTCGTCGGGTGACTGCAGTGGTGCGATCGAAATTGGAGCGGCGAATCCTTCCGGTGAGCTGACCCCCCAAAATAGTGGGGACCAAGCAAGTTTGACGAGAGAGGGCGATTCGACCGGTGTGTTTGGTACTCAGGAGGGCATAAGAGATGTCCCCGAAGAGCAGGTGGATTCTGGAGCCTTGTTGGAGGCCGTGGGCGGAGTTGGCGGGTCGGAAAACTCGGATGGTCCGGCTTTGGAGGAGGATGAGGCCTCAATTTATGACGGCAGAGGAGAAACTGCGACGGCCTGTGCGGTGCAAGAAGAGCAACTCGGGAAGGAGTCTAGCTCTGGTGACGTCGATCGACCCGAGCTCGTTGAAGATGTCCGGGAGGAAGATCTGGCATCAATGCCGCGGCGGAAAAGCGGGGGGCTAGACCTCAAGTATGTCCCATCTTTTTTTTCTGATCTGTTTAAGTTTATTGTCTCTTTACAAAAACTGCTTTGTAGTCATTTATTTGTTTAGTGACAGAACAGTGCAAGGTTACAGGCATAGGCAGACCCATACGAGGTCTAGCATGGAACTACGTCGCATTACAATCTCTCTTACTTGTAACCTACTGTCTTCCAGCACTTCTGTATTGAGGAGTGGTTTTAGCTATGGCTTCTTTCATTCAGTAGCCATCTTGGTAAAGTTTAAGTTGTACGGTGATTTTTTGTTTGTTGCTATGTTGAGTTTAAGCTATTTGCATTGTGTGCAATTGTCTTTTTGTTAGACATATAGACGTGTACCTTCAGTATGAAAGGATTGAGATTTAACTGTTATATGATGTTAGTTACTGGCTTTAGAATTCTTGCGGCTTTTCAATTCTTGCTTCTGATGACACATTTCTGAGATATTTATATTCCTTGTTTTTTCTCTCTAAAGGGTTGAAAACAATTCACTTCTCTTCCTGGTGCTGGAAATCTTCGAAGCCGACGATGAAAAGCTTTATAAGGTGAGATAGGAGGTTTTGCAGTTATCTTTAACAATGCCAACTTTTCAGTTAGCCATATTCACAACCATAATTTTGATGTCATTCATGCTAGCACAAGCTTTACTGGAATGTCAAATCTTTTTGTTTGCACAAGCTTGTTTGTACAAGCCATTTTGTAAAGCTGATTATTGATACAATATTCAAAGGAACAGTTCATGGTAATTTGTAACCTGAACTTTAAAAAGTTATACTGAGGAACTGGCAGGAGATAACAATCCATGTTTTCGTGTCTGTCCTTGTGTAGTATATGCAGTTTCTTCCCGCCCAAAAATATTTTTTTAGTACTTGTTTTATTTTTATATTTGTATTTATGTGCTATGGATTATGTCTTTATTTTGGGTCAAAGGTTTTTGTTGTTCATACTAACAGCTGCGCATGTGTTTTTCATTTTTGGCTCTACTGAAAAGCGGCATCCACGACACCATTGTCCCTAGCGTTACTCCCCTCAGGGCGCTTGAGTGAAGGACAAGACTGTGTGATTAACATAATACAAAAGTTAATGAGAAAGTTGAAATTGAATGCACACATTTTTGAATCAGCAATTTAAAGTTCAGAATACTGCATGTTTTTAAGAATCTGGCCTTGTCCTCCTGGCCTCTTTCATTTCAATGGGTAGTGTGTGATGGAGTCGACGGCGTGCGATGCCATCTAGTGAACTGAATCTTTCCTTAACGGCGCTTATACTCTCTCGTCTTCATTCTTCGGTGACTCACCATACTCCGTTTTACGATGACTTGACGAACTGTGGAGGCTGCGGCCCCCGCGACCCAATTAAAGCATTGGAGCAAGTCGCGTGATAACACTGCATGGTCGAGCCACGGAGGCCCCATTACCGCCACAGCTACAGCGCCGTCCGCAACAAAAAATAGTTCTAGGTTTTGTTTTCTTTTAACGACAATTGGACTTGCGCGATTCCATCTTTTTAAAGAACATAAAAAAAGTAAGTAATAAATATTGATGAATATATGAGTTTGCATTATATTTAAACAAAAAAAGTGACATCACATCCGTATCTGCTCCCGATTTTTTTCCTCCTTGTGGCGTCGTGGCCGTCAGCGATTGCAGTGATGTGATTGCTGCGCCATATGCACCAAAGTGCTCACTCTGCTACATCCTGCTACATTTTACCAAAGTGTGAAGAATTTGCACCAACGTTGCACAAACACTTAATTTCATTTTAATAATACTGAAAATATAATAGCTCAGGCCTTGCTGCCTGTCAAGACCATTACAATATGCTTATGCGAGTTTTCAGAACTTTTGATTATCGTCTCAAATAACATACTATTCGATCGCATTTCATATGAAGGACTATCAGTACTCGAAAGTTTCACAATAATTCTCATGTTCGTCGTCTGCTCTGCTGCGAGGTTACCTAGTCTCGTTGAGTGCACTTCTCACCGTGCACTGGTGTACTGCAGACTAAGGCATAGCGATTTTAGACTGCGATGTCGTGGCAGTTCCTTTTCTAAGTTTGGTATTTAGCAAGGATCCTTTGGTATTGCAAGAACATTTGTATGCACTCTTTTGTATGTCTATTTATTTATGCCAACTCATTCATTTAGCTATCACTTTTATATGCCGTAGAATACCACATATCCGCCCATACCACATTAAGCGCCCATTTCCGAATCTGTAAGACCCGAGAAAATATGCACAGTACATTTATATGTAAAATTGATGACGGGACAAGCGCCAATCCCCCATTTTTTCGCGATTATCTCCAAGTCTTGATGGGTGCTTGCCCGGTATTTTACGATAGATGTGATTAAATTAGAACTAAATTGGCAGGAGCAGTGGCTGGAAGCTTGGGAAGGACCTTAACGAGTTCAGCGAAGTTGTTTTTAAGTTTTGTTCACATGCCGTTTTTGTTATAAAGTTCAACACATAAAATGTAATTAATGTTCATAATCAAATGACAAGTGTTTTGTTTTTGATCTGAATTATACATTGCAGTTTTATTACAAGCACTCGAAATTGAAGGAAATGTTAATTTATGTGCTGTCTAGAGCTTCTCCACGCAACTTAATGCTAGTTTTGTGTTTGAGGGAATCGCTTCTGCTGTGCAATTGTTGCTAACAAAGGGTTGCACATAAATGAAAAGCTAATGTAGAGATTGCCTTTTAGCTTGACAGGCCAACACTTTAATCTTAACATAACGTTTGCATTGGTACAAATAAAAATAAATGTGCACTCATGCTACAAAAGTTTTTTTTGCTGCCCCAAAGTTGGTTTTTGGCTGCTCCAAGAACTGCTGCAAAATGACTTGGACCAATCACATCACTGCGATTGAAGGCGTGTAATCAACAGCTTCCGCTCAAAACATCGCCCTGGCGTTAGTACCCGCCACGGATTAGTGGATAAATTGAGTGTATGGTTGTCTCATGAACTGTTGCTTAAGTGCTCGCTACTCTAGCGGACGGCAATGTTGCGGTGGTGGTTGTCATCGGTGGTTGGTTTCGCAGCAGACGACTCTTGGCCAGCAGACGACAGCCGGTTCCTTGGTGCAGTGACACACACATTCCGTGGCATGGTGTCACATGCCTCGCTCTGACGCCCTTATTGGGTTGCGTAAACTGTAGCCTTCACAGTTCGCCAAGTCATCGTGAAACAGGTTATAGTGACTGCAGTAGAAGTTGGGTATTTTTCTACAAGAATTAGTTGGTTGTATCTCTAACTGGAGCCACGTTTGAGGACGAGCCTGGTGTGCCCGGTCTCGCAGATGTTCCTGTCGTGGAAGCGGTACGACGGGGCTGGACGGTTGCAGCCCGTGTTCTTGCTCCTCTCGACCAGGAACCTCTACTTACTCTCCCCGGGCGGGGAAGGGGGACCGAGATTCGTCAAGGACTCTGTGGTGCCTCTGCACAATGTCGGGCTGATCAATGTGAGCCCCTCTGCCGTTTCGACGCAACAGATAGAAGGAATTGATGGGAGCTGTGTTTGGTGACAAGCTAAGAATGCAACATATGCACCGCCTTCAGCACAAGCTTGAATAAACCTTTGTGGCTCATGCAGCTAGAGCCCAATGGGAGGTAATGAGCTCATGCTGGAGGCAGAGCATCTACCGATTATAGCTTACTCCATGATTCACCTGTCAACCAATGAATTGTCTTTTACATTTTTGTTTATTCTCTAATTATTGTGATTTCCTAGATGTAGTATAAACGTAGTGAGATGTGTTATATAGTGAGATTGTTTTATTTTTTACTTAGACTGTCGTGTATGTGCCCAGGTTTATCTAAACTACCAGGGATTTTCATTGACGACAGTGAATGGAGCCAGGATGGAAATAGCAACGGGTCGCGCTGAACTAACAAGGCAAGTTGTTCTCCTGCAAGGATTCTGAATCAATTCTGTCTAAATTTGGTGTGCATTTTTTTTTTTTTTTTGCTTGATAAAGTGGTATGATGTCCTTTGTTTGTTCTTATTTTAGGTTGTGGTAGTGTCAAATATTGAATACAAATAGGGGAATAGCCTGGCTTCAAATACTGACTTGAATATTGAATGGTTGGAAGGGTAACCAGAAGCCCCTGCTGAGCAATATTTGAAGGAACACTGACACCCCCCAAAATTTATTTTTTATTTTTTGCCAGGCTATTTATTATGGTGTCAGAAGACTACCCAATCAATATTTTGCTACCGCGTCGCATATATTTTAATAAAGTCAGAAAGCGCAACTGCTTGAAGCCGAAACCGAAACTGGACTGGGGAGGAAGAAGAAATATAAAGGGGCGGAAGAGGTGGCGGAAGTTACGGTGCTGTGATATTTCTTTTTTTCCGTATCAACAAATTTGCAGCTTTTTAGAAGCCACAAAAAATGGGCGTCATATTTCTATTCTACTTTTAATGTGGTGTGTGTGCCTTCGATGACCCACGACTTTGATTAAATTTGGTGGTTGTGTCTAAACCATAGAAAACGCCCCGTGACCACGGTGAAGAGAGTGAGCGCAACTCAAATCGGCCAGTTTTCGGGTGGAAAGAAAACTAATTTCGAGTCATGAATTGTTTCCTGGGTAGTTTGGTTATCATATGTCATGTACCAATAAAAATCTTGGCGAGCACAAATACCCTGTCAGTGTCCCTTTAAAGCTTTTACTAATATACCATGCTAAAGTTGAGGCTTGGGCGAGTTGGTACATACTTCGGAATTAAAAACAGCGCGGAAAGACGAAGACCAGACAAAGAAGTGACACGGATGTAGCGCTGACTTACGACTGAGTTTATTGAACGCAAAATCGCAATATATATTTGCGGTGTCGCGAACAAAAGAACAAAAAAAATTCAGCCCATGTGATGTATCACCAATAAAAATAAAACAATGATAGAAAACATTGAAAAAAAATATAATAAAATGCGCCATGACACAGCCGTACAGAGTATGTGCTAAAAAACGAGCAAGTCACATAATATACCATATTATCTTTAAAATGTTATGGTGGTCGGTTTATTCATTTTAATTGTTTGTCATTTCTCGGAACATTTGTTATTTCACCGCACATTCAAAAAGTGCCAAATAAGCTACTCGCATTTTGAACGAAAACCAATTCTAAACAAATATTTGATTATTTAAAAATATTTTAACCATTGCCGAGCTTTACTTTTAGTCATTATTTTGAATAGTCATCTGCTTGCTATCACTTATTTATGTGCTGCTGCAGCTCCTGGTTGCATCACAAGAAGGTCACCAATGACTGCTCTCTGACAAAAAGGACACTTTTTTGCTATACTGTATGAAGTCATCTTAGAACCGTGGCTATCTTACGCAAAGTTTGTTCTCCCATTTGTCATCGCTCTTATCATTGACTCTCTCGGCAGGAACATCATTTCTAGTCTGGATTTGGCCGTACGAAGAACCCACAGAAATGGCAAGAATCTTCTGTCCGTCCTCACAAACTGCTCCTCCCAGTTGACTTCCCTTCAGCATCTCCTGGCTGATGAATTCAAAGTTCCGGTGAGCTTGAGCTATGGTTCTCCCTGAGCTTTAACTTTCAACCTTTTTTTACATCTGACATTTTCTAAATATTTACTGCAATATACCTAGGGTTCTAAATAAGTTAGAGAGAAAAAAAAAAAAAAAAAAAACTTGCCGGTAAGATTTTTGTGGTCCAAAAAACTCAGAAGTTCAAGGTCATGAGAGCAAAACGAAGAGCAAAAAAAGATGGTGTTTCACAAATAAATTTTGCAAGAGCATAGTATTAGTGTTTTTGAAAAGAGGCCACTTTGGTTTGCTTTGCGATTTTGGACTACTGACAAAGAAGGGTTTACCTTTTAGCTTTTCAAGGTTCATTCAGAACAATGTGTCAGGGTACCTTTGGGTCATGATTAAAGCCATTGTTTTTGATTCTAATCAGGAGCATACTGTCTGTGCTTCTTAGAGAAAGGAGGGTAGTGCTTTTATAGCAGTGAAAGCTATGACCCCGTAGATATCAATGGAGGGGAAGTACAGCTGAAGCTTTCATGCTTCCCATTGTGGAAGTCCAGGAGTTTAGTTTTTTCAAGGTATCGACTGTTATTGAGGCAACACTTTGCGATTTTTGTCATGGGACAGATAGTATTCGCAACTTTCAGCGATGGTGGTACCGCGGTGTGAGAATCGCGCTCCCTAGCTCCTGGATGATCGGCTTCACAATAAAGGTGCTTGCCTACACCTTCCTGACGTAAAAAAATAAAGTAAGACTCCAATACTGCTCGTATATAGCAAAGCTAGAACTACTTGCACGTCGCAGACGCCGCCTTGTACTGCTGTTATACGACAATCGTCCAGATGACAGCCATTTTGATAGGTGCCAGTGCGCCCCCTATAGGAGGAAATAAATATCCATGTATATCACAGCGCCTCTACTCAACATATGGTTTGTTTCACCTTGGGTCAGATCACAGGCGAGGGCCCAAACACATACCTCCAACACAGATACTAAAAGCTCAAGTCACGGGACAATCGCTGCACCTGACTGATGTAGGCGATGAAAGAACACATACAGGAAAATGGAAAAATGCCATGATGTCGCGCTTTGACGTTGTTTGATTGGTCTCATTGGTTTGTAGCATTGGCTGTGCTTTGAATTAAGATGAAACAAAGTATTGAGATCGCTCGTCAACTGGCGCTGGCCGGTTGATGCACTGGCGGGCTGATAGCTGACATCGTCTAAATTTCCAGCTGATGTCGGTGATGTCAGGAGCTAAAGGGCGAGAAAACATTTAAAAATAGTGGCAGGATGGTGGCTACTGTGATAAGGCAGAACCTGGGTCTTGTACTCCTGATGAGTTCACTTGATTATCATGCCTGCCGCTTTTCTTCGTGCTGCCTTTCACCATTTTGCTCTCACCGATTTCATCACCACTCTCATCCTTCACTGCTTTGCACCGTAGTGCTAGGAGCAGCAGCTGACATGGATTAGCGCCTGGGTTAGCGCGATAGGTTCGGAAATTATGCTTTGTACTATTACAGGTCTACCTTTGGTCTTGGTTGTAGGTTGATCTCTAATTTTAAAAAAAAGCTTGCGACGAGGAAGAGGAAAAAAATTGCGGGTCTATTTTTAAATACTTACAGTAGTCAAGGTGCAGTGGTCGATCGAAAGAGCACCAAACTTTGACTTTACTCTGGTGCTAACGCCGTCAAAGAGCGGTGCAACTTTTAAATCACAAGTGTAGGTTTGCTTGATATTTGTAGGTGGTTGATTTTGCAGTTCATAATATTAAAGTCTCCAGTTTTGTAGGTTCATAACATTTGGGGGCTGCATCTTTATTGATAGACATGTTAGCAGATATACTGGTTTTTGCTGGCATTTTGCAGAAATTATATTTACAGGCTAAATATTCTACTGGGTGTAAAAGTAGGAGTAGAGCAAAACTTTATCCCAACTGAGGTGTTGCAGTATGATTCCTTTTTCATCAATTTTTTTAGTGCTTATTATAAATAGGACCTACTCTGACCATAGCCTCACATAAAAAAAAAAAAGACTGTTTTTTTTGCACCCTATTTATTCTTATTGCAAAAGGTTATAAATAGCATGCTCCACTTTCAAAGAGGAACTCTCAATGATTATCAAAGGTAAACTCATTTAGCAATGCAATCCATATTTTTAATTTTCAAGTGATGTGCTAACAGATGTTAGCATCTGCTCCAAAAGTGTCAATGGCTACTCCAGGCCAATTTTTTTGCCTTCTGCAGAACCTTATACAAAAGGTCAAATGTTGCCTACTTCATTGAAGTGCTTCTCTTACCCGGGTTATTTAATGAAATCAGCTAACAGCTTGACCACGACAAGCGAGGCCATGTGGTCATTCTTATATCCTTTCTTGTGTAGACTGTCAGGTTGCAAAGTAATGTCTGACTTGTTGGGTTTACACCCCAGTGAAAAAATTTAGTGACCTGGGAAGGTTAAGCTACCAATAGCATGCAAGTTTTAAGGAGCAAAAAGTTGCAACAAGCATGTCTTATCTCATCAATAGATGGGAGTTTTGACAATGCTGAGAGGAAGCTTCTTTTCTTCTGTTCTAGTATATGTGTTTTTTGTGCTGCATATGGTTTATTTTTACAGTGACCCAGTGCAACAATACATGGTTCTCTATAAACTGGTTGTTATAAGTATAGTATATCACTCTGGTTCTCAAGTGGGGTTTCAGTTCTGCAAACCCCCCCCCCCCCCCCCCTCATTTCTTGAAATTCTTTTTTTGTTGACTTTGGTTAGGTGGTTTAAACTACTGCCTATTATAAAGGGTAGAGCTGTTACCATCTATCCATCCATTCATCCTTTTACTTGATGCTTCTCACCACTTCTGTCTATAACAGTAAAGGATGCCCTTTCACAGTGCAATGAGTTGTCTTATTTTATGCCCCCTCCCTGTCCCCCTTCCCCCTTCCCCTGCTGACATGGGGCGGGTCCTCAAGAGGTCCCTGACACATCCATGCTTGAGAACCACTGGTATATTATAAGTGGATTGTACTGTACTGACTTTTTGTTATACATTCAGGTTCACCTTCAATCAGTTGTTTGCATGTATGAAAGTTTGGACCATGCCACAGGCATAGTAAAACCCAAGATTATTTTTGACTGGCAGGAATATGCACACTCTAAGGTTCAAGCCTTCAGCATAGTAGTTTATTTCCTTACAAGTGAGCCTAGTATTCCTAAATATCTGGTTGTGTTGTCCTGTTTCCTCTAGGTGGAAGAGGTGCTGGTAAAGGACTATCGCCTGGTCCACTGGGAAATCGACACGCACCCTGAAGCGGGAGAGTTGTCTCCGGCAGGAGCCACACGGTCTGGTCCACTCATGTGGAGGTTCCTCGAGAACCGGTCGAAGAAGGAGAAGAAGAAGCAGTGGGAAAGCAGCTACTTCTTGCTCAGGTGCTTCTAACGACTTAAAATTCTTTTATCCTTTCTTTAGTGGGTGCGGTTTCTCTTCTTATGCAAAACATCCCTGACTAGAGTCCTTGAGGTTTGGGCATCCTTTTGTGCATGGCAGTCACTTTGTTTTAGCATTACTTCCAAACTATAGGTCACATCTTTTTTTTTTTTTCTTCTAATTTGTTTTGGTGCATTTTATACAATCGGGTTACTTAGGTGCTTTTTTTATGTTATTACATATGGGTCGACATTTACAACAAATAAGGAACAGCAGAGCCCCCATTGATGGCCTGCTTTTCAACGTCCGAACAAAGGCAGCCCGAACCGTTCAGCATAAATCCGTGGCCGCAGCGACTTCGCGCGCTATCCTTCGCAGCACTCCTTATCAATGTGCGACTTGTATAGAAATATGCAACTTTTAGACTGGAAAATACTCTAAATGTGAACATATTAGATGTCAACTTCTCTGGGTTCAGTAGCTAACTTACAAAATGTTAATTTTATGTTTTGCATTTTAGTGTACTAATTTTTAAATATTATTTAAATGGGCTAGCGCAAGTTATCTCATTACATAAAAAGAGAAGTGCACGCCACAGGTATGACTCGACCGATGACAACAAGGCCAGAGCTTTTCGAACTGTTTTCGTACTTGCGCAGGGCGGGAGTCTTGTACAGGTTCAGGTGCCCCGAGGACACAATAGCAAGCTCCAGCTACCTCATCAGGTGAGTCCCGGTTTTCTCGAAATGCGCAACATTGCAGGCTAGTCTAGTCTAGGCTGGGCTAGTATAGTCTGGGCTGGCCTGGGCTGGGCTGGCATGGCCTGGGCTGGGCGGGCTGGGCTGGGCTTTGCTATGCTGGGCTGGGCTGGGCTGGGCTACCAACCAAGGTGAATATTGCCGCGCGCCACGCAAGGTTGGTAGCTGGGCTACCAACCAGGATGTTGGCACACAGGCACAAAAAAAGAAAGAAAAACAGGAATCTCGTGTTTTGTCTTGTAGAATTTACTCTTTCTCTTTTCTTTTTCTGGTGGCAAATAATTTTTTAAAGTTTTTGTTTTTATGTACGTAGGTAGACATTAGTTTATTATACCACTAATTCTTTTAATCAATGTTCCTTGGCACTTGCCAGTCACTTTTTCTGGAAAAAAATCAACTAACAACATTGACATGATCGCTGGCAGGACGAGAAGAGGAGAGAGGTTGTTCAGTCGTGTTTGCTTCCAGCACGAGCTTCTCAACTTCAGTAACGCTTGGGCGTCTCGGAAGCCCCGAGCTTGCACGGACGTCCAAAGCACGGCGAAAGGAAATGAGCGCATAGTTGCGTCGTTCTTATCTTTTCGGTGACTCTAGGAAGTGTTTTGGCGCATAGTTATCTGCCAGTGGGTGGCTCATGTCTGCTAAAGTAGGGCTCAAGCTGATATACAACATTTTACTTAGGGCCTGGATCGGTCAGGGAAGTTTTGGGCGCTTGAGGATCCCATGATGCCCCTCTGGGTTCCTAAGATGCCAGATAGAGATCTCGCGGCGTAGATTAAGAAAGAGGAGGATAACCGTCATGAAGAAAGCGTGGTCTTTGACGTTCCCCCGCCCTCTCGTGCCCCAGCTCGTCGGGCTGCGGGGCGTCCCAGCCTGCCACGGAGGCGGGCAGGCCCCACACCCTGCAGCTGAACCTTGGCCCTAAGGGGGCCTGCCTGCAGCTGGCAGCCTCCAATCAGGCCGACCTGGAGCTATGGGCCAAGGCTTTTCGACGGGCGGCGCAGCACCTCGGGCGTCCGGTGGGTTCGCTCGTCGTCTCGTGTCTTCCTACTCTGCTTTGCAGATGCTTGCGAGTATTTCCTCTGGCTGCCTCCGTCTTGCACCGCCATGTGTAGGTCATTTGATAGTTGAGCCTGGATGGATGGATGCAGGGCTTTAAGTCTGGGGGGTCTCAGGGGGTCTCGGACCCCCCCACTGATTTTAACGGATGGTCTGAGACCCCCCTCCACAGACCCAGCATTAGTGAAATCAAAATCATATCTTGCAATAAAATAGCCTGTTTTCAGGGATGCGACATTTGGGGATTAGCAATTTGATTGTTCCAGGTACAGTGTGGGCAGAGTCAGCAGTGGGGTTTATTTTATGTGCATCTAATACATCTCGTCAAACCCCCCCCCCCCCCCCCCCCCCCATCCCCCAAACCTTCTTGTAGGGACCCCCCTCAACTTGTGGGAGGCTTTAAGCACTGGATGGCATTAGCTCTACCCTCTGTAACGGGCGGTAATTTGCACCACCTAGCCTAGAGTCATTTACACCTCACCTCGCCACAAAATTCGTTTCTAAGTTCTGTTTCTCGTTAAATTGTCTACCCCATTATTGTTATGAATTATCGCACTTCTCTAGAGCTTTTCTACCAATTTTCTAACCTCCATTTTGGGATTGTAATATTTTTTTCCTCCGTTCTTCCATTCTCGTTGGCAAAATCCAGTGTTCTCGCCAAATCCGTAACTCCAGCACAAAGCCCACGGTTTCTAGCCAGTGCTTAAACGGAGCATTTTTCGTCTATGGAGTATTTTCTGTCCAAACAAAGCATTTTTCGTCGTGCTAAAAAAACAGATTTCTTTGTTTTATCACAGTTCAAAAACGTGGGCCACGGTATGTTTCGTCATTATGCAGCTATGGTACTTTACAGCTGATGGCTGTTATACCTATACGGAGTGTTTCATGAAATGCCAGCCTAATTGTTCCTGTGAAAAGTGTGCATTGCACAGAAAAAATAAAAAGTTAATGCCTAATTGATTGCTGCTAAGCAGCTTATTTAGGAAAATGAATAACGTTCATATAATTAAGTTAATGATTACTTTTAAGTAATTTGCTTTTCAATTAGCAAATTTAAAGGTATATTTTCGATTAAAAACTTTCTGGACATCATAAAAACCACTAAACCAGCCAACTTGACAGAAATATTAGGCAGAACCAGCATTTTAGGGCGTTCTTAAAAAACTAAATTTAGACGCATTTTTAAGTTTTTGGTTTTCTATCATAACTCACCTCTTCACAAGTAGTCATGGTGTCCGTGGCCAAAGTACGCAACTACAGTCTCGCCCCTCTCTTAGGAAAAAAGAAATTGTGGTGCCAGGAGGCAGGAGGGCCGCTGTCACAGTGGTGAGACTTCAAACAGGGTTCATATTTAATGTTATTTTTGATGGTAGTAAAATGCTGAGCATATAGTAATGCGTGCCGACTCTGTGCTTTTTAACAGTGTCTAGAAATTTTCTAATCGAAACCGTACCTGTAAATTTACAAAGTAAAAATTAATTACTGAAAAATGATTGAGAACATGATTATTGTGAGCGTGATCAATTCTTCTCTATAGGCCCTCTGGCAGAGGCCAGTAGGACACCAACCTTTTCTCTGTGCGATGCATACTTTTTGCAGGAGCGATTTGGCAAGCATTCCATTAAACATCCTATAAAATTAGGCCTAGTGTACTAAGCGAAGAGCAAAAGTATGATGATAATGCAATTAATGCAAAGGTAAAAGCGAGCTGGACAAGAATGACAATAATAATCCCTGTAGGAGGGGAACAAGGGGGACAATATCTGGAGAAGGGGAACAAGGGTACAATTCATAACCTTCAAAAAATGCAGGCCGTCTACTCTTGTTGGTGTTAGACTGGTGGCAGCTGATAAAACCCGTTCGCTCTACTGATGTCCAACTCCTGGTTAGCTCAGTTGGTAGAGCGCTCCACTGGAAATGGAGAGGCCCTTGGTTCGATATCAGGACCAGGTGGTTTTTTTCGGTCATGCACCAGCCATCTAGTTGTGTTTAGAGATTTGTGTTTGTCCTTTGTCCCTCTTGTTCCCCTTCTCCAGGGTTAGGAAATGTCATAATCTAAACCCTGAGACAAGGAGAAATAAAATAACGAACAAGAGGATAAAAAATCTCGAATATAGCTGAGTTTATTTGCGAGGGAATAGCAATTTATAGCCGTCCACACGGATGAGAAAGTGGGAAGACAAAAAGACATGCCGCTGCACAGTTGGCGGAACTGAGTCAGGCTGGCTGACCTCCACCAAAACATCACACCACCAGCAGACGCCCGCCGCAAAGCTACCCAGGTCAGTCGGTCTGGCTCAGTTCTGCCAACTTTGCAGCGGCATGTCCTTTTGTCTTCCCACTTTCCCGTCTGTGTGGGCAGCTATAAATTGCTGTTCCCTTGCGAATAAACTCAGCTTCATTTGAGATTTTTTGTGTCGTCGTCTGTTATATTTGTTTATCCTTGTCTCAGAGTTTAGATGATGATGCTAGTATAGACCAACACGCGGCCCTGACGTCACGCAGCTGCAGTGGCGCTGTCGACAGCACTGCGCATGCGCAGACGTGACGCTTCACGCAAATTCGGTTTTTGCGCACGCGCAGTGCAGTGCCCACACCTAGTGTGGGCAAACGTGGGCTTGTTTGTAACTAGTGTGTCGGTCTATAAACTAGCTGCTTTGACTGGAGGTGCTTCTCTGATGGCTACTACGTCTGCTTCCAGGCCGACCAGGGGGGCCTCGTGGCCTGCTGCCTGGTCCTGGTGGGCGACCTCGTGCTGACCCTCGTCGAGGGCGGGAGGGTCCTGGGTCGCGGAGGGGTTGTCGATATTGGCCTGGTGCACAGCGAGGACGTCTTCTGCGTGCTGGTCTGTCAACCTTTCTTTCGGGGCGCTCGTCTCGTTCTAAGGGAAGCTTCGGGTGCATGGAAAGTTGGGTAACTGGAAATGCTGTATTGAAAGGAAAAGGTTGCGAACAGTCGTTGTCGGTTGTAGCTTCGTTAGTGCTGGTGTTCAAAGTCCTCGTGGTTGTAGCTCTTCTACGGCTGACATGTTATGGTTTAGGTCGGGGGCAACACTCACAAAAGCGAGCTCCGCAGGTGTTGCTTCTCTGCAGTGCACCGGTTCTCGCTGAGAAGCGCCCTCAATGGGGCTAACCCGCTGCAATCAACATTTCGAAAAGCATGAATATTGTAGTCACATGCGTAAAAGAAAAGCGCGCTTTCAAAGCGGGGGGTGGTGCATGCACTTGCCTGGTGTATGTAAAAAGAAACATAAACTCTGTGAATGTTGATACCTGCACTGCAGTAAAACTTTCAAAATTAAACTGGGGCTATTATGCGCGAGTATACGTTAGGCAGGGATGCCCTGACAACCTGCGTTCATCATTCGTGATTTCTTTTTTAATCAGAGATTGAGGCAAGGATATTTGCATATAGTGAGATTTATAAATCCCCTTGATGAGGTATAGCTGGACATTTCTTTAGGTTTAATTTTACGACAAATCGGTTGTTTACTTGCCATTCCAATGCAGGTATCGGACTTTCTGAGGCCACAGTTCACAAGTATACCGTACAATCCCGTAAGAATGCCCTCTCCTGAATGATCGCCCATCCCATTTTTCTGGCTAAATATCTGTAACATAAAAATTCCGAAACATCGCCCCCCCCCCCCCCCCGATTCCCGTCGGTTGTCAAGCGGTGTCCGACAGAAATCACACGTCAACGGCGCGATTCGCGGTGCCGGTACATCTGACAAGCTAGTTGATATCGGCTCCCATAACACGCGAGTCGTTCCCGCGTGTATATTTCATTGTGAAATGCAAATCTGCTGCGTTTGCCATCTGCGGTATCCATTCCCGAGTTTGTGACAGATTCCCGTGTTTTTGTCCCCGATCTGCACGCTCAATTTCGATTCCTAGCTGTAACACGGGCGAGTTGTTCCCGCGTATACATTGCATCGTGAAATATGATTTTGCTGCATCCACAATCTGCGGTATTTGTTTTCGTGACACGCGAGTTTGTAGCGTATTCCCGCTTTTTTGTCTGCGATCTGCACGCGCGATATCGGTTTCCATGCCAGGCAAGATTGTAGCGGGTTCCCGTGAGATGCGAGTTCTCGGTAGGCATCCGCAGGTCCTTCGCACCGTGAAACGCGAATCCGCTGCGTCGGCCACTTGCGGTATCCTTTCCCCTGACACAGGAGTTTGTATCAAATTCTCGCGTATTTATCGTGCCCGTGAAACGCGAATTTGCCGTGTCCGCAATCTGCGTTATCAGTTCCTGTGTAAGTGGTTTGTAGCGGGTGCCCCGGTGCTTATCATTATTTTTTTATAAAGTTTTGCTCTGGCATCCCCAAAGATGCCCACCCTATGTTTTTCACCATTTATCTCTTCATTTTGGGTGGGCGTTCTTACGGGATTTTACGGTAGTTACATTATAATTTACTTAGATTAGAAAGAGGCAACTTGAAGCTTTAGGAACAACCCTCATCAGCTCAGCTGGGTTTTCATTTTATCATGGTGCAACAGTTGCGAAAGGCTCGGAGAACCTATTCAATATTCAATAAAAAAAAAAATATCCAGCCAAAACCAGCATTCACTTTGAATTCCCTTCAAGCTCAAAACCCAATATTCGCGAATGCCTAGTAATTTTCGTACGTAGAAACTACATGGTGTTTGTGAGAAAAGAAAACCATGTTTTTCTTGGCGCAGAAACAAACTATACCATATTTACAAGATTGCAAGTCGACATTGCACATCACATTGCGCATAGGAAAAAAACATTCAGTCGTCGTGCGCAGAAGCTCAGTACTGTGTGTCCCTCTATCTTTCACATTTCTGGACGCTGCCAATGAAAAAGGAGTTTGAGAGCGGAGAGGCGGAGAGCTGTTGTTTCAACTGGATACTCTGGTTCTCCACTGAGGAAGAGAAGAAGGAGTTCCTGGCTGTCATCTCCTCCTCGTGGCAGGACATATTCAAAGTATGTAATCTTTCTCGCCTTTTTCGTTTTCTTTTTGTTGATAATTTTTTTTTAGGTTTTTCACTTCTTGGAAAGGTGAAAACTCTCAAAGTAAACACTCATAACAATTCCTGCGCAACAGAGACATTCGTGCAGACAGATTAATTTGGAATAAGTTTACATAACAACATAATAGTCAAGATCGAGTTGGGTTCCGCTAAGCGGCTGTGAGATAGTCGTCTGCCTGGAGTGGAATTTCATGTGTTTCTGCCATTTTCATGCTAACAATAACTTGCTCTTGAATAAAAAAGAAATTTTAAAAATTAATGTTTAGTTTGCTGATTATAGTTGCTCTTCTGAACATTGGCGTAGGTTTCGCTCGACATCACGCACCTGAAGAACAACAACCTCAAAAGTCACTGCCTCGAACGAGCGGCGGAGCTTTCGGCGCGGATCAGCGAGCTGCAGGCTCTCTGCCTGGACGTCTGATGCAAAGAGCCGTGGCCCCAGGCCACCCACGACAAAGCCATCCGGTTGGCATGACAAACAAAGTGGAGGCAGTTAGAGAGTTGTTGCGCTGTTTTGGGGAGGCTGTTTCTAATCTACCCGTTTCAGTTGCATTTGAATATCTGTAAACGGCGCCAAAGTCTGTGCTGTTTGGCTGTGATAATGGGACGATGAATTGGAATTTGTGGCATCTAGTGTTGATTTGGAAGTTCTGCAGGATGCTAGAATGGCTGCTTCTGTCATTTTTGCGTAGGACAAGACGGGTGCGGGTGGTTTGATTCGGCGGGTGGCCGCCTTTCGGCGCCATGCATTGCGTGCAATGACTGCGTTGTGCAGCTAGAGTTAAGCCATTTTTTAAGGTTGAATGAATGAACGCGACGCATACTTCTGGCTCCTATTTTCGGTTGGCAACCGTAGCTAGTCATCCTTGAATTCGCACATAGATGTTTTGATGTTGTTTTGTGTGCATTGACTGCCAAAGAATTCTTTTGCTTGTGTTGAATATTTTGTTTTTAGCATGTCAGGATGAATGTGCTCACATGTGCACTGTCCTAATCACATTTCTCATAAGACCTAAAACGAAATCAAAGTGACACTTGTTGCAGATACTGTTCTCAGATTTTTCTGGAGTGTTTTTTTTTAGTTCTTCAGTATCGGACATTCTCAACAGATTGCCCGGTAGGTTAAGAAGTTGTAACAACGAGTTGGTAAACCATGCTGTCGTGCCTGGACATAGCGCAAGTGATAATTGTTGGAACCGTTTTGCAATGGTGGTTTATTAGTTATGGTACAGTTACACTAGCGATGGACGTTTTATGGCATATTTCATTTTGGTTGTTGCTTTGATTTTTGATCAACATATGTACCACCTCTGTCAGGTTCCTTTCAGATTCTTCATTTTTTGACCATTCTACTGAATCTCGGGCTAAGTGTCTTACTGCTTCTTGTTCACATCTATTATTTTTACGTGCAACATTGATTGGTGCAGAAACGCTCCGCTTTCTGTATCTATGTTTATTCTATAGGGGCAACACTGTAAATAGTACTAGTACTATCACTTTCTCTCTCCTTCTAATTTTAATATAATTATCACTGGACATGTATGTGATATGTTTTCACATTACATCAGATCTCATTTCATATGTTTTATGTATAGTGAGCAACTAAGTTTCCTAAGGCTGCAGCTGTGATACCATTGGGTTGATATGCACAAATGTCATTGTGTGTAGGATCGTTTGTGGTGCAAGCAAGCAAGCACATCTTTATGCAATAACTCTTTATAAATCTTGCTTGTGTAGCTGACTTGAACATGTGTAGCAAAGATACGCTATAATAAAAACCTTCTTGCCTGAAAGACTTACCCGTGTCAGAATTCTTCACAAGTGAAAACTGTATGAAAGAGAAACTTTATTTGTATCTTTCTTCTTGGGATGGGAAGGAAGCAGGAAAGAGGAGGGTCCTTAGAATGTGAAATCGCATGAAAATGAACACATTTATTTTGTGTGTGGTGATGGTTTTTCTAGAAATTGAGAGGAGATGGATATATACTTTCATTCTGATGTAATGCTTACAAGAAATCCTGGAAAGGCAAAAGAAAAGGCAATGGGAAACACAGATGAAGGTGCCTGAAGTGTAAATTCAGTTATCGGTGTGCACAATTGTGATCATATAGTCTTATGATTAAGTTGATGCTGTGTGAGCGTATATACATACGTGTCTGTAAAAGTTTGGCACTCTTTTTGAAGTCCAGTCCTTTTTGCTGGCCTTGGAGGAACATTGCTGTAACAATAATATTAGAAAGTAGGCAATCACATCTTCTTTCTTTGGATTCAATGCAGAATTTTACAGCTGGTGTGCAGACAGCGGCGTCACCCCCGCTGTCACGGCCCTCTGCAACACCGCCCCCCTTCTTCCTTTCACTGCCCAGCAGCACCCCCCCCCCCCGAGCACTGCACCCAAAGTGTGCGGATTGCACCCCTGCCCCCCCTTGCAACGCCACTGTGTTTAGATCATCGCAAAAAGTTTCTACGAGAACGGGTAACACAGCGAAGTCATGTGACCTAAAAACAAATAGCCAGACTTCCAAACGAGCGAAACGGCCTCAAACGAGTCAACACAAACACACGACGCATTCTGCCGTCCATAGGCTTTAGGCGAAGTATCGAGGTAAGTTTAGTTTATGTTGGACGCTCGAATGACAAGCAAAATCAAAGAACATGAACGAGCCGTTTCACATAGTGCACAGTTGTAAGAAAGCTTGGCAACTGTCTTCAAACAATTTTCTTAATATTTTTATAGAGTCCCACTATTCCTCTGCGCTATCATTTTTGTGGGGTAACAAGTACCTTGAAGATTGCCACAAAACTTTGTCGTGGGTCGTGGCAGGAGTAGAAATGAAGTGTTTTGAGCTGAGGAGTGTCCTTGAAATCACTGCCTTTTCAACATTTTTGCTGTGGGGTTCCTTTTTTTGTTGGGTTCAATGGGGCAATGAAATTCACTCGTGCTAACACACCACAAAGGTGCATCAGCTATAGTCACTGTCGACACACTCTTCCAATATTTTGGAAATGCTTGTTTGGCTTGTGTGCGTATGTTGACACTGCCGGGTGTTTTGAGCGTACGGGTGTTTTGAGCGTTAAACGCTGCTTCGTCCAACATTCCCGTGAGCGCCGTCGCGAGTCCGTTTTGGATAGATGAGTGCTTGTTGCTTTGTGGGTTGCCGGGTCTTTTCACGTCCTATTGGGCGTTTTGTTGTGCACTGATCACCACACTGAACACTTCTTGGCAGGGTTCATGCGACTCATGTTGGGGCAGTTGTAGGCCCTGGCGAAGTCGTACGAGTTGGACAGCGGCCCCAAGACCCTGCAGTGTTGTAGCAAGAGGTGGAAACAAGAAATTCAGTCATGTTAAAAAGTAGCGTCAAACGAAGGAGTTCAGTTGTTCTTGTAACAATTGCAGCACAGCTAGCCTTCAACCTCATTGCGATTCCAGTTATTTCGCTAATGTACAATAGATTTTCTCCGTGGATAGATGGTAGTGCTATATGCTTTACTTTGGTGCAAGCTACAGCTTCATATTCTTTCTTAACCAATCTAGCGCTGCGAACATAGCACGTGACTACGCGCTCCGCACTGCCTGAAGGCCACGTGACACTCGCATGACAAAGGTCACGTGACGCACAGATGGCTTGTAGGTCCCTCTGCGGCAGACCGTAAAGTACCTTATGATTAACATTTTGTGGCTGACCCACTCCTTTTTGACTTGTGAACAGTGAATTATATGCATTGCTGTCCGTCAACGTTACTAAAACACTCAGTTGAGAAACTTGCCCTTGAGGCCTGGGCTGCTGGCGTCCACCGAGACAGAGCGAAATACGATAACAGGGCCACCTTTTAGTGGCGAGTTGAAACATGAAATTTGCTTTATATGACTACTAGTAGAGTTACTGAATGCTCCCAGAGTACCGAAACTCCCAAGCTTAAGGTGCCAAGACGGCGGCTAAATCTTTTTTCTTTACTGTGGTCACCATGAGCTTTTAGAAAGCATGTTTTTGCGTAAAAACAAACGAAAAAAGCCCCTTCGTTGGAACCTTTATTGGAGATTAGTACAAAATGGCAGGAGCGTGACACTAGCATACAATTTTAGTTTACAGGGTTTTGCGGCACAAATAACACTGTTTTTATACAGCCATGTCTCACAGGTGACTTCAGGTAGCGCGTCCCTACCTGGGTGCGTCCTAACTTAGGTTAATAATTGCTGCGCGTCCGCTTGGGAGACAGGTTGGCAGCCCTCGCTTCCACTGTGTACGTTTAGCACGGTCGCAGCGGACGCTATCGAATGCGATGCACCCGCACCAATACAAGCAGCCGAGTGGCCGTTGCGGGAGAAATGGCGGCGTTGCGATCGTCATTGGTTCGGTTATGGTGCCTTCCGTTTTTGAGTACGGTCTGGTGCAACTCTTCCAGAGCAGGCTCTATGGCAGTTTCCCAACTGTGTCGTTCTAGTAACGTTGGTGTCCGTATATCGTGAAGACTGGTAGACAGGTGTGCTTGCTCGAAGTTTTCCTCTTTCTTTTATTTCCATTTTTTTTTGTTTTTTGCTCATGCTATTTATTTATTAGTTAACCAAGTATATTGCTCGCGCGACTTGTCTAGAAAAGGGCTAAAAAAGTTGTTTTGACATATTCAGCAAAGGCCCGTTACTTCACAACTATTACCCTTGAGGCCTGTTACTTTCTAATAACCAGGACTACAAATGTTTATTCCCCCCCCAAAAAAAAAAAAAAAAAAATCCTTTTCTTTTTTTTTCTTTCCTCCGCTAGTTATACTGACCTAATCGGGCCTGGACTGTGAACCGACGTACGTATCTTGTTGAGGGCTTCCTCTGGCCTCATGGAGCCACACCATATCTGCATATGACAGAATGAAATTGGTTCAGGCACTCCGGGGTATGCGCAGAAGGAAAAACGTGCAATAGCTTTGGGTCTTTTTATCTCTTCCGTTTTATAGCGCGCTTATACACTTGGGGATTCGCGGGTGGTGAATTTCGGAGCCAGATGACGAAATCGACTCGTAGCTGGCGGAAAATCTGGATTAGTCAGGGACCCATATCCAGATGTTTCGCCAGCGACAAGACGATTTCGCCACCCGGCTCCGAAATCCACTTTCCGCCTGCGCGGATCCGCTCGCGAATCCATAAGTGTAAATGCGCCTTTGCAGTATACAAATTTCATAAGAAGCTGTAGGTGAATTAATTCCTGTAGTTTGCCAAACGGAAAGACGAGGCTGTCAAAATTGTTTCATTTGTCTTCTTGAAACGTACTCTTAGGACAAAAGGCATATTTTCGGTGGATGATATGATTATTGTTCGCAGTACCCCTTACGATGCTACCTATCTTGTAAAATTAAATGAAGTAGTGCCCTTATTTTCCAGAAGATTCTAGTAGGACTCCGTGACCAGAGCCAAAACTGCTGACGAAGTTTCAGAGCCCCGAGCGCAGGTTTTGTTTAAAAAAAAAAGCCGTGAAAGCTACACTTACGTGGTTTGTGCATTGAGTTATACGGCCAGGGGTGCATAGTATAGGGAGCTAATCGTAACGATCAGTCGGCTAAATAAGTATAATTTGTTAGTTAACTTTTTAATTAGTGAAACTGGACATACGGCTCCAGTTAAAAACTTGCTAAGCATCATCGAAAACCACTAAGTCAACTCCTTTTACGAAGATATGCGACATGAGCAACAATTTACAGCGTTATATATATATATATAAAAATTGTTTAATTTTGACAAGTTTTTAGGTTTCGGTTTCTTATCCGTGCGCATCTTTCCGCCCGCGGTCCTGCTCCTCGGTGGCCGCGGCCGCGGCGCGAAGTCACCTTCTTGCCTCCTTCGTAGGATGGAGGAAAGTGGGGCGCATGTCTGTGGCGCGCCTCTCTTAACACTCTTCACTCTTCCCTTCAGGATAATTGATTTTCCTGCATAACGCAGAGAGCTTTTGTAAGCTGAGTGTAAGAAAAAACACCAGAATATGTTCATGGAATGTCAGACCGGTGTTGTGTATGACATTCCGCTTTCCTGCGGTGGGTCTTACGTAGGCCAAACTGGGCGTTGTGTAAATGATCGCGCGAGAGAGCATGCTGCTTCCTTAAAACAGTCACCTTCTGGGCACCTGGCTGTGCATCGCAACCGATGTGAGTGCGCACCAGTTTTCAATGACATGGCAATTCTGGGGCGCTACAGCAAAAACGATTACAAGGGAAATTCATGAGGCGTATGCAATAAAGGAGAAGGGTGCAGATAAGTGCGTAAGCGAACCTTTCGTGACTCTGTCAGATAAAGAGCGTTTATTCTTAGATAAAAAGTGGGCACGTGGAAAGTGACGTTGGGTGTCTTAAAGGGTATATGAGACTATGTTTTCCCAGAAATAAAACTTCAGTTGCGAGTGCGCCTTGTGTCGTCGTTTCCTTACTTTGTCCTAGTCTTACGGCGCTTGTCTTTTCCCATAATGAACCAACTGGCCCAACTCACCATTTTGTTATAACATATCTAGTTCGTACTAAAAATAACCGTATTTATTCGAAAAGTCTACTTTTTTTGGTACTGTTATTTAAAAGAAGGGTCGATTTAAATTCGTGACTAAAGAAAGGTCGACCGGTTATTTTCAGCGAAATTTCCAACCCCGTCTAACCAACCGATGGGCTCCCCCGCGTCATCAGCTTCTCCTAGCACGTCGGTGCAAAGCAGTGAAGGTTGATGCGAGCGTTGCAGGGGAGTAATTGCAGCTTGGAAGCGCGGGATTTTGGCTGTTCTGAGATTTCGGCCGATGACGTGGCCGGCGCGATTTACAAAGCAGTTTTATCTAGGGTAACTATGACATGCTGTAAATTATTCCTTTTTTTTTTTTTTTTTTACAAATTTTATTTTTACTGAAAAGAAAAATTCAAGGGATAATTGATTGTTTTGTTATTAATCGTGGTGAGTTCTATATACTGTGGTTCGACTTTTATTGGTAGTCGACCTACATTCGAGTAAATGTGGTAGAGGTGCTTCTTTATCATCGCATTATCGTAATCACCCAATACTTCCTGCCGTGGACAGGGTTCGGTGGACCACAAGAGGACCCGAACCATCAGTGGGTTCTACGCTATAAGTAGGATTATGTGTTTTTGGAGTTCGTTTATCTTGAAATGCGGGTTTTTTTTCTTCGGAGTTTAGTTTTTGCTAAAAAATTTGGGGTTTATCGGAGTTTTTTCTTGTTAGATTGCCAATTTTTTTTTTTTTTTTAAATTTGGAGTTTATTTTATTGGGCATCGAAATTATATATATAAATATATATATATATATATATATATATATATATATATATATATATATATATATATATATACAGGTAAAGTAAGGTAAATATAAAAACAATGGACCGGGAAAAGTTAATAAGTCAAAGATGCGTACTGTCGGAGTTACTAATTCGAAGTTTATTACGACGTTTCGAGCGGGGACCGCTCTTCATCAGGTAGCGAGTGTACAGCCCGCGAATGTTTATATACCCCTAAGAAGAAATTAGAGGGAGTAAAGTGCAGTAGGAAATAGAAACAGCGTTGACAAAACAGATAGTTTACACAGAAAGGAGAGGGCACCAAAACTTGCAAATGCATAAAAAAAAAAAATCGGTTTGCAAAAAGCGATTATTTACGCTCGCGCGCGCAAAAAAAAAAAACAAAGTTTGTGGAGAGATTATTTCCTCTCGCACAAAAAAAAAAAAAAAAAAAAAAAAAAAAAAAAAAAGTGTTTGAAAGTTTTGGGTTGGGAAGGGGTGGCTCGTCTTCAAACCAGAAATAGGATACATGTGACCACTGACGCCCCCCAAATCCCGTGACATTCCTTTGTGCTAGAGGTCGAAGTTTAACACTTTGGGGGATTTTTCCTTGGATAAGAAGTGGTAAGATGTGACAGTCTATGCCTGCCTGAGATTAACCGCTTGAGCCGCATTTATCCGTTTTGGAGGTATCTTCGGACTTAAACGCATTAGGATGTGGTTTAACTATCGATTGTTAAGTTTAAAGATCTTCTAGTGTCTTCAGCGTGTGCATCTAGAGAAGCTCAAGGGCGGAGAGGATCAGCTCTAAAACGAGCCAGCTGCAAACTAAACAGCCTTCCCAGACTTTCATTAATGCCCTGGTTGAACGTAATAAACTTATAAATAAAATATGATTCTTTTTGCTCTCTTTCAATTTTTGTGCTGAAGCCTGATTCCAAAATTACAACAGAAATGTGCTTGATTGAGTGATTAGAAAGAGACAGGTGCTTTGAGAGCGGAAGGTCGGGGAGTGTTTGTGCGTGACATTTGTGGTTGTTAAAGCGTAGTCTGAAAGCCAAATTAGTCTGTCCGACGTACTGTTTATTACAGACATTGCAGTGCAGGAGGTAAATCACGTTTGACGTACCGCAATCGTAGCTACCCCTTATGTTCCACGTGAACTCTGAATTTGTGCTCGTGGCGTTCTGTGTTTCTAACATGTGCTTGCATACTTTACACCTGGGCTTTCGGCATGGTCGGCAACCTAGGTTTGCGGGAGTGGTAGTTTTTGATTTTACTAAGACGTCCCGGAGATTCCTGCCGCGTCGATAGACGACCCGAGGAGCGGCGGGAAAGATTTCTTTGAGGCGGTCGCTCTGTGACAGAAGATTGTAATTTTTGCTCAGTATGTTATTGATGTTTGGAAGATTGCCTGTATACGTTAAAATAAGGTTAGACTGTCTGCTTTCTTGAGGACGCTCTATTCGGTTGCCAATGATGTCTGAGCGGTCGAGGTTTCTTGCCTTGTTTATAGCGTCATCGATTACATTTGCTGGATACCTCTGCTGGGTTAGTACGCGTTTCAGTTCCTGAGCGTTTTGTTCAAAGTCGTTGTTGTCTGAGCATATGCGCTTAAATCTGTGCGCCTGATAGTACGGCAGACTAGTCTTACAGTGTCGAGGATGGCAGCTGTTAAAATGGAGGTATTGTTGTCTATCGGTAGGTTTTCTGTAAAGTTTCGTACTTAATTTGTTATTGGCAATTTCCACAGTTGCATCCAGGAAGTTTATGCACTTTTGTGATACGCAGTGAGTAAATTTTATCGATGAGTGAGCTAAATTGAAGGCGGCGATAAATTTCATGAGTTCGTCTTCAGCACCGGCCCAGATCATGAATATGTCGTCGATGTATCTTGTGTAAAACAGCGGTTGAGTGGGGCGTTCAGCGAGAAAGGTGGTTTCCAGTTGCGACATAAATATGTTAGCGTAATTTGGCGCCATCTTAGTTTCCATAGCGATTCCATTGGTCTGCAGGAAGTGCCTATTCTCAAATTCAAAGTGATTGTTCTCCAAAACCAGTTTCATCAGAATTGAAAGGACGTCCCCCTCGATGTCAAGTGTGTGCTGAGCGTGTTCATACGCTTCGATCACTGCCGCAATTCCGTCTCTGTGGGGTATATTTGTATATAGGGAAGCCACATCAAGGGTTACGAGAAAAGCGTTATCCGGAATGTCTAGTGGGGCAATTTTCTGCAGGAAGTGGCTGGTGTCCTTAACAAACGAAGGGAAGGTTGGAGGAATGTCCTTGATCAGTGTATCGACAAGACTCGAGATGCGTTCGGTGACTGTGCCTATTCCTGACACTATGGGTCGCCCGGGGTTGTTGATCTTGTGTATTTTAGGAAGGAGATAAAAGCGACCGGGTTTCGAGTGGGATGGTTTTATGGCGCTAAAAACCTCCTTGGTTATTTTGCCACTTTTCTTTAGAACTACTAATTCCTTTATGATGGCCGTTTCAAGCCTTTGTGTGGGGTCTGTCGGTAGTTCGCGGTAAAATGATGTGTCATTCAATTGCCGAAAGCCCTCATCAAGATAATCTTGTCTGTTCATAACAACTATGGAGCCGCCCTTATCTGCAGGTTTAATAATTAAATCTGCCCTGGCACTGAGCCTTTTCAGGCACTCATTCTCTGGCCGAGAAAGGTTATATTTTGTCGGTCTTTGCCTCTTCACAGCGGAAATGATTTCGCGTTGCGTGATATCAATGTACATGTCGAGATACTTATCTCTTCGCGGATTAGGCGTCCATTGCTTTTCTGGGTTGGTCAGGATCGTTTGGTTAGGATTCGGTTGGCGGTCGTGAAAGTACTCGCGGAGCCTCATGTTTCGGGCAAACTTGTCCAAATCTTGGTACAATTGAAACTCGTTGTAGTGCCCAGCTGTGGGGCAGAAGGTTAATCCTTTAGAAAGGATGTTGGTCTCTTCCCGCGTTAACACTGCGTCCGATAAATTTACTATGTTGCCTTTGTCCACTGTTTTTTCGCAGTGTCTCCCGGAACGCGCTGCGACTAACCCTGCAGAGGTATCCAGCAAATGTAATCGATGACTCTATAAACAAGGCAAGAAACCTCGACCGCTCAGACATCATTGGCAACCGAATAGAGCGTCCTCAAGAAAGCAGACAGTCTAACCTTATTTTAACGTGTACAGGCAATCTTCCAAACATCAACAACATACTGAGCAAAAATTACAATCTTCTGTCACAGAGCGACCGCCTCAAAGAAATCTTTCCCGCCGCTCCTCGGGTCGTTTATCGACGCGGCAGGAATCTCCGGGACGTCTTAGAAAAATCAAAAACTACCCCTCCCGCAAACCTAGGTTGCCGACCATGCCGAAAGCCCAGGTGTAAAGTATGCAAGCACATGTTAGAAACACAGAACGCCACGAGCACAAATTCAGAGTTCACGTGGAACATAAGGGGTAGCTACGATTGCGGTACGTCAAACGTGATTTACCTCCTGCACTGCAATGTCTGTAATAAACAGTACGTCGGACAGACTAATTTGGCTTTCAGACTACGCTTTAACAACCACAAATGTCACGCACAAACACTCCCCGACCTTCCGCTCTCAAAGCACCTGTCTCTTTCTAATCACTCAATCAAGCACATTTCTGTTGTAATTTTGGAATCAGGCTTCAGCACAAAAATTGAAAGAGAGCAAAAAGAATCATATTTTATTTATAAGTTTATTACGTTCAACCAGGGCATTAATGAAAGTCCGGGAAGGCTGTTTAGTTTGCAGCTGGCTCGTTGGAGAGCTGATCCTCTCCGCCCTTGAGCTTCTCTAGATGCACACGCTGAAGACACTAGAAGATCTTTAAACTTAACAATCGATAGTTAAACCACATCCTAATGCGTTTAAGTCCGAAGAGAACCTCCAAAACGGATAAATGCGGCTCAAGCGGTTAATCTCAGGCAGGCATAGACTGTCACATCTTACCACTCCTTATCCAAGGAAAAATCCCCCAAAGTGTTAAACTTCGACCTCTAGCACAAAGGAATGTCACGGGATTTGGGGGCGTCAGTGGTCACATGTATCCTATTTCTGGTTTGAAGACGAGCCACCCCTTCCCGACCCAAGACTTTCAAACACTTTTTTTTTTTTTTTTTTTTTTTTGTGCGAGAAAAAATAATTTTTTTACAAACTTTTTTTTTTTCTTTTGCGCGTGCGAGCGTAAATAATTGCTTTTTGCAAACCGATTTTTTTTTTTATGCATTTGCAAGTTTTGGTGCCCTCTCCTTTTTGTGTAAACTATCTGTTTTGTCAACGCTGTTTCTATTTCCTACTGCACTTTACTCCCTCTAATTTCTTCTTAGGGGTATATAAACATTCACGGGCTGTACACTCGCTACCTGATGAACAGCGGTCCCCGCTCGAAACGTCGTAATAAACTTCGAATTAGTAACTCCGACAGTACGCATCTTTGACTTATATATATATATATATATATACTTTTACTTATTTTTTCAGATTTGTTTAAAAAAAGCCGTGAAAGCTACTTATGCGCTTAGTGCAGGTGAGTTATGTGGCCAAGAGCACATATTATAGGGAGATAGTCGCACCTATTCGTCATGTAACTAAGTAAAGTTGGTTAATTAACTTTTGAATTAATGCAAGTAGACATATGGGTCCATTTTAAAACTTGCTGAGCATTATCGAAAACCACAAAATAAACTCTTTTTAGAAGGTTATAACGCCGGGGCAGCATTTTACGGCGTTCTGTAAAAACGCTCCATTTGGACGCGTTTTTAGATTTCGGTTTCTTATCGGAGCGCATCTACGCGCCCGCAGTCCCGCTCCCCAGTGGCTGCGACGCGCAACACACATCCGCCCTACTTCCCCCCCGAGGGGGTGGCTTCGCGCCGCGACCACCAGGGAGCAGGACCGCGGGCGCAAAGATGCTTTCCGATAAGAAACCGAAATCTAGAAACGTGTCCAAATGGAGCGTTTTTGACCTTCTAAAAATAGTTGATTTAGTGGTTTTCGATGATGCTCAGCAAGTTTTTTTTGATTGGAACTATATGTCTACTTGCATTCATTCAAAAGTTAATTAACAAACTTTACTTAATTAGCCGACTAATAGTTGCGTCTATCTCCCTATACTATGTGCTCTTGGCCGTATAACTCACCTGCACAAAGCGCATAATGTAGCTTTCACGGCTTTTTTAAAACAAATCTGAAAGAATAAGTAAAAACACCCTGTATATATATCTATATATATATATATATATATATGTGTGTGTGTGTGTGTGTGTGTGTGTGTGTGTGTGTGTGTGTGAATTCCGGGCACCATGACCCTTTTTCCTGAAGGAACCTCGACGAGCTAAAAGACATACCCCTTTTATCGCTAATTCGAGATTTCAAAGGAAACTGAAGTTGCATCTTCTCAGGACCACGATTTTGTGTTCTTATAAAGTGTGTAAAACACCGTCCTTTTTCCTTTTTATTTTGTCGTTGTGACCTCAAAATTTCGAGTTTTTCGGATAAATCTGAATTTACGAAAAATTTACTAGCGTGTGCTTTTAGATTTGTTTTATTTATCCGAAAACACGGAACCCTGTAGTTATAACCATAGTTTTAAACTGTTTCATACAGCGTACAAGAAACACAACATTGAACATTAAATGGAATGCAAAAAAAAAAGTAAAGTGATTTGTTTTTAATAGCTCAAGCACACTTAGCATTATCCTACCTGGGCATAATTCAGGAAGAAGAGCTGGTCGTGGGTCAAGTTGATGCCTGGCAGCAGTGGTTCTTCTCCGTACTGCTTCACCCATTTTTTGTACGCCTGAAATCACGATACACTGGGTCAGTGGATCCTCTTTACAGACCATTCTCGAGCCGTGACTCGCATTGTGATCGACGCTTTTCGCGTACCCGGTAAGCCTGCTTGAGTCCACCGTTGTCAGCGATGTTCTCTCCCTGAGTCATTTTCCCGTTCACCTGAAATTCGAATTCATTTTCCCAAACCTGCTTACTCCTGACGCAGGAATAACTAATAATTTCCAGGCAATTTTGTCTATCTTTTAGCTGTCAATATTACTGCCGCGTGTCATTGGTGTCTGCCAATATCGTAAGCTTTGTCTGTCACCTTCATCTTTTTGAGCCATTTTGGTTGCGAAATCTGTTTTTACGTGGCATCAATGTTCTTAGCTGCAAGCTTGTGGTATTGCTCAAAATAAGCAGTACAACATGACTGATTGTGATTTAAAATGACGAAGGGGGATCGATGGCCGAGTGGGCTAACGCACATCAGCTCGGAGCATGTGGAGCTCGCGCTGCAGAACCCAGGGATCCTTGGTTCAATCTCCACCCCTGCCCGTTTCGATATGAATGAGCATCGTACCGGCGTGCGGTCGTGTATCACTATACTGCTTGGTGCACGTTAAAGACCCCCAGGCTAGCGGTTGTACTGCACTTGCTAAATTTCTCATATACAGCTGAGACAAGTCGCCCATTGGTGCTGACTGACTGCCGACTATATAAACGTACAACATAATTAATCAGAATGACTAGATAGAGAAGCAGCTATACCGTAAATCCGTAATTGAAACTAATGCACACTACAAAAGGCTCCCAAAGGATAACCCCTTTTGCCTCCAGTTCTTCAATCATGACCACCGGCAGAAAAGGTGTCCGTATGAATTATTTTTTAGCACAAATAGTTTATGCGTCGTGTTTTGGAAGTATGCGGAGCAGTAGTTTGCCGCGTCTTACATTGAGGTTGACGTCTTCGAGGACGTAGCTTGAGTACTGGTCCACCATGCACTGCGCCCGCTCTCTGAAGGTACGCACCGTCTGGTTGTTCCACCACTGCTTTAGGTTACCGTCCTTGTCGAATTGGCGACCTGGGAGAGCATTGTTTCGTTCAAGTCTCCTCCCTGGGACCCATAGCTAAACAGCCAGCAACCATGTCGATTGTGCGAGCCTTGACTTAAGCCCCATCATGGACATACTCCATCGACCACATCGCCTCTGTCAGTCTCACACATACAGACGAGCTGCTTAATGGAGTACAAATAACGAAGGATTCAAGCATGAAGGACGACTGCGACTGGCGTTTAAGCAAACAACATACTAACGATGATGTCTCTAAAAAGGAGTCTGTCGATATTCGAAACACGACTACCCTCATTTCATCCCATTGTCCTTTGGTTATTCCTGATCTTCCCAAATCTGTATAGGTATGTCGGGTGCGGCAATGAAGACGTAAAGGGGTGCGTCCTTAATCGTCCAGCGCACGAAAAAAAAATAAATAAATGAAGACAACTTGTTTTGATGTTATGTTTTGTCCCAAGAGAGAATGCTTCGATCTGGATGAGCAACGTACTGGCGTGAGGGCGTGTATCACTACTGCGTGATGCATGTTAACGACCCCAAGCTAGCGGTTGTACTGCACTGCCTAAGTCTTTCGTCTACAACTAAGACACCAGATGCTCACTGATGCTGACTAACTTCCGGCGGTATAAATATACATTATACATAGAGAATGATTCTATATTCCTCCTCTTCTAAAATCGGCTGGTCCTAGTATTTAACAGGTTAAAAAATAGTTGAATAAACGTTGTCAGCACCACTGCGCCCGTCAACATTGGGCAAATCAGAAACTTCTATGAAAATTGTAAACTTCGCTTCCTTGGGGCTCGCTATATCGCTAACCTTATTTATGTCGTAAATCAAACGAACGTATCACTCGTTTTGATAAATTTCGGAATCAGTGTACCGTGTTTTATTTGTACTGCTTGGAATACCGGTTACATCACCAAATTAAACCGTGAAAATCACTTCAGTATTCTAGCGGTTTTGGTAGGAAACCTCCGTGGCCGCCGTTACGAGAGGTTCTTAATTTTCCTCCACGCCACGATTCAGAAATAGCATTCCCCTGTCTCTCTTAAAAAATAAGAAGAAATATTTAAAAAAAAATAAAATAAGAAAGGAGAGCGAGAGAGAGAAGGGGAGGGAAAGAGAAAGAGAGAGATAGAGCTCTTTAAACGCCTTTTTCTCTTTCCTAATTACCTTTCACGCCACATTAATTACTGAATATTCGAAACCATTCGCCATCGCAATTAAATACCGCGCTACAAATACCAAAATCACGGTGTACTCTTTTCACTGCTCGATGACAGAGCCGTGGAAGCTACGTGCTCGCCGAACCGATCAATCGGCTTCCTCTTACCACCCAATGCCTCTCTCCGCGCGCGAGTACGCGCTGAAGGTGTGTTAACGTGATGTGAGACCGACCGTGCTGACTGGTTCAACAAAAACGTAATACCCACCGCTTTGTCAGCTTAGCGGCGAGCAGTGTTCAGTACAAGTCTCTAAACTACGAAGAAAAACAAAACATTGCATACAAATATAGTAAGTTATCGTTTAAAAGAAAAGGGCCTGTTAAAATTATTGCATATTGTTACACAGTGCCTGGTACGGCCTCATGGCGCCGCCATCTTGCTCGCTTCGCTTGGGGTGCGCCTCGGCGCGGCCATAATCCTATTATGAAGCCTTACTAAGGTGTCGTAATCGGATTATGGCCACGCCGAAGCGCACTCCAAGCGAACAACATGGCGGCGCCCTGAGGTCGTACTTGCAAACCTGTATAGCTCGTTTTTTTTTACCCCTCGTCGTTGCCGTCTTTTTATTGACAGAGAAGGGTCACATGCCCCAAGAACTGTCCAAAAGTACTGTGGGGAAGTGGCCCTGGAGAGCACCGACGTTTGGGTGAAACATATACGTTTTCCGAGTGAACTTGCATGCGCAGGCACAGAGGACGAACACGAATGAGTGAACAAGGACAATCGCTTAGTGTTCAAGAGGTGTGGATCTCCCACTCTGACCCGGAAGCGTCAAACTTCTAAATGTTGTATGTACCAGCTGGGCGCCGCTGCGCTTTATTTTCCTACGCAAGCAATATTCTAGAGCGTCCGTCGCAATGTTGGGGTAAGAAGGCGACGGGAGCGATTCTCGCATCTGCGACTGCTCCGGCGCTTCGCCGCACGCCGCCTCGTCTCCTGCAGACGAAGGGTCACTTCCAAGTTCCCACCAATACTAGACATGAGATAGCCGACCTCTGCCCTGGAAGCGGAGGTTAACCAGCTTCTCTTGCGTGATTCTTCGTCTCTTCGACGGAGATTGCAACTGCCGATGATCTCACCTTTGTCGTCAAAGCCGTGAGTTATTTCGTGACCAATGACGACTCCGATGCCGCCGTAGTTGAGGGACCTGCAAGCCAAGCCCAATGGCCGCAAAAAGAAAGAACGTCGCATCGCAATAGACCACTTTCAAAAGCGCGCACCTCTGAGCGAGGGCTGCGCCAGCGGTAGGCTCACGAACAGGACTCAGCTAAAGTAACTATTGATAAGAGCTTCCTCAACTATAAACGATGGACTAAAGGCGAAAGCTACGGACCGCCAGATCCAATCACGAGCTACTTCGAAATTGTGCAGTATTTCGCTTCGATGCACCTATCGGTGCCCGCGTCTGGGATCACTGATAAGGGGACGGGTGGACAGTCCTTCGAATCGAAGAGCACTGAGTGACTCAACAATTTTACATTGCAAAGGAAGCCACAAGATATAAACTTTTTGCAGCGTCGAAGCTATAGATAGAAATCATCCGGCGCTTTTGGATTCGAGCATTATTCGTCCACCCCTAATAAATGTTAAGCGTGTTATAGTATAGCGTGGAACGTGATTGGACCTCGCGGCCCGTGGCTTTGGTCTTTAGTCCATCATTGGATGAGACAAATTATACGCCTCGCAAGTAGGCTCATTTTCGTCTTCTGCGCATGAGAAAGGAAGTAGCGGTGACGTCAGAACGCCGAACCCTGATTGGCTGATCGCGACCCCCTATCTGAGCGTCGTCTGCTTTTTTGCAACGTCGTCTGCTCGCAACGTCGTCTGCGCCTGTCTGACCTTTCGTGCGACTTCCGGAAGTGCAGGTCTTTACGAGCGAGCTCGACTTCGCCTTTCAGAGAGGGCAGACGAAATAACTCGAGCGGTACGTTGTTTTTGTCTAACAACTAGCAGACGCGCATCAAGGAGAGAAGTCAAAGGACTCACTGGCGAGGTGTCCCGAGGCGCCGAGTTCCCTCCCAAATACTTTTTCCCTCCTTTCGTGTGCGGCGAGACTCCTCATTCTTTAACGGCGTCGGCGGGTTGGCGCAGTTAACGTTGTCTGCTTTACGTCTGCTAGTCAAAGCGATGGCTGCTTTACCTTTCGTGCGTCTGTCGGAGATTCACCACTTTTCACCGGCGAGAGTCACCGTTGCCTCGGGAACCAAGGAGATAACAAGAGGAAGAAATTGACCTCTTAATCTAAAACTGAGGTCAGCGATCAAAGTATGATACGGGAAGGGTTCACAAGGGTCGCGCGGGCATATTCCATTCAGCGCGCCAGCCGGTCGTGGGCAGACGGTCGCCGAGTCGCGGAGTGCCTGCTAGGCCTAACTGCCGTGCTCTCTTGGTCGCGTTCGGTGGAATCGTGGCCGTTGAAGCTTTTCCCGGGTGTTTGTGGATCCAGCGTTTTTGTTCGTCGTTTCAAGTACTTTCTACTTTTTTCTTGCTGCTTGAAGTCGGGACGCGTGAGAAGCGCACGTAGAAAAATAAACGTCCATGGGTCGCCGCGACCGCGACGCTGTCGGCCATGCTGATTTAATCGTAAGAAGTGCGTAAGACAGCTTCAGAGCTGTCGTAGGATTTCGTCGTAACCTGCGCAAAAGTTACGAAAATTTCATTTTGTGAATACGAATTTGTTCTTAAGTTATGTCTTACGCACATTTATGGCGTAAGATCGTTTCGTGAATCTGGACTCTGCACTTCCGAAAGTCGCAGGAAAGGTAAGACAGAGGCAGACGATGTTGCGAGCAGACGACGTTCCAAAGGAGCAGACGACGCTCATATAGGGGGTCGCGATCAGCCATTTAGGGCTCGGCGTTCTGACGTCACCGCTACCCCCTGCGCAAGAAGCAGACGAATTTGCCCTCCGCATAGCGACATTCTTTGAAGCACCGAATGCGTGACGGTCCAGCTTTAAAGAAGCTAATGGCGGCGCACAGCAGAAGACTGAACTGAATGACGCCATTTTGTTCCAGCGCAAATGCGTCTTGTCATTTGTATGTTGTCGCTATTTGTAAAAAGAAGTATCAAGGATTCTTAGGCTTAGCCGCTCAGCTCGTATCGAAAACGAGTGCTGAGTCAGCGTTTGGCGACGGCTTGAATCCATTAACATGCTTTTTGTCAAGATACGTCTATTAAAGTTGTTTGAAGCGGGTGTAACGAAATTTCACCCCTTTCCGCAGCCAGCGCGCCCTCATTCTGCACCCTTTGTACACCCTTCGAAAATAAAGGGTGTTCCATGCAACGGCAGCCTCTATTGCCATTAAAAAGAGTGTAAGGGTGCTGAAAGTGTGTAGCTATAGGTCTAAGTGTCTCTGAAACACCCTTTTTACACCCTGAACGGCGTAAATAGTTTTACCGTACACATCCTCAAATGCGGATGTGTATGAGCTGGGTGTGTAGAACGTGCGCCGTGTCATTACTCACTTGGGAAAATGGTGGCTGTAGAAAAGCGGCTGCAGGATGCCAGCCGGGAAGACGATATCATTCTTGTTGGGATTATAGAAAGCGTTTACCACCGCTGGCTCTGTTGTCCACCTGCACGAAAGAGAAAGAAAGAAAGAGAAAAAAAAAAAAAAAAACATTACGTATTTTAACTTTAGAGATTAAGTCAACTCGTCGTCCGCGCAATTAGTGCGACGAGTGCAACAGCTGTAACGGAAGTGTTGTTGCTGCTGCACTTCCGTTACACTTTTTGGGGACATTTTTTTAATGAACCCCTAGCTCTTATGCACAGTATCGAGCTTTTGTAGACCGTTTTTCTCCCTCCGCTATACTCTCAATAACAAAGACGTTGCTATGGCGCACGGGCGGCGCTATGCCAGCTGTTGCAGGTTAGGAAAATGAGAACAAGCTCCTCCCACTAAGCCCCCAACTCTTTCCACTTTAGCGAGCGAACGTTGGAGAGAAGGCGAGGGAGGAGACGCTCTCTCCAGCGTTCGCTCCGCTAAACTGCACAGGGTGGAGGGCTTTGTGGGAGCGCTCCACTCTTTCTTGGGCTTGGTGATATCCCACACTGCCTGGTGATAGTTAGGGGGAGGAATCATGTGGTTGTTTTTTACACTTAGGCTAGGTGGAGCACGCTACCGCCCGTTACAAAGGGTATAGCCATTCACATCCATCCATGCATCCATCCATCCGGAGGAGCTTGTTCTGCTTTACTCTCGCTGAGGAAACTTTTGCTGAACGGTTAAAACGATCTACCAAAAGTTCCTATGTCGCGTAAAAGAGCGTAGCGGCTACATTTTACGTAACCCCCATCGAAGCTATGGCGTGAAATTAAAACGAAACAAAACACAAAAACAAACTCGCGTCGAAGGTTTCTTTCTTTTTTTTTTTTTTTTTGAGACTATGCAACCGAAGTTGAGACGTTGCATCGTGACGCTTTTAAAACTGCTGATTCATGGTTAGGGCTGGGTTGAGTGCTCACTTCTCCTTGTTGACCGGCTGACGCAGCTTGAGCTGGTTACGGATTGCCTCGAAGCGGAGGATGTTGAACACGTTGTCCAGGTACAGGTCCTCGTGTACCACCAGCTGGAAATTAAGTTCGGATGTCGGTTCTATTATTTGCGGTACCGTTTATTTGAGTTCCTCGTAATTTGAGTTTCTTTTTAAACGTAAACTGAAAAAAAGATGAAAAAGCTTTCGTACCCATAATTATTTTTTTGGCACCAGAAGAAAACAAATCGTTATTTGGTAGCTTTAAGAATGGGGGGCCCCGTTGCTCTGAGTCCCCAAACAGCTTGAAGCGTCGCACTCCGTATGCGCAGAGCGTTGGAGCCCCCTATTATAAAATTCTCTGTAATTAGACACTGACTACACGATTGAAAGCCGGGTGTCTAGCTCCCGCCATGTCTCTGGTCGCGTGAGTATAATCAGCACGAGCAGCTGTAAGCCCGCCAAAGCTACCTTCACCTGCATGCACGCCTGAATGCTGAGAGCACTCACCGAGTCGTACTCCTTGGACAGTTCGTACGGGTTGGTGAGCAAGTCCGGGTAGCCGACGCGTTCGTTCATGGCGTTGGCCTGCAATGCACGGTTCGCATTCGGTCAGGCAAGGACGTTCACTGAGGGCTCGGGAGAGAACCCGAAATCAACTACTGCAGTCGAAATTCTGAAGCGGCTCATCAATTGTATACCTTTTGAGCACGGTAGTAGATATGGTACTTAAGGCAGAACTATGGCACCGCGCACGCTGCTCAGCTGCTGCCGCGCACCGCTCGCACAAAAGACGCATTGTTTGCTGCAGACGTGATGACGGAAGTATCTCCGTACACGCCTCAAGCACGCTCCGAGTTTGCATCGCACGTGTGTACACTTTGAACACGTCTGCAGATAGTTTTTGCATAGCCAGTGTGACCGTTATATGAGGAAGACCTCAGGCTGTGTCTGCGGACTGTCTTTTGTACGATGCGTTGTTGCAGTGTGACCGCGATGAGGCTCCGAAACAAATCGTGCAACACGGTCGAACATCTAGTATGCCAAAGGCCGATATAGCGAGGATATGGATATAGCAAAGTTCCGGATAAAGCGAAGATGTGGATATAGCGAAGGTGTGCATATTGACGGAAATGGTGAAGTTTTCAACAAGGTGAAGATAGCGAAGGTGCGGATATTGTGAAGATATTGATATAGCGAAACAATATTTAAAGCATATATACTTTCAAAGTGCAAAAAACAACTAATACACACGAGACATTTGTTTTTTTGAAATAAATAATTGAGTTTACTTTTGGGAGTTTGCATGTGGTACCCGTAAATTTACACATTTAGTGTAAGTTTATAGGCACTTACACACTTTAAATACAGGATATAAAACGAAATAAAATACTGGGCAGTCGGCTGGACATTTTGTGTTCGTGCTTTCATCCACCGATTCGGAAAATAATATTCATTGTGTATTTATCAGTTTTTTTTTGTGAATGTATAGTTTGGAAAGTCTACTAAAAACAGTTTTTAAACATATCGGTTCTAGTCAAGGCATATACAGGGAGTTCCCCAGAGAGGAGTGGCGTGCTTTTCGGCCTGGGAAAATAAACTATGCATCTCATAAAGCTCAAACTCCATGAGAAAGTGATGATAGCGGTTGCGACAGAACGCAAAAGTTTGAGAGCATGAGGTTACCTCTATCAAAAGATAATACCTTTCATACGGGTCGCGGCGTCCACCTAACCCTAGTACCGTCGACACAAGGACTGGCATTCTGGAGGCTTGTGGGATTTATATGACTGAAAAACTTTCGTTAGCAAGAAATGTAATTTTTATTTCTTTCTTGCTAACAAGTTTTTTTAAATTTTTTTTCAACTGCAATAGATGCAAAAGGCAACTACGTCATTTCTTGTTTTGACGATATTAGGCGTAAGTGGAGGTCGGCCCATATATACATTTTGTTTTTCGTAGATTATCTTTTGATCCTGCAAACTTTCGGGTTTTATCGCAGCCGCTAACGTCCTATTCTCCCGTAGTTTCAGCTTTCCACATTGCATAGTTTATTTACCCGGGCCAAAAGACACGGTTCTCTTTTCTCGGGAACTTCCCGGTACCGCAGTGATACGCATATTATCTCTTCTAGTATGTGAATTAGAGAACGCTGACGTTCATAAATTGAACGAATGATAAACAACGCTGACCAATATTTCGCCCTCATATAAACTTTGGTTTATTGTCACAGGCACGTAATACAGTCGCGAACAGACTAAGCTCCAACTTTACCAGTGGTTCTGCCTCAAAACGAGAAGTTGAATTAGGTTCGAGAAAGTGCGTGCAAACCAGAGTACTGCTCGACTTAGCATGATCATGTGAACGAATGCTTTGGCCGGTGCAACAAGACACAATTAAACCAGCGTCAAGCGATGGTAGGCATGCAATAGGGACGAACGTGGGGGGCAGGTGCATTTCATTTAATTTATTTACCCTCAGGGCATAAAGCATTACAGAGGGGGAGTAAGGGAACAGTGAGTCGCTAAAAAAAAAAAAAATCTCACGTGCGAAAATTGATAAAAATCATGATCAACAAAATCAGGTAAAGATACTAATCACCGTCTTTTTAAAAAGAACACTGTCTACATTGAAACAATGGGGGCCGGAAGGTGGTTCCATTCATGGGATGTGCATGGTACAAAATAATGGTAAAAAGCATTGCAATTTGAATGAGGGATGCAAACTTTATGTTGATGATCGACTCGTGATGAAACATAGAAAGGAAGCTCAAAAAGCCTTTCTCGCAGTGTAACATTAGTGTAATAAATTGTGTGAAATAGGCTTAACCGAGCAATTTTTCTGCGTACTGAGAGATGTGGAAGTAAAAGGTTAGCCTTCATTAACGATATTCTTGCGGTTCGATGATAGAGGAAATGAAACGTACTGATCCGTTTTGTACGGCTTCAAGTGATGCAATTAGTGAATATTGGCCAGGGTCCCAAATAGATGATGCATACTCTAGCTTTGGTCGTACGAGTGTTTTGTCCAGTATCACATTTAATGATTGGGGTGCCAATGAGAAGTTTCTCTTCAAGTATCCCAGCATGCGATTTGCATTGTTAGTTACGTCATCTATGTGATGTTTCCATGTCAGATCAGACTTGATATGTACACCAAGGTGCTTATACTCCGAGACCGACTGTAATGGAATTCCTTTAATGTTATAATCTGCAGGTACTTCTGTACATCTGGATATGCGCATAAATTTACATTTAGTTGAGTTTATTTGCATTGACCATGATTCGCACCAAAGTGACTCTGCATTAATATCATTTTGTAACTGTCTTGATTGAGGGTTGTTGGTTACTTCGCTGTATTGGACGCACTCATCAGCGAATAGTGAAATATTGGATGAAATATTAGATGGTAAGTCATTAATATAGATTAAAAATAGCAAAGGTCCTAAGACTAAACCCTGCGGTACTCCTGAAGTGACAGAAACTAAAGTGGAACTAGAGTCATTTATGGTAACCAATTGTTGACGATTAGTCAAGAAAGAATGCATCCAGGTGAGAACTTTAAAGTCGATATTTAGTTCACTGAGTTTTAACAGAAGTAGTTTGTGAGACACTTTATCAAACGCTTTTGAAATATCTAAAATTCAATCTATACTTGACCTCCGGTTAGGTATAGAATGAAGGTCATGTGTGAACGATGCAAGCTGCGTTTCGCATGAGAATGATTCCCGAAAACCATGTTGAAATGGACAAAAGAAGCAGTTTGATTCTAAGAAATTTACTAAATTGGAATAAATTATATGCTAAAGAAATTTGCATGGGACACTGGTCAATGATATAGGGCGAAAATTTAGAGGACTGTTTATCACCTCCCTTGTGAACAGGAACCGCCCTGGCGACCTTCCAATCATCAGGTCAAATACCGAACTGTAGGGATTGAGTAACTATATATATGTCAGAGAGCAAAATTGACGTATACATTTTCGTGTTTTTTAGGAACTTTGTATTAATATCGTCGATTCCTGCTGATGATGAAAGTTTAAGGGAATCAATTATTTGAACAATATTCTCAGGATCAATTGCTAGCGGATACATTGGAAGGAAGTCATATGATGTGCTATCAGAAGTAGGAGAGCTTGAAGGAACCGAGAAACAACTTACAAATACATCATTGAAAATATTAGCGCAATCCACACTAGCAATGAGACTACCATCATCGGCGTTCAATGACACTGAAGTTTTACTCTTTCCTTTCGTGACATTCGAAAACTGTTTAGGATTATTTATTGATGAACGATAAGGTGCAGGGAAAAAAATTTTTGTTTGGCTTCATCTACAGCAGTTTTGTATGAACCAGCAGCAGTGTAATAAGCGACCCATAATCGACCAGTCAAATCTTTTTTCGCAGCACGAAATAGACGCTTTTTCTTGTTACGCAATCTATTGAGCGCTCTATTAAACCATGGCGCATCTGAATTGGAATACACCTTTCTCAGAGGGATATAAAAATTTAAAAATCGATCAAGTTCCGTCTTGAATAAGTTCCAATTATCATTAACAGTACGCTCATGAAAGCAGGGTAAAACAGTTTCTATAAAAGTGCACAGGTCCCTATTAACTGCCTCAAAGTTAGCTTTACCGTAGTCTCGTACACGTTTGAAGGTATTTGGTACAGCCGCCGACGGCATTTTTATATCAAAATGTAATAGGCAATGATCACTTAGACCCGGTAAATGTAATATGGACGAGACTAACTTCGGGCATGTTGTTAGGATAAGGTCTAGTATATTTGTTGATGAGCTGGTAGTGCGGGTAGGTTTGGTTACCGATTGCGAAATACTATATTCAGAACATAAATCTACAAAAGTATTGCTTTCCATAAAAAAAAAAAAATGGCTGAGCAACTGGGGAAATTTCAGACCAAACAATGGTTGGAAAATTAAAATCACCCATAAGAATGATGGGTGAAGTAGGGAAGCGAGTGATTCCCTTATTGAGTGAGTCATGTAAATCGTCACAAAAAAAGTTGTTCGCACTTGGAGGGCGGTAACAGACACCCAATATCAGTCGCTTGTGGTTTACACACAGGTCGACCCACAGTTTCAATTTGGCTACATACAACGATGATTGAAGATGCAATGTTATTCACAACGGCAATGAGTACTCCACCGCCAAGTCTACCACCCTTATATCGATATACATTGAACCGTTTATGGCAGTTAAATATTTTATTGTTTTGAATTTTGTTAGATAACCACGTTTCCGTGAGAACCACTATTGAACAATCACTGGAATCAATAGCGGAACTCAGATCCTCTCGACAACATGCATGACGCTGCAAACATTACCAAAAAGAACTGAAATATTACGTGTTTCGAAGAAACGCTGCGACCCGATCCCCGCTCTTACCTAGCTTAATGTCCTTTCGAGCGCGTCATGGCTGCCAGGACGATGATCACGAATAATATGCCGTGCGCCAGAAGTAATAACCTCGTGAACCAAGTCTTCCCTCGGATCGTAAGCATATACCTTGTTGTTAACGTGCAATTTAATATAACATACGGAAAACACGGATCCCAGTGACTTTCCAAAATCAATCAGCCTTGATCTCGCAAGGGCGCATCCTGGAACAGAGAAGACAACTTGCCGAGTTTCGGTGGTAAACTCTCGTTAGATAGGTAACAAAGCTGTGGTGCAGAGGTTTCGGCAGCACCTAAAGAAGGCCAACGCGGAGCTTGGACACAAATGCTGTGCTGCAGCTACTACATACGCAAAAAAAAAAAAAAAAAAAAAAGAAGACGTGAAAACTTTTTGTTACGTCGTTTCTCCCAGTTTTTTTCCCGTGCACTACGGCGCAGCTTCCCATCAACTGCTGTATAAGCTTATGTTTTAAGCCGTGAAGTGAATGTTCACCTTTTCTTCGGCCACCTTTCGCGTCTCCCGGTCCATCCAGTCGTTTTCTTTGAGCAGTTCGTTGAAGGCTTCCCGAATGTTGTGGATCATCTTGAGGGCCTAAGAGACGAGATAGCACGTAAGAACTTCACTATGCTTGTGTAAATCGCACAAAAATGTGAACTTTTAGACGCATATCATTTCACAATACTATAGGCTTATGATTTTTTTAACCACAACGCATAAAAGCGGCTAGCCGTTAGAGAACGTATGACAACGGCACTTACTCTAGTCGACATTTCCGATCCTTATGCAGGGAAGCGGTTAATCTCTTAAAGTTTCGGAGTATTTTTATTTCTGAAGGGGAAAAAAAAAAACCTTCGGCCACAATATCATATTTTTATTGCCGCAGTTAATTTTGAGGGCGACTGTGTTGACGCAACCACAATTGTCTGGTTCAAAAGAAGCGATGCATCCTTTTCCCTCAGGCTCCCTGCAAAGGGTCAACTACAACACCGAACTTGGAAATGGTTTCCCGGTTACGAGAGGGAGGCTTTAGATAAGCTTACTCCTCGCATCTTGCAACACATAAAAAAAAAAAAAAAACAAACTACAACAACAAAAGGATTAACTTTGGTAATTGTCCTAGTTGACTTCCCTGTGTGGAAGAAGGGGCGTGGCGAATAAAAAAACAAAGACTTACGCTACTCATAAGGTGAAACAAAGCGACAGCTGAGGTGTGACATCGGAACCGCTAAGGTGTCCTTTCGGAGCAGATGGACTGAATGGACGGTAAGGGTGCGAGCGCGCATCCTAAAGTCCGCATAAAATTTCATAGCGTTTTGGAACCAATGGGGGTGTATTAAGTAGAGGGAATTTCGTGAACCTGTTAAATAATTTTATTGGACACAAACTAGAACTGCCTTGTAGTAATTGAAGAACACTCCGGCAATCGCGCGCCTACATTTGAAACCCAGGGAACGTTGAAACTGCATGCATGTGTATGCATGAACCGTGTTACCGTTCCCTGTCGGTGTGACTGCCCGAACGTCTTATGCAATGTTAATGGACACAAACAAACACTGCCTGGTGATCACTAAATAACACTTCCGAAATCGCGCGCTCAAGTTTCAAGGGTGTAACTCCACCTAATTTGACGCCCGTGGTTTCGCCGGCTTAACAGTAACACCCACCTAGCTTTGTTGGTTTTATCGCCCCGAGAACTTTTCTGGCATAATCAAGGAAAACGCCTTGTTTTTTTATTGTTCCTATTATCAGCAGCCTCATGTTTATGTTTCTATACGGGCCGTCATGGTGTAACGTAACGATGTATTGTCACGTGACGTCTGAATGTCACGTGATGCTATAACATCACGTGACTCACGGTGTCACCTGACGTCATTAAGTCGCGTGGCGTCACTGTGCAACGTGACTTGACATGACAGCGTCACGTCATGATGTCATCTGACGCCAGGTAACAGGTGTCGTAATGCGCGGTGTGACATCAGGGTCGTGTCGTGCGGTGCGACGTCAATGGTGAATCTTTTGACGGAGTGTCGAAAATGGCCCGCGTCAATATGGAGCGCAGTCGACGGCGCGAAACCCGCGAAGTGTTCCACTAACTGCTATTGCTGTAAAAAAAAAAAAAAAAAAAAGAAAAAAGAGAAGAAAACCAGCGATAGATAGACGGAAGGTACACGACGCCTAGCACGTCAAAAAACGCACGCATACACATCACTGAACAAACGAATTAAGCTAATCTTCTACAGGCAGAACTTCAGGCGTGTTTTCTTTAGGAAACACGGAAGAGCCTTTGTGGCCTTGGTTTCTTTAAAAGTTCCATTTCAGGAGCCGGGCACTTTCATCTCAGGGAGTGGTCGGTTGCCACGTGGCGGCATGGTGCTGTTGAGAGGACGCAGGGGAGAACACACTTCGGTTTGGCGCGAGTTTAAAGGGGCCGTGCAACGATATTGGGTTGGAGTGTTTTCCACCTCACAGTATACTTACTGGCACTAGACCCAGGTACGATTGTACGCGACGCCGCTGGTAAAGAAGCTTCTTGATCGCGAATAAATTTCAAGGATAAAAGCGAACTTCCTTTTCCAGTCTCTCCTTGACAAAACTTGACGACGTAGTCGTGAATTGCAATGTTGACGTGGGGCACCCGTGGTGACGATACTTAGATGCGGCTCATATACAGGGGACATTAGCACTGCGTGAGCATTCGATTTGGGCTTGAGAAAAGCATTGCCCACACGGGCATTCGGATAATGGCTAGAGTCCAGTGTCTGCAATGACGGGAATAGCCGAACTCTAACAATGTATGAAAGTCAGCGCGTGCCCTGTTCCTTTCCAACCCGAGCTCATGGTTATGATGAACATTGGCAGCATATAACAGGCGGCAGATCGCGTGACCGCTTCTTCTGCCTGCAAGTTGAGGGGGTGAACGCTGCTCGTTTTCTCGAATTTTTCCGCGGATAACGTTGCATGGAGAAAGAAAAAACACAACTAACGTGTGTTTTGTAGGCTGTGAACGCAAAGGAGTAACCCTAAGTGGTATTTAATAAAATTACAGAAGTTGCTGCACCGCCCCTTTAAGCTAAAACATTTTACTGTTGGAGTAGGATCATGACTGGGTTTCTACCTGCTCCGATTTCGTGTATGTCTTCCATGGTTGAATGTACGGGTCTGTGGAGTGCATCTTCGTCCGGTGTGTTTAGTGTCCTCTCCTCTCCATGCATCGAAAGTGGTTTCGAAGTGGCAACAAATGACGTCACAGAAGTCATGTTGTCTAATTCTGCGCTCCTGGCAGATGCTACAAGTCCCGGCAAAGAATACGAGTGAACGCGAGTGCCGCAGTGGTTGCCGCGTCTCAACTTCTGTCTGCTGAAACTTCCGTGTACTGGCAAACTGGAGAGCGACCTGCAGCAGATCAGGCGTCCGCCACGTCCACCACGGTTGCTGTAACACCGCCACGATCGCGGCTGGCGACAGCGTGACACTTCTATGACGCCATCAGGCGGAAATTGAGGGTCCACTTTCTAGGACGCGTTAAACACAACAGCAAGAGGCGCATGCCAGGCACCATGGTGTCAACTCTTCGGCACCTACCGTTTCTTTGCTGTGCGGGTCGAAGTTGTCCTTGATGAAGAGCGCGCCAACGGCCATGCCCATCTTCTTGTTGGCCAACTCGACGCAGTGGTGCCAACGGACCTTGTCAGCTGAGACGCCCAGCATCACCTTGCGGAAGTCGTTTCTCTTGTGTGCGTACTCGCCGTCCAGGTACGTCAGCAAGTAGTTCACGAGCCTCCAAACGGCGAAGTTGTGCAACGTCCTGTAGGCATGTGAGACGTTGACGTACAAAGAGCCGTAAGGGGGGGTGCAGAACATCCGAGGCTTCCGAGAAAATATCCATCCGCCATCTTGCTCAGTTGGGGTGCGCTTGGACACGTCATGATCCGATTACGAAGCCTTGCTAAGGCGTCGGAATCGGATTATGGCCGCGCCCAAAGGCACCCCAAGTGAGGAAGATGGCGGCGCCCCGAGGCCGTACTTGAAAACGTGTACGGTGTTTTGTGGCTCAAGACGGACCATGGAGGTAGGAAGCGTCTGGAGGCAACATGACGCCCCCAGAGGTGAAGCCCGGGGAGGCTTCCGGTTTGCAGGGACACACCCCCAATAATTACCAAAAAACAAAAGACGCTACTGAACGTACTTGGGCACCCTTGGGGGTCTTTCCACCGATCGCGATCTCTCCTTCCGGCTTCACTGGGATTTTCTCGTTTGGCTGGTTTGAGCAGGCGTGTCCCCTCCTCTCCTTCCTACCTCCATGAGACGGAGCGACCTCTGCTTTTGCAAGTGAAAGTTGTTTCCTACTGCAAATCTATGAAAACAACCCCATGCATGAGAGAACACTAAAGTTTTCGGTGGCTTCGGTCAGGCTTTGGCTGCACCAACAAACATCTTTCCAAAACTTTTTCCCAAGGCAAAAAAAAAAAAAAAATGCTGAGACACTAGGCTATGGACCGGCGTTGTGCCAAATACTCAACAAAAGTATTTAAAATGATACTAAATACCTATTTGAAGATGTATTTATAGAAGTATCAAGTTACTTTTAGCACGAACTCTCTTAAGCAAGGTACGAAACTTCAAAAACGTAATTAATTACATTTGAAAATACTTAGTAAGTTTTGCAAGTTGGTAAGATAAGAATAAAAAACAAAAACAAAAAGGGGTGGTCTATTTTCTACTAAAATCACGTTTTTCTGTGATCTTTATCACCTTCAAGAAGCGCCTTAGCGCAGCCAGACTTGTTGATAGTACTTGAGCGAACGACACAGGTGCACGTTAAGGTGACTCGAGGACAACAGCCGCTGTCGATGATTAACAACCAAGAACAAATACTTCGTCCCCCACAGTCAAAAGCGAGAAAAAGCACAACAATCTTCAAGCTGCAAAAAAAAAAAAAAAGAAGGTTACGAGGGAAACAAAGGAGAGTGTCCACAAAACTGCTCCTAAACTTCCTACCCGTACCCTCTCCGCACCAGTTCTGACAATCCTTGACGCATTGAGGTCAAGATGGTCAAGATTCCAGAATCAGAATCCACTAGTTCATAAATGACTCCACCTGGCGGAAAACTGGTTTAACAATGCGCGCATTCGGAAAGCGATGAAAGAAACCCATTTGAATGACCTTCGGAGCAAAACTTAAGCCACGATAGGTACACAAGGAGATTTGGGGAAGCCCAATCTAGCTCAACAAAGCCAGCAGGATCTATAGCTTCCTTGGCCGAAAGAGTGCCTGTGCTCGTATGAACGTGTTCGCGGATTTTCATACTGGAACCCCCTGAATCGGCGATTTTCAAAAATGGTTTATTGTGATCGTACCGAGCGTTTGCTTCACAATCCTCCGCTGACGAAACCACTCTAGTTCCAGACATAAGGTAAAGTCTAAATCTAAAATCCGGATTTTTTTTTATAAATGCAAGCAAAAACAGATTGAAAAAAAAAAAAACAAAGAAAAAAAACGAAGAAAAGTGGACAAAGGGTCAAGAGGACATAGAGGAAATAGAGGCGGGCGTCCTTAGCGCCATCCATTTGGTCGTTTGTTGGCATTTGGAGACTGCGTTTTCCTCGTGCATTGTTTTCTGTTCCGTGTTCAGTCGCTTGGCTCCAAGTTTGCAATCGGTTCAGCTTTACCCTGGAGTTCGACGACCTCTATAGTTCCATAGATTGTTCCGGCTAGAAGATTTCTTCCAGGGTTGCAAAATGTATTTGGGATACTGAGTACAAGACAGTGAGGAATGTAATTAAAATAGAGTAGGGGCAAATACTGTTTAGACTAAATGTTCTTGAGAGATGCCAAGATACTACCAAAAGTATTTGAAATACAGTATTTTGAGTAAAATATTTAAGATTGGCACAAGTCCGCAGTGGACGCATGCGTGGTGTTTGATGTTGAACGCCTTTCGCAACCAATTATACAAATATAGAACTCTACAGAAGGCGATTATCGGGATATTGCATAGAGGGTAATCACTAGGGTTCCGTGTTTTCGGAGTTTATTTTTCGTAAAATTCGCCAAGGGTGTTTTTCGGAGTTTACTTTTTTCCCGAAAATTCAGAGTTTATCGGAGTTTATTTATGTTTGATTCCAAAATCTCCGAAATCTGGAGCTTTATTTCGCAGTGTTTTCTATGAAAAATAAATAAATAATATCCGGATGTAAGCATATGCTAGATAAAAATAAAACGCGCTTATATCAAATAATATTTCTTGAGCTGGATTTGGTGCTGGCTCCATTGCCATTGGCAATACTAAGTTGTCCCACGGCAAAAGTTGCATACATGTGTGGCTTCGATAAACGTCGATACCTTAAAAATAATCTCATGGAGGTAGTCGCTGGATAGCATGTATTCATCCCATCCTATTCCATGCTACCCCGCGGCCGCGCGAGGTGGGGTGGTAAAGGATGTAATAGGGAAGGTTTAACTGGCACCTCTTCCCAATTTTATGCAATCTCTATGGTCCATAGCTTTTACTGTTACAAAATCACAACCTCTCCTTCTCCTTAAAACACAAATATTATGGCCCAAACTGGAAACCAATGCAGAGGCTTGTGTCGTGACCTGAAAGTACAATGAAATCTCGTCCAGAACCTTGACGAGATAAGCGGTAAGAACCCTTTTGTCAATGATCCGAGATTTGAAAGTAAACTTTGGTGTCATTTTCTCGGGATCATTGACCCTGTGCGCTGAACAAACATAATCGTAAAACACCGTCTTTATTTAATGTTGTTGTTTTTTTTGAAAAGGGGGAGGGGGGAGGGGAGCATTGGCATATCAAAGTTCGGAGTTTATCGGATAAATCCGAATTGACCGAAATTTTACCGGCGGGTGTTTTTCGAAGTTTTTTCGGATTTATCCGAAAACACGGAACCCTAGTAATCACTGGACGCCGTATTTGAGGTCATTGTTTGAAGCGCATGCTGAAAACTATGTAGCTCCCATTTACTGCCTGCCAAAAACAAATATCTTGATTGAATATAACCCACGTTTATGCACGTTCGACGTACATTACACTCAAGCAAGATATATGTTCTTGGCAGGCGAGGCACGTAGCCAGGATTTTGTTTCAAGGTGGGGGGGGGGGGGGGGGGGGGGCGGCGCCCATGACAAAATGCTGTATGAGGGGGAGGGGGGAAAGGAGGTCCCAGCAAAATGGAAGATTTCGGGGGGGGGGGGGGGGCGAGCCCCATGGGCCTCCCCCCTGTCTACGTGCCTGCTTAGAGGGGAACAAAAGTGACACTTGCAACACACAAAAAAGGACCTGGGTAAAAGGGGAGTTCATCCTTCACCTCTTCTGTAGCAGATTGGGTCACGCTTTCGCCCTTGTACCTTTCGTAAGGGCTGCCTCGTGCTTCGGATCCGGCGCTCTGATTGGCTCGGAATTAAGACCGTAGCGTTCGCGCTTTGCCAAGGTACGATGAAACGAAGTATATTTCGGAGCACGCGCCACAGACAACGGCCTCAGATATGGCGTCCAGTTGCGACTGCCGCCATGTTTGAACACGACACGACACGACGGACAGACAGGTGAGATGCTCGGGGAGACCTTCTGTCGGGCTCTTGCAGGATCTGACCGATTTGCTGGAGGTAGGGCACCGAGTAGACGACCACGGGCTCGTCTCCGGTCACGTCCACGGGCAGGAAGGTGGACATGTACTCGGTCCAGTTGAACTGCGTCCGGAAAGAAGAAGACGCGGTGGGCGAGGGGCACTGAGTAAAATTATACATCTAGCGAAAACGTAAAGGCAACTCCTATTTACAATAAAGCTTTGATTGGCAACTTTCTAACCACATGACTATTACAAATGATTAGCACTTTTCAAGGAGGAACTCTTTTTTCTGGATTGTGTTCTTTTATATAATATAAAGTCGGGAAAATCGGAACCTTACCCTGCGCAAATTCTGCTGGTTTCGATTGCCGACATTAATTTACACTTTTATTTGGACAACACTAACACTACCGACTCGTGCATCATAAAAAAAAAAGAGAGTACTTTTAATTTTTTGGGAATTCCCCGACTTTATCAAAAACTGCGATTTGGAGATAAGGTTCTAAGATATGGGTATGCCTTACCTGTGGTACCATGTCGGACAGTTCTCGGAGGGTCATCTTGTTGTAGATGGAACCGGTATCGTGCCTGTCTGCTTCGGGAACCGAAATCTGCACAACAATAAAATAGCGCATTAAAAGAAGCAATATATGTGTTGCCTTGTGACTTCCAAGGGGCATCAATCACTCTACAACGCGGCCATCGGCATTAATACCAATGTCTATACTAAAAAACGTGATAAGCCACTGATCAGATATACGAGGAACGGGGGACGTGCGTATACTGTGCGCACAGCCTACGCACAGAAGTCTCAACTAATTTTGTGAAACTAATTTTGTTTCACAGTTTTTGAGATCGAGGTGGAGCATGTACGTGATAACTAGGGGTGTCTGGTACCTGATTCAGGTTAATTTGTTCGCCACCGGGTAGGGCAGGCGCGATTAAACATCCTTCTGGCGCTGAAGAGGGAAACATGTAGCTCAACCGATGATTTGAAACCTTGATGACGAAAGTAAACAGCAGCAACAACTACAATCAACTACTGTTTAGTTAATGCATCTCGCACAGTATTGCCTTCGGCGGCTTTATTGAAATAAAATATTGCATTTTAGTTGTCTGATATATTCATCGGCGAGAGTGTTTTCCCCAGTTTTGGGTAAAGTACCCGCATCTAAAAGTACTTGAAGTAAAGTACAAAGCAAATGAGAGGTTGTGCACTATACTTCAAGTATAGTAGTAGACACACCAGACGCAATGTATACATGAAGTATTATAAATACAATGTACTCTCAAGTAAGCTACAAGAATTTTAACACAATCTTTCACCGTGCCCTTTGATTCCCCTAACAGTGCTTTTTTATCTTTTTCAGCTGGTATGCTGCAAAAAGCATACCAGCTGAGAAAGGGTGCATCAATTGTTTTTTTGTATTGTTCTCTTGGAAATGGCGGTGAATATTGCGTAAAGTCAAGTCGTCAAAGAGTATTAATTTTCGGAAATGGCGCCGAATTCAGAATTCCATCAGACTTTTGAATTTAGTGCCTCTTGCACTGGATTGCACTCAAGGGGGTTAACCGTACTAAAAAAGAGCACGATGTCAGCCGGGTAGCTTCCGCAAGCAATCCTCTGGTGGAACAGTGTCGTCTCCTAATATGTTTAACCTCTTCGCTTGTGCTGATAGAGTAAGTATCGATGTTCGAAACGCTGCGGGAAAGCCGCCCCCAGTCCAAACGGAGCGATGAGGCGTCTGCTCACGTTTCTGGTGTGAGTAGAATATCCCTCCCAGTATACCTTCAGAGTTCGCAAAGCATCATTTTGTGATACAAATATAACAAGACCAAATATCTGGAATGTACGTGTTTGATGTCGGGACTTGTACTTTACTCGAAAAAAAAAAAAAACAAAAAAAAAAAAACAAGAAAACTTTAGGTAAAGTACAAGCAGGTAATCAGAGAATGTACTTCAAGTAAAGTACACGTTTTCTAAGACTACTTGAAGTTGTACCTTAAGTACAATGTACTTAAAGTACTTCCCAACACGGGTTTTCCTTCCTCGCATTAAATCTGGTCGTCTCTAAAACTTTTCAATTTGGTCCCTGTTCCTGTTCAATTCTGTTTAACAAATTGTTGCTCCAACCAGATATGTAAGATTGATCAATCAGACTTCAATACAATGTCTGCAGAAGGCTATTAAATAAGTGCCTGTAAGTCAATTATTGCAGTTTTCTAGAAACCTAGAAAGTGCTTGAAGCAACCTTTAGTACCAAGTACTCAAAATATGCTTTTAAATTGCCACAGCGGAATTACGGAAACATAAACTCTGCTCTGAATCCAACTTGACGAAGCATCTGGGTCGCCATCCTTAATGAACCCACTCGTTCTCGTCATCAAATTCTCTTGAAACTGAGCCGAATGTTTAAGCACCGGCGTTCGCAACCGCTTTGAGAATGCGGTCCAACCGCCCGTGTGATTGAGACACGAGGATGCTCACAAAACGGTGTCATTAAAAATGCGACCCAAAGCCTCGTGAAGCCGACACTGTGGGAAATGTGGACTGTACGTACGTTGGCCAGCCTGGTCTCCAACTGGAGCACCTGTTCCATTTGCGCGTCGGCCTCCTCTGGCTCCGCGCCCAGCAACAGCGCCACCTCGACCATGAGCCTGTGGTAGGCCCTGCGATCCTTTTCGCTACCTTCCTTTAGGTAGTACTCGCGGCTCGGCAAGCCGAACGCCAGCTGCTGGTCCATCTGTGGCAAGGAACCCCAGAGTCTCACTAGAGCGACAAACAGAAACGACCGACGCCGACCAACCTCAAGCACCTGTAGTGTGCACGCGAAGGCATCCTTGGCAGGCTCGCTACCAGTCGTGCTTACTTCAGGAGCACCGACGTACTGCAAGCCTGCCGAAGGATCCTTCGCGTGCATACTACAAGTGCTTGAGGCTGGTCGGTGTCGGTTGTTTTTGTTCGTCGCTCTAGTGGGACTCCGGTGTAAGAATGCAAAGCTGTCGTTTGATGAACCTTTTAAAAGAAAAGTTCGAGCATGCCGGTGCTTTCGTGTGTCTAACAAGAATACACGTTTTGAAGATATTATAAGCTGAACGCTACAAATGGCAGCGGTCAGAAGCGCTTCAGGGAAACGGTCTAAGAACGATTTATGACACACCCCAGCTTAAAATTGTGTCGTGTGTTTATTTGTACAGCGGGAGATTCAACCCCAATGGGCGTTTGGTTTCTCTGGTTTGAGCGTGCAGTGCTTTCCTCCCAATAATTCGGTCACAGTACATGTTTTGGAAGTATGCTGAGTTGTTTTGTGACCTTGAATAGTAATGTTATGGAACCCATGCCTCACAATGCGTAGTATAGAAACGAGAAAAAAAAACAACAACAACAAACAAAGTCCCTCAACTTACGGATTATACGACCGATTTATGAAACGAATAAAGCGAACGCCAAAGAAACAAAAAGCTCGTATCACGGTTTGCTAACTTTTCTAGTGCGTCGTACAAAAAAAAAAAAAAAAAAAAAAGAAAGCAACAGTTTTCTATTTTTTCCTTACCCCCGAAAAAAGAAAAAAGAAAAGCTGAACCGAGATTGTTGCGCACAGCGGTACGAGTGAAGACCGGGCTGAACATCACCAAGGGATCGAAACGCTAGATCCCGACCGAATCAACCAACCAGGCGGACGGACGACGACAATGGCCAGCCTTCTATGTTTTTTTTTTTGTTTTGTTTTGTTTTCAAGAAAGCACAAGGTTGGGAGTAACGAAACTTGACGGCCGTGGCGTCGCGCATGAGCGGCTCTGGAAGCGCGCAGCATTTGTAGCCTTCGCGCCGCGGCCGCCATCGTAACTGTCTAGGCCAAAATTGAGGGTTCCCCACTACTTCCCTACGCGGCTCTCCGCCATTTTTCTCCCCCACCCCCTTTTCCCCCGTTCGCCGAAAGGACGGTTTCGTTTAATAAAGCGTCGAGCGAATCTCGCGTTGGGCGCGGGACGCTCGCTCAAGTCGACTGAGCCGTGAGAAATGGGAGGCGACTCGGCGCAGACGATCCTCGCGCTTCCCTTTTCTCGTTCTTGTATTTTTCCGAGCAGGATCGATTTTTCAGAAAAATTGGAATCTTTTGATGTGACGGTCGGTGTACGGCTACACCGTTGCCACTCGTCGGTCGCGTATAATTTGGCTGTTTGAATACTACACCGGCGGACGCGTGCGGCGTCTTCACCAAATGCCACCGGGTTGTCGGCACGGGGATTTTATTTTTTTTATTAATTTTTTTTAACGTTTTCTTCCATCCAATTACGTATTCCAAATTTATGAGTAACGTGAACGTAATTTTATTCTGCATGGAAGCCCTTCACCTACTTCGCCTTCTTCTTCGGCATTTCCTTTTTCTGTCGTATTCCTTCTGTACCTCGTTTCAGCTCAAGTTCAGAGAAAGCAGACGTGGAATGGTAATGGAACCAATCAAGCAGCGACAAAAACGTAAGTTGCTAGGCCTTTTTTTTGGTCAAGATTGGTTCAGGGATGTATAGAATACGTACAAAAATATGACGAACACCATGATGGTGCACTTTTGACGCTCTCTTATTGGTCCCGTCCGCTCGTATGCGTCGGCTGCGTCTGGGCTTGAATGGAAAGGAAGTATAGTCTTCGTTGGGGCAAGCTTCGCCACTGCTATGCTTCGTTTCAGCTTAGGTTCGAGCACGGCCGATGTTATGAGCCGAAGGGCCAATCAAACAGCGAAAAAGGCGCAACGCCATGGCGTGCCCCCTGCAGTTGATAGGACCAACCGGTATTCGCCGTCTCTCTCTGTGCGTGCTCCTACGCCGGCTAGTCCTATCAGACGCAGAGAGCACGCCATGACGTTGCGAGTTTCGCGCTATCTGATTAGTTCTTCGGCTCATAACATCGGCCACGCTCGGACCTAAGGTGAAACGGAGTATAGTTTATGATTATGCACAAGCAGGGATGGGCAAAATACATGCAAATATGTATCCAAATACAAATGCAAAATACTTCGTCAAAAATGTATTTAATTACAGATCTAATTACATTTCCAAAAAAGCATTTAAGTACAAGATACAAATACAACCAAATGTATTTGGTCTCCTCCAGATACTTTTTCAAATACATTCCTCAAAATTTGCGTCTGCGACTTCAGGGCACCTGTAACGGGTGTCTGGGTATCTCATTTTAATTTTGCATCGCGCACTCGGGAGTTAGTGTGCGAGGCTCTAGTAGCGTAATAGAAATATAATCACAAAAAAATGTAATATGCTTGGACGTAATAGGTGAAAAAAGTACAGAGCTTCAAGCAGCTTTTTTGTCGATTACATTTTGGTATAGACCAAGAAAGAACCGAGACAACCAAGACGCGCAGCACTAGCTAGAGATTTTTTTCATTGTTGCAACTCGCACCAGTTACAAAAATCTGGACGACCCGCGCATTTAGAATGTTCCAGGCAAAAATATGGATGTAAATCAGACTGGGAAGCATCACAAGTTGTCACAGGCACTTATTTAGCCAGTCTACCTGTAAACGTCGATTTCGTCACTATTCTTGCCCTGGACTAGCGCCGTAATCACAAAGTTACCAAACGCTTGTGCTTGATTGAGAGACACTGCATTCGGTGCAGAGCGTAGTTTTTTCTCTACTCTGGACAGGGACAATAAATTTGAGGGATGTATTTTCGCCCACAAAATTGTATTTAATTACAATTGTATTTGAAATACTCACGTTTTACTATTTAAATACACACGTCAAATACATTACCCAATTTGTAATTAAATACAAATGCAAAATACACAAAGTATTTGAAATACGTATTTAAAATACTTGTGTTTGAAATACTGCCCATTCCTGTGCATAAGTATGCGCGTTGTTAGCTGCATATTGACGTGAAACGTTCTTTGGCTAGGTGTTCGGCATTTCGTGAAGCCCAGATATAAGTGAAGCCTGGTTAAAAGAGTGGCCGCGAGGCTCGACACTGATTGGTTGACGGGTGGGAGAGGAGGAGTGAGGTGCTCGACGCCGATTGGCTAACGGGTAGGTCATGCGATCAGAAGGGTAGGGGAGGAGGAGCTTAACCACTTGTGCGCACTGAGAGAGGAGCTCGAGAGTATGGAAGGCTCCGGTAGATCGCCAGGTTTATCAGCCCAATTAGCAGTAGTGTCGATTTATTCTAGGAACAACTATCAAGTCTACACATGGTACGCGTTAAACTCTCTGATGAAGAGCGCCGTGAACGCAGTCGTCTGGACGCTGGAAACTTAGAGTATCGCTAAACGTTGATGCTAGGACGTTTCACGTGTGCAACACAATGGCCTAGCGATTTGCCATACATATTTTCGGTCTCTTTTTGACTGATAGATAGAACGGCGCTCCCTGATATGCATTGACGACTACGCAATGAAGGAAGCAATAAAATTAAAAAAAACCGAACATAATCTTTCTTTCTTCAAATCGCTATGTTTTAAACGTCGAGCACCCACTTTTTATTTTTGATATTGTTTGTCCTATACAGCGTGGTGAGCGGTGCATGTATATGTGATGTAGCTTCATAAAACGCGCACCCTTGAGCGAGCTCGTTCGACCAAAAGCTCCCAAGAGGGCAACAAGAAACATGCTGCGGGACGTTTTAATGGTACAGATTTTGTCTGTTTTGAAGAGTATTTGTTGTGGCACTAAAGAAAATAATAATAATAAGAAATAAAAAAAAGAGGTATTTGAGCAAGAAAGAGTGTAATAAAGGGTCAATGGTAAAGCACGTGAACCCTCTACTTCAATAAAACTCCGTAGGAAATTTGGAGAGGGCAGAGCTCTTATCTTGAAGTGGTGCTTGTTTTAATCCCCGCGGCAGGTGAGGAGGCTTAAGGTTTGTGGTGTCGTAAACGTTGCGCAGGCGCTCCAGAGGCTTGCCATATCGTGGGCTCATAAATTTCAGAACCACCGACAGATCCGGGAGTACGTGTCGTGGCTTCTGGGCGAATCGTATCTACGCGAATGTTGTGCCGATAATGCTTCTGCTGCGTGCGTTCGATTGTCAGCGTCGTTAGCTCAATTTGGCAGAGAGAGCAGCCTAAAATCCGAATAATTGTTTTGTGGGTATGTTTATACAGCCGGAAGTTAGTCATCCCTAATAAGCGTCTGGTGTCTCAGCTGTAGATGAGCAATTGTGCCAATGCGGTACAACCTCTAGCCTGGGGCCTTTAACGTGCATGCACCCCGCAGTACTAGTAATACACGACCGCACGCCGGTACGACGCTCATTCAGATAGTAACGGGCAGAGGTGGGGACTGAGCCCAGTAGCCCAGGATCCTTGGGTTCTGCAGCGCGAACTTTCGCCCCGCGCGCTCCGAGCTGCGGTGCGTTAACATATTCGGCCACCAATTCCCCGCCTAAGATCCCTAGACACGAAAGGTAGCGACGTCTACCTTCTCCTCTGGCGCGCATACTTTTTTCCCCTTTACTCTTTGCTTTCTCGCTGCAGTCGACATTCTGATTATCTCAGGGTTGTAGGCGGCATATACTGATTGTAAGTCAGAGCGCGATTAACAGATACTCGAACGCGCGCACACAAGATAAACAAGCATTGTCACGGTGCAGTTTCTGGATCGGATTGGATTAGCCGGAAAGAATGCACTCACGGAGAGATGCCGAGAGCTGACGCTGTGCGCTCTGGCGTTTCTTAATTCTGGGTCATCGATAGCATCTGCTGTGCTCTGAAGGCATAACTATTTTCCCCTCCTTCCACCTTCTCTTCTTTCGTTGCGCACACTATTCTTTTTTTTATTTTCCATATTCTTGCTCTTCCGCACTTGTTCGCCATCCTAATCTCCAAGGACAGCAAATAGCGCAGTATCTAAGGCGATGAAATTCACCCATTTTTTATCAGAAATTGTCGCTTGTAAGTTATAAGCTAGGTTTCCGTGTTTTGGGGGTTTATTTTTCTTCGAGTTAAAGGTATTCTACAGGGATTTATTTTTTCCCCACAAATTCGGCGAAAAAACAGTACACGCACATGGGATTCCCCAAGCTCCGGGCAGCGTGTGCATGACTAAAATACTGGGATAATGTGGGAATACGGTATGAAAAGTAAACGGCAAGTTTGAAAGAAGCAGCCGCGAATAATTCTGTGCGGGCTGTGTTTCGTACAAAATAAAGCCGCAGATAAATATTTCTTTGCGTGTAACCGTGAGTTTTTTTGTTTGTTCAACGACAGGTGCAATTCGGGATGTTCCGGTTTTCCCCGAGTTATAACTGGTTTTCCCCTGTTATAACTTGTAAGTTATAACACTGCCTAAAGTTTTCACACCCCTTGCAAAAAAAGTAAAATAAGAAAAAAACACACACACGCATATCGAAAGTGTTTTAAGGCTTCTGCGAATAGATCGCTCCAGTGTGTTCTCTTGTCGTAAGCGGTTGCGAGAGGTTTAAACACGATCGATTTCAGTAAAACGACAATGTGGGAACCAGCCATAACTCGATGACCTCGATAGGAGGTTGCCGTCTCTAAACGGAATGTGCGAGAGGGTCGCCGACCTGTATGATGTTGACGGACGAGTTCTTGTCGTCAGGCCCGACCCACTGCTCGACGATGACCCCCTGGTCGAAGTCGCCTCGGAGGATGCCCAAGAGCCTTTCCAGGGTCCACGTGGGCGCCGTCCAGTTCCGCTGAGTCACGGGCCAGCCACCAAGGCGCTTCAGCACGATGCGCAGAGGCCGGTCTCCGATGTCCTCAATGACGTCTGCGAGACGAGCACTTCTGCGTCTACGAACACTGCACTCGATTCGCGTCCCCGATACTTCGCACCGCCTTCCTGCAAGTACTACGGCAACACCATCGATAAAGCAAGCTTAGACTAACGTGGTGTCTTGCAGTTCCTTTTTTTTTTTTTGCCGAAGGCGAACGTACCATTGATCGCCTTCTGCGCACTGCCATTTCTTGCGCATTACGTTCAGAGCACGCGCTTAGCTCTCGCACTCGAAAATAATCCAATGCCGCGCATCTCGCCACCGAAGGTGCATGAAGTGGCGTCAAATATATACTTTCTATAGACTTTTCAAACTTTTTGTCGCGGTCCCACCTTACAGAAGACGCAGCTGCAAACATGATGACAGAATTTTCTGGGGACACGGGTTAAGCATGTTTGCTTTATGCATGTCATGCTTCAAACATGTCTACATGCTGTTTTGTATAATGTGTAAGCAGTGCGAAAGTGAATTTGCTTCTTTTATTTATTTATGACTGCACAAAAGCTCTCGTGTTGTGCCGGTGGCCCGTTCAAAAAGAACGCGCAGAGCTGAATTTATATAACCGCTGACTGGAGTGGAAAACAATTTTGTCGAAATCTGCGGAGTTGTTTAGGTACTGCTACTTGCAGAGCGACGCTTGACCTCGAATCAGCTCCTGGATTGGGGAACGTGAATGAGACGTTCAAACTACATCAGTTGCAGTGACGCTACTCAACGACAACGCAACGCGAAAGTGCTTCCCTTGTGCCTTATACGAAAGCTATATGAATTCTTGCTGGCTCGTCGCCTGGAGCTTTTCATCTGGTTTGGCTTTTTTGCTTCGCGCTTTACCGGACCAGAGGAACGAGTGAGCAGATGGGATGTTGCTTGACATTTAAATTCAGGTTTAGGCTGTATAGACGAAAACCGGCGTTGACTGTTCGACATCAAAAACAGCGACGGTTAGAAGTCCGGTTACCGACTGTTGCCGGCACGCCGGAGTTGACTTGGTTTTGCTGGGACGAACACAGGCTCGCCATTTGCTCGCATTCAGTTACCTTTTTTAAGACGAACCGAAATAAACAGGCAGAGATGGGTCGTGTGCGCACCGTTTTGCATGATGGTCATTTTGGATAAAGGAATAGACGAATGCGAGATGGTTGGTTCTGTCCAATGTCATACAGGGAGGACGCAGGAGGCACCAGCCAGGGTAGTGGGCTCGTGACACGTTTTGTCGATATAATTAAAGCAAAATGTGTCTTGGTCTTTTTAACGTTTTCTTATTTCCAACCAGGTTAAAATACAACTTGAAGAATATTTATAGCGATGAAAGGAGAACATAACATACTCTGACGTTTTGTTCAGTATATTTTTTTAGAGAGAGAAAAATATTATGCTTCAATACACGACCTTGAAGGGTTCAGAAGGTACGGCTTACTTACTCAGCTTCATGCAGGAATGGTACAAAGTCTTAGCCTTGATTGTGGCGCTGTTGTCGTAAGGATTAGGGGGCTCCTCCAAGAGATCTGCATTGGAAAGAATGGCATTGGCGACACCTGGTGTTTCAAAGCATTAAAAACAGTCAGACAGTTACAAAGTGACCGCATACAGTAATACCCACTTCTATACAGAACGAGAACCCGGTCGTCGATAAGAGAATAGTAGAGGCTATGCACACTTGTTACCGGCTTAAGCTGATCAAGTTGGTTCATTGTTGGTGAATGGGCGCCAGCTGAACATAAAAAAAGAACGCACAGAGAAAAAAAACAGCGGTGCGAATGTTCTAATTTTTTCTCTGTGTGTTTTTTATGTTCAGCTGGCCCCATTCACAAGCTATGCACACCTTCGTAGCAAAAACTAAGAAACTGTTGCAATGAATTTTTTTTCCCATGACCGACATTAACCTTCACATAACGAACCCTTCATTGCATTACTAGGTACAACATGGTCTTACAAAATAATGAACATAACGATTTGTCACACAGCCGCGCAGCATCTTTGTACATAGTCACTCAGCAACACATCCTTTTTGTATACAGTCGCCTGCATTTTGGTTCAGTTACCAATTGCCTTACAAAAAAACTTGTAAACAACATTATTTATTTATATATTTGTTGTTTTATTTTAGCCGACTTGTTCTGGCCTCCGGCCTTTCTAGTACACCTCAACCCTCCTCGGTCGAAATAAAAAAAATATTATTATTATTATTATTATCATGGATGTACCTGCTGAAACAACATGCATACCTGGTGCGTCCCAGTGATCGTCTGAGTATTTTTCGTTTAGTGAATATTTCGACGTCCAGCAGAAATCCCATTTAAAAACGTCTGCACACCAGTAAGAGATTGTGGAACAATCGGGTGGAACCACACCGAACCTTGTAGGCCGACGCTTTGCCTCAGAGCCATCAAGGCGGTTACAATTTCTGTCTAGTTCACGTTCGGAGCATGAATGGGACGAGACCTTTGAGGATGATCTGCAGCTCGTCCGAGAGGACTTCGAAGGTGGACACGCTGGACCGGTCCTCAGGAATCTGGTGGCGCTTGTTCCAGGCGCCGCACGCGAACTGGAAGAAGTCCTCGCACGGGTCAGCGCTCTGGTCCATGCCGTTCAGGAGGGACGACGCTGGGAACAACAAGACACGTCGGCAACTCTTCATGAACAGTCGGACGGCAGGCGCCGGGACTTGGCCGCAGCCCATTCTCGGAGATCCACTAAGGGTCCCTTCACACATGCGGTTGAACAGCACTCGCGATGCGGTTGAGAACGCGGCCGCTTAAAGATTGTTCAGTTTCAAAGGCATTCGACGATGAAAAGAAGCGGCTATGCTTCGCGGTGGCGGTTCGAACGCCGGTATGAATGCAGTATAAAGCCCGGGTTGCAATGCTTATACATCATACAAAAGACAGTCTGCATACAGATTCGGACGTGAGTCACTTCGAGATCCGTGCTTCGAATGCCGCATGGCAATGAGTTGAAGGAGAAATTTGACACGCGGCATTCGAACCACGGATATTGCGGTGACTCGTGTTTGCAGACTGTCTTTTGTATAATGTATGAGCAGCGTGACCCCGGCTTTAGGGCTCCGTTCACAAATGCGGTGTACGGTTTGCGTCTCCGGTGCACGTTTGATACATATTTCCCCCGGTTTTGGGGTGCTTAGATTACAGAGTTTTTGCGTTTTCTTCTTTTTTTTTTTTTGTTTGTTTCGCGAGTGTTCTGTGGTCTCGCGTCTTTCAAAACCTGACCCGTGTTCTCGCTGAGCCACGACCATGGGCTAACGGTTCGACTGAGCACAATGCTTGAAGATAAAGCACCGAAGCGCAGTCTGCGCAGCCTTGGTGCCACGACCCCATAATTATTCTTGTGCCCAAGGAACAGATAAAAAAAAAAAGCAAGGAATGTTCAGAATCACCGAGAAAGAATGCGTACGCCGTAAAGCGAAGCCTATATCGCTTGCATTTCAATGAAAAGACGGGAAGCCGACTCACCCAGAAACAAACAAAATAGCTTTTATTTATTATTATTTTTTTTAGTTAGAGTTTAAAGCGGGGAAAAAAAAAAAAAAAGAAACTGCAACGATCTGGTGACTCAATGCTGCAACACGTTGACAAAACATTGAGCGATTGCGTGTGACCTAGGAATTGATCAGTGTCTGGAGCTGTATGGTAGGTAATAAAAAAAAAACAAAAAAAACAATATTTTTGATGCATTGATGATTTCTGTGCACGGCAATTAATCGTCAATTAATTAATAAATAAACTCGAATATGTTCACGACTGCAAATTATTCATGTTTTCTTTTCTTCTAAAATATGCATTATGTTGAAGAAAAAAAGGAGTCTTATGAATCCACAGGGGGAAATTCTTGTTAAGACACTTAAGAAAAAGCTTAATTATTGCAGGCTTTTGGAGCCATAAAAATGCACCGACATCGTTTTCAAAGTTCCTTTTCTTTTTTTTTCATCCCCAATCAATGATAACATGGAATTGCCTACCAAAAGGCACTTCTGATAGCCCGATACCTGATGCATTCTAGGTCAAGTTAAGATCACTTTCTGTAAATTAATTTGCATATTCTGGGTTTACGGGTGGGATGATGCATTTACCATTGTGTTTGATATTCACTCTTGCTGGGAACGTGACGGGGCCTGCAGTACTGGGAACTAAATCAATCAGTAAATAAGTGGGTTTACCACTGTGAGGGTTGCAGGAGACGTTTTTTTTTTAAAAGTTTGTTCAGCATGTTTTTATGACCTTCCCGTTTTGTTCGAAACTCAGCAAGGTCTAAGACCAAGTTCGCACCCAAATGAAGACACGCGAACTCGATCCGCGCGCTCGTTACGCGGAAAGAAGCCCGACGCCCAGAAGGACCAACAAGCGAGTGCAAGGACGTCTCCAAAGCGTGCACCGGCTCTCCGGGAGTCCCCCCTGAGCCATTCACGACATCCCGTGGCCTGGTGGCTATTGCCCCGGCTCTTTTATTTTCGGGGCTGCATTCGTACGATTCCTCGCGAGTCCTGACTTTGAAAAGTAGGCCGCGGACGGCACGACGCGTCGCCCGCACCACCGCCTTGCCTCGTGCACTCAGCACGCCGGTGCGGAAAGGAAAAGCGCCGAGATTCAGCAAAGAACGTCGCTCTCCTGGCCTCTTGCTCCTTGCCTCCGCGCTACGTTCTCTTCGTTTACTTTACAGCAGTCTCCGGAGGATGGTGAAGAGCGTTTTATTGTTCTCCAGTTTTTTAAATATATATTTTTTTTTATTCCGAAGAAGCCGGTAGGTCTTCTGCTCTCGTCCTCTTTCTCTCCTAAGTCGGCGTCTTCCGCTGTTTGGTTTGGTGGAGAGTCCGCGAGAGGTATGGCGTCTCGTATAAAAGGCGGCCGACGTTCTGTTGTCTCTCGCAGAACGTTTCCAGAAAGCTTGTTGCTTCAGCTCATTCCCAGGATAGCAGCTGTCAAGTTCTCGGGTGAGTAGAACGGGACCCCGGCTTAAGTTGCCTTAATGTAACGCGTATGAACGTGAAGTATAGTTTCGGACTAGTATAGTCGTGGTATAGTTTCGGACTAGTATAGTCGTGGTATAGTTTCGGACTAGTATAGTCATAATCATACAGAGGTCGCGAACCCGAATTTTCACCGACTGATTGATCGTTACTAAACTTAAGCCGACTGATTACGCAGTTTATGAGGAGCGCAAGTTCGTCTGCAAGTTCGTCACAGGGGCCGTGAGGACCTCAGAACGCCAAGCTCTTATTGGCTGATTGAAAACAAAATAGTGGGTAGAACCCAAGGCAATCTAGCCTTGAGGTCTACCCACTATCCTTCCAATCAAAACCAATCAGAATTCGGCGTTGTTCTGACGTCACCGCGACCCCTGCGCAAGAAGCAGACGACTTGCTCTCCGAGTTTAGGAAACGCAGGGCGTGGTTTATTATGCTCCCGCCTCTTGCTTCGTGATTGGCTCTTGGACGTTCTTATCGGCCAATACCGTGGTCTTATTGGCTGCTGAGCGACAATAAGACGCTCTGGATTCGCCACACCTACGATAAAATACCGGGACAATTTCTGAAGGGGGAAAAAAAATAGCTGTCTCACTTCAAAAGTTTTACGGCAGAAATTACGTTTTTCACTCCTTACACCTTCATAGGCTAGTTCTCTCGTGCTCAACTAAGTTACATACAAAGTTAGTGACCCCATGCCCCGATGTTAAATTTGCTGTCCACGGTGTGTTGAACAAGCGAGCAAAAACGTTCCAAATGTTTCAGTGGAGAAGCACATAGGAACCGATAAGATGACTGGGCTAAACTCTAAGCACGCCTTAAGGGGATTGGTAGCCGAGTGGGCTAGCACACACCAACTCGGAGCACGTAAAGCGAAATCTCGTGCTGGAGAAGCCAGAAATCCTGGGTTCAATCTCCACCCCTGCCCGTCTCGATCTGGATGAGCATCGTACCGGCGTGCGGTCGTGTATCACTATTGCGTGAGGACGTTAAAGACCCTGCAGGTTAGCTGTCGTACTGCACTGGCAAAATTGCGCATCTACAGCTGAGAGACAAGTCGCTCGTTTAAGGCAGACTAACTTTGAGGCTGTGTGAACATACCCACAACACATCTATTTTTCTAAGCACGCCATTCATGCTGACAAATAATGCGATGACAGGCGGCTATTTATATACAGGGTTTTTCACGAAAGGTGGACAAATTCGATATTGCAAAAACTACACGTCGCAAAAAAAAGAAAAGAAAAAAAAAAAGGCTTGTGTCATTTTGGTCTTGGGCCAGGGGCCTATTTAAGAAAACTGTTGAAGTCCTGGATAATTAGACTTAATTTCTTTTGCGTAATTAAATCTTTTAATATTGTGTTTAAGGGTATGATTTCAATTAGAAAATTGCTGAGAATCATCGACAAAACACTAAATCAACAAATTGCAGAACAATAGAAGGCATGCTAAGCATTTTATGACTTTCTAAAAAACCGTATAAATTCGACGGGTTTTTAGGTTTCGGTTTGGAATCGGAGCGCATCTCGGCACCGACGGCACCGCGCCCCGTGGAGAAATAGTGCATTTAGCCTCTGCTGCGTTGCGCGAGGACAGCGCAGCAGATGTTGGTTGCACTGTTTCTCCACGGTGCGCGTCCAGTGAAGTACCTATTTCACTGAACGCGCCCTATTTTACCTATTAAACCTAATAGGTAATTTTAAATTTTACCTATTAAACAGTTAATAGGTAAAATAAAAGTAACAGTTCGATGGAAAGACAAGAAACAAACAACGGCCGGAATAAAGACGACGCACTATATCAGGGGAGAATCGTGGCCTTTCTCGGTATTGAGTTTCTTATTCATTGTCTCTTCAAGCTTTTTTTTTTTAAATTTTTTTTTCTTGGGAGGTTTTGTTTTACATATAAAGATAATTGATGCCAAACATAAATTATACCATAGTAAAATTTAGTGTTGGTTGATAAAGCGCGTCCAGTGAAATATATGCAAGGCACACAGAAATAGGTGCGATGAGTTCCGCGCTACGTCTGAGAAGCAGATATGACTTTGCTGAGCCAGATGTTTGCGTTTTCCAAAGTCACTCGCCACAGTTAATCAGGCTACTGCTTTCTCAATAAACAAAGGAGGTGTCAGCCTCTTAGCGGTATTCTAGTCGTTCAGTGGTTAACGGTTTAGAGCAATCGATTTTCTGCTAGAAAGAACTGTTTAGTCAGAAGAGATTTGCTTCCTTCTTCTTTTCTTTGTTATGATATTAGGTATATATCTCACGGAATGGCTATTTTCCCGTTGCAAGATCCAGTCACACAGAAAACTTAGCATTGCACCACACGGTGCAGAAAAGATACCTCCCCTCCTTTTTTTCCCCCTCAGAAGGTTATAGCAAACTTAACAGTGTGCCACTTTGTAAATTGAAGTCTAGTGAAGTTGTGTCCCAAGTTCTGCTAGAGGCTTCGCCGGAGATCGCATTCCACATGTACTCGCCTATCTAAACTTTCAAGTTCACACCTTTTGTATGAGGTATATCGCCCATAAAAAAAGGTAGTGGAAGTGTAGCAATATTGTTCACAACTTTAACAATCCCGCTTGTCTACTGACCTCTTTATCTGCAGAAAAAAAAGTGCTGCAAAAAAAAAATTGCATTGAAAGAAAACGAAACGCTGGACAACGATGTACATTACGGAACTTTTGACGTTGGACTGCCGACGATTTAAATTTTTTGCTGGCATTATACTCGACTTGGTGCTGACGTAGTCCTCGGTGCTTGATAGGTTACAAGGTATACTCCGTGTAGTTAGATACCTGCGAACTATGGTGTGATATTGCACTTGACCTGGTTTGGAGAATTAGAGGTTCATCCGGTCTTAAATCACAAGTGCAATTTCGACATACTGTCTGACTAAAACAAATCATTGTACACCATACGCCCTTTTAGGAGTGATTTGCTTTTCGCGTGCCAAAAATAACACCTCTATGTCTCTCTTATTCTTCTCAGAGAATTTTTCAGACGCGCATTTCCGGAGCACCATGAAAACCACCATCTTTTTGGGTGCGTATAAACACGAATGCGAAACTCAACCACTCACATCAATGGTTTTTACATTGTTCTATGAGATATGACAGAGTGAGTCAGCGTGCTCTCCGATTCCCAAGCGGTTCCTGTCACATCCGAACTTTGTGACTGACCATGCTGCTTTCCCTCCTTTACTCTAAAGTGTCAGACAACAGCGGCACAGTGGCCTCACGCTGCAGGTCTCATACAAAAATCCCAAATATGTATATATAAATAAAGATTAAATAATGACGTCATACCCTTACAAAAATTATCAATAAGTTTCTATTGAGTTCCTTAAGTATTCTATAAAATACATTAGAAACTCAATTGAAACTCATTTATCTATTTTTTGCAAGGGTATATGGCCATATATACTGTATAATGGGCTATATATGACCTTAGTTGGCCAGTTCTTGATAGGGTTACATATGACATTTATATACAAAGTCTGGCGCCATTCCATATCTGGGACGTCAGGTTATAAGTATCGCGACAGGTTATTAGTCTGTCCCGTTAATATTTACTATCAATCGGTCCACGCGTGTTCCTTGTGGTCCCTTTGATAGGACACTAATTGTCCGGCCTCAAATGATGCGAGCTGTTCTCATCCAATCTCGAACTAGCCGCCCTACTTCGCCACTGTACTCGAGGAATACAACTACTAGCAGACTATTAGCGGCTTTATGTGCAAACAAATTATTAATAGCGACAAAATGCAGCTGTAGAACTGGTGTCTTGAAACCCTTACGTTTTTTCTTTTTATTTTATTTAATCTTTATTTTAGCTCTCGTCGGCGTCGCAGCAGCTGCACCCTCTATGACGCGGGTAAGCAATGGTCCTCTAAATAAATACAAAATACTCGCTAAAAAACTTGACTTTCAATGTCCTTGTTCACCGCAAGCCTGGTGTCGCGCTTCCCCAACACCCCCTAAAAAACTGTAATGTCAAATTAAAAAAAAAAAAAAAACATCTATTAAATGTTAACGCGCAGGACGGTTTGAACACGAGTGCCGTGTGAGCATTTGGCTTGGACTTATAGGGTTTATCTGATTTAACACGAGTCACAATCGAACGCTGTCAGATCACTCGTGTCCGACCTGCGCCCTGCGTTGTCCAGGGGGCAAGCTACAAGAAAATTCAGCGCTATGGCATTTCGACCCAGACGCTGCTGGCTTGCTACGACTTGGAGTTCCATTGATGCATGACCATGGTGCCTGGAGCGCGTCCTCGATTGGGGTGTTTAGCGTCCTATCCCTCCCATACATCGAAGGTGGTCTCGAAGAACGGCGTCACGGAAACCGGTGTGTCACGTCGTCGGGTGTCGCGATCCTAGCGTTTGGCGCTAGAAGTCCTGGCTCGAAGCACGGCGAACGCGAGTATCGCTGTCGTCGCGGAGTCTCAACTCCTAGATGCATAAGATTCTGTGTAATATGTCTAGCTGGAGAGCGCCCTGCAGCAGAACAGGCGTCTGGCGCACCCATCGCCGGTGCTGTGACACCGCCAGGATCGCTGCCGGAGACAGTGGGACACTTGTATGACGTCATCAGAGACAGTGTGACATTTGTATGACGTCACTAAGTGGGCGGAAATCAAGATACCACTTTATTTTGGACGCGGTAAACACACCAGTCGAAGACGGGTCAGAGGCAAGTACCATACGCGTGGTTTCTCTAACTGTGTTTGACTCGCGGTTGCAGCCGAGGCGGGCCGCGTACGAGCTCCCCGACGGCGTAGAGTTCGTCGTGGGTGGCGTTCAGACGAGCTTCCAGTGCCGACGCAGCGGCTACTTCGCCGACGTCGACAACAACTGCCAAGTCTTCCACATCTGCAACGAGGTCTTCAAGGACGACGGCAGCTTGGAGCTGCAGCAATACAGTTTCTTCTGCGGCAACCAGACCGTGTTCAACCAGCTGAGCTTGACGTGCTCCTTCCCGGAAGAGTCCGTGCCGTGCAGAAATGCGCCGGACTTCTTCTACATCAACGACAACCTGGGACGCGAGGACACGCTGCTGCACAGCGACGACGACCTGCAGCGAGCCGCGCCGCTCATTCCCGGCTTCCAGCAGACGTCCTACACTGCGGCATCTAACCGCGTCGAAGTCAAGGACACGCACGCCCACCGGGGTCTGGAGAACTAAGTTCTGGTCATTGGAGAGAGCGCCGTATCACTCTAGTCGCTGACAGGATGAGAACCGTGGGGAGTCTCTTTTGAATGCCGGTCCTCCAGCACGCGCTCGTTGCCTTTCGACGTAACTATGGCTGCGCGTGAACGCTCGACGCTCACGAGACGAAGAAGGGTTCTAGAAGGCAGGAAGCTTGCGCTGGTGGAGGTACAACAAATAAGGCCCTTTTTATCGTTCTAACCCTGTCGGTGACTAAAAAACATCTGTTCGTTGAGAACGCAAGCGGTAGCTGCGCTTCGCAATGGTGTCCGATGTACCACATGGCACTCCCTGATCCGAAGAGCTGGAAGTTCTGTGTTTTCTTTGGCGACACCTGACATCGGGGTAAAAACTAGGAGCCGCGCTTATGTCGGAGACTTTCTCCCGTGTTTACTTACCCGTTCTTTTACCCTAGTCTCGGGTATCATCGAGGGAATGACCAGGAGATGCCTTTCCGATAATTGGCCGTTGCGCAGCATGGTGGGCGTGCGCGACGAGTCCAACTATATACGTCGTAGGGGGACCTCACAAAAATGACTTCAACTTGGTTAGTGGGACTCGCCAGGTGGCTTCGTGGCGCTAGGATATCCACGAGGACTAAAAATTTTTGTTTCATTTGGAGCGACCTTTGACCTGATTAAAATTCAATGCGCAATAGTTCGATGTTCTACTGGGCTCTTTCGAACATTGAGAATGCGCGCCTTGCGATTCATAGCAAACAACGGGAACGTGCATCGAATATACAATGCAACGACGCTTTCAATGACGGAAGCTGAAGTCAAGTACACCGACACACCTTATATATACAAAAAAGAAAGGGTGGCAGTGTAGCCTTTCACGGCATTTTCGAAAATTAGAGTGCTGCAAGTAAATTAACTGCTGCATTCAAGGGGCGGGGAGATTAATTATGATAAAAAACAATCGATTCAAGACTTTTTAAGTCATAATACAGAAAAAAAAACAGCAACAACAACAACAACAGAAGGCAGCTTTAGAACAAAAGGACAACCCGGGTTTACTCTTGACAGGAGCCTGGGTAAAAGAGGATTTTCGCTAAACTTTATTCATGTCCTTGGACATATCACTGTTTAACAATATTTTTTTTGGTCCTCTTCTAACCTCACTTTGACCCTGGGTATCACAAAGCTTCAACTTATTTCTCGAAGGTGTCTAGGCAGGAATATGTTGATAAAGCTACACCAAACAAATGCACAAAGTCTCCCTTCTCCGTTTTCTAACATTTTAGAAAATCGTTCGAATGCGACGTAGAAGGTCGAGAAACTTCTTCGAAAGTCCTTTTGTCATCTGCTAGTGATATGAAGACTGAACGTCGTGGTGGCGCTTCCTACTCGGCGGGAGGTAGTAAGGGGGGCGGGGGGGGGGGGGGGGGCGGGGTTCACTGGGGGGGGGGGGAGAGGCAGGGAAAGGGAAGTATGGTGACCGAGTGTGTGAGTGTGTTACGGTGTTCTGCAGATCCAAGCACGTGGGGCGAAAGTTTGCGCCGCTGCAGAACCCGAACCATACATGTGGTAGGTGTCGATTTTCATGCTTGTTGTCATTCACAGCTGCAGGATGAACCTGGGAAAGGCTCATGGTGGTTCATTCGTAATAAATGTACTTACTTGTTTGCATGTTATCTCTGTGCGCTTTTTGATTCATTCCCTCCCCCCCCCCCCAGCTAAAAAAACAAACAAAAACAGTGAAAATAAATTGAATTTGAATTCAGGCCTGAACTACAAGACTGTGTTTGGACCTGCTCTTTCTTACACTCACATGTAGGAATACTATACCAGTCCAGGTCTCCAGATGTACTCCCTCGCTTGATTACTTGTGCAGCCGAACCGAAAATTTGAAAAAGAAAGCGAAGAAACTAGAAAAAGAAAATTTCATAGTGTTAGGTAGACAGCAAATATGCGAAAAATCAGCTATCGGAGCCCTGAAATCCGCCGGTCAACGCGATGATCTATAGTTTGTCATCCGGAACGGGTGAATCGTGTTTTTCGGTCTGCAAATATAAACTCCGCATCGCCGAAAGCAGCTCAGAGTCTATTAGAATGTAGCGCTAGAGGCTGGAAAAAGGAGCCAAAGTTTCAAATTCAAAACATAAAGAGACCATTGAACGTTTTCTAGAATTCGTTGAATATACGCTGTTTAGACGTTATCAATAAAGTTCATAATGGACCATTCCACGCCAAACAAAATAATCCTAAAATCGACAACATAACGGATTCCTCTTAAACATTTGTACGCGTTTTTGGCACAATGAGAAAATGCTTTTCAGAATATACAGGGTGTTTGCTTTTTTAATTCGAACAGACTTATTTTTAAGAAATCTGCCAAAGGTACACTAATGCACTCTGCGCAGGTGAGTTATACCGCCAAGGGGACATAATGTAAAGGGATCGTCCTCACGATAAGTAGGAGTATTAACTAAAATTTATTAATTTTTTAGTTCGCGAAAATAAACCCACGATTCCGATTACAAAATTGATGAACGTCATCGAAAACTACTTAATCCGCCAATTTTAAAAAGACTGGACGCAGGCGGGAATAGCGGGGGTACGCCAAATTGATCACTCGTGCAACAGGCACAAGGCTAGCGGTACCAGAACGCGGAGGCCGCTAGCCTTGTACCTGCTGTACGAGGGGTAGCATCGGTGCACTCCTGCACTTCCCATGTGCGTCAAATCTTAAAAAAATGGACTGATTAAGTAGTTTTCGTTGGCACTCAGTAAGATTTTAATTGGAACCACAGCCTATTTTCGTCAATTAAAAAATTAATGAACACATTTCAGTTGATAATCCGAATTATCCTGAGGGTTAGCCCCTTACATTATGTCCCTCTGGCAGTATAACTCACCCGCACAGACTGCATATGCGTTAAAATCAAACACCCTGCATTTTCGCTATGAATGTTTTATAAATGACTTGCAATGACGTCACATGAGCGGTCACTGGGTTGGCCTCGCTGCTTAGCCCGCATCTTCCGCACCGTACATTCAGCATCACCGAATTTTTCGTTCTGCGCAAGAACACGAATGACGATCAGAAAAAAAGTGCGATGACGCCACGTGACAACCATGCATTCCTTCGTGTACACCTTGACTACGGCGAATAATATGTCCCAAGGAGTACGAGGCGCTATTCGTTGATTAAACATTCGAAACGAGACCATCGATACAACACTGCATCGCACGCTCAAAGTGTGCCGCTCCCTCTCTTGTATCTTCTGTTGCGTCCCTTCGTGACGAAAGAAACCGAGTAAAGAGTATTTAAGGAGAAGAACACTAGCCGAGGCACCCAGTGGAGGCACCCTCGGTTTACGCACGGAGAGAAGTAGCGGGGAGGCAATAGCTATAAGGAAAAAAGAACAAACACGATTCTGCAGTCGATCGACGGGAAGCGAATGTCGTAACCACGGGCCCCTCTCATTTCCGTTCAGCAGCGGACAGACGTTCTTTCTTCGGCCTGTTTGGGGAGCACCCTCACGTAGCAGCTCCCGTCCATACTCCGCTTCACCTTAGGATGACCCGCCGGAGACGCCACGAGCCATCCAAGCCAATCCAACACCGTGTAAGTATCACGTGACCTTCGATAGGGGCGCAGTGGTGTGAGGAGGCATATATAGTCACGTGACAGAGTATACAACTCGCGCTTTCTTCCCGTTCGAGCTCTTCGCGCCGCGGAAGTAGCGTAAGCTGTCGCGTATCGGCGTATCCAACCAGATTCACTGCTAACCTGTTGCGAGCTTTTTTTCCTGCCCAATTGCTGGACTGTTTTCTCTTCTGTTCGTTCTCTGCCGGATGGAGCTCATTTTTGGGTCGGTGTCGAAACCAGCGAAAAGAACGAGTTCAGGGAAACTGTTGTGGCGAGTGCTCGGAAAAGTTGTCGTAGACCGCTTTTTCCTTTCTGCTACGCTGCACTGGGGGAGCGGACCGAGCGTTGAGGGACAGCCGAAACGATCTGCCGCCCGATCTCCGTGTCGTACACCTTCAAGCGGTCCGTTTAATGTGCCCGAGTCAAATCCTGTCGTCACTCCTGAAAGAGAGAGGGTACACACATCTCTTTTTCAAGAGCGACTCCCCAATCCCCCCTCTTGTGTACAGACCCTACCGGTACAGACAGAGGTTCACCCAGCTCAGATTTATGGGTCAGCCTGTCTTCAAGATTCCAGCACACTGAACGAACAATCGCTCCGTGCCTCGTGTGACTGTCGTGGATCACAGTGTGTGCCTTAGTTTCGCATAATTTATTAAACGATATGTGAAAGGAACTCTCGGTATGATGCACACCAGGTTTATTATGTTGCAATATCCCCAAAAATTGTTAGTGTTACTATTATGGCAGGCTGCAGCTCAAAGTAAAAGCGATCCCTCTGAGTTTAAAGGCAGCGTAGGAAGCTAATGGATGCTCGAATTCTTAAGTGTTCTGAAAATGTACGACAAGAGTCATGATAAGGTATTCAATGCAGAAATCATAGTCACGCGACTATAATTCTTTTTCTACATTCTTACGATGGAAGCCACTCTCGCTTTATGTGAGGCATCTTCCGTATGGGGTACCGTGGAAGCATATCTGAGCAACTGTCGAAGTCACGTGACTCTGACAGTTGATCAGCTGGACGTCCATGGTTGGCGCCCAGCTGATCCTCGGCTTTATCAAAGTTGCGCAAGTTGGCAGAAGGGAAAAGGTTGGAGGAGCTCATTCCCTGAGCGTCCGCCTCCGTTTTGACTGTCAGCGTACGCGTAACTAAGCTCCAAGGTCTGCCTCAGGCCGAAACGTCGACCAACTTTACAAATAATATGTTTTAAAAACTTCGTCAACCGTCTCAGGTGCGTTTTCTTCCGTATAGACTTTTCGTCATCCTGCGCTACGCTTCTCTCTCTCTCTCTCTCTCTCTCTATATATATATATATATAGTTCATGTCTTAACGCACCAGCAACTGTTTTTCAAAAATAATCTTTTTTTTAAGAGA